TAGAACGGCCTACAGTGGCTCAGTATGCTCATCCTGTCGGTTCCAGAGATGACGTAAGTTGGTAAGCATCAAACGGGCCTTCTGTATCCGATCTGAGATTTCATCAGCAACCAACCCGTTAAAGGTGGTTCAGACCCCCCGGCCAAGTAAGTGAAGTGGTTGGCATATTTCACCACTTCACTGTCTACCATTAAACTGGGAGTACTTGCAGGAGTCTAGTCCTGAAGCATCATCTAACATTTGAAGGATGCGAGACACATGCTGGACATACTTAGACTTCTGATCAAAGTGTTCACAACCCCTTGCATTGCGTCACCATTTTCGTCTAACAGTACAATACTCTCTGCGTATTCTAAATCAACCAGATGACCACCAGTAAATCGACCAATCCCTGTGAAGTGAGACGTACCTAAGGTTACTTCCATTAGTACGTCTGTGACGAAGTTGAATGGAAACAATAACAATGGAAAACCCAGGGGACACCACTAATTGTCGTCAATTAACATGACAACTCTCCATAAGCACTCAAATGGCCGCATGAATTCATGTAGAGAACTTTGATAAGTATTGTATACTTGCTCCGTTCTTCCTTCACGGTCAGATATTGTCACAGCACCTCACGGTAATTAAGTTAAATCCCGCCTGGAAGTAAAGAAATATAACAAGTTTTGGCCACCAGTAGGTATATATGTGTTCCACAACCTTTTGAAGGGTATAAACGTGGTCGATACACCCTCAGCTGGGTCTGAAACCTACTGCTCTTGAGCTTCAGTTTGATTTCGGATAACCATGCACCTGACTCTTGAAGAGATTGTCAATTAAGATCATAATTCGCTACTCTATCTTTCAAAGTTCAGTGAAAAGCTTACAACTGGCCGTTGCTTCATTCAAATAGTTTTCCATATCAAATAATCTTCAAGGGAAGCAACTAACTTTAATTCATTGCATTTTTCCTAAAGGCGTTTGTTTCTCAGTATAGTTTGGAAAAAACGAAAAACAACCACAACTCTCTTTTTGCTTAAGATAGACCTAAGGTAGTTAGTAATGCATACAGAAATAGGGAATTTATACTAGGTGATGAATGAAGGTGAAATGAAAATTTAAACGGCAGCCGGATTCGAACCAGCGATCACCGGGTTTCCGGCCTAATGGTGTACTAACAGAGCGTTGAAATCCGACTGATGATCAGATTTTTGTTTCACTTCAATCACCAAGGTTTTTTTTTACCCAACTATCATGTGAATTTGTGACACGTTACTACAGCTTGACCCTATTCACACAGACTGCCTAGTCAGGACTTCTCATCTAAATCCGAATGTAACTGAATTAGAATGAGAGGGGAAGCATCATATTGATTATCATTTTGACTATGTGAGACAGCAGCCGTAGTTTGGCAGACCAGTATTCACACAGGGTGATGATTAGAGGTGAAATGGAAATTTGGACTGGGGTCGGAGTCGAACCAGCTTTTTTTATGTGTTCTAAGTTCCCACCTTTGATATATTGATGTATTGTTTTAAAAGATGCTGGAAGTAATTCCAATGAATGAGGTTACATATTTCACTGTAATTCCATTCACATTTATTTTCATAGAACACGAGACTGAATAACTGTGAATCATATGCTTAGTGAGTATATAAATAACTTCACCATCAACCACATCACCCCAGCATAAATACTAGTCTGCCAAACTACGGCTGCTATCTCACATAGTCGAAATGGTAATCAATATGATAATCCTCTCCCCTCTGTTATTCAGTTACATTTGGATTGGGATGAGAATTCTTGACTAGGCAGCCACTGGGAATACCAACAAGCGGTAGTAACGCATCACAGATTCACGTGGCAGTCAGGTAAAAAAAACCTTGGTGATTGAAGTGAAATAAAAATGTGATCAGCAGTCGGACTTCGATGCTCAGTTGGTAGGGCATCCAGCCGGAAACCCCAGTGGTCACTGGTTGGAATCCAGCCCCAGTTCAAATTCTCATTACAACTTCAAACATCACCCTGTGTGAACACTAGTCTGCCAAACCATGGCTGCTATCTCACATAGTCAAAATGATAATAAGGAATGTAGTTTAATTATCCTGAATTTGTAAGGTTCATCCTATCTGAATATGTACGACAAGTTTTAAATTAAGTTCATACATAAATTCTAAACCTTTCATTCATCATTATCAAAGCAAGGAGCCTTCTAACCTGAGACTTCTGGAAAGCATTAAAGCATATTAATTCCTAATTAGTAAATAAGATTTTCAAGTTACACCCAGGAGCTTTTTGGATTTCATATTCCCGCAATTAGAATTATCTAGAAAAAGATTCCCAATTTTGATTTAGCAAATAAGACATCAGAAGCCTATTTTTCACTTCCACGGATCTAAACAATATGAGTCATAAATGTTTTAGCTTTATTGAGCCCCCTGAGTTAATTTAACAAGAAAGTATAATTTGTATGAGGGGAAATTTTTAGTTTAGCCTAAACTTGTAACATATGTTAGTCCAAAATAATAGTCTATTTTGATCTTGTGACAGGAGATGATTATCATTTGACTATCTGAGATAGTCGTGGTTTGGAAGACTAGTATTTATACTGGATGATGAATAAAGGTGAAATAGAAATTTGAACCGCGGTCGGATTCGAACCAGTGACCGCTAGTTTCTCCCCAATAAATTCAGTTAGATTTTGATTGGGTTGAGAATTCTTGACTAGGCAGTCAGTTTGAAGGAAACAGTCGTTAAATTATTATTTCTACTTAGGTGAAGAAAGGATCTGAATATCTATGCTGTGTTATGGTTAATTTTTTGTCATATCGCCTACAGTTCCAATCTTTGGTTTCATTTCTTAACGGGACTGATTATATTTAAGACATTTCAAGTTGTTTATGCAGATCAGAATGGCAGTTAGAGATGTCATGGATTAGTACTATGTTAATATACGTGTAAAACTTGGGCACTGTGATAGAACTTAACTGCAGATTAGATTTATTTATGTGATTTATAACACAGTGATATAGTCACACATACCTGATGATGACGTTTCGAACAGCAATTAGCACTACTCATCATCATATCAATGTAATCATACACAAATCACGATATCTTCATTTTATAGCCTTATCACCATATATTATTTGTTTTATTGCTAGTAAAATTTTCCATAAGTGTTGCGTCATTTCTACTACATGTAATGGGTGTTGGCTGATTCAATGAAAAAAACATTCAGTAATCCTATTGCCAGAAATAATAATCACTATGGTAATGTAGGGAGTTAGAAGTCAACTAAATATTGACTCAGGACTGATACAACTAATAAATCGGTTAGTAAGATCATATTAGGTGTACAGTTGTGCCTGAACTCCATAGTCTTCAAGTTTCAGGACAAAATATACAGACAAATAGAAGTAGTAGCAATGAGATAACCAATATCTCCAATTGTAGCAAATATATTCATGGATAGTTGAGACAACATGGCTTTACAAACATCTAATCCTGCAACAAAGACATGGTGGGGATATGTGGATGACACATTCACTATTGTGTTGAAATCGAAACATATTGACAATTTCCTCATGCATATAAACTCTGCAGCAGCTGCAATGCAATTCACTTGAGAGGTAGAAGATGAACAAGAAGAATTACCTATGTTGGATTGCAGGATAAAACAAAGGACAGACGGTGGTCGTTTAGGTGCTACCGTCTACAGAAAACTAACACATTCCAACAGGTATCTAGATTTCAAGTCATCTCATCCAATGTCAGTCAATGAAAACAGGTTTAGTCAAATGTCTAAATGATAGAGCTAGAAAACTGACTAATCAGTGCAAGGACCTAAACAAGGAATTGAAACGCGTGAAAGAAGCACTGATAGTTAATAATTATTCTCAACAGTTTATTCAGAAATTCATACGGATACACAAAAAATGAAAAAGTAGAAGTCACACAAGTACGACTAATAAGGACAACAGGAGTAGAGAGGTGTTCACAGCCTCCATTGTGTTACGGCATAATGAAGGTATATCAGAATGTTTACGTAGGATCCTCAGTAAAGCTGGGATTAGGCTGGCATTCAAACATGCAAACTCACTGAGAGATAAGGTTTGTCGACTGACTTAAGGATCGGATAGAACCAATTTATCAAAATAATCTAATCCATCAAATTCTATATAATGACTGTGAGTGAGGTCAAGTATATAGGTGAAACTAGCCTGGCTGGTCGGGGTCAGTTAGAATAGTGGAACATAGGGATTTAGTTGAATAAAGAGTGATAGACCCGAATAAGATGAATAATCTAGAAGAAATAAAATCTCGGCTATTGTAATTCAGCGATTAACACACACAAGCACACAGTAGAATTAGGTGGAGAGAGAGAGATTGATTATTGGATCTTTGTTCATCGAATCAACACTGGGTCAACATATGTAGTAGAAATGATCCAACAGTTATGCCAGAGGTGTGGAAAGTCTTACTACCAAGATAAACAAGTAATATGAGGTGTGTGACAGGACTATAAAATGAAGATGTTGTAGTAATGATGGATAGTGGCTAGCAGTGGAATCTAGGATGCGCATTTCGCCCTATAACACTAAAACTATACCCGTTACATAAGAATTGGCTACCTTAGCTAGGTGGTTTAGTGGATAACGACCTGACATTTGAAGCGATCACTCGCGAGTCCGAATCTCAGTGGGTACAACGCTCACTGGGAAGCAGGTATATTCAGCTGACGAGTCCCCAAATAGGACGAGATATGCATCCTGGATTCCGCTGCTAACCACTATCCATCATTACTATGATTAAAAGCATAGGCAATATCGAGGTATCCGAGCAGGAGCCCATATACCAATAGAGACTGATTAATTCGGTCCAACCAACAACGGTATAATACAAGCAATAACACTTTCGTTAAGATTATTATTAATGTTATTACCATCATTACTACTGCAATATGATATGTAGCAAGTTCTTTTGCTTATTCTCTAATGTTTTCTTAAATTTTAAAGGATGATCCAGGATTTATGGAATCAGAATATAGGCGTCGTAAACCGCATCCAAAGTATAAAGATTATTTAGAGTGTGAAAAGTTAACATTAAAAGCCGGTAAAAAGGTGAGTTTATTGAAAACGCGATAGTATAATCTATTCTCTTTATAAATGTATTCAATTCAATGCTAAAGTGGAATTTACTCACACCAGTTGTCTATCTGTTTAACAGAATTCGATACAAAAGCATTAAAAACAGATAAGCACTAGAGAAGTTTTCGTACTAGAGTTGGATTCCTTAGCAGTGCACATCGACGACCTTGGAAGGGGTCGAACTCAGTACTATCAAGACTCACGACGAGCAAAACCGTAATTAAATATCATTGGTCAGTATTCATCCTCAAATTCAGTCTCCTTGATAGCTGGTTTGGATTTTCTGGGAAACAAATTTCTTCAAAATTGTAGGTATACTTCGCCTATAATCATGAAACTCCAGATCAAGAATTTGCTCCACACTAACTCCTAAGACTGATAAACATACTGAACATACAGCAGAACACCTCTCAGTAACTCAAATAACATTAGTCATGGTTAAACTTTGGATCGATACATTTAGGACAAAATTCCCGCCATAAACTTTTTCAAAGAAAATGGAAGTTCACCTTCATGTACTACTACTACTACTACTACTACTACTACTACTACTACTACTACTACTACTACTACTACTACTACTACTACTACTACTACTATAGTAATATGTTTTAGAAATCTTAAGTCTGATTGATTATTTTTGACAAATAACGTTCTTGATTTGTTTTCCATACGTCCGGAGGACATGTATTCGTTGACTTATCCAATCTCAATTATTGTATTCCAATGAAACTCACAGAAGATTTATCAAGTAGTAAATTTCTATAAACACAAGCAGTTTAGTAATCGAGGAACTTTAAAGGCCACTTAAGTAACTGATAAAACAACCAATTACATTTCTCAATTCTATGAAAAATCATATCCCTAGTCAAAATACGGTAACCTGATTGCTTATTTTGGCAGTCATAATAGTGGCCTTTAAACTAGGCCGTGGTAATCATTTACAACTCATTTGAATTTACCTGACCACGTGTTGTCATTTACTGTGCTACTCACTTCATGACTGTGGGTCGTATAAATACCTCAGCAAGGTCAGGTCTTAATATATATTCGTATTGTCCATCCAAGTTCATTGTCTTGATAAGTAATTCAAATGTGTATTACTTCATTATTTTTGACAGACTGCACCATTTGGGCTGTGTAACAAACTTGAATGAGTTCTATTATGTCCTCAAAAGTTTCTCTTGTCCAAGATTGTTTCTGTTCTCTCATCTGAATGAATATTGATTTTAGGGGTAAGGAGTATTGTTCTGCGGGATCATGCTCCTGTCCACCCCAATTATAATAGTAATCCACATCATCATTGAGAGACTAAAAGATGCTCTGGATTCTAAATTATGACAGGAGCAGGCTGGCTGGATTCAGGAAGAACAAATCATGTGCGGATCAAACTGCAACACTACGCTACACATCATCATAGAACAGAGCATAGAATGGCAGTCAACTCAGCTCTACCTCAACTTCATCGACCTCGAAAAAACCTTTGACAGCGTCGACCAAGAAGTAATTTACCAGCTGCTTCAATACTACCTTCTTATTGCCAAAAGCCTTATCATACTCATTCAACAGCAATGAAGCTGTGCTATATGATGATACATGCCGAGTGCTTCACAATGGAAAATTCAGCTCAGTGATGCCTTTGAAGCAAAGCGAAGACAAGAGTAAGATCTTCCTGATTGTGGTCAACTGCACTAAGCAGGACACGATCATGCGAAAACTGTGAGGACCGATGAAAAGACAGTACAAGATTTGGATTTCGCCGATGATGATGAATATCTAAAGTCTTGTCGCTCAAACTCGAAGATCTACAGGCGAAAATCAACAAGTTGACAGAAGAGGCGAAGTAAAGAAGACTAGGCCTCCTTCAGATGAACGTAGACAAGACAGAGTTGATGAAGATATCCAACCAACAAGAATAATAACAAGCACCAACTACCATCAACTGGAGAAATCCAGGTGAGGAAGTTGTCTCTTTCACCCATCCACCTACCTACCTACACACCTACACACCTAGGCAGCATCGCTTCAACTACAGGTGGCGGCACAGATCAGAATGTCAAAGCCAGGCTTGAAAAGACGGCAAGGTAGGCATTCATTGATCTGAAATAATCAGTGTGCAGATCTACTGCACTGCACTGCACTCAGCATAAAGCATGAACAATATCCAGATTTTCAACACGTGTGTCAGTCATGTCAGTGCTTCCACGTGATGGTTGAGAGACTTATCGCGTTACGAAAAGCATTTCCAACTAACTACACACATACATCATGTCAACAGCTGCCACCTACGCTTACTCTATACTGACATTGAAGATCAGATGACCAGAATAATAAGAATAAGCAAGGAGGAATTGTGGCTGGCTGGCAGTGAACCAACCAACTAACAACCTTTCACCCAACAAATATGCAGAATAAAGTGGAGATGGATTTGGCATACACTGAGAAGATTATTTGGGGATATCGTGCTACATACCAGGCCCTCGAGTGGAATTCGAAGGAGAAAGGATGAGTTGGGCATCCGAGGCGGGGTTGACATGGTGGAGATCATGTGAGGAAGAAATGAAAGCTTGTGGGCAGTCGTGGTGTAGCCAGGTTGAAAATACTGCAGAGAAGAGAGTGAAATGGAGATATGCTAGTGAAGCCCTATGTTTCACTAAGAACCCAAAAAACAAATAATGATAATGATAAGTATTTTTCTAGAGAACAGAAAGATTTACATTTGCGGGTATCAGGTTTGACTGATACTTTCTTGGAGATTTGTTTGAGTACAAACTCATCTGGAAAATATAATATTATTTACTTCGTTTAACGTTTTCTCAGTTAGATCACTGAACTATAGTGAGTAGTTATTTCACATTTGCTAAACAGCTTAGGTGATGTCATGTGGTGTTGAGGATGTATTTCCTATGAATCGACTGTACATATCATTTTCGTTACCAGGTTTTGACTAAGACAACAAATCTAAGAATGACACTTTACTCCAGACATGTTTATTCTTTTATTAAATTCACTTAATAAGACATATTATTAAGTAATTTGCCATGATCTGCTTTAGTATACACAAAATTATCATCGATACATGATAAACATTTTTCAGATTTAACTCCTAGAAGAACAATGATTTTAAGCTAGTAAATTAATGACTATTATATTTGCGTCTGTTATGATGGGATTCGGCTTTTTACCGTTGATGAGATATTTTGAGATATTAATGGTTTAGCATACTGGTATTACTGATTATATCTTGACGATTGAAGATGAGTTGAAAATTGACATTAAGGCTGGTAATATGGAAAACACTACTAGCAATCCTGGAGCGATTTACCTTAGCTCTTCGCCTTCAGTCATCACCTTGTGTTTTTCTTTTCTTTAGACTGCTGTGGTACATTACTTACAATTGAGTAGATTAACTATAACTTTCCTATGCCTAAACTTCTTAAACTGATGAAGTTCTTCATTTTCAAGTTGAGTTTAGTTATGTTCATTTAAAGGGTAAACAGAATTTTCCCCTCACTTAAGCATGATATACATAATGATGACAACTGCAAATTATGGAACAATGAGTTTCATTTCATCCATTGTTAGGCTTCAGTATAAGAAATTACTTGACAAACTTGACATATGCAAAACGGTTAGTGGAGACTGTAGATGGACGTGAATTACTATTATTTAATATTTGTCCCTTGGGTTCTTAGTGAAACATAGGGCTTCACTAGCATATCTCCATTTCACTCTCTTCTCTGCAGTATTTTCAACCTGGCTACACCACGACTGCCCACAAGCTTTCATTTCTTCCTCACATGATCTCCATGTCACCCTCGCCTTGGATGCCCAACTCATCCTTTCTCCTTCGAATTCCACTCGAGGGCCTGGTATGTAGCATGATATCCCCAAATAATCTTCTCAGTGTATGCCAAATCCATCTCCACTTTATTCTGCATATTTGTTGGGTGAAAGGTTGTTAGTTGGTTGGTTCATTGCCAGCCAGCCACAGTTCCTCCTTGCTTACTCTTATTATTCTGGTCATCTGATCTTCAATGTCAGTATAGAGTAAGCGTAGGTGGCAGCTGTTGATGGTGTATGTCTGTAGTTAGTTGGAAATGCTTTTCGTAACGCGACAAGTCTCTCAACCATCACGTGGAAGCAATGACATGACTGACATGCGTGTTGAGAATCTGGATATTGTTCATGCTTTATGCTGAGTGCAGTGCAGTGCAGTGCAGTAGATCTGCACACTGATTATTTCAGATCAATGAATGCCTGCCTTGCCGTCTTTGTGAACCAGGTTGTGACATCCTTATCTGTGTCACCACCACCCGTGTTTGAGATGATGGTGTCTGGCTAGGTAGGTAGGTGTGTAGGTGTGTAAGTGTGTAGATAGGTAGATAGGTAGGTAGGTAGGTAGGTAGGTAGGCAGGTAGGTAGGCAGGTAGGTAGGTAGGTAGGTAGGTAGGTAGGTAGGTAGGCAGGTAGGTAGGTAGGTAGGTAGGTAGGTAGGTGGGTAGGTAGATAGATGGGTGAAAGAGACAACTTCCTCACCTGGATTTCTCCAGTTGATGGTAGTTGGTGCTTGTTATTATTCTTGTTGGTTGGATATCTTCATCAACTCTGTCTTGTCTACGTTCACCTGAAGGAGGCCTGGTCTTCTTTACTTCTCCTCTTCTGTCAACTTGTTGATTTTCGCCTGTAGATCTTCGAGTTTTTGCGACATTAGATGACAGACGTGAATGCTTTGGAGTTATTCACATCAGTCGTCAATATACCCTGGTTTTCTATAATGCATCCTATGTATTGATGAGATCATAGTCTGTAGGCTGAATATTTCGGTCTTCAAAAACGGCTAAGGTGGAATTCTACACTCGCGTTATACCCATTTATATCATTCATCGTTTTATGATGAATCGTGCAAACACAGAATGTGAAATATAAATGTTTTTAACTTGACTTCAGCCGATAAAATAAAGCTCAGATAGTAACGCCGGTTTGAAGTGTATAGAACTTTGGGTTGTAAACTGAGATTATAACAATAAATGTTCATGAATGAGAAAGTATTTCATACTGTTGACAGTCAGTAGTATCTCTAGGTGGATAAAAAATGATTTATTCTGCGTTTAAATCTTAGTGAAAAAACTCACCAAATACTAAGTGTTTTGCATCGTCAAAATGGTTTAATTTAATGCCGAAAACTAATAACTCCAGTGGAATGTATGGTACTATTGAAATTCATAAGCCATGTTATCCCATCAGGCCTATAGTAGATTTTACAAACACACCAACTTATGAGTTGTCAAAATATTTAGCAATGGTGTTAAGCCCAGTTAGAAATCACTCAAAATCTTGACTTACCAACTCTTATGACTTTAGGCGTAGACTGGATGATATAACTTTAGATGACAATGAAAAAATGGTAAGTTTTCACATAACTAGCCTTTAAACGAATATACCGACCGACATGGCTATAGAGACAGTTAGAAATGGGCTTAAGGATGACAATGAGTTTACACATCGAACTAAGGTGACGATCGAGGAAATCATACTAGGAGTACGACTGAGCCTAACATCTACAGTTTTTAAGTTTCAAAATAAATTAGATAAACTAGCTGAAGGTGTCGCCATAGGATCACCAATATCAACTATCGTCGCAAGCATATTTATGTATAGTTGGAAAAGGATGACCCTTCAAACATTTAGACTTACTCCGAAGATATGGTTTCAGTCTGTAAATGATATGTGTATAGTACTGAAATCGGGACAAGCCAATAGGTTCTTGACACATAGAAATTCAGTAGTGAATGCCAGCCAATTTACTTGTAGCTTGAAAAGTGATGAAGGTGAGCTAGCATTGTTGAACTGCAAGATTAAATGAACGTAAGACAGAAGCTTAGAGACTAGTGTCTATAAGAAACCTTCCCATTTGAATCGATACTTAGACTTCAAATCCTCCCACCTCATCTTAGTTAAAGTAGGCTTAGTTAAGTACCTAAGTAAAAGGGTAAAACAGTTTACTGGTAGGCCAGAAAATCAGCGACAAGAAATTCGACATATTAAGGATACCTTGAGTATCAATAATTATCCATCTAAATTTATAAGTAAATTAATAAGAAATCGAAAGGAAAGTATCATCAGTAGTAGTGATAAAGGTGTTATAATAATTATTCTACTGTTAACAGTAATAATGGTCACAGGGTTGAGAGAAAATTCAAACCTTTTACTGTGTTACCGTAAAAGGAAGGCGCCTCACAAGTATCACGAAGAATCCTAAATAAGGCATTTAAAACAACTAACTCGCTTAGATACAAGCCATTGCAGGTTAAAAGATCCTATCGATGCAATTAAGCAAAATAATCTGGTTTAGTAAATCCCTTGAAATGATTGCGGGATTGTCCAATACATAGGTCAAAGTAGTCGACTAGTCCAGACCGATTAGAATAACGGAGCACAAAAACTTGCCTAAATCAAGATTAGTAGATCCTAATAAGATAATAAATTTAAAGAAAAACCCGACTATATCTCTGCACTCAATAGCACACTATCACACAGTAGGGTGGGATTTTATTATTTATATTATTAGTCCCTTGGGTTCCCAGTGGAACACAGGGCTTCAGTAGCAAGTCTCCAGTGTACTTTGTTCTCTGAGATCTTTCGAACCTGGTTCCACGACAGCCCAGAAGCTCTCATTTCCGCTTCGCACGACCTCCTCCATGTCACCCTCACCTGGGACGTCCAACTCGTCGCTTCCCATGGGGATTCCACTCGACAATCTCGCCTGACGCGTGATGTCCCCAGTCGGCCTTCTCAGTGCATGTCCAATCCATCTCCACTTCCTCCTGCATATTTGTTGGGTGATAGGTTCTTGGTTGGTTCGTTCCCAGAGCTCCTTGTATAACAGTTTGGAGAGTCCACTCCCATTCCATCTGCTTTCGCAAATCCCAAGCACTTCGATGTGATACCTTCTCATCTCCTTTGCAATCTGTGCTGCCTTACTGGGTTCAAACATCGTACGGACATCCCATGTCCCCACGTTTACTTTCGCTTCCATCGATAGGGAGAAGACACATCAGCCAATTGGCTTCCCGAAGGCTTTCACCAACTGGCGTCATTTCGCCTCTCTGATTCCAGTGAGGAATAATTTTGTTATTATTTTTTATATTTTGTTTGTGCTTTGAAGTTTCTTTAGCGGTTAGATTTGTTTTACGGGGTAGGGTTGCTAGCCCTATGCCCAACCTTCCCTCTTTACCCGGTCTTAGGACCGGCTAGTAACTAGTGAACTAGTTAACCAGGCGAGGTTTAAACATTTCTAATAAACAGACTAAAATAGAATTACAGTCTACTTCAATACTTAAATTTTATTCCTATTTTATTTTTCAGCATAAAAAGAAACTTACCACTTATGTATTAGCATGTGGAGTATTTTATGGATGTGGAGAGTACATGTTTCAACATTTATTTAAAGTAAGCAACTTTTTCAATTCTTTATGATAACATCCTACTCATTATTTATTAATTGAACAAATGAACAATCCAATTTGTTGTTTAGCTTCCAAATGTAACATACTCACACTTTTCAATGCATCCATAAGCTTACGTTTCTTTAATATAGGTGTAAGACTTGGGCACTGTCATATATTATCTAATTCCATATTAGATTTGTTTATTTGATTTATAACACATAGTAGTGATCTAGTATTATTTACTTGATGACAATGTTTCGAGCATAAATTACTACTGCTCATAATCATATCAACGTAATCACACCACTTTCAACATTTCATTTTTATTGTCCTGTCACCTGATATTGTTTGTTTTTATTGGTAGCCAAATTTTCCATATCTTTGGTATAGCTGTTGGGTCATTTCTATTACATATGTTGGCTGAGTGTTGATTCGATGAACAAAGATCCAATAATCAATCTCTCCATCTCTCTCTACCTAATTATATTGGACTTAAGTGTAGTGGTTTTATCCCACACACCCTATTGTGTGGTTATGTGTTCCTTTGTTTGGCTATTCTAACTGACCCCGATCGACTAGTTTGACCTATATACTTGACGTCACAGTTATTACATGGAATTAGACAGATGAGATTATTTTGCTTAATTGGTTCGATCCGACCCTGAAGCCAGCTCACAAAGTGTGTCTCTAAGTGAGTTTTCAGCTTTAATTGCCACCCTAATTCCAGCTGTGTTGAGGATTCTACGTAAAGTTTCTGAGGTATCCTCCTGATAGGGTAGTACAGTGGAGGCTGTGAACACCTTTCTACTCCTGTTGTCCTTATTAGTCGTACTTGTGTGACTTCTACTTTTTCATTTTTTGTGTATCCGTAAGAATTTCTGAATAAACTGTGGAGAATAATTATTAACTATCAGCCCTTCTTTCACGTGTTTCAATTCCTTGTTTAGGTCCTTGCACTGATTAGTCAGTTTTCTAGCTCTATCATTTAGACATTTGACTAAACCTACTTTCATTGACTGACATTGGATGAGATGACTTGAAATCTAGATACCTGTTGGAATGTGTTGGTTTTGTGTAGACGGTAGTACCTAGACCACCGTCTGTCCTTTGTTTTATCCTGCAATCCAACATAGGTAATTCTTCTTGTTCATCTTCTACCTCTCAAGTGAATTGCATTGCAGCTACTGCAGAGTTTATATGCATGAGGAAATTGTCAATATGTTTCGATTTCAACACAATAGTGAATGTGTCATCCACATATCCCCACCACATTTTTGGTGTAGGACTAAACGTTTCTTTGTTTTCTATGTCTTATTACTCATAAATATAAAGACACTAAAATGAAGATCAACATTATTTTGGTTATCACTTGTTGAAGTAGTATCGCTAAAGCCTTAATTTTTCATTTATACCAGTGTGTGGTAAAGATCATCTTTTTTTCAAGTTGGTATTCATCATGCACTGACATTAGTTGGAAGAACAATGGAAACCTGGGAGCATTGAACAGCAGTGCACAAACACAACCCCACCCCAGAGGTCAAACCCAGGGCCTCCATTTTCCGTGGTCACGGCGTTACCGTTGAGCCAGTGAGTCAGAATCCAATGATTTAAATAGCGCGACCATCAGACAATGTCATCGTTGAGTATTTGTCCTCAAGACCATCAGCTTTGCCCCACCAACTTCAAAAAATCAGTAAATCCCGACAAACCTTCAAATTCAAGATCATTTTATCGAAAAGATTCACGTATATGACCGGTGACTGCAGATTAACCGATTTCATCTTGTTAGCCTTAATGCTGACCCAATTCTACCGATCCTTTCGTCTCAGGCTATCTGCCAATCGCCTTCAATGATCTTACATCAGTCAAAGTGCACCACAGAATTTGGTCAGTACTGAGGACCACATCCCAAAAACTCAGTAGTGGGTTATCTGACCACAACACTAAGCGACTTTCATTTTTATACCTCACAGGGGACATCATTCCCCTTGAGATTACAGAAACTTCCTGCTAACTAAAGTGAAGAAGCATGCAGCCCAGGCCAGACAGAACCTCCTTCCAATCGCCTCCAGTCGTCTAAGACTAACTCACTGTAGGTCCCATCACCATGGAACTCAGCAGTGGGCACCCACGACCCCACCAGGGCTCGAACTCAGGACCTTTGGGTTCCGTGACTAGCATGTTACCATTGAGCTACCAGATCGGAACCCAACAGGCCATACTTCCTGGTGGGGTCATGGATGCGCATTGCTGAGGAGTCCTGTAGTGGGACGAAACAGCTGTCCAGTGCTTCCTGATTTCCAATGTTTCTCCAAGTGATGTCAGTCCATGATGTATAGAGTTAGTTTAAATCTGTGGTATAGAAACATCAAACGTTTCAACCTTCGATCCAGATTAAACAATATTTTCTTAAAATATTCTACCTTATTAAGAAGTGAGAAATTCAACTGTTCGCATAAAATTTGCTTTTATTTAGGATCAAGTTAAATGTTTGCAAAAATACACAGTCCATATTGCGTATTCACTGTATAACATCATTAAAGGCCTGAACATTTTCGATAACTTTCATCCATTTGTTCTCTTTCCTGTCATACAATTTGTTTAACCTCTATGTCATTTATTGCTGTATACCCTTAACTTTGCATAGCTTTTGTCTGATGTTTTGCCCATGACCTTAACATAACTTACATGTCCGTTTTCACACCATTGCTAGTTTTTCTTCCCTCTGCTGTCAAGACTGAACTCTCATTGGTTGTTAACCACATGTGGATTTAGTATTGTCAAGGTCATTTCGAAATGTATATATATTCAGCATCGTTGTCAACTGTATTGACTGTTGTTGAGACAGTTGGAAGCAGTGTGTCAACTGTCTATCTTCTTTTCTGATCCTTGCGCTTCGGTGGTTGATGTTCTGATTTTCGTTTGAGTCGATTCGTTGAGCATTAGATTCATATCGTTCTTAGTTGGCTAGGCTAGTATCGCTAGTAGAGTGTTGGGTCGTACTACCGTTTATAACATTTATTTGCTAACTGCTTTCTTTACATGCTTCTGTAAAGTGTATCAAGTTGAAATGATACACTTCTCTGTCAGATTCTACCTTTTATTTTACTGTCTACCTTTAGAAATGAAAATGAGTGTATTCCTAGTGTTATATTCAGTCCTTTCCAGGGGTTTTTAGCCTGTAAACGTAAATGGATAGATGAATGGAAATAAAGGTAGGAATTGGTTTACTTAGGAAGTAGCTTTAAATATAGATGTGAAAAAACATTTAAAACTTTTGGTGAACATATTGATGACAGAAGAAGTAACATAGCTACTGGTTTCGTCTGAAGCGACTTATTTGTGTAATATGTTGGAATGCATCCAGAAACTTATGAAACGATTACATATGCCAATCGAAAATAACTATCTTTCTATAGTGTCACTTTATACTCTGGTTATCTCACCGATCTTTCTAACCAGTCCTAGGACAAGCTAAGAGTGGGGATTGTTTGAGCCACACGTGTTCAAGCCACCGACATTGGTGTTCCAAGTTGACCTCACTTAAATATATAATGAAATTCCATTATGGTCAAACATACACTGACTCATCGCAGACTTACTTACAAAATATTTCCACGAGATGTGAGTAATTCTGCAAAGTCAATGGTGACTGTAAACGCAAATCCATCCAACATCTTCAGCTCGAAGAGGTCAAGTTTCACAGGTACTAATCAGAACTGTCCGTACCAACGTGTTGTGTATCCAACCGTTTGTAGCAAATTTAATGTCATGCTGATGCCACATGTGGTGCAGACTGGAGTATGACACACTCTGGGTTACATTATATAGTTGGGAATGTCAACTACTCGGGTAAAATATAACTTTTTGACAACATCTAATTGTTCACGAAAAAGGCTGACTGCCGATAAAATCTCCTGTCGGTCCTATGGAAGTACTCTGCTGTTTAATGGAGTAAAAGACACACTATAGTTACAGACACTGATCATTAACAGATTCAGGGAGTCACAGTAAAACGATATCATTCTCATATTCAAGGTTATATACTTATGTCTGCTTATAGTTTGTACACCTTACTTATTGGCTTGAAACGATTTTCACATAGTTACAGTAATAGATTTATATTAGCTGCCTATTTATTCTTATTTTTAGGCAATCAGACAATCAGATTTTACTCTCCCTTTTCAATCTTTTGTAAGCAAGTGTACAGTTAATTTCTTTGAAGCCGAAACAGTATGAGGAAGTGTAGACGACGATATTTGCGTTCACGTGACAATAATAATAATAATAATAATAATAATAATAATAATAGTAATCGCTTTATTCTAAACAAGATGTATGACAGTGTAGAATTCTCAGCATATAATTTTTCAACAGAATCGCTCCCAGAATAATATTTCTAGACGAAATGGTTATTGCATCTGCATAACCTTAATTATAACAGTATTCCAGGCAAGCTTCAAGAGGTGACTACCGAAGTTCCAATCAGAAGTTGTGACCAGTGGAGTCAACCAGGACAGTTACTCAACGACAATATTGGATATAGTTTTTGTGACCTCGTAAAATTGACAGAATTAAGAAGTGTGGACCACTGGACTGTGACCCAGTAGCTCAAAGGTAATGTGCTGACCATGGAACCAGAAGGTGGTGGGTTCGACCCCTGGTGAGGCGGCGTCGTGAGTGTGCACTGCTGAGGAGTCTCATACTGAGATGAAATAGCTGTCCAGTGCTGTTTGACAGTTGTTGAACTCGGGATTAACGGATGAGTCACAAATAACGAATATCTCATTCATGTAACGTTTATGCATGTCAGAATGGTTAATAATCTGGCTAAGATTAGAATTTTCTACTTTTGACATTTTTGGTTTTTCAACTTTCCCTTCTTTGTCAGATTAATGGTTGTATTCTTATATCGCCATTATCACTCTTGTTTCTGACATTGAATAGTTTCCGGTTTACTTCATTTGATCCTCCTAATAATCGCCGTTCCAGTTAAACTGTTATCTCATTCGTATCATCTAATCATCTGATAATAATAATAATAGTATAATACAAGCAATAATACTAAAACTATACCCGTCACACAAGAAGTGGCTATTGTGGCTCGGTGGTCTGATGGATAGCGACCTGGCGTTTGAAGCGATCGCTCCCGAGTTTGAATTCTGGTGGGAACAACATCATTTACTGCGAGGCCGGTATATCCAGCTGATAAATCCTCAAATAGGAGGAAATGCACATCCTCAATTCCACTACTAGCCACTATCCATCATTAATACAATTAGAACACAGAAAATATGGAGACATCTGCACAGGAGTCCATATGCCAATAGAGATCGTTCAATTCGGTCGAATCAGCAAGGGCATAATACAAGTAGTAACATTAGTTGTCCGATTGTTTATTGAACCTACCACGTTTCCACCTCCATGTAATCTACATCCACCTGATAAACAATTTAAAAATCTTATGCAACCCCTTTCTATTATCATTCAACCTTTACATCATCAACTAGCAACATTATTGCAATTATAAGCAACATTTATTATTATTTCGGCCTTCTATTATTTGAGTTGAATCTTCCTCATGGATCGCAATCTGTAAATATACATACATATGTAGTGGGTGATGATTGAAGTTGGAATGGAAATTTAGAGTGTAACCTGTTTCGAATTAGTGACCACTGGGTTTACGGTCCGATGCTTTAGCAACTAAGCATCGAATTCCGGTTGCTGATCAGATTTATATTTCATTTGAATGACCAAAAGTTTCGCCGAGACTACCATGCGAATTTGTGACGCGTTACTACCGCTTGATGTATATATATATATATATATATATATATATATATATATATACATATATATATATATATATATATATATATATATATATGTTTACCTTGATAATAAATTCGTTGTAGAGAGTCCTCTTCAATGATTATCTTGGTTTTTATGTTACAATGTGAATTATAAATGTATTGATTAAATTTTTATAACACTTTATGCATGTAAGAAAATATCAGTAGGGTAATTCCATAGTTGATGGTTACGCCTTAGTGGATCAAATTTCATTAAGAACGGCAGAAGTATGTATACCCAGTCGAGAAGTACCGGGTAAGACCATGTGTGTGTTCAGAAACACCAAGAAAGAGAGTCTTCATGCATTTTTCTTTGATAGTAATGATCCTTCGTTTTAGAAACTATTACCATGTTAGGAATTGTTTGGCACTTATAATCTTCTGTTGCTATACAAGATCAAATTGTTCAACCTATGTTGGTGGTTGGGATTTTATGTGCAGGTCTTGATACTGCCAGATATTCATGATGTTCATGATGATGGTGTACATGCACCCTGGTGATTTATGTTGTTCCCTCTGAGCTTCGAAGCCAACAACTGTCACTTCGAACGCCAGAGTATTATTCACTACGGCATTATGGCAGAAGAGCCACCTTTTATGGGATGGGTATCGCTTACTGTTTGATATTTGTAATTTTTCATTGCTGGTCACCAAGATGAATAGTTTTCATGATCATTAGGGATTGGTTACAGAGGTATTGATAAATGGGAGGCTTTTGAAGGTTGATCTGTAATATTTCTAGGCATCTATGTTGTCAGTCAACCTCCATTCTCACCACTGACTTCAGTGACTCCAAAGATCATAAAATCTAGTCGGATCATTGAGAAATCTATCTGAAAACCAATCTGCAATGATGGCTGACAAACCATTCGATCGAATGGTTTGTGAGCAGCTTGACCATAAACCAAGGGCTACATGATAATAGACCTATTATAAATCTTTAAATTGAAGGAATTGATCCTATATAGAATCTTGCGTCTTTGTTTCTGATAGCTTCTCAGCTAGAAGGAGACAGCACTCCAATAGTGGGGAATATTTGTAGCTCAGGTGGATGGTCTTGGTCTCAGAGAACACAATACAACCAAGATAACACTCCAATGGTCTACGGTTCTGAATCCATACCTTAGCTAATTCCTTAACGAGTTGAATCATCATTTTCTAAGTCTAACTTACCGACTTATTCAATATACGTCGACTGACTGTGATAACAGCCGCAGTTTGGCATACTAGTATATCGGACGGTGGCCGAATTCGGACCTGCGACCGTCGGGTTTCCGGCCAGATGCTCTACCAAATGAGCTACGATTTTCAACTGCTTACCAGATTTTTATTTCCATTCAATCACTACAATCAGTAGTCAGGCAGAATTCATACTGATTGAAGTGAGATAAAAATGTAGCCAGAAGTCGGACTTCAGTGCTCAGTTGGTGGAGCATCTGACCGGAAACCCGTGCGTCACTGGTTCGAACCCGGAAGCTGTCCAAATTTGAATTTTACCTTCAATCATCACCCAGTAGAAGTAATATCACAAACCAAATGTTGTGAATTCGCAACTCTACTTTATCAGTTATGGATGAATTATCAACAACGCAATGGAGCATAATGCTACTGAATGTTTCCTTTGATATACTCAATATGCTCTATGATTTCCTTGTATATAGTTAGACCCAGTGACATCTGGTGATCCTTGAGACTTCAGTTAAGCAGATGAAATGTTGCGCAATCTTAAATAAATATTCTCAAATTTTATTTATGGAAATGGATACCACGTATCTTTTGTGTCCATCTGTGTCGTAATGTATATCGTCACATGGTTTCTCTTTTTCATATTGTTAGACGAATAAAAATGCTTTCTCCGGTTTTTTTAGAAAGCTTGGTTAACACAAAATGAATTACCAATTTATCTGATTGGGGAAAATATATTACCAACTGTGCATATATTAGACTTGGCAAGGTAAAACTGTCATATTCCATTGATAATTTTTATAAATAATTTTTATCTACTTGTAAGTAGACTAAGTCTACTTAAAAAATTATCACAGGTGTACAAGATTTGGACAAATATCAGCGTACAAAACTTTGGAATTTCTTATTTCAGACACTCTTAGATTTTTCCAGGTACAACTTATTTATAATGCCATTTTTTACTCAACGCCAAATACTTGTGAAACTATCTGATTGAATCTTGACCAGGATCCCCATAAATTATCATAGGTGATTCACAGAAAGGGCTCATTTCATAGTGATAATCTTTAGAGAAAATAGCAGTCTACAAATGAGATTTTTGTTGCAAAATTAATCCTTTTCAAGGAATGAACCAGGTTAACCTCTTCACTTGTTTGGGGAGTTATAGGAGATGTGACAGGTTATTCTTCGTCAAAGTTTCAACATGGTTACGGAGAAATAGTCTATTTCTTCTGACATGAGTTGTTGTTCACGTGAGATATCCGATTGACAGTCACAAAATGAGTGCGAAGTATAACCACTATAGATGAATCAACTGGTAAATTTGCCTTCAAAGCTTTAGTTCCATACAGCGAAGCCAAAAGTAATGAGCACTTTGAATGTCGCGCTTACAGTTTTAAGCGAGAAAAGTAAACTGTGGATAAAGTTGTAAATCTGAAACAAAATGTGATGCCGAGGGATATATTACGAATGCAAATTTATTGTCCACCGCAAAGAGTAGTGTTCACTAAAGTGGGATGAAACCGGAAGAAAATACGATTGTTCGAAACAACACTAAGCAATAATTTGTTTGTTTGCTTGTTGGTTTGATTCATTTAAGGAAGTGGCTTTTCCTTCAAGTCGGTTTTGGAAATGTTAGTTAGAAATAGTTCAAAAGTTTAGATGATGCCTCGCTGGAGCTGGTGTATGCAAATCGTAATTTATCCCTTCTCTGTCATACTAAACCGTTTATGTGTATTGTGATGTGCCAGTTTTTTCTTGGTGGAACATGGTTACCGCTTCTTTAGTTCAAGAAGTTGCGTCGGCCCGTCAAACCGGTCGGTTGTTGACGAAGTCTCAGCTCGAGTACAGAAGTCCCACTTGGCAATTGCTAACATGCGTCATCTCTAGCGTCGACTGGTAAGATATCTGACTTTCTGTTAAACGAGTGTACTGCACTACTTCAGTTCCTTCTCTCTTGTTATGTATTCGTGACACATTATCGTCAAAAGTAGACGACATAAAACAATTACAGGGTTTTTATCACACATGTCATTGTGGCATTGATCACGCTTAGTGGAACCATAGGTGTAGGGTAATAGACAAGACAAGCGATTCGAGTGATAAGGTAGTGAACCTTAGTCAACTGAGATGGCTCGGATATTTACTGCACACCAAGCCACCGCGTACTTCAACGGACTATACCAGGGCAAGTTGGATTTTGATGGAGGAGGGTTTAAGGTAACGAGACTAGAGTAGACTTAGCACCAGTCGATGAAGTCACTAGCTGTTGGTTTGGGTAGTGTGAAGAGATGTAGACTGTCTGTTTGGGATAGCTGAGACGATAGAAATCAGTGGTTGAGGACTCTTGGTGATATGGCTGAAAATCGGACACAGTGGTTCAGATGTATTCACTCCTCAACATCTGAAGCTTGAATATTTGCACTAACAGTCATCTTCAGATTATTTATTCTTTCACGCAACTTTGTCTACTTGACATCCCTCTTTTTGCATCCAATTGTTCTTTATGTACTTCTATGAAGTGTGGGAATTTGAACCGATGCACCTGTGTGTAAGATTATACATAGATTTTGTCAGTAAGCTGCGCTTTAGACATTGCACCCAGTTCAAATTCTTATCCATAATAAGCCAATATTAAGATCATCAGGACAACCGATTTCAGCAAATTCAAGATATAATACTACTGTATCAAAGTGGTATCATTCTTAACGTGACGGACACGGTTCTGTATTATTTGACGAAATTGGTACCAAATCTAGTCAATGATAAGTATCTAAATATTCGACTGTTCGTGGTGTTTTCCACTTGGATCGTGAAGTGATTGTTCCTTAGTCAAACATATGGAATCAACGTAGAACCACGGTAATACACAAAGAACAGGTGGATCGAAATAGATTGGGTCTGAAGATAAAGGTTGGTGTGAATATTCAACCTTTAGAAGACATTAAGTAGTGAATACGTCTATGCCACTATTACTGATTTTCTGTCATTTCACCGAGAGTTTTCAACCACTGATTCTCGTCGTTTTACGGACCCCAACTAGGTAGTCTACGTCACCCCCATACAACTCAGACCAATAACCACGGACTTCATTGACTGTTACCAAGTGCTGATTTGCCCACCCTGAACCCTTTTCCAACCTAATCCAACTTTCTCTACCACGGCACATTGAAGTAGGCGGTTACTTGTCATGTAGAAGCCACTTCAGGCAATGAAGACTCACCACTTTATCGATTGACTTGTCTGTCTTGCTTAATACCTTTCACCTGACCTCAACATTTCTCACGGTATAATTCCACCAAACGGGCGAAAATTATTATTATTATTTCCAAACTCACGATTCATTACTTCGGGATGGCTCAGAGAGAAAAAGCATTGTAAGTGGTAATGGGTATGTTTCTTGTAGTCTTGAAATGAGGCCGTCCAACGAGTCCAACTAACAGTCCCAGGAGACAATATACTTGTCTGATTGCTTAAAGTCACAAGGTAACAATAATCAATGAAAACACCTCTATATATGACCTAACCAGACATTAAAATCATACCCGCATTACGTAACTGCTTAAACAGTGACAACTCGTTACATTGTCATTTCAAGGTTGTATAAATTATGGACTAACATCATTTTGAGAACCACAGAAAACTTGGGATCAGTGGACAACGGTTTCGTCCTAATAAGGGACTCTTCACTAGTGGTAACTTATGACCCCGTCAATGATTGGATCTTGGACTTTCAGGTTTCGCAATGAGCACGTTACCACTGAACCAATGGGTCGAAGTCCAGTCGTCCACATTTTACTACCTATGCCACCTTCATCTAATGCAACAGTTGAGTAATTGTCCTCAAGGCCAATTTTATTTGCCTGATAGATCACGACTTTTCGTAATAACTTCAGAAAATGCTCAACTAAAAATGATATCACTAATGAACACTGGACGTATTACAATTCAGGGATTTTTGGGTACTTTATTATTATTTCAGAGTAGCATTCATAACTTCCACCATGATACCTGTCCGGGTGATAGGTGTACACAGCTGCACGGTTGTAAAACGGTTCGTATAATACCCATTTCATTGTAATAGTTTATCGCTGGACTATATGTGGTCCAAGGCAGATGAGTGTCCCAAAAGAAAGCAGGGGTATTCCATCTACTTTTCTGGACATGGAGCTCTGATTTCATCATCTTAGTTGCAATAGCTCCACCTCTTCGTAGAAAACTAAATTATACCGTCCATGGTAGTTGGTAAGACACCTTTACATCATTGAGAAGGCGAGTTTCGTGTCAACAACATTGACTAATGTCGATTGAATGTACCTGAAGGCAGCTAATAACCTTCTTCGTATAATTTTGAAATAATGAGGAATATTTGTAGCTCAGGTGGATGGTTTTCGTTGCATTGTGTTCTCTTGCTAGACAGGGACATCATCAAAATTAACTTCATGCTGAAGTTAGTGCTGATGATGTCGTCTAGAAGGACGATGAAAGCTTCAAGATTAGACAACCCAGCTCAGAGAACACAACACAACCAAGAATAAACTTCTTCATTTCCCGTTTCGTCAACTACGCGGCCAAATGTTTTTTCATATATTATAACAAAGGCCTAATAGTTTGTCTAAGAAAACTAATTTCACACGAAGCAATTGAGTTTATAGATACATACTGATGTGAATATAGTCAGCTCCTCATCTATTCCTGATAATAAGGCACACCTAGTAGTGAAATTCATTTTCATTGTGGTTGCTGAAAACATCTTTAGTGATTCCTGAAGTCTACTTGTAAGAAATTCACCTAGACTATTTACCTTGAGTTGAAGGCTCGGAAATACTCCATTTTTTCTAAGTACGGTTATCCACTTTCTCAAAACACCTTCAGTAGGTTATCCTGACCTTCTTCACTCGAGATATATGGGGTCTATTCTTCTCTTTCTGTTCGGTAGACATCTTATCACACCTCACTTCTCTCGTATTCTTCTTTTATCTTGAATCCTATGTAGTTCAGTTATAAACTACCACAATAAGATACATAAAACATGGACTGTTTTATGGGTGTGCAGGCATGTGTGTTTAATCTTTACAGATCTATATCTCCAACGTCTTATAATAATTTAAGCGTGTTGATAAGTTTCCGTTTTCTGGGAATATTCAGCAATTATCGTAACACTTTTAATCTCCGTAGACTCACTTACTGTCATAACACGGACTGATAATTTCCTATGTGATAATCCATTTTATCCCAAATTACTGAATAACTTGTAAAAGAAGCTCAACTGGCAGATAATTTCAGTCTGAAAATAGGTTAATTAGATGTTCATTTAATTGTCTTTCATCAATCTGTGTAATCACCTATTTGTGTGAATGTTTCGTCGGTGATAGTATCGTTTTTTCAAGGTTGACTTTGTGATAAATACTTATTCGGTCGAATTTTCTTTTTCCATGCGTTTCCATACATATTGAAACAAATAGTCAGTAACTTTAAGAATTATTATCTTATTCAGACACTGCTAAGTTCGCTTCTATCTGCTAGGTAAGCTGCTTGGAAGGAAATTATTGATTTGACAAATTAACGAGCATACAAAATGAACTTACTTTTTGAACAATACCACCAATACTAGAGACAACATTAAGACTGTACCCGTCGTATAAGAAGGGGCTATCGTAACTCGTTGATCAAGTGGATAACGCCATATCGTTTGACGCGATGGATCCCAGGTTCGTATACTATTAGGGACAACACTGTTCACTGGGAGGTTGGTACATCCAGATGACGAGTCCTAAATAGAACGTAACACGCATCCTGGATTCCAATGCTAGTTAGTTTTTCTGTCCCTTGGGTTCCCAGTTGAACATAAGGCTTCAGTAGTATGTCACCATTTCACTGTCTTCTCTGGAGTGTTTTCAATCTGTCTCCACGACTGCCCATAACCTTTCATTCCTTCCTTACACAATCTCCCCCATCTCACCCTCAGCTGGGACGCCCAACTCATCGTTTCCCATTTGGGCTCCACTCGAGGGCTGGCCTGGCATGTGATATCCCCAAACGGTCTTCTCAATGTATGTCCAATCCAATCCGACTCATCTCCACTTTCTTCTGCACATCTGTTTGATGATAGGTTGTTGGTTGGTTCACTGCCAGCCAGCCACAGTTCCTCCTTGCTTATTCTCATTATTCTGGTCATCTGATCTTCAGTGTCAGTATCAGATGAGCGTAGGCTGCAGCTGTTGACGTGACGTAACCCACCAAGTCTCTCAACCATCACAGAGAAACACTGACTTGACTGATATTAGTGTTGGAAATCCGGATCTTGTTCACGCTTTATGCTGAGTGGAGTGGAGTACAGTGCAGTAGATCTTCACTGTAATTTCAAATTAATGAAGGCTTGTCTTGCTATCTTTCCGGCCCTGGCTCTGACATCATGATCTGTGCCGACGCCTGTAGTTGAAACGATGCTGGCTAGGTAGGTAGGTAGATAGATAGATAGGTAGGTAGGTAGGTGTGCAGGTAGGTAGATAGGTAGGTAGGTAGGTAGGTAGGTGTGCAGGTAGGTAGGTAGGTAGGTAGGTAGGTAGGTAGGTAGGTAGGTAGGTAGGTAGGCAGGCAGGTAGGTAGGTAGGTAGGTAGGTAGGTAGGTAGGTAGGTAGGCAGGCAGGTAGGTAGGTAGGTAGGTAGGTAGGTAGGTAGGTAGGTAGGTAGGTAGGTAGGTAGGTAGGTAGGTAGGTAGGTAGGTAGGTAGGTAGGTAGGTAGGTAGGTAGGTAGGTAGGTAGGTAGGTAGGTAGGTAGGTAGGTAGGTAGGTAGGTAGGTAGGTAGGTAGGTAGGTAGGTAGGTAGGTAGGTAGGTAGGTAGGTAGGTAGGTAGGTAGGTAGGTAGGTAGGTAGGTAGGTAGGTAGGTAGGTAGGTAGGTAGGTAGGTAGGTAGGTAGGTAGGTAGGTAGGTAGGTAGGTAGGTAGGTAGGTAGGTAGGTAGGTAGGTAGGTAGGTAGGTAGGTAGGTAGGTAGGTAGGTAGGTAGGTAGGTAGGTAGGTAGGTAGGTAGGTAGGTAGGTAGGTAGGTAGGTAGGTAGGTAGGTAGGTAGGTAGGTAGGTAGGTAGGTAGGTAGGTAGGTAGGTAGGTAGGTAGGTAGGTAGGTAGGTAGGTAGGTAGGTAGGTAGGTAGGTAGGTAGGTAGGTAGGTAGGTAGGTGGGTGAACGAGACAACTTCCTCACCTGGATTTCTCCGGTTGATGGTAGTTGGTGCTTGTTATTGTTTTTGTTGTTGGTTGGGTATCTTCATCAGCTCTGTCTTCTCTATGTTGACCTGAAGGAAGTATCGTTTTTGATTCGTCACCTCTTCTACCAACTTGTTAATTTTCGCTCGTAGATCTTTGGGTTTGTGCTACATTAGACATAAATCGCAGCCGGGGGAATCCAAATCTTCTTTTGGGGTCTTTTCATCAGTCAGATACCGTATGCCCCTTTTCTCTCTCCTCACAGTTGTCTGTTGCATAATCCAGTCTACCAAGATCAGAAACATGATCGGTGGTAGTAGGTCGCAACCTTGTCTTCCTTCTGTCTTAACTTCGCTTCAGAGGCATCACTGAGCTTTCCATTGTGAATCACTCGGCATGTAGCATCATAGAGCATATCATATAGCTATTGAATAAGGTTGATAAAGGTTTATGTCACTAGAACCGTAGTGTTGAAGCAGCTAACAAATTACTTCATTGCTAGCCTTATCTATCAATAAAGTAAAACTGGTTAGCAATAGTTAATAATATACTAATGAGACGACAAGTTAATATAGAAGTGAAAATAAATGTCCTTAAGCAGATTGGCGTTTTGAATTGATTATTCGCAGATAACTGTTCTGAAGTAAGTAAACAGTAGAACTCTATGAATTGCATGATTGTTGTGAAACTGTAAAGTTATCTGATACAATTTCCTACGTTTGGATTCAACAATGATAATTGGTCAGTTATAGACAGATTACGTTCATCTTGCTTCTGTTTTGTTTATTTTTTTTTAGAGTAATTCAGTGTATCATTGATAATCCACCCAGACAACGTTATATAGTTGTACGGGATGATAGTCAATTTACCTTGTCAGAGATTGTAAAAGTGAGTGATTATTACAAAAGAAACTACCCGTACGTTACATTTTCTTACCAAACGACCATTTTGGCTTCCATTGAGGCGGTAGGTACTAAATGACATGCTGACATGTTGACGAAGGATGCATATAAGTATCATAACTAAAATAATAATAATAATTACAACCTTCAGCCAAAGGAGGTGCTTCTGTTGTAGAGAACCGACGAATCAATTACAAGAAAGATTTCACATGATCTAGTTAAGCAATCTATAAATAGTGTACAATCAAAAGGACCAGCCAGGCAAATGTTAGAGACTATTCTTTGCACAAATCAATGGAGAGATAGAAATAGCCAGTTAGAATGAAAGTTATGGGTTGAAAAAGGGTAGACAGGTTGAAGGAAGAGAAAAAGCTCAAAAGAGTGTAAAGAAATAGTCAATAGAACAGAAGTGAATGAGTGGATTGTAGAGTTGCGTTACAAATAATAACGTGTTGGAGCGTGAAAGTTGGCGCGAAGAGGATAGACAGTTACAAGCTTCAGTAAAAGTCAAAGGATATTCTTTCTGTATTTACTCTTTCGTTATAACATGAGATGAAATAAGAACGATATGTCTTCGTCTTCTTCTTTTTAGATTTTCTAATAAACAGATTTAAGTGAAACATAAATCACTGGTAAGTTGTTAGAAATAATTATACCTCGCAACAATATCTGAGGATTAACAGTCAGCAAAGTGGATTTGACAAAAAGTAGAGTTGGGACAGATAGGCGCAGGGAATATAAAGGGCTGACGATGGTGAGATTATAATAAAGTCAATATAACCAAAGAACTTGAGAATGACCTTCAACGGCCAATAGTAATGCAAGCTCATGGGGAAGGTAGTTGGTAGAATGGAATATGTATTATTATTTGTTAACATGCTTGAAATTCTCCATTGTTTTACTCCATCGAATTGTTCCACCTCCATTGACATATCCGCTCCTATGCACATGCCTCAACACTGACCGAATGTTAATTATCATCATTTGCCTGGTTACGACCAGCAGAAGAATACAAGAAGCACGTCTCGTCTTATTTCAGACTCGTCAGTTCCATGTACCTCCATCCCACTACACAGTGATGTTCTTCCCAATGAGACTCGTGCCTCATACCCATCGATTCAGAAACACCAAAGCGTTATCCACTATGTAACGTAGACACGATATCCATCTTTTGTACAATAGGTGTTTATCACTACTATTTATTGATGTGCTTGTAATTCTGACGAGTTGCATACAGGACGAAATGCTTATCCTGGATTCTTCTGCTAGCCACAACCAAATGAAATTTTTATGACAGTAATATTAATAATTAATCGCTAATTATACAAGGTGATTATAAATCATCCTCTTTTTTTCAACTTTGACGGGAAAGCTTCGAATGAATTTTTATGGGTTTCATTGAAAGGAACAGTGTTTTACCATACCTGAAAGTGCATGAGAATACTTAACTATAACTTTTTATGGGGCTCGATGGGATTTTAACGCTACATGACACAATGTTTTCTCTCCTATGGGATCGTGATTTATTCAATACTGGCCACTGTGAACAAAGTAGGGATACGGTGCTCATCGGTGGCAGCCTATTTATCAGTCAAAATGCAATTTAACTGGGTGCTTAAGAAAGTACTCACGTCTAGTGGTTATTGGTACTTTATTGTTGCTTCACCTTCAAGATTTAGAAGGATTTGAAGAGTGGAGATATCTGCCCTGTTTTGAGTGTCTTTGAGTTGTTTCACTTAGGGTTACCAACCACTGGTTCATAAAATCTCGTACAACTAACCCCCAGTAAACACCTGAAAGGTTTCTTCAAATTCTCTGTGGACTAATCACGTGTCTTGGCGTGATCATTCTGAAGGAAGTATTTAGTCACAGCGTTTCTATCCTACCCGTCTCATTCGCTGCAACTTTACAGTTTTGTTACCGATTGAGAAGACCACCTGAGGCAACCTCGTTAGGGCGCACAGAGAGTTGTCGTCAGGATTGACGATGACAGGGGGTGTCCGCTGGGGTTACTTTCTGTTGCTTTTCCCATCTAACTTCGTTAAAGATGTACTAATGGAAAAGACTTCCAGTAAGTCTGACTTCACAGGGATAAGCTGATTCCCTGGAGGTTGTCTGCTTGGCTTGGAGCATGAAGATGACATCGTTCTGCCAGATGTTAACAAATACAGGGTCTTCTGAACCCGTTTACTTGGGGAGTTGTATCAGCCCATCAAAAAGGCTGGTCACTAACGAAATCTCGGGTTGGATATAGAGAGTCCGTTTGGCATTCGCCAACTTGTCTCACCTGTCGCACCGACTATTGAGATAACCGATTATTTATCAAAGGATGAGTATAACATGCTACGATCTGTTCTGTATTGTTGTACAGCTGTGAGATATTGATGCTGAAAGTAGTAGATGTGGGGCGTTTACAGGTTTTTAGGTAAAAGTATCTTCGTATCACTACTTACCTACTGTGAAATCACTAAATTAGTAATGTTGAGGTCAGACGAAGAATATTAGACAAGGCAGACAAGTCAGTAGATGAGTTTGTAAGCCTCAGACGACTGAGATGGCTTGGATACATATTGTGCATGCCGAGACACGGCCCACCTCGAAGTACTATGGTAAAGGAACTTGGATTAGGTTGGAAGACAGATCAGTATGGCCAGACTAAGAAGTGATATCAGTCAATAAAGAATGAAATAGATTGTTAAAAACTCTTAATAAAATGACTGTAAATCGGTCACAATGGCTTAGATGTATTCATTCTTTGATGTCACGGAAAACATTTCCAACTAACTACAGATATTCATCAACAGCTGCGCCTACACTTGCTCGATACTGAAGATCAGATGACCAGAAAGAATAAGCGAAAAGGAACTATGACTGGCAACGCACTAACCAAGAACCTATCGCTCAACAAATATGCAGAATTAAGTGGAGCTGCATTGGGCATACATTGAGAAGGCCGACTGGGGACATCATGTGCCAGGCCAGAAGCTTGAGTGGAACCCAGATGGGAAGTGATGAGCTGGGCGTCCTAGGTGAGGGTGACATGGAGGATATTGTGTGAGGAAGAAATGAGAGCTTTGATATTTCAGGGTTGTAAGCAGTTGACAGGATGCTACTGAAATAAAATAGATCCGTTTTATCCTACCCCTTCTACCCCCCCCACCTTCCCATTGTTGTTTTTACTCTTTCAACTTATTTTTGTATCTAAACGTCAAGTGACACGTTAGTTAGTTAGTTTAGGTCAATATCTACTAACAAATGGACTCGTTTGAAGATGATTCAATACTGTCTGATAAGTAATCATTATATTACTGTTTACTTGGTGATTATTTATCTAATTAGTTAACTAGTTTTTGATAGGAATGTTTTTTTTGAGATTTTGTCAAACGTTTCGATGTCACGGTAGTCACGAGACTCAGTGCGTTATTATCACATAAAGTTTAAAGTGTTTAGGCTATTGATTGTATGATCGTTTCAAAGAACTAGTAAAAAAAACAGTTTGTTTGCTTGAAAGGTATACTTTCATATGAAACGAGAGATAATGAACTTATTTTGTAAATTTTAAGTTCACCATATAATTGAATTTTATTTACAGTCTATATCGTTGGCTTTATCGAATGGCGCTACAAAGATATACACAAAGGAAGATATGGAGTTAAAAGGAATACCGGTAAGTATATAGCGCATATAGTCGATTTTATGCATACTGACATATTGATGTATAGATAATAATTCTGCTTAACATTTTCTACATAGTAGTATTTGAGACAATCTGTGATATAGCTGTTTGGTTGTGGCTAGCACAGGAATCCAGAACGCTCATTTCTTCCTGTTTGGGACTCGTCAGCCGAATGTATATATACCACAATGAGTGATGTTGTTCTCACTGACACTGTAACCTCATACCCATCGATTTAGAAACGCTGGAGTGTCATCCCTTAGGACAATGTGAAACGATAGCCACCTCTTGTGCAATAGGTGTTAGCTATTACTACTAATCTATTGCTTTACTGGATCGAATTGTTCTACCTGTGTTGGCATGTGGGCTCCTATGCAGAGGCCTCGATATTGCCTTAATGTTAATTTGGTTGGTTGTGGTTAGCAGAAGAATCCAGGATAAGCATTTCGTCCTGTATGCAACTCGTCAGAATTACAAGCACATCAATAAATAGTAGTGATAAACACCTATTGTACAAAAGATGGATATCGTGTCTACGTTACATAGTGGATAACGCTTTGGTGTTTCTGAATCGATGGGTATGAGGCACGAGTCTCATTGGAAGAACATCACTGTGTAGTGGGATGGAGGTACATGGAACTGACGAGTCTGAAATAAGACGAGACGTGCTTCTTGTATTCTTCTGCTGGTCGTAACCAGGCAAATGATGATAATTAACATTCGGTCAGTGTTGAGGCATGTGCATAGGAGCGGATATGTCAATGGAGGTGGAACAATTCGATGGAGTAAAACAATGGAGAATTTCAAGCATGTCAATAAATAGTAATAATCTGAAAACTGTTGTAATTAACTGCCTGATTATCTTCGTAATCTAACGGCTGTATGGGTATCTCGTCTAATCCAAATGATCTTGATTTTGTCAGCTCGATAGGTGACTGGAAAACATAGTAGAGGCGATTGAGTTGTTTGCATACTGTAGTGGAAGCAACAGGTATTGTGTTGTTGGAATCGTTATGAATGGTGTAACTTGATGTTTTGAAACTTTGCTGACAACATCATATTTGAGTGATTCTGTAAGTATTCTTACGTAGTCTACATGAAGAAAGCTTCCTGTATGTTTCTGAATTCAGTGTCCTTATATTTACGACCTCAGGAATCACTGTAAAGTATTTGACTGTGAGGTCAGGTATATAGGTCAAACTATCCTATCGGCGTCAGTCAGGTTAGCAGAACATAGGAACCTAGCTAAGTCTAGACTGATGCACCCTGGATAGAAGAGTGATTTAGACAATAATTCAGCTATAACTAGCATGATACAACACTGAAATGGAATTACAACCTCAAAGGCTAATGTATGTAGTTAGGTGGGGAGAAAAGCGGATTATTGTATCTCAAATGATTGATTTAACGCCTAGCATCTTTTAGTAGGAACCATTCAACACTAATTCTAGATGTATGGAAAATCCCATTATTAATCAAATCGAAGAATGAAACACACCAGAAGTATAAATAACTAAGAAAGTTGAGTGATTATCTTGATATAAAGATGCATGAAAAATTGGGCCTAAAATATCGTCTTGGGAATAATGTTGTGTTACTGTCTACTATATTAAATAGACTTACCTAATATGGAATTGAATTTCGGGGTTTGTGGTGATTTTTCAAGATGGTATTCGTCATGGACTAACATCAATTAGAGAAGCATTGGAAACCTAGGAGCATTGCTGTTTCGTCCCAGTATGGGACTCCTCAGCAGTGCGCACCTATAACCCTGCCCCACCGGGGATCGGACCCAGGGTCTTCAGGTTCTGTGGCTAGCTCGTTACCAATGGCCCGCTGGGTTAAAATCAAGTCGTCCATATTTCCAAATTCTGTCATTTGATGGCACAGTGCGACCTTCACCCAATGTTATCGCTGAGTATTTGTCCTCACGGCTACTACGTTTGCCCCACGTTTCACAACTCCTTATTGGAACTTCAGGAATCGTCTCTCGAAGCTAATCATCAATGAGTACTAGGTCAGTTGAATTTGGGGTCATGCATGCGCACTGATGAAGAGTCTCACCTTAGTGCGAAACATCCTTCCAGTGTTCCCAGGTTTCCAATGCTCCTCCAACTCATGTCATTCCATGACGAATACCAACTTGATATTATGGAACTACATTTCTATCACAGTCCACGTATTTTATACCCAAACATATGAAGTTATTATTTCTTCATGAATCTGATGAAGGTCTTCGGGGTATCAGTTGTGACTTGAATAGATCACTGGTAAAATGAATTCGAATGTCCTAGGAAATATATGTTTCCTGTAAACTGAAGATACTCTTTGTGTCAAGAAACCCAAACTTAGGCTCAAGGCTTTCTGTTATCCGACCCATTAAATGTAACACCGAAATAGAAGTGAATACATCTTTGCTATTTTGATTAACTTCAAGCCATTTCAACGTAAGTCTACAACCATAGGTTTTTGTGGCCTCATATAACCTCAAAAGGGTCATTTACATTGAACAGATCAATAGTCAGCGACTACAAGAATTTGTACTGTATTGATTTAACTACTATTAACCTTCTGCAAACTTATTTTACTTTAGTTAACATAGCTGGTTGTTTAAGATGATTGTTAGTTATACGTAGCACATTTCCTAGTCAATTGTGTTTCTTTCTTGATATAAATCAATCTGAACTACACCATAACTGATCAGTTATTTATCAAACATTCTATCTATACTTTTATGGCCCTCCATTACCGGAAATCTTTAATTTTCTCAAATCTGCCAACCTGAATAATCCTGCCATGAGACTTTAGAGCACTTCACCTGAAATCACCTAACATAACTGACAATCAGCTGTTCATAATTCATGAAATTTCAAACCCATCAAAAACTAATCATACTTTGCTCTTTTCAACATTATGAACTTCAGTATGTGATATTTTGTTAAACCTCAAGAAGGATAATACATTTTCTTCCTGATTCTGAAGTAGTATGAGTGGTAGGAGTTGAGACTTTAAAGTTGAACCAGACGATATAAATTTTCGCTATTTTATACAATCATCGCTACAACAAACAATGATATACTGTGAGGTGAAGGATGTTTCCAACTAAGGTAATTTCAGTTCACCTATTACATCATCATAGAAAAGAGCATAGAATAGCAGTCAACTTTCTACCTCAACTTCATCGAATTTGAAAAGGCCTTTGACAGTGTCAACCGACAAGTAATTTGCCAAATGCTTCAACATTTCGGAATACCACAAATCCTTATCAACCTCATTCAACAACTATATGAAGACGCCACATACCAAGTAATTCACAATGGAAAGCTCGGTGATGCCTTTTCACTGAAGACAGGAGCAAGACAAGGCTGTCTACTATCACCCATGATATTACTGATTGTAGTGGATGGGACTGGATGATGCAACAAACTGTGAGGTGAGAGAAGATGAGCATACGTTGGACCGCGGAAAACAACCCAGGAGATTTAGATTTCTCCGATAACTTGTGTCTAATGTCATACAAACTCGAAGATCTACAGGCATAAACTAACAAGTTGACAGAAGAGACAGGGCAGCGAAGACGGTAATTCCCACAGGTGAAGCTAGAGAACACACAGGTGATAAAGATACACAACCAACAACACTACCACAACCACCACCACCACCAACAACAACAACAACATCCAATCACTATCAACAAGAGACATTTTAAGGAAGTAGCCTCCTTCACCTATCTAGGTAGCATCGTTCCAACTACAGGCAACACAGGCACAGACGAGGAGGTCAAAGACGGCCAGGATCGGGAAGATAGTAAGACAATCATTTGTAACAAACTGCAGACATTCATCAATAACTGCCTACGCTGACTCGTTACTGAATATCAGATTGCAAGAATAATAAGAATAATAAGCAAGGAGGAACTGTGGTTGGCAACGAACTAACCAAGAACCTATCACCCAACAAGTATGCACTGGAAGGAAGTGGAGATGGATTGTGCATGCACTGAGGAGTCTGATTGGGAGATCACACGGAGGGCTGTTGTGTGGAATCCGAATGGGAAATGGTGAGTTGGGTGTCGGAGGCGATGGTGACATGGAGGAGATTGTGTGAGTAACAAATGAGAGGTTGTGGGCAGTGGTGCAGCTGGGTTCAAAAGAGTGGAGAGAAGGGAGTGCAATTGCAATGTGCTTCTGAATCCCTATATTCCACTGGGAACCCGAGGGACAAACAATAATAATAATTACATATTTGGAGACAACATTCTTTAACCCCCTTCCTCACATTTTCACGAGTAATATATTGGTTAATATTTCGTGACCAGTTCTGACCTAGGTAGCAGTTATAGGTCTGATTTTGGATTCCAGCCTTCGATGAAGCTGCAGACAGGTGGATAGAAAGAGTGATATCGAGGTAGATAAAGTTTTATGAGAAAATAAATATTTAGGCTTTAGAAGACATGTATTAGTGAATACTTCTGCACCATTGTGATCGACTTACAGTCATTTTACTAAAAGGTTTTTCAACCACTGATTGTGATGGTCTCAAAGACTCCAGTTAGGAAGTCTACAGCCCATCGAACGGCTCGGATCACTAGTCAGTGGCTTCATCAACGGTGGGATGCCATGGTCTGGCCGCCGTGAATCCTTTTCTAACATAATTCAACTTCCGCTAGCATGGCACATCAAGGTAGGTGATGACTCGGCATGTACACTACATATCCAAGTCACCTCAGTCGACTGAGGTTCACAACCTTATCAGTCGACTTGCTTGTCAAGCGTAGTAGCCTTTGCTCGGCCTTGACATTACTCATACGCTGATTCCACTAAACGTGATCAGTAACACAACGATATCTGTGATCAGAACTCTGTAATTGCTTCATATCCTCTACATTCAACGTTCATGTCTCATAGTCGTATAGCAGGACAGAATGAACTGCAGTGGTGCAGTATACTCATCCTCTGATAGGTAGTCAGATATCTTGCCAGTGGACTTAGAGATGATAGATGTTAGAAAATGATAAATGGGCCTTGTGTATCTGAGCTAACAACTCCAGGGGATATTCAAGAACGAAATGACTAACCTGTAATACAGTATGAGAGTATAAGCATGACTGGATAAACGTTTTGATAGGCAGAGAAACACTTGAAACCTTTACTCAGCTGCCAAAGTGTCTGAATAGATTCATGTGTTCTGATCTTCTGTAACTTAACTGATTAGCGTAGTAGATGGATGAAACAGTTTTTCTGTTCACTTTGTTTGGTGTTTTTTCTCTCTCTCAGCCTGAATTAACTGATATTCTCACAATGAATCTTCGTATAGAACCTGGTACAATTAAAGAAGATATGCAGTTCCAATGGGTAGCTGACAGTGGAATACCAAATAACATAACACAATTGGTCAATGAATTTACTGAGGAACACAATTTGAAGGTACGTAAACAACCATAATGTGCATGAATTATATCCTTTTTTCCAATGTTCATGAACAGCGTTGGTTTAAAATGTGATACAGCAGCAGAGATCCTGAAGAGTGGGCTGTCTAAATCACTGCAGAAGACATTCCTTTTTGCGAAGCTACAGATAAGCTTGCGTAACTAGCATTCGGTTCCGGAGTGTGTTAACCACAAGCTACCGCTTTGAACCACCTCAGTGTGTCTACAAATTTACTTGCTTCTGTGGAGCTATTTATAGAAGCCCCAAAAAGCGTACAATTTCCAGACGTGTCTCTGTGCGCTATCATGCATATTTATCGAGGGGAGTATATAAATCAATTAACATTTCAATTCTTGAACATTTGCTCAACTCTGGACATATAGCTCGCCTACAGTCACCCTTCAGTGTTATCTAAAGAGCCAAAACAACAGGAAGAATATAGGTTTCAGTGATTATAAAGGTTTAGCCAATAGGATTAATCAAGTCATTCTGTCTAAAAAGAAAAATTACTTCATATACATGGCTATTCACCCGTAATACTACTGAATTCTGTATTAAGTAGTATATATATTAAAAGGAAAAAAGACTTGAAAAGTATGATAAAGGGAAGCAGATAGTCATCACATAACACATGAAATTAAAAAAGAGGTAGGTGAAGATGAAATGAGTTTAACGTTACCTCAGCTTTGACACTGGAGCATGAACATCCCATTATCAGGTTTCGTGATGTCATTGGCATTAACCGGATAGAAACATGAGAAGAGTTTAGGGGTTGTTTGAGTATGTAAGTAGCATTCTTTGCAACCTTGGGATTATGTCCAGGGGTGAGTAAAAGGGGACATTATTATCGTCGCCATCCTCAAACTGTGACTCCGTCGGCCTTAAATGTCGTTGGGTCACAGGAAAGAAGTCTTTATTGATGCAAAGTCTTGTATAGAATGCTACATACAATTTCCAATATATGTTCTCTGTTAAATAAACTTTGTAGAAACTTTGTGTAATAAGAAGTCTTGGAAAAGCTAAGGTGTTCCTATTCACAACCACATTGGTAGGTAAAAAACTGCTTATGTCGGTTGTGTTGTGTTTTCTGAGCTAGGCGGTTTGATCGTGAAGATTCGTTATCTCACCAGACATCATCAGTACTACGTAGATTGACTATGTGGATGACGCGTTTATTATCCTTGGAAAAAGATGATTTAGAATAAACTTGCAGTTTGATCAACAACGTTTTCAGCGACACTAAATTCACAATTGGAGAAGCAGTCGAACAACAAACTGCCATTCCTGGATGTTTTCGTCGGTAGAACCGTTGCCGGAAAACTGGAAATCCTAGTGTATAGGAAGCCAACACACACTGACCAAATCTTCACCTGCAGTAATAACAACTCATCAACTTACGGAGAACCAAAAAACAACTCGATTTCTGTCCCAAAGAAGAACGGCTACCCGAGAAACGTTATCAGAAGATGCCTATCCCATACATCATCAACTACAAAGTCATCGACAAAAATCAATAAACACATCATTCTACCATACACAAAGAAGATATCAGAAATCAAGATTTCTGAGGCCACTTGGAAATGGTGTGGCTCATAAAGAAATAAATTCCCTCGAAATACTGTTATTCAGACCAAAGGATGCGACGGCCAAAGAAGACAGACAAACCGAATATCATCTACAAAATCAACTGCAATAACTGTAGTCAACACTACATTTGACAAAGTGGTCACCCTCTTCGCCTTTGTCTACATGAGCATCAATTGGCTATTAAACGTCACGACATTTTATCACTCATTTCAATGCATATGGATAATTATGAACATGAATTCAATTTCGACAGTGTAGAAATTTTGAACAGAGAGAGGAAACACAAAGAATATTAGAGAATTCCTAGAAGCTTGGCATTCAGGTCATTCAGCAATCAACAGATGTATAGACATAGAACAAATCTATCAACCAATGAGAAGAATGATAAACGACAGAAAGGTCAGATAATCTTTTTACAGGTTGAAGTGAAATTTCCATTGAATACTTCATCTCACTTGTTTCTATCCAATTTTCTGGCTTTTTATCTATGTAGCCATTGCGTATATGTATTCTTGGTCCACCATGTGTTGGTAAAACAACCTTAGCTAAGCAACTTTGTCAAGTTTATCGTCTACATCATATACACTTAAAAGGATTACTATTTGAATGTATTCGAAATTTGGTAAGTTGACCAAATTTCTTAATCTCTATGTCATCTCCTATCACCTTCTCTTACATGCAGTTCCTTTTTTATATGTATATGAGTTGATTCAGAGTACAAATGAATAAATATTAAGGTGACTGACATAAGATTGAATTGTGCCACTTTCTTCTCTAAAAAGGTTAGGGTACTAATAATACGACAACGTCTCTAGAGTCTCCCTGTCTACAGATGGATGAATGGATGAAGTGATAGATAAATAGACGAAACAATGAACAGCAAATAGAATTGGTTAAATGTACCACTCTAAATACTAGTAGCGAAATGAACTAGGCAGTAAAGTTAGTTGAATAGAAGACGATGAAACCGAATACTTTGGCAGTACCGTGAAAGACTTTCATTCATATTGTCAACATGCTGCATTCACTGAAACTTATCATATGAAGCTAGTATTCATCATGGACTGATGTCATTTGGAGAAACATTGGAAACCTTGGCAAGCACGTTATTATTAAGCCATGTTTCCAGCTTTTATCAGTTCGTGACATAGTGCGATCATTACCCAATATCATCGTTAACTGTTTGTCCTCACGTTCACCAGTTCAAGGTTCTGGGCTCGATCTCTTGTAAGGCCACGGGTGTGCACTGCTGAGGAATATTAAATTAGAATGAAACAGTTGTCCAGTACTTCCAGGTTTCATTTCATGATGAACGCCAACTTGAAATCAATCAAAAAATCCCCAATGACCCCCAAATTGAAAGTATAATATCGGAGATCGCAGTGGTGTAGTCCATAATCTACAGCACAAATTACGACAAAAACAGTTTCATGGATGAATTTTGAATCATCTTCAAACTTTTATTTCAACTTATTACAGGTAATATAACACGTAAATGTATACTATGGTTTTCTGCAAAATTACATACTTGACTACAAAGCATTTCTTGTCAGTTTGAAAGGTATGAACCATCGTCGCAGACATATTTATCGATGGTTGGAAACGGATGACCCTTCAAACATTTAGACTTACTCCGAAGATATGGTTTCAATATGTAAATGATATGTGTACAGTACTGAAATCGGAACAATCCAATAGGTTCTTGAAACATATAAATTCAGTAGTGAATGCCAGCCAATTTATCTGTAGCTTGAAAAGTGATGAAGGTGAGCTAGCATTGTTGAACTACAAGATTAAATGAACGTAAGACAGAAGCTTAGAGACTAATGTCTATAAGAAACCTTCCCATTTGAATCGATACTTAGATTTCAAATGCTCCCACCTCATCTTAGTTAAAGTAGGCTTAGTTAAGTGCCTAAGTAATAGGGTAAAACAGTTTACTGGTAGGCCAGAAAATCAGCGACAAGAAATTCGACATATTAAGGATACCTTGAGTATCAATAATTATCCACCTGAATTTATAAATAAATTCATAAGAAATCGAAAGAAAAGTATCATCAGTAGTAGTGATAAAGGTGTTATTAACAATAATTCCACTACCAATGGTAATAATACTGACAGGGTTAAGAGAGAATTCAAAGGCTCTCCTGTGTTACCATACAAAGAAGGCACCTCAGAAGCACTGCAAAGAATTCTCAATGAGGCTTGTTTGGATTGAAGTGGTATTGTAATCAATAAACTAGCTTAGAAAGAAGCCTTGCAGGTTAAAATATAGTATTGATCCAACTAGGAAAAATAATTTGGTTTATCAAATCCTTTGCAATGATTGCAAGGTCAACTACAGGGGTCAAAGTAGTCGACTAGTCAAGGTCGATTAGAATAACAGAACACAAAAAATTAGCTAAATCAAGATTCAAGTTGTTATTCATCGAAGACTGACATCAGTTGGAGGAACAAAGGAAACCTGGGAGCACTGGACAGCTGTTTCGTCCTAGTATGGGACTCCTCAGCAGTGCGCACCCACGACCCCACCAGCGGGGATCGAACCCGCGACCTTCAGGTTCCGCGACCAGCGCGACCAGCTGTCCAGTGCTCCCAGGTTTCCTTTGTTCCTCCAACTGATGTCAGTCTTCGATGAATAACAACTTGAAACATTTCCAAATCTCCACAACCCCCTCAAAATTTAATTGAACTAGTGCTCGTTGGTGACTAGCTTCGAGAAGTATTCCCGAAGTTCCAATGACAAGTCGTGACCGGTGGAGTCAAGCCTGATGGCCGTGAGGACAAATACTCAACGATGACATTAGGTGGCGGTTCGCGCTATATCGTGAGCTAACAGAAGTTGGAAATATGGATCCTTCGATTCTGACCCAGTGGCTCAATGGTAACGCGCTGGTCGCGGAACCTGAAGGTCGCGGGTTCGATCCCCGCTGGTGGGGTCGTGGGTGCGCACTGCTGAGGAGTCCCATACTAGGACGAGACAGCTGTCCAGTGCTCCCAGGTTTCCTTTGTTCCTCCAACTGATGTCAGTCTTCGATGAATAACAACTTGAAACATTTCCAAATCTCCACAACCCCCTCAAAATTTAATTAAATCAAGATTAGTAGATCCTAATAAGATAAGAAATTTAAAGAAAAACCCGACTATATCTCTGCACTCAACAACACACAATTGCATAGTAGAGTAGGATAGAGTAACTATTGAAAACTAACTTAGTTGATTAGGGGGGGGGATAGAGAGATTGATAACCGACTGAATCTTTGTTTATCGAATCAACATCAAATGCACCCAGTAACAGGAATGATTGTGTACCTATCCCAGATTCTACTACCCTTGTCATAACACAGAAGGAGAGGAAATTAGGACTATATAAACTCTGTCTCAAAGTTGTGGAGTTACCTGATCTGATATGAAAATGGACAATAAATTGTGTCCGAAACGTAGTTATCCAGTAAATGATACGGTTTCACTGTGTGATATTTCTATTAAATAGACTAAAATGGAATCACAGTACACCTCAATACTCAAGTTTTAATCCTATATTAAGGTCTGAACTACTCTTGATATAATGTAAGTAAGGATAGCATGAAAATGTTTCTATAAATCCACATCCAGCTTTAAATTCTATATGTTCAAAGCTTCTGAAATCTAGAAAAGAAAATACTGAGAACCATCTCTTTATACAACTTCAGTTTATTTATATAAATGGTATCAGATGAGTAATAATGTAGGAGAACTAGGTAGTACCTTTAAAAACTCATTTTCGTTAAGTAATATTCAAGTAATTGAGTATACCAGCATGATGGGTAAGGAGTAGAAAACATTACTACTACTACTACTACTACTACTACTACTACTACTACTACTACTACTACTACTACTACTACTACTACTACTACTACTACTACTACTACTACTACTGCTAATAATAATGATAATAATAATAATATAATGTAAGGATGCCATAATTAACCTGAATAATAACGAGAAGTTAAAGCAGTAATATATTGGGCAACTGTGCTGCTGTAAATATTTGTTGTTCTTAGATGAAAACCTCTCGGTAGTAATTGAAGGAATCTAAAACTTCAGAAGTTATCTTCTTCGTCTTAACGACACTACATATAATACCTAATAGAGTAGAATTAAGAATTTTTATCCTCCAATGAATAAGTAAGCAATTATCAAACTGACTGAAATACATCAATGACGTATATCTTTTTCATCTTTAATTCTGGGAGAAAGAATGACCTTCCCCTGGTAGAACAATAAATCACAATAGTTCTTAATGGAAACTAGAAAGCTATCTGAATTCCGAGTGTAAATAACTAACATATCAGTAGGTTAGAAATAAAATTCTAACACCATGCTTTGATGCACTGAATGTGACTTCAAAGTTACAAAAATACTTCAAAATACAGAAGTGAGATCTATGTACGCTGTCACGCACACATACAGTAGTGATGTCGTAGCGTGATAGTCTTAAAAACCAACTTCGATAGATGAAGATGGCGAATTTAGTGTCTGATGTACTATGATCCCTTCTTAGTTTACAAAATCAAGTTTCTGTGATTGTATTCACCCTCTAATTCCACTACATGGTAAGTACTATCAGCCAGAAAAACAACAACCAACATTGAACCTCACATACAGTTGTATCGATTCAGGCTGCTACAATTCACAGCAGGTCACAATGAACAGACAGCTAGGGGAGATTACTATCGAAGTAAACGAAGTTGTATGGCCGAAAAGTATTTGAAAATGAAAGTAAGTAAACACCTTCACGATTCGCAAAGTCTCAAACAGTGTCTACATCTAAACCATCGTGACCAAAACTCCTCAACCACTCATTCTAATCGTCTCGGCCACTCCAATCAGGTGGTCGACAGCTTCCCATATGCCTCAGACCAACAGTCAGCGACTTCATGCACCGATGCCACACCTCCGTCCTCGCAGCCTAATTAGTAGACGTGGCTTGGCATGACAAAAAAATGTTCAAGCCATCTCAGTCGATTAAGATTCACAAACGTATCTACTGACTTGCCTGCCTTGCCTAAAACTCCTCGACTCTCCTCGTAATTGCGAATATCACGGTTTCGTCAAACAAAACCAGTGTTACGAAGACAACCAAGTTCAGAAATACGTAACTGCATCGCATCTCCTACTTTCAATGTTCATGTCTCACAACCCTGTAATAGGATGGAACGAACTGCAGTGGTGCAATATACTCGTCGTGTAATTGGCAGTTGAATAACTCACCAGTCGATGCCAGAAACGATGCAAGCTGAACAATGTCAGACACACCTTCTGTATCTGAGTTGAGAGTTTGTCGGCAACCAGTCGGCTGGTGTTAATGTAACTCACCAAGTAATTGAGTTTATGGACATATTGCACCACTTCACTCCAGATCCTTAGACTGTGAGTAGTTGGAGACCAGTCCTACAGCATCGTCTTACATTTGACAAGTGTGAAACGCATGCGAGTCAAATATACTCAGATTTCTGCTCGTGGCGTTCAGAAGATACTACATTTTGTGGATGTCTTCACCTCACACAATAACATCGTCTGCATTCTTCATGTCAACTAGCCACTGTGAGTGACATGCTAGCATCCCTGACTCACAAATAATTCATGAAATACTTGGTTAAGAATCTTCTTGATTTTTCACATTGGTACAAACTATTCATTTACACAGCTGCTCAGCTGTAAGAGTAGGTAGATAATGGTTTGCCTGTACGACCTTGGTATTCGTTTCAACAAATGAGCAGAACCAACAGCGTTTCCGACAGATGTCTTTTCTTTCTATTGTTGCTTCAGTTCAGGCTTGATAGATTTGGAAAACTACAGTTCAGTGGTGACTTCTTGCACTTTGGTTGTTGGCAATCGGCAGAAAACTCTACTTGTCTTGCGTTTTGTGCTTATCGGTAGTGATGGATATGGTGTGTCCGAAACTTTAAGGGAACTCATGTCCACTCTGAGAATCGAGTTCATGTCAACCGGTACTGCACTCGGATGCCTTACCACAAGTATGTGGGCCACGACTAACCTCATGTAGGACTAGATTAGACTGACTACGTGACTGAAAGACTGACTGACTGACTGGTTGGTTGGACATAAGAAAGTGGATTCATTTTATAGTTTTGTCTACCATCTTTCAGGTTACTTCTTGGATATCATCTTTAAATGAGAGATTGATATATGATGGCTTTTCTTGTAAGTGTAATGTTAGTTGTGCTTTTATTTACAACCTTCTATATACAACAATCAGCCTCTATAACTTTATCGATCCTGCTTTCTCCAATTTCGTTATTTGTCTGAAATCTTCATCAGAAGATAAATGTATTGATTGGTCACGGGAGTGCAACCAATTTCTTGTTGTCTAGTCCTGAGTGCAGATCGAATTCTACCGGTCATATTTGCAATGTGGCAACCAAGCTAGGAAGCTCAACATTGCAGTGCACATTATTAGATATTAGTTGGTTGGAGGCAATCGGCAGGAAGCCCTGCACCTAGGTTTCGTGCTTTTTGGCACTCGTCAGCAAGGCGTATCTGCAACCTCGACGGAACTGATGTCCCGCCTGGGATTCGAACCCCCGTCGCCTAGTGTGGTAATCAGCATCCTTACGACTGAGCTTTTCGGGCTATCCGGGCCTCCAACCAACTAATATCTAATAATGTGCACTACGATGCTGAGCTTCCTAGCTTGGTTGCCACATTGAAAATATGATCGGAAGAATTCGATCTGCACTCAGGACTAGACAACATGAAATTGGTTGCACTCCCGCGACCAATCAACACATGTAAGCCAGTCCTACAGGAGGTCACTCGCGGACCGAATAACTTAGTGCTAAAGTCGCTGGATTTGAATTTCAGGCGGAACATCAGTTCCGTCGAGGTTGCAGATACGCCTTGCTGACGAGTGCCAAAAAGCACGAAACCTAGGTGCGGGAGAGAAATGTGCTTACAATTCCATCAGTTTATGAGTTGTACACTGATCCAATTTTAATCTTTCACTGAATAAACATTTTCCTTTATTCTTTTTCAAGCTTGAACCAATCAAAGCATTTGAACATCTTCAGGCTATTCGTGAAGAAGAACGCCTTAAAACTGAAATGACATCTGAAGTTGATTTAGAGTCAACTGAAAGAGCACTACCTCATCGAAATTCTAGTGTCAGTGAGTCATCTTTAGGTGCAAATGATACTAAGGCATTAGCTACTGGGTCTGCAACAGCTTATGATTTCACTTCATCTTTAAATTGGTCAGCAAGATCTTTTCATCCAAGAAATATAACAATGGAATATGATGAATCTGAAGATTATAAAAATACTCTGACTGGAGGTAAAGTTAAATTTTTAGTCAGTTTTAGCTAATTCAACAAGTAATCATCTTATCAGTCATATTTTGATTGAGTTATTCTTTGAACTGAAGCTAAGGTTAGCACATATTTCAATGTCATGCCTGAAATCATGACTGATACATAAGAACTACATCAGGAAGTGAATTAATTAACCACCTTTGGTTACTTAGACCTACTTTGTCTGTACTCAACTTGAGTGAGCATTTGACGGGTGCGTAGGCGTATGTTGGACCTGTCTAGTTGACGTCTTATCTCCGGCTTTCTAAAAGATTTGTGTAATCATATCATTAGTTCACGCTTTTCGTATGAATGTAGGATTTCAAAATCACTTCATTACTACTGATAGACTATTCTGGTGTCAATGATTCCATGGTGACTGAGTTGAACTGATTCATTGACACTATACAGGCAGTCAGTCAAGCAGAATCTTACGGAGCAGGCATCGATTCACCTCAAAATGTTTATCTTACTACCAACAGAATAAAAGAACAAGAAAAGAATGTTAAGGAGATGAATAAATAGAATATTGGTGGTAAAGGAATATTAAGATGTAGCCAGATTCTCGTAATTTGTAAGAGGTTCAAGAATGAATACATACATTTCGTTTTGATTGATCTCAAGTAAGTTATTTTTCGTGTCACGACAAAATCTTAAAGACCAGAGGACATTTAAACACAATTAAACGTCAGTTGTTACTTCATTCAGTCTCGTCCATAGTCCTTAGCTGCAGTAATTCAATACTTTTGTTCCTTGTTCAACAAGTTCAGCTACCCCACCTTACTGTGTGATTGGTACTTTGTTCCCATGTACACTAGTTGGTTACTGAAGGGTAACCAACTTCATGTTATCCAGTGTTGACCGAATTCTGTCGACCATTGTGTGTGACATCAGTTCTGTTAGGATTGCAGATATGCCCTTCTGACGCGTGCCAACAAGCACGAAATTGAGATCTAGGGTTTTCAGCTCAATGCCTCCATCCAAATAACAAGTTGTTAAGTCTGTGAAAGCACTATTTTAGTGATTCGTTCCAACTGTTACTGAGTAGCGGGCAATCAAACAGTAGGTGGATGCTAGTTGAAGTGTTCCACACAGTGTCTGATTCAAAATTTCACTGGTTTTCTGTGCAAAAATGAGTTATAAACCTATATTCCCCAGCTGGATCATGCAACAAACAGTGAGGTGAGAGAAGAGGAGGATACGCTAGCTGGACAGCGTAAAAGAACCCAGAAGATTTAGATTTCTCCGATGACTTGTGTCTAATGTCATACAAACTCGAAGATCTACAGGCATAAACTAACAAGTTGACAGAAGAGACAGGGCAGAGAAGACGGTAATTCTCACAGGTGAAGCTAGAGAACACACAGGTGATAAAGATACACAACCAACAACACTACCACAACCACCACCACCACCACCACCAACAACAACAACAACCTCCAATCACTATCAACAAGAGACATTTTAAGGAAGTAGCCTCCTTCACCTATCTAGGTAGCATCGTTCCAACTACAGGCAACACAGGCACAGACGAGGAGGTCAAAGACGGCCAGGATCGGGAGGATAGCAAGACAGGCGTTCATCAACCTGAAACCAGTGTGGAGATCTTCTACACTACACTCGGCGTAAAGCCTGAACAACATTTTCAAGCATTTTCAACACCAATCCAGTCAAGTCAGTGCTTCTATGTGATGGTTGAGAGACTCGGTGCATTACGAAAGGCATTTGCAACAAACTGCAGACATTCATCAATAACTGCCTACGCTGACTCGTTACTGAATATCAGATTGCAAGAATAATAAGAATAATAAGCAAGGAGGAACTGTGGTTGGCAACGAACTAACCAAGAACCTATCGCCCATGAAGTATGCACTGGAAGGAAGTGGAGATGGATTGTGCATGCACTGAGGAGTCTGATTGGGGAGATCACACGGAGGGCTGTTGTGTGGAATCCGAATGGGAAATGGTGAGTTGGGTGTCGGAGGCGATGGTGACATGGAGGAGATTGTGTGAGTAACAAATGAGAGGTTGTGGGCAGTGGTGGAGCTGGGTTCAAAAGAGTGTAGAGGAGAGAGTTGAATGAAGACGTGCTTCTGAATCCCTATATTCCACTGCGAACCCAAGGGACAAACAATACTAATAATAATTGTAATTGTCCACAACAGTGACTGCACCAGGACCTTAAGCTTTTACGAGGACTAATTATTATTATAATTGTCCCTCGGGTTCCCAGTGGAATATAGGGATGTCTTGCTATCTTTCGGATCCTGGCCGTCTTTGACCTCCTCGTCTGTGCCTGTGTTGCCTGTAGTTGGAACGATGCTACCTAGATAGGTGAAGGAGGCTACTTCCTTAAAATGTCTCTTGTTGATAGTGATTGGAGGTTGTTGTTGTTGTTGTTGGTGGTGGTGGTGGTGGTTGTGGTAGTGTTGTTGGTTGTGTATCTTTATCACCTGTATGTTCTCTAGCTTCACCTGTGAGAATTACCGTCTTCGCTGCCCTGTCTCTTCTGTCAACTTGTTAGTTTTTGCCTGTTTTATTAGGATACTGAATAGTTTTTCATAGGACTCATCTTACATTTCATTCGAAATGCGAACGACAGATAAATAAATAAATAAATATTCAAAAACATAACGGCATGTGTCACTAATCTTAATTCAAGGAGCAAACAGTTGATTGTTGACTGGAATCCAGTCGTGGAGAGCATCTTCGAAGAGCCGTGAAACAGTCACCAGATACTCAAAAATAATTTTTTTTAGATTCACCATAATGTCTAGATTTGGTTAAGCGAATAATCATACTGGAATGCGATATGCATGTCTTTCAAACGCATCATTCATCTGTGAGCCAGATGGTAGAGTTTTGGTTAACAATAACTCTGGTATGCTATTCTGTGAACCTTCTCCCTTTCATTTGCTGTAGAGCTGAAAGGAGTCAAGTTTGAGTTAGAAGCAGTGATGAGGAAATACGAAGTAAATTTAAGAAATAATGGGGCGGAAAGTTTATGGTGTTTAGAAAGAATTTAAGCGTTAGGGTTTCTGAGATTCACTGGCTACCCATATTGTGAACGATTATTTCTGCTTGAGATACTTAAGAAAGAGACTTAATCAATAACGATAGTCTTATTGACTTAAATGTGTGACCGTGCAGCACAAAGATACCTGCTTAGGTCTGCCAGTCACTACAGGTGTTTATGACAGCGATTTAAATGTATTCTCTTTGTACTGAAAGAAAAGCCCTTATCGCCGCCGCCAAAAGTTTGTGTAACAAGGACTGACTGTTTTATTTCTTAAGACAAGGCTTTAAAACAATCCTATTTTAGGTAGAAGGAAGGTAAGATTAGTATCAGCTTAGAGTTCTAGTTATATCCAGTGAAGATCTTCATGTCAACAGTAACTGTAACAACCAGAAGCATGACTTCTGTCTCACATTTAAGACAGTGTAAGTTGTTCCGACTTAATCGTTCTCTAAACTGGAATTTCACTTGTTTAGGAATTGAGTTGTTGACTGAATTAGTAAGTTTATCGATAAGTTAGTATAAGCTACTAACACGAAAATGACAACCGCTTTCAATCTTATCACTATCACCATGAAAGAAGGAAGGGTTGAAGAATCTTCTTTACCGTACACAATTCAAGTTTCTTCATGAGAATGACAACAACTTCGGCGATGCAGAAAATACGGAGACACACAGCCTTGCCATCCATATTGGAGAAACCTGAACTGTTTTTGGGAAAGAAGATTCTTCAACACCTTCTTTTATGGTCTTGCTTTACAGCCTTTGAAATCTCCTCAACGTCTTCCACTTCTCTTTTCATATTTTCTCCTTTGCTAAACATTCTTACTGCTATGCTCCGCTTAATCACAATTCAGTTTTCAATTATGTCATCATGTTACAATGGTTCTCTAATTAATGTCAATCAGTAATAAAATCCTCATGAACTGCAAACTACATTCTCTCTTCCTGTTATGTTTCATGGCAACCACTGTATTCCATTTTGATATACTAATGGAAAATGTAGCCCATAGCCATAGTCATTTTGTAAATGAATGTCAGATTGAACAGTGTTTCACGACGAAGTTATCATTAACCCTTTACTTTCATCAGTATAAGTATACTATGATCACATTGGTTGCTAATCCATTTCTCTCCACTGTCCCTGCCCGCCTATTTAATAATCTAGATGAAATCACCTCTATCAGGAAGTCAAGTATTAATGAAATATTGGCTGATTTAGAATACTATCCGCTTAGTCCATTACCAGTATGGAATTCTGAAGATGAACTGGAATTATTGGTTAATGATTGTCAAGAACGTTTAGAACAATTACGAGAAAATACTGATGAATCTGGTAAACTGAATGACGAAACACTTATACGGTAATCTTAAGTTATATTTGGATATTGTACAACCGGTTTACATCTATTTTGTTATTTATATCAGTAAAATAGCAAATATTATTTTATAATCTTTTATTTTAATGAATGTTTCAAGTTCAACACAGATTTTTACATTACAGAGAAAAAGGGATTCATTACGACTACCTGTAAAGGATAAGCAGCGGTTTAAACAGAAATCAACATTGTAAGTCATTAACCACAAAGGTGAAAGTTTGCGTACATATCAATCTTTGTTTTCTGCTGCTGCATGGTCAAGAAAAACCCTACTAGACAATTTTGTCTGGCAGCTAACCAATCAAAATAAGTATCTCATTTTTGACCTAGTGGTTTCAAATATTTGGGAAAACTTTACCCGGTTCATTTAGTAGGCTTCTTGATTACTCCCCCTTTGACTGGTATCCCTACATTCTCTCTATATATATAGACCAAAATACTTTTGGTCTTTTTGTCCGCTATGACCAGTAGTACTACCAAACAGAATGCTAGTGATATGACCCTATCAGACTACGGACAATACCAACACAACGCTTAAAAGAATGGATTATAATGCAAATCAGAACGTCAACCACCACCACAACAATACCATCAATGTGGGAAGACAAGACAGAGAGATGACAGACCGTTGACATACGCCTTCTTACTGTCTCAACAACAGTCAATACAACTGACATGGGTGCTGAATATGTATAAATTTCTAAATGACCCTGACAATACTAATATAAGTTGACAACAAATGAGAGTTCAACCTTGAAAGTACAGGCGAGAGAAACTAGTAACGGTGCGAAAACAGCTATGTAGGTTGTTTTTAGGTCATGGGCAAAACAGTAGGCGAAAGTTAGGCAAAGTTAAGGGTTTATAGCATTATCTTTAATCACTCATTTCCTGTGATCTCAATTGCATAAGATCAATGTTACCTTTTTTTTAAGCTGATAACTTCCTATGAAACTGATTTATATAGGTAACTATCTTTGTATATTTTGATAACAAATTTGTTTTAGGTTGTGAGCAACTTATGAGAAACTCTGACATAAAATGATTGGATTCTGATATGCTTCAAACGCTATTCTTGTTCTGTTTGTATCAATCAGGGGAAGCGAATTGGCAGAATTTTGAAGCATACTTGTTTTGAAGGGATCTGAAGACTACTGTTACTTTTATACCTTCTCATCCAACGATACCAAACACATTCAGTTAAGAAATACTGAATTTGTCGCTAACATACCCAAGCTACATTCATCAAAGAAATGGGGAAGGGTGGCGGGTTGAGCTTTGTGAGAAGTATGAAGTTACAAAACTTTTAAGTTCATTTATCATTCCTTTTGTATTAAAATTTGCCTATCAAAGCAAGTTCAAGAAGATCTAATTGTAAGTAAATTTTAATCCCTGCTGCTGGTGTCTAAAGTTCTACTTGAATAATGTGGAAGGTTGAATCAGAATGAAGTTCGTATCCTCCGAATCTGGAACCAAACAATATATCCCTTAAAATCATTACTATAATAAAGAAATTCCAAAATCTTTGTCTTGGCATGGAGTATGATAGACTTGAACTACCTGGAATTTCTCTTGACAAAATATACTACTGAAATAAATGGGTGGTTTAAGTAGTATTTCAATGTTATGGTACTACATTTAAACCTAATGTATCTGTTATTATTCTTCTCCTCTTCAGATTATTAATTCAAAAACTGATGTCGAAACCATGCCAGAATCAAGGATTTGTTTTAGATGGTTTCCCAAAAACATTGGAACAAGCTGAAGCTTTATTTAGGCGTAAGTTAATTGTTAACTGGGATCATCTGTGATATCCATGGTTTGTTACATTTTTTCTTACGTGGTGAGATTGAAACAAACCTCAGTCAGTTTGAACAGTATTCAGGCGAATCAGCCTCCCGAATCAGCCTAACTAATAATAGGCCTATTGACTTACGAGATCCAGCTGGTGTCTACGTATCAGCTTTATTTGCTGCCATGTCGTCTCAGTAACTAGGATCTCAACTTGTTCGAATCGTGTCACATCTCCTGTTTTCTTTTCGGCTTCAATTATAACCCAGTTATTATAATTTACCAAAATGTAGGTGGTATATTGACAAGCTTTAATTATTCCATGTATGAGCAACTGCATCGGGAACTCGGTTTCTTTAGATGAAATAGTAACACATACACAAAAGACAGACGTATAAAATTATGTCATGCAAAGTTGAAACGTTGGTCTATGAAAATATTGATTAATTTTTTATGTAAAAATCAATTTCATATTTTAGAGTATACATAATATCATTGTTGTTGCTGACATGTCCCAAATAGGATGATAGGATGATAGGATGATTTCACTACTAGCCACTATCCATTATAATATTGCTAGGGATTGTGTAGTTCTAAAATGTTTGCATAAGTATGCATAAAGGCTTTTATGGGTTTGAAGAATAGTTTTCTAAATAACTTCCTAATCGTAACAGTGAGAAAATTTTAATCTTTCAAGGTGGTTCATAAAATCAAGTGGACAGATAATTCAGCTTGCTATTCATCGTGGACTAACATCAGTTGGAGGAACAAAAGAAACCTGGGAGTACTGGACAGCCGTTCCGTCCTAGTATGAGGCTCCTCAGCAGTGCGCACCCACGACCCCGCCAGGGGTAGAAGCCATGACCTTCAGACTCCGTGGCTAGCACGTCACCACTGAGCCACTGGGTCAGAATCCAATGCTCCATATTTCTAACTTCTGCTAGCTCACTTCTCTTTCCTTTGTTCCTCCAGCTAATGTCAGTCTATTATTATTATTATTAGTCCCTTGGGTTCCTAATGGAACATAGGGCTTCAGTAGCACGTCTCCAGTGAACTCTGTTCTCTGAAATCTTTTGAACCTGGCTCCATCACTGCCCACAACCTCTCATTTCCTCCTCGCACGACCTCCTCCATGTCATCCTCACCTAGGATACCCAACTCTATGTTTCCCATTTGGGTTCCACTCGAGTGACTGGCCTTCCGCGTGATGTGTCCAGTCGGCCTTCCTAGTGTGTGCCCAATCCATCTCCACTTCCTTTCAGTGCATATTTGTTGGGTGATAGGTTCTTGGTTGGTTCGTTCCCAGAACTCCTTGTTGCTTATTCTTTCTGGCCATCTGATCTTCAGTGGCGAGCGTAGTCAGTTGTTGATGAATGTCTGTAGTTTATTGGAAATCCCTTTCGTGACGCGCCAAGTCTCTGAGCCATACAAAAGCACTGACTTGACTGGATTGGTGTTGCAAATCTGGATCTTGTTCCGCATGCTGAGTGGAGTGTAGAAGATCTCCACACTGGTTTCAGGTTGATGAACGCCTGTCTTGCTTTTCCGATTCTGACTTTGACATCCTCGTCTGTTTCTATGCCGCCTGTAGCTGAAACAGTGCTTCTTAGATAGGTGAAGGAGGCTACTTCCTTTAAGTTTCTCCCGTTGACGGAGATTGGAGGTTGTTGTTGCTGTTAGAGTTGTTGGTGCGGTATATTCATCACTTCTGTCCTCTCTATATTCACCTGTGGGAATTACCGTCTTCGCTGCCCTGTCTCTTCCGCCAATTTGTTAGTTTATGCCTGTAGATCTTCAAGTTTGTGTGACATCAGGCACAAGTCATCGTTGGCGAAATCCAAGTCTTCTAGGTTCTTTTCTGCAGTCCGGCGTGTCCCCCTCTTCTCGCTCCTCACTGTCTGCTGCATGATCCAGTCGACCACAATCAGGAATGTCATGGGGGATAGTAGGCAAACTTGTTTCACTCCTGTCTTCACCTCAAAAGCATCACTGAGCTTCCCATTATGAATTACTTGGCTGGCATGTGGCGTCTTCATATAGTTGTTGAATGAGGCGGATAAAGGTTTGTGGTATTCCGTAGTAGTGAAGCAGTTTCCAAATTACTTCTCGGTCGACGCTGTCAAAGGCCTTCTCAAAGTCGATAAAGTTGAGGTAGAGTTGTGTTGACTGCCATTCTATACTGTGTTCTATGATGATGCGAAGCGTTGCAATTTGGTCAGCACATGATTTGTACTTCCTGAAGCCTGCCTGTTCCGGTCGTAGTTTTGAATCCAGTGCATCTTTAAGCCTCTCCAGGATGATGCGGCTTAATATTTTGCTTGCACTGGGTGGACAGGAGAGTGATTGCGCGCCAGTTCTTGCAAGCACTGAGGTCTCCCTTCTTCGGGAGTTTGACAAGGTAACCCTTCTTCCAGTTAATAGACAGGTACCTTCTCTTCCTTCCACACCTTCTGCAATAGTGGTGTGAGCATGTCCGCTGTTGTCTCTGCATCTGTTCTCAGTGCTTCTGGTGGGATCCCATCTGGTCCTGCTGCTTTCCTGCATTTCAGTAGCTTTATGGCATTCAGGACTTCCATTTTTGTTGGAGGATTTATGTTCACTTGTAATTCAGCGTCTGTAGGTGGTATTTCTGGACGAAGTGCTGGTGGTTGATTCAGGAGCTTCTAGAAGTGGTCGGCCCATTGTTTCCTTTGTTTCTCTTCTTTCGTAATTAAATTTCCGTTATCATCTTTTTTGGTTTCATCTGCGTTGATCTCTTCCCTTGCCAGATAGCAACCTGGTTATTTGATACAACGTTGTTAGGTCTTTCTTACCTGCAGCCTGTGTCAGTCTACTATAACATTTCCAAATCCCCACAACGCCCTTAAAATTTAAATGAACAGATAATCGAAGTTCTTAAGAACTGAATGATGTGCAAAATATCAACTACAGTTTAAATCTGTCTGTGTGTATTTTTGACGACTAACTGTTCATGCACTATTGCGTACTATTTACTTATATTATTTATTTGTCCCTTGGGTTCCCAGTGGAATATAGGGATTCAGTAGCACATCTTCATTCAACTCTCTCCTCTACACTCTTTTGAACCCAGCTCCACCACTGCCCACAACCTCTCATTTGTTACTCACACAATCTCCTCCATGTCACCATCGCCTCCGACACCCAACTCACCATTTCCCATTCGGATTCCACACAACAGCCCTCCGTGTGATCTCCCCAATCAGACTCCTCAGTGCATGCACAATCCATCTCCACTTCCTTCCAGTGCATACTTCATGGGCGATAGGTTCTTGGTTAGTTCGTTGCCAACCACAGTTCCTCCTTGCTTATTATTCTTATTATTCTTGCAATCTGATATTCAGTAACGAGTCAGCGTAGGCAGTTATTGATGAATGTCTGCAGTTTGTTGCAAATGCCTTTCGTAATGCACCGAGTCTCTCAACCATCACATAGAAGCACTGACTTGACTGGATTGGTGTTGAAAATGCTTGAAAATGTTGTTCAGGCTTTACGCCGAGTGTAGTGTAGAAGATCTCCACACTGGTTTCAGGTTGATGAACGCCTGTCTTGCTATCCTCCCGATCCTGGCCGTCTTTGACCTCCTCGTCTGTGCCTGTGTTGCCTGTAGTTGGAACGATGCTACCTAGATAGGTGAAGGAGGCTACTTCCTTAAAATGTCTCTTGTTGATAGTGATTGGAGGTTGTTGTTGTTGTTGTTGTTGGTGGTGGTGGTGGTGGTTGTGGTAGTGTTGTTGGTTGTGTATCTTTATCACCTGTGTGTTCTCTAGCTTCACCTGTGGGAATTACCGTCTTCGCTGCCCTGTCTCTTCCGCCAATTTGTTAGTTTATGCCTGTAGATCTTCGAGTTTGTATGACATTAGACACAAGTTATCGGAGAAGTTTAAATCTTCTGGATTCTTTTCCGCTGTTCAGCGAGCGTATGCTCATCTTCTCGCACCTCACAGTTTGTTGCATCATCCAGTCCCATCCACTACAATCAGTAATATCGTGGGTGATAGTAGATAGCCTTGTCTTGCTCCTGTCTTCAGTGCAAAGACATCACTGAGCTTCTCATTGTGAATTACTTGGCATGTGGCGTCTTCATATAGTTGTTGAATGAGGTTGATAAGGATTTGTGGTATTCCGTAGTGTTGAAGCAACTGCCTGGTTTATTAGCTGTCGGTCGACGCTGTCAAAGAATGAATGACTATGGTTGCTTAAATGTTGATGGGAAACAATTTCATAGTATATATTTCACATTGTCTGATTTCAAGAGAATTCAGCAGCTTTTTGGAAGACTGAAAGACAGAATTGGTAAAGTATTGACCAACTTGTTTACACTATTTTAGTCATTCAGTTTAATGACTAGTCATTCAGCTGTGACTTGAAATATCATCTTAAATCCTACTTGACTGTTTAAATGATGAAATCAAGTTTTACCTAGGATGCAAAGCTAACTGAATCTCCAAAATATGATTAGAGGTTGTGTGTCGAACACTTCGTCGACAGTGTATAAAAAACAATGAAACAGTGTAGAAGAAGGCATAGGAAGAAAAGATTTCAGTTGTAGATAATTTGAAAATAAAATTTTATCATTATCTCAGACAAAATATCTATCCATTATCGTTTTCGATGGTTCCCTAATGGTTTCATGTACATTTCAATGTAAACAGTTATCTATAAAATAATTTAAACCACAGAAAACTTTGAAATACAGTTAGCAGGTGACATTTACATTATGCAATCTGTTTTTGTACTAGTAAAACGTATTCTTACATTTCTGACACTGGAAATAATATTCATAACACTACTAATATACATTAACGGTGGCAACAGGAGTGTGTTTTGAGTAGATAGGTGATATAATGTAACATTTGGTGCTAATGTATAATGGAGAAAGACAGCTAGATAGTCAAGATTACCGTAAAGTGGAGCATTACTACATAACCATCCAAAACGCTTCACCTCATAACTGCAAGTCAATCAAGAAGGAATTAAGATAAAAGAGGTGTTAAGCAGAAAACAATTGAAAATGATTGAAGGTCAAAGAAAAAGAAGACAATGGAATGAAACAAATTGTAGATAACCAAACGAAGTTGAGATTTAATGCTTGTACAATATGAGCATTGGGAAAATGGTATTCATTATTTTGGTATATATATTTCTCAATGAGAATGTAAAACAAAAGAAAGTAGTCTCAAGTGAATTTCATTATCTGTTCCTAACAGCTTGCTTCATCAATATAAAAACAAACTGAAATATACAATATAGAACCCCATGTGTGATAATGTGATGGGTGTCCTCCTGAATCAATCATTCTGTATTGTCAAAATATTCAACAAACAGATCATCTATATATCCTGTATCCTGTATGTGTATTGGGCGCATGTGAATTGCAGATTGAGATTTCTGTGTACACATGTGTTGATAGTTCTTATCATATGTATGTATGTATGTATGTATGTATGTATGTATGTATGTATGTATGTATGTATGTATGTATGTATGTATGTATGTATGTATGTATGTATGTATGTATGTATGTATGTATGTATGTATGTATGTATGTATGTATGTATGTATGTATGTATGTATGTATGTATGTATGTATGTATGTATGTATGTATGTATGTATGTATGTATGTATGTATGTATGTATGTATGTATGTATGTATGTATGTATGTATGTATGTATGTATGTAGGTATGTATGTGTGTATGTTGATTATGTCAGAATGTGAGGGTGGGATCAGGTTGAGATTAGGTGAAACTACCTTCTACTACCTTGCTCCTTCTCAATTCTACTTCATGTGAAGAGATTCAGCTATGAGATGTTCTTTATAATTTCGAAAGCCTTTCTCAATCATTTCAATGTTGTCAATGAGTCGACCTTGTGACCTGAAATCATAGCGTGTAGACCACACATAGCTGTTGCGTTTTCAAGTTTTGCCAGTTCCATTGAATTTCCTGAGGGTTGAGTGTAAGCTCCTCGGTGACCATTTCTTCTAATTTTGATTTCAGAGGAAGTTTTTCCTATGTATGTTGTATCACAGTATGAGCATTATATTTTATGAAAATAGTTAGAAGGATCGCATCGTTCAAATGAACTAAGGTGTTCTGCAGTGTATTCGATGTTCGGTAGAACACTCCGATGATATTGTATTTGTTGATTCACACATTCATTTTCATCCGCCTTACTAGAGTGTACGCTCTCCTCATGAGACTGCAGGCAACAGAAACTTTCACACTGGTGACTGGATGCGATGAGTTGACGGTTAAAAATGTAAGTGTTAAGGAATTAAAATGTTTGAACAAGGTACTTAAACTGAATAATTATCCGGTAACATTCATTCACAAAATAGAAGATAACATAAAATTAGATCATAGAACTACTGGTAAATCATGAGCCTCAACCAGTTATCCCTTACAGATCACACAAATTGGATGAATTAACGAAAGTGCTCAACAAATACAATATCATCGGAGTGTTCTACCGAACATCGAATACACTGCAGAACACCTTAGTTCATTTGAACGATGCGATCCTTCTAACTATTTTCATAAAATATAATGCTCATACTGTGATACAACATACATAGGAAAAACTTCCTCTGAAATCAAAATTAGAAGAAATGGTCACCGAGGAGCTTACACTCAACCCTCAGGAAATTCAATGGAACTGGCAAAACTTGAAAACGCAACAGCTATGTGTGGTCTACACGCTATGATTTCAGGTCACAAGGTCGACTCATTGACAACATTGAAATGATTGAGAAAGGCTTTCGAAATTATAAAGAACATCTCATAGCTGAATCTCTTCACATGAAGTAGAATTGAGAAGGAGCAAGGTAGTAGAAGGTAGTTTCACCTAATCAACATACACACATACATACCTACATACATACATACATACATACATACATACATACATACATACATACATACATACATACATACATACATACATACATACATACATACATACATACATACATACATACATACATACATACATACATACATACATACATACATACATACATACATACATACATACATACATACATACATACATACATACATACATACATACATACATACATACATACATACATACATACATACATACATACATACATACATACATACATACATACATACATACATACATACATACATACATATGATAAGAACTATCAACACATGTGTACACAGAAATCTCAATCTGCAATTCACATGCGCCCAATACACATACAGGATACAGGATATATAGATGATCTGTTTGTTGAATATTTTGACAATACAGAATGATTGATTCAGGAGGACACCCATCACATTATCACACATGGGGTTCTATATTGTATATTTCAGTTTGTTTTTATATTGATGAAGCAAGCTGTTAGGAACAGATAATGAAATTCACTTGAGACTACTTTCTTTTGTTTTACATTCTTATTATGAAATTCGGTTTGACGATCAGAATGAATATGTTGCGTCTGTTCACCTAGACCATTTAGATAGGTTCTTAGCTATGTCACCTAGTGTCTTCAGTCACTATTAAACTCCTAGTTGACTTGAAACCGTTAAGTGAATATCCTTGTTTTTAGTGTGTGACATTTATAATCCATTTATTTATAGTGTTGAATGAATTAATATTCACTTAGAGACTGAAACATATTTCGTTTTATGATATATGGTGATCTTAACGGTTTTTATTTTCTCTAACCTGTCAACTGACGGGTTAATTCTTTTCATTAAGAATATGTTTAGGATTACTCACCAAATTAATATATGATGCTGTGAGATATTTGGACATACTTGATCAACAGAATTCGATGTGGACTTTTAATCTTTATTCGCCAATTAGCTACCGGAAAATGACTGAAGAGTAAGCCATATACCTTTTTCCTTTATACAGAAAACTATTCCAACCAATCAACATTGGTAATTTTCTTTATATCTAAACAATATCTTGTTGATTTTATTGTTCTTCATATAACAGCTGATCCAGAAGATGAGGATATACTCGGCAATGATAAATTTCCACCATCTCATCGTTTAATTACACCGAATTATGTAGTTCATTTAATGGGTAGTAATGCTCTTGTAATGGATCGATTCAACAAACAATCAACACAAGCTAGTCTTAATCCTGAACAAGCATTTGTTATCTTACCAATATGGAAAGCTTGCCTAATGGGTGATAAGTATATGCCTTATGAAGTCAGTAAAAAAAATTTACGTATAAGTGTGGAGAATGAACGAGAAGATGAATCCAAACATGGACAACATCAATACAATCAGGTAGACAGTACTGATGAATATGGACATTTCAAAGAAATGGATGTATTGAAAGGCTTAGAAACACAAAAACAAAGACATGAACGTCGTTTACAAGCATATCGTGCAGCTATGGCACCAGCTGCTGCAGTCCTATATGCTGCGCTTATTGATGAAGCTAATTTACGTAAGAAAATATGTTGTATGATGTTGTCTTCACTTTTATTTACTTTCTATACACTGACAATCAAATTCTTTTAATTAGTTATAGTACCAGTGTTGAAGTAGAAACTGATACCATTTTTAGCATTTGACGGATATCATCAAGCGTTTCATCTACTGATAACGAGTTTATTCTGTACTAATCTGTAACTGTAGAACATAACTTTTGAAGATAGAGGGTGTAAGGAAGCTGCGGGTATTCCCTAACTGAATTTTGAGGGAGTTGTGGGGATTTGGAAATATTTCAAGTTGTCATTCATTGTAGACTTACATCAGTTGGAGGAAGAAAAAAAACCTGGGAGAATTGGACAGCTATTTCGCCCTAGTATGAAACTCCTCAGCAGTGCGCACCCACAACCCCTCCCTCCAGGGACCGAACCCGCGACCTTCAGACTCTGTGGCCAGCCTGTTGTCATCGAGCCACTGGGTCATAATCCAGTCGTCCATATTTCCAACTTCTGTTAGCTCACGATATAGCGCAACCGCCACCCAATATCATCGTTGAGTAACTGTTCTCACGATCATCAGAATTTTTCCCACCGGTCAGGACTTCTCATTCTAACTTCCACAATTGAATTAATCTTTCTAAACAGCGATAGTACGTCTTGAATTCATCAAGTGTACGAAACTGAAGTTATTTATAAAGTTTTGAGCAAGGAAGCTGGGTCAGTTGATAAGGTTATAAAGATACACAAATCGAGACACAATTCGAACATATATCACATATTTTCAGTCATCATTCATCCGTTTGTGCATTGCTAACTGTAGTACGATTAATTTCTTAAATGGCTTGAGTTGGCAAGCAAACACACACAAAAAACTCAGATTTCTGTTCAGGGCATTCAGTGTCTTTACTTGAAAGGAAAGTGTAGTGTGCGTACTTTAAGTTGGCAAGATATTTCGTTGGAAGTAATTCAATACTTGAGGATTCAAAGGTACCTAATTTTCTATCTATTAGTACATCTTTTCATACGTATTAACATAATTTTGAGTTTGAATGGAGAACTAGCGTTAGAATTGCATCCGTCATGGATACTTTCTTTACAGTTAGACATTATGACAAAATGTTTCGGGTCACAGAGTTAAAAATCACCTTCAAGTCAAGAAATATGACAAGTGTTGGCCACTATCAAGCATGCTTGTGTTCCAGAACCTATCGAAGAGCGAAGATCTGATCAGTGTGCCCTAGTCCAGGTTTAGCTCTTTTTCTACAGTTTATTATTCTTCAGGGCCCGCTGGAATAAGGAAAACGGGCTAGAGTTTTGCACAAATACTTAACGTTATGCGTTGTTATTTTCAGCTTAGTGGGAAAATGTTTACTCCCTTGTTAAGGTCAATGAGACACGAAGAAACAGTGTATGAGGATTTCAAATGGCATACAGCTAAATCAGATACAATTTACGCTGATATGCCTAAATTTTTCCTTCCTCAAAAGATTGGCAACTGCTTTAACACTACGTGGTGCCACAAACCTTTATCTACCTCATTCAACAGCTGTATGCTATGTGATGCAACATTCCGAGTGATTTACTATGGAAAGCCCAGTGATGCCTTTGAAGTGAAGACTGGAGTAGGGCAAATTTGCCACCTAGTATCACCAATCATCTCCCTGACTGTGGTCGACTGCACTAAACTGAATAATGCGACAAACTGTGAGGAGCGAGAAGACGGACACACGCTGGCTTCATTGATGAAAATACACTAGAAAATTTGGATTTCGCCAACGATGATTCGTGCTAAGTGTCGTACAAACGTGAAGATCTACAGACAAAAACCAACAAGTTGACAGAGGAGGCGAGGTAGCGAAGATGATACTTCCTTCAGGTGAACTTAGAAAAGACAGAGGTGACAGATGAAGATAGTTAACCAACAAGTACCAATCAATATCAGTGGGAGAAATCTAAGGAAAGTTATTTCTTTCATCCACCTACCTAAACAGCATCGTTCCAACCAGGGGCGGTTGCACAGATAAAGACGTCAGAGCCAACATCGCGAAAGCAAGACAGGCCTTCCTGCACTAATCTGAAATCAGTGTGGACATCTACTGCACTCCACTTCACTCCACTCCACTCCACTCAGCATAAATCGTAAACAATATCCGAATTTTCAACACTGATGTCAGTCAACTCAGTGTTTCTATGTGATGGTTGACAGACTTGGCGGCGCATCACGAATAGCACTTCCAACAAACTACACACATACATGGCATCAACAGCTTCCGTCAACACTCACTCACTACTGACACTGAAGATCAGATGAAGAGAATAATGAGAATAAGCGAGGAGGGACTGTGGGTGACTAGCTGGCAATGAACTAACCAACCAACAACCTATTAGCTAACAAATATGCAATGGAGAAGAAAGTGGAGACGGATTGGATTGAATATACACTAAGAAGAGTGCTTGGGGATACCACGCGACATTTGAAACCTGAGAGCAATGGACAGCAGTTTCGTCCTAGCACGGGACTCCTCAGCGGTGCGCACCCATTACTCCGCACCCCAGAAATAAAACCCAAGACCTTCAGGTTCCGTGACTAGCACGTTACCATTGAGCCACTGGGTCGGAACACAGTAGTCCATATTTCCTAGATCTATCAATTCACGACAAAATGCAGCCATCACCAGGTGTTGTTGATGAGTATTTGTCCTCACAACCACCAGGTTTGACCCATTGGTCACAACTTCTTATAGGAACTTGTTCATTATTGACACTGCTGAAGAGTCCTATACTAACAAGAAATACCTGTTCAATGCTCTCAGGTTTCCAGTGTTCCTTCAACCGGTGTCATTCCGTGATAAATAGTAACTTAAAACCAATTAGTCGATTTCCACAAACTCTCAAATCGCTCTTTTCTCTTAGTGTTTACAACTTGAATCGATAAAATCTTCGTTAGACGTTTTACACTTCTCAAGACTTATCAGGCTAGATAATTTCTCTACGTTAAAGAAGGTATAAATGCTATTCAAAGATGAATTTTATAGCTGTAATCGAGTCAGGTTTCTGTTCAGATTGGTGATGAGGGGCATCTGATGCAGAACCACTGGACACTTAGAAGCACTACACAACTGTTTTGTCTCAAGGTGAAATCTCTAAGCATCCAAGACACTTTGAAGTATTTAGCCCTTAGACCTTCAAGTCTTATGGTTAGCATGTTATCATGCAGTCACTTGGTTGAAATCCAATGGTCTTCATCTTTTTATCTGTGCCAGTTAGTGACATAGTACTACCATTAATCAATACTATCGGTGGGTACTTGTCCTCATATTTTACTTTCGAATCTGTTATTGTGAAATTGTTCCTGGAATATATCCTTCAAGCATAATACAAAATTATACTTTCACGCAAAGGAAACAACGCTAGTTTCCATTAATCTTTAATGACTGTTCACCGAACATTGGTATCAGTCTGGTAGAGTACACTAAATTCAGATAGGGTTCTTGATACATCTACAGTGTCTACAATAAGGGAAGTTATAATTTATTGACTTCTGATTAGAGCTATGTCGAAGGACTTGGGCCGCCTTACTGGAGCTTTCCAGATGGTATCATTCTAGTTTAGTCAACTGAGTCATACATTACTGCCCCGGCCACTATATGTTATCATTATTTTTCCCCTGGGTTCCTAGTTGAACATGAGGATTCAGTATCACATCTCCATTCAACTCTTTTCTCTGCAATCTTTTGAACCTAGCTCCATGACTTCCCACAAGCTCTCATTTCTTCCTCACACCATCTCCATCATGTCACCATCGCCTCCGACACCCAACTCGCAGTTTCCCATCTGGCTTCCACTCGAGTGCCTGGCCTTCCACGTGATGTCCCCGAATGGTCTTCTCAGTTCATGCTCAATCCATCTCCACTTCCTTCTGCATATTTGTTGAGCGATAGCTTCTTAGTTGGTTCATTGCCTAAGTTCCTTGTTGCTTATTTTTTCTGACCATTTGAACTTCAGTAACGAGCCAGCGTAGGCAGTTGTTAATGAATATCTGTAGTTTGTTAGAAATGCCTTTCGTTACGCACCAAGTCTCTGAACCATATATATATAGGCATCATATTAAATAATTACTCATACAAATACATGTAATTATTTCCGTTCTAAATTGAAACAGTCTATGGAGAAAAAGAGGAAGAACGTAGACAAACACATACCCCTGAAGAACTTAAAACACTGGCAGCAGAATCATTAAAAGAAACAGTAGCAGTAACAAAAGAAGGTGAAACAGAAGATGAAGTGAAAACAAGAAAAGAAGAAGACTGGCTAAGAGAAGATGACAAAAATTACGAAATTCAACAACCTCATGAAAAAGGAAGTGAAGTTAATATCACCAAGGTAGATGAGAGAGATAAAGAGAAAGAAGACAATGATGACCGCGAAGGAGAGGAGGATATGATAAAGACTATTGAAGAAGAACATACAGTAACTGAATCAACTTTAGCAGAATTAAGATTTGCACATATTCCATCATTTCCAGAAATTCCAGATGATACTGAAGAAAATGTATTGACGTATTTTGATATAAGAGAAATTCACCCTATTAACATTGATATGGATAAAGATTTCAGTCCAGTAAGTTTTTAAGTTTGTTTTATTATACTCACTGACTGATGAAAATAATATATTGATCAAAAGATAAGTGTTTGATACTTGTAATCACCCACTGGGTCGAATAACTCAACGTCTATTGGTTGATGGGTTCCTATACGATTGCCTAGATACTGACTGACTGAATATACATTATGTTGAAGTCTGCATGGCGGCCAGAAGAACACAACTGGAATTATCTTATTCCAAAGGTAATTCATAATCATCTTTTAGATGTGCTACAATCTGTCTAATGCCGATTTACAATGTTTTTCGGATCTGAATGTTGTGAATCGATCGTTTATTCTCATGAGTTTCTTGGAAAATATCATAAAAATGTGTTTTCTTTAATGGTTTGACTGCCTTCTCTGCTTCTATCTCCGACTTTTCTTCTTGAAGTCTTTTGACATGACTTTATGAACAAATTTTCTAATATGAAGTCACCTAATATGGTGTACGTTTGTTCTTCGAATGTCATTTTGAACTGTGTTCGGTTCTTGCCTTTTTTCTGCTCAGACTCTTCAGTGTTCGTTTTTCTGCTTAGACTCCCTTTGCTCAGTTATCGAACGCATGGTAACCTATCTCTATTACGACAGTAGGGTCATATTACGTTTTGGTAACCATTATTTTAGCTCGAAGAACAATGTCTTATTCACCTTCATTTAAGATCCAATGTAGATCACTGGACACCTGTTTTATCTTATTGCATTGTCTCCGAAGCATGTAGATAGGTGATTTTTCGGCACCAGGTAGTAATTATTCCATCTTAATTTGTGGTTGGTTTCTTGTTTACCTTTACCGCTTGGCTGATTAATGATACACTGAGAAGACTGTTTAGGGACATCACACGCCAGGCCAGGTCGTCGAGTGTAAGCCAAATGGGAAATGACGAGTTGGGCGTCCCAGATGAGGGTGACATGAAGGATATGGTGTGAGGAAGAAATTAATGGTTATGGACAATGGTGGAGCCAGGTTGAAAAGACTGTAGAGAAGAGAGTGAAAGGCAAGATATTACTGCAGCCTTATGTTCCACTAGGAATCCGATGAACAAATGATAACAATAATCAATGAATAACTGTGTAGCTCTAATCTCATCAATTTTTGTAGATTGATTATAGCTGGATAATATATTTCATATTGTTTTTTATACATTCTGTTTAGCTTATCCATCCCAATGGTCCTCAAGAAGATTGTTTCGAAAGAGTACGTAAAGCAATTGGGCGTTCTAAAGCTCAGAAACTACCATCCATCAGAATTTTACCATCAAAACCACATGAATATGAAGTACAAGAAAAAGCTTTAAAAGGTTTGAAAGAATTACAACTTAGAAAGTTGAAGATATCTGAAAGTCAAAGATATCAGGAGAACGAAGAAGAAAGGAAATTACTGCAAAAATGCAAAGATGATTGGGTTTGTGTATTCATTACTACTTTGTATGCATTAATTATGTTTAGTGTATATGATGATGATCACCTGTGTGCGCGTTCGCTCCACTGAATCCAAGCAGAACTTAGGAGGAAGAGCTATTACTTCAGTCTATCACTACTCAAAGAAGTCCACATACAGATAAAGTCAGTCAGGGAGGTAAAATCTAACCTAAATGAGAGAAAGACTAGACGTGAAATAAACTCATGTTAATAAAGACTGTTCTATATTTAAAATATATAAAAAAGGATGCATTGTATATATATATCTATCACTGGTTCCTTAAGTAACAGAAATTGCTCTTAATCTTCAGTGATCGACATTTGGGGAATCGAGGCAAAACGCCTTATGAATAAAGCCGACAGACAGTAAAAAACTATGCCATAGTTCAGTTACTATGAGGTCCATTCTATTGTGTTCTCTCCTTGACCAGTATCTTGAAAGATACTAGTTTATGTTAGATAGAATACATAATTTTTGCAGTAAAATACATGGGAACAGCAACATTTCGACTATTCACTGACATAGTAAACGCATAGGCAACTATAATAAGTATAGTATATCACTTTGTAAGAATTACTGTTTCTTATCAGAACAGACTATGAGAAACTGAAATTATAGTAAATACACTTGACACTCGAAAAACTCCAGATTTTTCAGCAGATGTAAGTGGGTTGAAGGATTTGTAAACCAAAAAAAGCGGAACATTCACAGAAAACTTGTTCAGGATTACTTCGTCTATCAGGCTGCAGTTAGATGGAAGACTTTAACAAACCTTATATGAATTTTAGTGTTGCGGCTTGTATCACTCCGTCGTTAGTTGGGCCGAATTGACTGGTCTCTATTGGTATATAGAATCCTGAGTGGATGTCTCGATATTACCAATGTCTGAATTACATAAATTATTAATGGATAGTAGCTGGCAGTGAAATCCAGGATACGCACTTCGTCCTACTTGGGACTCGTCAGTTGGATGTACCTGCCTCCCAGTGTGTAATGTTTTTCCCACCGGGATTGAGACTCGGAAGCGATCACTTCAAACGTGAGAGCATTATCCACTACACTACTGAGTCACGATGGCAATTTCTTGTGCGATTGGTATAGTTTTAATATTATTGATTACATGAACTGTTAATAAAGATGAGCACCTCATTGGGTAATACTTGCAGTAAAATCAGCAGCTACCAACCTACACTCTGTATGAACTGTCAAGCTGATAATGCAGTAAATAAGCCAATAATTATTACTATTCCGCCTCAGGGTTTGTATGGTTTCTACAACCATCCAGAAGTGAGAGGCAAACTCGTCTAATATTATTTTTGTACACCTAAAGATATAGTGATTGAAACGGAAGTTATTAGTAATGCAAATTAACTAGGCATAAATAATACTAAAATTTATGTTGTATAAGTAAGAGGGATTCATTTCAACTGAAATATAACTTCATGTGTGTAGATGATGACGATAGAAAAATGCAATTGACTATCAGTTGTCTTCAAAGCCAAACTGACATCCATTCAGTAAGATGGGAATGTTATAACTCAGAAGGATAATGGTTGAGGCTTGATTGTTTCAAGTAGTGGCTACTAGATTTGAAGTTCAGTGAAAATATCAACATATACAGGGAGGAAAACACACGTACCGGACAACTTCCATATTGAACTGAACGAGCGTATTGGATTATAAAGATAGCCGATAACAAAATGTATACTGAACCAAACTCTATTTATCTGAGAATTAAAAAGTGATAAAAAGGAGCTAGTGATTTATGGCTGCAGTCTTAAATGAGAACAAGACAGAAGTTTAGATACTATACAGTCCTAAACCTTCACTTTAAATCGCTATATAGGCTGAAAATTATAACACTCTATGTCAGTTAACTTTTGCCTTGGTTAAGTATCTGAGTTACATGACAAGAAAACCGAGAAACTTTAAAAGTATGAATGTGACATTTCAATACAGGCTATCCGAACGGGTTATACTAGGTGAAGTAGTTTCGTCTTGAATTACGCTAACTTACGAAGATATTGAAGGCAATTTTCGGTTTTATTTAGCACTCTATAAGGAAGTCAAATGTCAGAAGTAGTTCGAGAGATTTCGCCAGGTCACCTTAAACAAACTTAGAGTTAGGGTGAAACGATGGTGTATTTAGTAGTCTAAATCTAAATAGTTGCTAGCAAGCTGATAGAAGTATGAATAAACTTATAAATAAATTCATAAGAAATCAAACGAAAAATATTAGTAGTAGTAATAGTAATACAGGTGTTACTAATAGTAATTTTATGACTATTAGTAATGATAATGAAAGGGTTTAGAGAGAATTCAAAGCCTCCAATCTGTTACCATACAAAGAAGGCACCTCAGAAGCATTACGAAGAATTCTCAATGGGGCTGGATTGGATTGAAGTGGCATTGTAACCAATAGACAAGCTTAGAAACAAGCCTTGCTGGTTGAAAGATCCTATCGATGCATTTAAGCAAAATAATCTGGTTTAACAAATCTCTTACTATGATTGACAGGTCAAATAAGGGGGTCAAAGTAGTCAACTAGTCAAGGTCGATTAGAATAACAGAACACAAAAACTTAGCTAAATCAGGTTTAGTAGATTCTGATAAGGTAAAAAATTTGGAGAAGATTTCTATTATATCTCTGCACGCAATAAGACGTAATCGCATAGTAGGGTGGGATCGAGTAACAGTATTGAAAACTGACTTAGTTAGTTGGAGGAAGGGTGAGATTGATAACCGACTGAATCTTTGTTTATCGAATCAACATCACAGAGAAGGAGAGAAAATTAGAATATATAAAGTCTGTCTCGAAGTTGTGGAGTTACCTGACCCGATATGAATATGGACAATAAATTGTGTCAGAAGCATTGTTACTTAGTAAATGATACTGTTCCTTCACTGTGTGTAACATTTCTAATAAGCAAACTATAATGTGTGATTGACAATTTGAAAAGTTGATTTTCATTTAACGTAGTCTGTCATATACTTAACACTTTATATTTCTATGTTATTTACCATATCTTCTTTTCTTTAATAGAATAGGTGGCTTTCTTTACTGAATACACAGAATTACCAGTATGCTGAAGCACGATCACTACCAATGCGTCATTATCTAATGAAATGTATTATGCCTGAATTATCAAAGGCTTTATTGGAATGCTCTGAAATACGACCTGAAGATCCAGTCGATTTTGTGGTTAGTACTTTACATGCTGATTTGTTTGATTGTTTCCCTAAGTGTATTGTAAGCAGTGCATGATATGCAGAATTATATAATGATTAAAGTATAAGCTTAAATCAAAGCAAATTAGATATTAACTTTATTACTCATACACAAGAAGACTGTTTCCAATCAATTTAGTATTGATGGGAACAATTGAATTTCAGCTGTTTATTAAGTTCTAATTCAATTTGGTGGTTTATAAGAATTGATTTACTGTTTCAAGTTGATATTCAGCATGGACTGACATGAATTAGAGAATCTATGAAAGCCTGAGACCACTGAACAGCCTAATCATCCTAGTATGGGAATCACTAATGATTTGCTTACAGTTGAGATTCCCAAAGTTATAATGAAAAGCTGTCATGACCGGTGGGATCAATCAAGTAGGATATGAGGATAGTTAATTAACAAAGTTGTTGAACGGAAATCACGCTATATAGCGAACTGACAATCTTTGGAAATATGAGCCATTAGATGCCAACACAGCAGCTCAGTGGTAACATATAGATCATTAAACATGAACATCCTAGGTTTGATCCAAGTCAGGATCGTGGGTGTGGTCTACTGACATGCGATAGGATGTGACAACTATCTGGTTCTTCCAGATTCCTAATATCTCTCCAACTTGTGTCGGTCTATGATGAATATTCAGCCGTAAACATAATAGTATATTAATGGTCACTATCTTGATTGATCTGTGAGTTTTGCTCAGCGCTTTCATTTTCATCTTACAGTTATATAAACGAAGAGACAAACGTAAGTATAGAATGTTCTGGATTCCACAGAGAGATGAAACTAATAAACCAGAGAGTAGAGGAACTTTGATAACATTTGTGGATAAGTGAAGCAGATAACAGATGTCTACATCTACACCGATATGATCAGCTTCGAAAAATATTGTAAACAATCTTCAGTGCTTCATTTTGAATATCTGTAAGACAAAATTTAAGTGTCATTTGCTTATACTTCTAATTCCTCTTTCTTATACTGGATGGTATCGATAAACCTATTCTAGCATATGGGCTTCTACGCGGATGCCTCAATATTTTCTGAGTATTTATTTTCATGGATAACAGTTGAAACCACAATGAATATTTCGTCCTACTTGGGACTGGTCAACTGGATGTATCTGTACCCCACTGATTGACGGTGCTCTTACAGAGATGTGAATCCCACACCCACCGCTTCAAACGTCAGAGTGTTACCCATTAGGTCATTGAGGTCATGGAATACTTTCATATCTTCATCTAACCACCTTTAGCATTCGTTCAATCTAATTCTGCTTTGTTGAATACAGTTGTTTACCATGCAAGACTAGTCCTTTCTGTTTTGTTTCGTGATTTCTTGTCTGCATTACTAAGCAGTGTAGGCAGTCCAGTCCACTAAAATTCTCTGCCTGTTCCTCATTGTTTAGATGATGTTTTGTCCAGTGAGCTGGATTCTTTAAGTTGTGAAACTTTCGTTGTCATTCTAGACAACATCATCAGTACAAACTTCAAATAGAAGACAGTCATAAGGTTTTCTCCGTAGTTTATTTAGTGGCTAGTACTGATAGCCTTGTGTGTGATTGATTGTTCTTGCCAAGGTTTTGTCATTGTCTCCATGTTCTTCTTTTCGACTGTTGTCCTGACCACCTGAAGTTTGACTTCCTTCTTGTTTCTTATCGGTTGATAGTTTGAATCAAGTGGAATGTGTCTATTGATTACTGACTAATATGAATGCTAAGTTTCTGAAAATTCTTTGGTATCCTTTGTATTTCCTCTATCCAATCAGGATTTTCACATTTTCCCAGTCAAATTCCTGTTCACAGTTATCTGTACTCATTGATATGAGTGGAGATATGTGATGACTCTTCACTGCTAGTTGATATTCATATAGATAGGAAGAGTGCGACCAGTCTGTTTAGTCTAGTGTTTATCATAGTTTCTTTGGTTTATTTTGCAGATCATGTCTGCTTTGTCTTCCTTTACCACTGTATCTTTTCGACTGCATAACAAAGACTAAAGACATTTTGTGGGCTTGTGAGACACAGCGATGCCAAAAGACGTCAATAATCTAGTTGTGATCTTGGTTTTCCAGAAGAACGGTTATCCACGCAAGGTCATCAAGAAAAGTTTATATAATCTGTCATCAACCTCGAAAACTAACAAGTTGATTGTCCTACCCAATATAAACAATATCTCTGAGATTACTGAAGCCTTTTGGAATTGCTGTATCTCATGAACCCACGAAATCTCTTTAGTTTTTGTTATACAAGCCAGGAGACACAATAGCAAAGGCAGACAAACAAAACACACTACGGAAAACAGTATATTGGACAGAGTGGTCGCCCTCTTCACATCTGCCTATATAAACATCAACGCTTCTATCAGTGCATACAGATAACTGTGAACAGGAATTTGACTGGGAAAATGTGAAAATCCTGATTGGATAGAGGAAATACAAAGAATACCAGAGAACTTTTAGAAGCTTACCATTCAGTTCAGTCGACAACCAATAGATATATTGACATTAACTCAATCTGTCAACCAATAAGAAACAAGAAGAAAATCAAATTTCAGGTGACCAGGACAGACAATCAAATTAAACATGGAGACAATGACCTTGGCGGAAGCAACCAATCACACACAAGGTTGTCAGGACAAGTGATTAAACAAATCGCGGTGAAAACCTAATCACTGACTTCTTTCTCAAGTTTTTTACAATGATGTCGTCTAGAATGACAATGAAAGTTCCCCAGTTTAAAGAATGTAACTCAGAGAACACAATATCATCAAAATTATCCCTCTAGGCTATAAATAATCTTAAACATCTTAAAAGTTCCTGTTTGTTGTTGCATCAAGAGTCTTTATCATATACTGATATAAGCTGGATGGAGAACACTTAACAACTGATTCTTTCATGTTTGGGAATCCTTAAGAAACCTCTGAGACGGTGATCACGCTTTGTTATAAAATGGATTGTTTGGTGTCCACTAACTGACTGGAGGGTAATAATTTTGCCAACCAAAACTTTTCCATAGATTCGTGATAATACTACTGAATAGTTTCAAAGTAAGATGAAGCAACCATCAATTATTATTATTTGTCACTTGGGTTCCTAGTGGAACATACAACTTCAGTAGCACGTCTCCATTCCACTCTCTTCTCTGCAATCTTTTGAACCTGACAGACAGACAGACGGACAGAAAGATAGATAGACACACAGACAGGCCGGCAGACACGCAGACAGAAAGATAGACAGGCAGGGAGGCACATCGACAGACAGACACATAGACAAACAGACATAGTCAGTGCAGAACGTCGCACACAAGTGCTTCACTTCAAGATATCACACTTCATAGTAGTTTACAAAGACAGGAAGATAAAAGCAGAGTGATATCAAAGTAGACAAAGTTATGTGAAAGAACAAACAGTTTGAAGAAAAAAGTTAGTACAAATATTTAAACGCTGATATGTGAATCCCTGATGCGTTACTGTCCCTTGATCGTATTCACACTGCCTGCCTAGTCAGGACTTCTCATTCCAGGCCTAATCTAACTGAAATAAAAATTTGGTCAGCAGTTGAACCTCGTAGCTGGGTTGGATGAGCAGCGGTTCGGTCACTCGGAGGTCGATGGTTCGAACCCGGCCACGGTCGGAATTTTCATTTCACCTTCAATCATTGCCAAGTATCAATGTTTTTGAATTAAATGTAAAGTGTCATGTAATTATGCAACCTACCAGCTCTTCAACAACCCGTGCTTTTACACTGCTGTTTGCCTGTTGTCCCCAACCCTTTCCACAGCTTTAGAATTTTCTACCTCATCAGATATAAATTATAATTGATTTTCACTAAGATTTGTAATTATTACTCCTGTGTTCGCCTGATTCACTACCTTATTGTTAATTCTAGATTTCAAATCTTCATTCATTTCTTCTTATCTAAGGTAACTTATGTCATTAATCATGGATAGTGTCTAGCAGTGGAATCCAGGATGCACGTTTCGTTCTATTCAGGACTCGTCAGCTGGATATACCTGCTTTCCGGTGTGTGATGTGTTCCTGCTAGGACTCAAACTCGGGATCGATCACTGCAAACGCCAGAGCGTTATCTGTCTTAGTGGGAAAAACATAGCTCACTGAAAGGCAGGTACATCGAGTTGATGAGTCCCAAATAGGGTGAAACATGCATCCTGCATTCCACTGTTAGCTACTATTCATCATTAACATTTAATTCAACCGAAGGGAATATCGAGATACCTGCATAAAATTTCATATGCCATTAGAGATACACTCGACGACAAGATAATGCATTTAACAACATTATGTTATGCCACTATTACTATCAATACTTCGTTTCACTTGTAGACTGTTTGCAGCTTATGAAAGGGCGTGAAATGAAATCAGCTTATATTATTCTTCAAATTATTCATCAATTACTTTCAGTCACCATACTAATTTTAATTTAATTTAATTCCTAGGCTGAATATTTATTGAGAACGGGGACTTCAAAGTAAAGTTATATATGCTAGAATATTATCATGATAATCAAGAGAATGTAGTGTTCATTTAAAGTTGTATAATAATAATTCAATGTTCAATGCATTTATTTGTTTTAATTTATATTTCTACTCAATACGTATAATCTGATTAGTGATCGGTATATGTTCATGCTTAGTAATGAATAAATACCGGAAAATAAATAAAATATTAAATAAAACAGAAGTAATCACATTTATATATGTCTCATGTTGCGCTGACAGATATCAGAGACTTCAGAGGAGTATGAGAAGAGGGTGAAAGGGATAGATAATCATGTTCGTCTAAAGATCATCTTGAAGACAGACATCCCTGTATACTGATTATCTGATAAACCATAGAATAGGAGAATTACTGATTTAACCAATTGACTATCAATAGTGGATAAGATAAATTGAATATATCATGAATGCTAACTAATTAGATTAGCCGAATTGCAAATATATTCGAAAATAAATATTCTTCACTTGACTAACGTCTTAAAACATAATTAGATTTTTGTAATCAACATCGATTAATGAGCATAGAAAGACCATATATCAACAAAAATCGATCATTTCAATCCGGTAAAATGATCAGTTGGAAATTAAAGCTATCAAAAATAAGCAACTGATAATTGTTGCCTAAGAAGTGGCTCTCGTAATTCACTGGCTTACTACGTAATGATATGGTGTACTTCTAGAACTTGTGACATTATTACTATCATCCACTGAAACTGCGTTTAAAAGCTTCTCGATTTCTTCATGTGATCCTCTTTGGATATGTTCGTCATTTCTTGTGGAATAATCCAATTTGTCCATAACTACTACTGAATTGCCTTTGTCAAACTTAACAATTACTATATTATTATCATTTCGTAGATTATTCAGAGCTGAATTTTCAAGTCTTGTTAAGTTTCGATGTCTCTTCTTTCATCTTTTCAGTGTTAACTCACACTATGCTCTAACCTGTTCAGCAGTTATCGCATCCACCGAGGTTAAATGATACTTCTATGCTGGGTATGATATCTTTCGGTTTTAGATAACCTATTGTCACTTTGAAGTTTAATCCTTTTTCGAGTACTTTCCTCTCAGTTGAGTTTAAGGTTCTCGAGGAGAGATTTTCTACCCACTTTGTTGCATGGATGTTTAAAGATGCTTCATTTGTAACTTGATTATCTTCCAATGGAGATTTTTCTTGCATTGTTTTGTTAAAATTTTTCATTTGACTGTTTCTGGATTTCTTGAAAGCGGCCAATCTTGTTTTATCCAATGTTTATATAAGAAATTCATAGTCTCTATTGTTCACTATCTTTATAAGTTTACATTTCAGTTGCTGGATTTTATTCCGGATCGTACTTAACTTCCCGATAATCCGGTGAATTTCTTCCTTGAGACAAAGTTTGCTGACATGTTCTATCACTCTTTTGATTTTGTTCAGTGGACATTGGAACACATAGATGAAGATATTTAAGAATAATTTGATTTTTCCTACAATGAACATTGAAAATACTATGATTTGTGAAAAGTATTTCAGTTTGTGAAAGTCTTATGAGTTTATTGACTAGCTTTCGAACAGGAAGACCATATGTTTCATTAATATAGGTGTAAAACTTGGGCACTGTGATAGAATTTAATTCCACACAGTAATATAGTATTATTTACTTCATGATATTTCGAGCATAAATTATCATTGCTCATAATCAAATCATTGCTACTCCTTATGGGATCGCCAATATCCCCAATCGTAGTATACATATTTATGGATAGTTGGGAAGACATGCTGTTACATACGTTTAATCCTTCATCAAAGATGTGATGGCGATATGTGAATGACACATTTACTGCAAACGGAACATATCGACAAGTTACTCGCACATATAAACTCCGTAGTAGACGCAATTCAATTCACTCATGAGGTGGACAATGAACAAGGAGAATTGCCTAAGTTGGATTGCAGGATAAAACGAAGGACAGACGGTGGTTTAGATACTATCGTCTACAGAAAACAAACAAATTCCAACAACTATGTAGACTTCAAGTCATCCCATCCAATGTCACTTACAACACGCTTAGTCAAAAGTCTAAGTGATAGAGCTAGAAAAAACTAACTAGTCATTGCAACGGACTAAACAAGGAATTGAAACACCCGAAAGAAGCACTAATAGTTAATAGTTATCCTCCACTGCTTATCAAGAAGTTTGTACAAACACACAAGAAATGAAAAGATAACAGTAACATGAGTACGAATGATAAGGACAAGATGAGTAGAAAGGAGTTCACACCCTCCATTGTGTTATATCCTATAAAGAAGGTACACCTCAACAGAGCTGGAATAAGGGTTGCACTCAAACATGCAAACTCACTAAGAGACAAGCTTTGTCAATTGGTTTAAGGATCCGATAGAATCAATAAAGCAATGTTACCTAATTTATCAGATTCCATGTAATGACTGTGAGTCAGGTGAAGTACATGGATGAAACTAGTATGGCTGGTCGGGGTCAGTTAGAACAATGGAACATGTAGATTTGGCTGAATATAGAATGACAGACCGGAATAAGATGAAAAATCTAGAGAAGCACTCTGTTATTGCAATGTATGGATTAACACACAACTACACAATAGACTGGGTGGGATGAAACCACTCTACTCAAGTTCAACAATCTAATTAAGTGGAGGGAGAGAGAGATTGATTACTGAATCTTTGTCCATTTTAGTTCAACATCCAGTCAACATATGTAATAGAAATGAAGCAACAACTATGCCAGAGATATGGAAAATTTTACTACCAATAGAAACAAGTAATACGAGGTGGGTGACAGGACTATAAAATGAAGATGTTGAAAGTGGAGTTTGATTACACATTGATATGATAATGAGCAATGATATTTTATACATGAAACGTCATCGTGTAAATAATCCTCTATCAATTTGTGTTATAAATCAAATAAAAAAATCTAATACGGAATTTCATTTTTCTACTCAAATAGGTTTGATAGGACTAGTTTCCTTATATAAAAAGATTCAATCGACTCTTAAAAATGTAGATAAAATAAACCATTCATAATCTAAATACTGGTTGAATATAGTAGCAGTACAAATGAAATTCGCGTGAACAGCACACTGACTTACTAAATAAACAATACTGAAGATAAGCTCATTGATTGTTACCAATATGAGGATTTTTCCATATTAATTTATCAAACCGATATTGTGAATGAAGCTTATTTGGTGAAGTCAACTAGCCGATAATCTATCACTGCCAACACGCTCTCATTGCTTCCTCACATGATCACCTCCATGTCACCCTCGACACGGATGCCCAACTCGTCGTTTACCATTTGGCTTACACTTGATGGTCTTAAGCGTGGTGTCACACGATCGGCCTTCTCAGTGCATTCCCAATCCATCTTCACTTTCTTCTACTGCATATTTGTTGGGTAATAGGTTGTTGGTTGTTTGGTTGGTCCGTTGCTAGCCAGCCAGCCAGCCAGCCAACCAGAGTTCCTTGTTGCTTATTCTCATTATTCTGGTCATCTGATCTTCAGTGTGAGTATCGAGTGAGTGTAGGTGATAGGTGTTGATGTGATGAATGTGTGTAGTTAGTTGGAAATGCTTTTCGTGATGCGCCATGTAGGAGCAATAACCATTTTAATGTAGAGGAGGAAATTCATCTAGGTTCAGACTCATTTGTCTATTATCTTAAATAGGTTGGAAATAAATTGCATCTGTATCCACTGAACAAACATCAAGGCAGATTTGGTAATGATACTGGGTGATGATTGATGTGGGAATGAATATCCAGACCGCGACCAGGTTCGAACCATCAAACACTTGGTTTTCCAGCCAGCTGATCTACCAACTCAGCCACGAAGTTCAATTGCTGAACAGATTTTTATTTCACTTCAATCACCATAGGTTTTGTACAACCACTATGTAGATTCGTGACTTGTTACTACCCCCTTAATCGTATTCACACTGACTACTGACTCCGGACTTCTCGTTCCAATCCAAACCGAACCGAATTAGAATGAGAGGGTGAGCATCGTATTGATTATCTTTTTAACTGCCTGAAATAGTCGTGGTTTGCCAGAGTAGTATTGATACTGTGTGATGATTTAAGGTGAAATGGAAGTTCGGACTGTGGTCGGACTGGAACCAGAGACTTGATTTTTACATCACTCTAGTCAAAGATATGGTAGTCCAGGTATAAACTCACTATTAAATTTCTCCTACATTTCGTAACCTCCTCATTAGTTCGTTTCTAGATTTCATTTTACTCTTTTCAACTGAGTAGCTTTATCATATTTCAAGTAGTTTTACACGTTGAACACTTTTTTCTAGTTGGTAAAGCTCGTTGTTACTAACCGATTAGGCCTTTGCAAATTTTTAGCCTGCTCCTTATTTTCTATCCCTTTCTTGTGTTCTTTAAACACTTTTCTAATCTTTTTTAATTCATTTCACCGCGTGCATTATCAGGTGTTAACCTCTTTCTTATGTGTTCTCGTTTACCCAAGTGCGCTTTTCTCTTTGTATTCCATTTTTATATTCTCAGTTCTGTACTAATTATTATTATCAAACAGTAAAGTTAATATTTGGAAGAAAAAAAGGGAACCTACCTGCTGATTGGAAGGAAGGACAACTTGACAAACTCCCAATCAAGGGACATTTAAGACTTAGCAAGAACTCATGCGGAATCATGCTCCTGTCCACCCAAAGACAAATATTAAGCTGCATCGGTATGGAGAGACTAAACAATTCCCTGCATTCAACTAGATTGCGATCAGAACAAACTGGCTGTCTGGCTGGCTTCAGGAAGAGCAAATCATATACGGATCAAATTGCAGCTGTACGCTACTCATCATCATAAAACGGAGCATAGAATGGCAGTCTCTTTACCCCAATTACGTAGATTTTGTAAAGGCCTTCTACAGCGTATATCGAGAAGTAATTTGTCAGGCAGCTGCTTCAATACTACGGTCTTAGTACCACAAACCTTTTTCAACATCATTCAACAGCTATATGCTGATGATGATGATGATGCCATATGGCAAGTGATTCATAATGGAAGCTCAGTTATGCCTTTGAAGAGTTACAAGGGTTTCAGGATCAATTATAACGGGGTAGAACTGGGGAGCTGCTTCGTGTTAATGTGTAATCACAACTTATCAGAGTCAAAGCCCGAAATCATCAGATTTTGTGGCACTCATATTACCACAAATATTCACTTTTATTATTATTATTATTTGTCCCTCGGGTTCCTAGTCGAACATACGACTTAAATAGCACATCACAATTCCACTCTTATCAACCCGGCTCCATCACTGCCTACAAGCTCTCATTTCTTCCTCACATCATCTTCTGCATGTCCCCCTCACCTCGGACGTTGAACTCATCGTTTTCCATTCGGATTCCACACGACAGCCTTGCGTGTGATGTCCCCAATCGGTCTTCTCAGTGCATGTCCAATCTATCTCTACTTCCTTGCACTACATATTTGTTGGGTGATAGGTCCATTGATAGCCACTGTTCCTTGTTGCTTATTCTTTCTGGCCATCTGATCTTTAGTATCGAGCGTAGGCAGCTGTTGATGAATGTCTGCAGTTTGTAGGAAATGCTTTTCGTGACGCGCCAAGTCTCTCACCCATGACATAGAAGCACTGACTGACTTGACTGACATTAGTGTTGGAAATCAGGATGTTGTTCACACTTTGTTCTGAGTGCAGAAGATCTCCACACTGGTTTAAAGTTGATGAGCGCCTGTCTTGCTATCTTTCCCATCCTGCCTTTGACAGCCTAGTCTGTGCCAATGCCACCTGTAGTTGAAATGGTGCTGCCTAGGTGGTGGGTGAAAGAGACTACTTCCTCTAAGTTTCTCCTGTTAATGGTGATTAGAGCTTGTTGTCGTTGTTATTGTTGGTGGGGTATCTTCATCACCTCTGTCTTCTCTACGTTCACCTGAAGGAAGTCCCGTGTTCACTGCCTCTTTGGTCACTTTGTTGGTTTTCACCTGTAGATCTTCAAGTTTGTGTGACATTAAACATAAATCGTCGGCGAAATGCAAATGTTCGAGGCTCCTTTCATCAACCAACAACCTATCATCCAACAAATATGCAGTGGAAGGAAGTAGAGATGGATTGGACATGCACTGAGAAGACCGATTGGGGACATCACACGCAAGGCTGTCGTTTGGAATCCGAATGGGAAACGATGAGTTGGGCGTCCGAGGTGAGGGGGACATGGAGAAGATGATGTGAGGAAGAAATGAGAGCTTGTAGGCAGTGGTGGAGCCAGGTTGATAAGAGTGGAATTGCGATGTGCTATTTAAGTCGTATGTTCGACTAGGAACCCGAGGGACAAATAATAATGATAAAATCACTAGCTTGGGAGAGAAAAAAAAATCGAAAACTGACATATCAAATAAATGTTCGTTTTTATTTTCATGAAAAACACCCATTTCACAGATCATCTGTCTTAAAATTAATGTCAATCAAAAGTAGGTATAACCAACACACTATGACAATACACCTGAAGCAGTGAGAGAGTTTCAATTAAAAGTACAGTAAGCAACAATACAAACGAAAAATCAGTGATGATTGTGCAACCGGGAATCTTATCTGTATTGTGTATGTGTATGTGTATGTGTTTGTGTGTATATGTGTAGGTGAGTGTTTGGGTTCACGGTTGTCCTCTTATCATTGTTATTACGACTACTATTATGACTATTATTATTGATTTCAGCTGATATTCTTGGAAAAGAAAGATAGTTTGGTTTCTTTCAAATGTGATTATATACATACAGAAATGTTGAGTTATACAACAGTTAGTGGAGGACTTATCTATCCTGTATTGTTGTTTAGTAGAGTTATGAATATGGTGGCGTGGTTGCATGTGTCTACGTGTGTGTCATGTATAAACAGATGAACTAACAAGAAAATAGAAAAATTCATTTCATGTTACACTTCAGTTTTTGCAATTGAAAAGATGAACTACAATCTTAGTTTTAGTTAAAAAAAAAATAACAATAACTCAGAGATACACATACAATAAAGATGAAAATAAACTTCTCATGAAGAAAGAGAGAAAGAAAGAAAATGTGAGAGAATTTAGTTTATGTACTAACCACAGAAGATTGACTCATAATCGTTGATTTCTTTCCATGCATTTGTAGACACAGACTATTTCTCATATACGCTGGTAATCGTAATGAACGACTTTCACGATCAAAAACATAAATTGGTTCATTTGTCCAAATCGATGCCTAAAAACAACATAATATAAACACACATAAGAGTTTCAATCTTGGATTATTTGTGAATATAATTTGATTGGCCATGCTACAAGGTCATACAAACCTTGAGCTGACCAATCAGAGTTGAAAGAACTAAATATACTGATTTTTCATAACGAATTCAACTGTCATTACAATGATCAGCCAAGAGGAGAGAGAGGATAGGAAATGATTTTTCTACGGAACATTCCAGAAATAATCGTATCCTTCAAATTGTATTATAACATTTCCTGGACTTGTTTATTTGTCATGAAAAAATCAAACTGTCAGGATAAGCTTGATAAAGGAAAATGTACTTCTCATGGTGAGTGAATCAGGGGATTATTGATTCGCTTAGCGAAGTGCTCATCTAAGTGTCATTCAGGAGAATGTATATAACATACGTAATCACATAAACACCTTAACATAAATTATTGGTTCAAATTTCTTTCGCAACTAAAATAAACCAACACAACTTTATTATTGAAAGGGTGAATTCAGATTGCATCTTCAATGCATGGAACATCAGTTCGGATGTCATTTTCTATATTCTTGCCTTTTGAAATTCATATATTTGGAACTCAAAATACATTATCACTAGGGTTATATCGAGGCTGATGTTTGTTTCATCTTATAATCGGTCAGAGAATTCTGAGAAACAGGGTCAAGATAACTGGTCTACGGCATGCTAAAGCTTCATGAAGTCATTAACTATTGATTGTCAACGTGTATAGGAGTGATAATCAGATAGTTAAAGCCCATAAGGTGTTATTAGTAGATTTGAAATATTCTACTATCTCTCAGATGCCTTTATAGCATATATTCAAAAGGTTCAAATGGTTGTTGACGGAATAGAAGCTTTCGCTTAACTGGCTTCCGCATCTACGATCCCTGGATCACTACTCCTTTTGGTTGTTAACCTGTTGTACAAGTAAAGAAAGGTGAAAAAGTGACGATTAAAATGTGAAAATTCACTTAGTTCTGGGCAGATCCCAGACACACATCAAGTGGGCATCCAGTCGGCGTTTAAAAGATTCAGACGAAGTAGCCTGGATCACATCCTCAGGAAGAGCGTTCCAGGGTTTAACAACTCTTAGGGAATAGAAGTTGTGCCTGACATCCAGCCTTCTATGTTCCAGGCTTAGTTTCTGTACATGTGCTCTAAGATTAACGCTGCAGCTAAGACTTAATAAGTGACGGAGTGGATGGCCAGGCGTGCTCACAGTGTTGTAAGTCATTATCAAGTCACCTCTTAGCCTTCTGTATTCCAAAGGATACAGATCCAGAGCATACAATGTATGTATACATTCTGAGTTACTTAATACTCGTAATCTATTTGACCCTTGTGTATTGATATTCTTCTCATTCTCTCTCATCTTGTATGTTTTTCGTCATTTTTTGACTCTGTTTCACTCTCACTACTCTATGACAATCCCCTCTCTACGCTGTTCTCAAGTTTGACAGTTTGAACAAAGATATATGTATGCAGAGCTTCAAGTTCTATAATCTGTGCAATCATTGGGATAGAATTATACGAATACGACTTTATGTGATTCTGGCTGCTTTTCACCACTGACTGACACCGATTGGGGAACCACTGTAAACCTAAGAGCACAGGAAAACTGCTTCATTCTAGCATGGGGTACTTCATCAAGGAGCACGCACAACCCTATCAAGAAACAAACCGACAGTCCTCAGATTTCGTGGCATACACGTTGTCAATGAAACATTCGGTCGGCATACAGTGGTCCCATTAACTGGCGACATAACGCGATCACCATCCAATTCAACTGTTGAGTATCTATTCTCCTATTCAACTTGATTTGATTTTGAGATGTATGGAGATTTACTGATATCACGATAGTATTCAACTACTCATCGATGGTATTAGATGAGAGTTATGCTATGTCGCGAATCAACAGACGTGGGAAAAGTGGACCATTGGGTTCCACCTAGGTAATGTGCTCACTGATAAACTTGAAAATCCTAGGTTACAGTCCTCATGGGCCAGTGGGTGTGCTCAGCTGAAGAATTTTATACTAGTTCAGTTCTCTCAAACTTTCACTGCTTCTAGGGCTGATATCAGTTGATTATAAGTACCATAGATGTCTACAAACCTTCAAACTGAATCTAGTAGATCACTTGGATATCATTGTTAAAATTAGGTGAATGTAGCGTCTTAAATGGTTCCTTTTTTTATCTACGTAACTGACCACTTAAAAACAGTCGTTTCACTAAAGAACAACTTGTTTATAATTTACTGGAGGTGCAATTTTTTCCAAAGTAGCCATCAATAGGAGTTAGGTCAAATTGAATAATTTACGAAGAGGTAAGTCTCTCTGTGTGTGTACGTGTGTAATTGCATATGTAAATTAATTTGGAGCTTTCTACAGTCCATCTAGATACCTACTGTCGTCATTATTTCCATCAGATAGACTGATTAACCAACATGGAATCTGACACAGAAGTACATCACTTCAAAATGTCATAATCTTTCAACATTATCATAAACGGAAGAGGTGAACAGAGAACAGATGTTAGATTATAGTGAACACAAATAAAAGGATTGTAGATGTAGAATGATTTATAAAATATTAATGAAACTGCTCAAAAGATTGTTAAGACGATAAGAATGAATACGGAAAATCACAAACTATCAGTTTTTAACATTTCGAAGGCTTTGGTTAACTGGCCTACACTTTTGTATACAGTTCAGTGGAACAGTGAATCAACTTATGGAAGGATAGTGTGACTTCCTTCGATCACTCATCCAATAAAAATGAATCATAGTGTCCTATGTTATTAAACTAGTAGGGAAAGCTAGCTGTCTAGATGTTATTAGTTATCTCTACTACATGTGTTAGGTGTTGATTCGATGAATAAACATCCAGTAATCTATATCTCCCTCTCCCTCCACTTAATTAGATTGTTGAACTTGAGTAGAGTGGTTTCATCCCACCCAGTCTATTGTATAGTTGTGTGTTAATCCATACATTGCAATAACAGAGTGCTTCTCTAGATTTTTCATCTTATTCTGGTCTGTCATTCTATATTCAGCCAAATCCACATGTTCCATTGTTCTAACTGACCCCGACCAACCACACTAGTTTCACCCATGTACTTCACCTGACTCACAGTCATTACATGGAATCTGATAAATTAGGTAACATTGCTTTATTGATTCTATCGGATCCTTAAACCAATTGACAAAGCTTATCTCTCATTGAGTTTGTATGTTTGAGTGCAACCCTTATTCCAGTTCTGTTGAGGATCCTACGTACACTTTCTGGTATACCTTCTTTGTAGGATATAACACAATGGAGGGTGTGAACTCCTTTCTACTCATCTTGTCCTTATCATTCGTACTCATGTTACTATTATCTTTTCATTTCTTGTGTGTTTGTACAAACTTCTTGATGAACAGTGGAGGATAACTATTAACTATTAGTGCTTCTTTCAGGTGTTTCAATTCCTTGTTTAGTTCGTTGCAATGACTAGTTAGTTTTTTCTAGCTCTATCACTTAGACTTTTGACTAAGCGTGTTGTAAGTGACATTGAATGGGATGACTTGAAGTCTAGATACCTGTTAGAATGTGTTGGTTTGGAATAAAATTCTACAATAGTGCTCAAGTTTTACACTTATATTAGGTGAATAGCTTGTAAATATTCAATGTCTTCATTCAACCTTCTGATATGCCTTTGGTAGCAAACCATCCCATCTTTGGTGCAACGTATGCCGAAAATGACTGTTATGATAACTGGACAATATAAATATTTGCATAGTGCCTAGTTAATTGCATGAATTAATCATCTGATTAATTATTTCGCTCTGTTACCATTAATCTCACAATCTAAGGGAGTATCTGTATTGTTTCACTTGTGACGGTGTAGAGGAAGTACTAATATTCAGAAATAATGAAACGGTTTTTCTTCATGATTCCTGACCTAAGGCCTATTTTTATTTCAATGCAACAAATTTCATCAGACTAATATTGTGGATTGGTTTATAAGAAAATAGTATTTCTACTTTGGACAACAGTGGATCGACTCAGCTTCTCACGCTTTTAGGAAATATGCAGAAGAGAATATGCAGTCATACTGTATAGGGAAACAACAAACTGAATTTTGTTTCAAATAAAATGACAAGTGATACAAGAGAACATCAATTTCACCACGATTTTTAAAACCAAATTACAGTCCGCCTACTCGATGATCGGTCGAATGAATTAGTTACGGTGTTGGGAAATGGTTGAAGCAGAAATCAGCATTTTAAATCACTCGATGTTGAGGTTAAAATTGACGAAGTTCACTTTCTCTCATCGATTTTTCAATTGGTCAGCATCAGAATGTGTTTCAGCGTCAATAATATAAAGGCATTTCGTAGCACACCGTATTCATATACCATCAGCATGAGACGTAAACACGACGGTCATCTCACCTTGGTTTATATATATATATATATATATATATATATATATATATATATATATATATATATCTGGTAACGATCCTCCCTACGGAAACCTTGTTACCATTTTTACTTCCTCTAAACAGTTAAATTAGGTCGTCCTTTTATTACAGTAAAGCGGCAAGCCACTTCAACAACAATTCAAAGACTTCACCAAGCTATTCAGTCTATAGTAGCGACGGGCGATGTGTACAGAAGGCAGGGACATAATCAGCGCAAGCTTATAACTTACACTTACCAAGGATTCCTCATTCTCAAAGAATAACTGAAAGCCCCTATCCCAGTGAAGACGGTGATAAAACAGTTTACCCAACCCTTTTGGGCCAGGTTTCCAGGTTCGCTGGCACCATCATTATAGCACACATGTGGCCTCAGACATCTAAGGGCATCACAGACTTGTTATTGCTCAACCTCATGCGACTTAAGTGTGCCACTTGTCTTTCTAAGCAGTAAAAACTGGAGTTGTAATAGCCGGAGCATGGTCACACTACTCCATTACGAAGCAGTAGAAGCCGCACCCTGAACGAGCACAGAGGACCAGTCTACTATTTGGTAGGTAAAAGTCTCGTTCTTTATCGGAATTAACCAGAAAAATTGCTCCACCAATAAAGAACGGCCATGCGCCACCATTCATCGAATCAAGAAAGAGCTTTCAATCTACCAATCCTCAAGGGTGAGTTTTCCCGTGTGAGTAGAATTAAACCGCAGACTTCACTACTCGTTTGATTTTTTCATTATTCAAAACAAGTATAAGGTACTACTAGAGATGTATCATCTTGTGAACCACTTAGTCACTTTATCGAGTCAATAAAACAATTACTATCAGTTTAAATATAACTCACATTAGATTTATCTCTTTGCCACTTGAGTACAGCATCGTCATCATTGAAATAGGTTGAACAAGAGATAATCAGTGTATTGATATCTGTAATCCTAGGAACAATTTTTAAAAACACCATTTTTTTTCAGTAATTACCATCTCTTCTGTATGTATTTTAATAAAAATGAAATAGGCTCTGAGAATAAAGATTACCAGATTTAAATAACGTAATGAGAAGACAAAGATTATCTGAAACATATCATGATGTATTGACGCCCGACATTTCAAACAATCAGATCACATATGAACTTGTAGAAAGATTCATGCTAAAATCTACGAAAAGGGTCGATGAAGTCAATGAGAAACGCAGGAACGGAGAGGAAGAGAGAGAGAGGGAGAGAGGATAGAGAAAACAAAACCAATTCCAAATCAAATTACTCTCTATATGGAAATGAAAACCATCGCTCCTTTGGTAGGTTGAAGTTGAGTACAAACAGTTTTTGTATACATAAGCAGGATCTAAATTTATGGACTATGAAATAACTCTGATTTCTATAGTGGGTGATATTTGAAGGTGAAATGAATATTCAGTTGGTGGCAGAATTTCGACTAGCTGATCAGAATTTTTTTAATTTCAAGGATTCACCAAGGATTTTGCCCGAACTACTATATGAATTCGTAATGCGTTACTCTTGCTTGGTCGTAATTACACTGGCTGCTCAATCAGAAATTCTTATCCCAATCCTAATGTAACTGAATTAGAAGGGGGAGGGGGAGCATTTTAATGATTATCATTTTGTCTACCTCAGATTGTTATAATAAAACTTGATAAGGGATCAGGTGTGGTCGTTGTGAACAGATCTGATTACAAAAGTAAAATGTTACCCATTCTTAGTGATGAAGGCAGATTTAGGAAATTTACTGCTAAAACTGTAGACTGTTATACAGTCCAGGAAAAGTATATAAATGTTTTTACATTATACATCGTTGATTGGACCGAATTGATCAATCTCTATTGGCATATGGTGTCCTGTGCGGATGCTTCGATATTACCTGTGCTCTTATGATAGTAATGATAGATCGTGGCTGGCAGTGGAATCCAGGATGCGCTATTCGTCCTATTTTGGACTCGTCATCTGGACGTACTTGCTTCCCTTTGAAATTTATCGACAATTACGTACCACTGAAAAGTACACAGTGTTACGTTGCTAAGAAAAATGTCTACATCTTATTACCATTTAGAGGTGATTCATGAAGCTTTACTGTGAAGAAACAGCTTAGATCAGCCATCTATAAAAAATATTACGCAGCCAAGGTCGTCATTGTAGAGAAGACAAAGTGCATGTTACAACACAAACCAAAACAACATATAAACGATTACATCACATCCTAATGTGTTTATCAGTTTACATGGATGTATGGACCCACATACAGAGGGAGAAGTAATCGAGATATGCACTTATAAATGGTTGAATATGTACCTATATGACTTTACAAACAGGTGACCTTGACAGATCAAATAAAAGCAAGTGACAAACATCCAAGCTAGACATCATAGCTCAATTGGTAGAGCACCGGGAAGACGATCTAGTGGTCGCCGGTTCGAGTCCGGTCATGGTCCGAAGTTTTATTTCACATTCAACCACCACAAAGTATAACAGCTATTAAAGTACCAAATAAAAGTGGTCAGGACCAAGTGCTTAAATTTATTGAAGCTTTTCCTATCCGTAAATTTAAACCCCCTATTTGTACTCAAGTCCAACCTACCGTAGTAGCAGTGATTTTCATCTCCATGTCGAAAGTAATGTGATTTGGAATTGGTTTTGTTTTCTCTATCCTCTCTCCCTCTCTCTCTCTTCCTTTCCATTCCTGCTTTTCTCATTGACTTCATTAACCCTTTTCGTAGATTTTAACATGAATCTTCCTACAAGTTCATATGTGATCTGCTTGTTTGAAATGTCGGGCGTCAATACATCATGATATGTTACAGATAATCTTTGTCTTCTCATTACGCTGTTTAAATTTATCAAAAGGACTAGTTACCTTGACGATTATTACTTTAACCTTTTAAGACTGATTCACTGAATATAGTCTGAGTTGCTGATATTTTTTTTACTATCCATCACATTACCATCTTTAAATTATTCAAGAATTTTTGCCTGATAACACTGGAATGAACTAAGACCATTATTATAATTTTTGTGTTGAAAATGATTGCAGGAAACTGATTAATCCTTTGAATACTACATGATTTCTTTGGTAATAAGGGAATGAGTGAGAAAATGAAGTTTCTTTGTTCCTTCTGGCTTTTGAACTTCGCCTCTTCGAGGTTGCTCATACAGTAACAATAGTAATAATAGTGATAATCATTTTTCTTCAGTCTAGAATTCTTAGAGTGAGAGAGTCGTTTTAGTAGTTTGAGATCAGGCTCTTCGTGATTTTACCCAGACGAGTTCCACTTAGTTATATTGTTCTAACTTGTATATTCGACAATTATATGGACTGGAAAATCATTGCAAAATGGTCTTTGATACAGCACTATTTCATATCTATATTGTCAGCGATCTTTATCAATAAATTTCCTACTGTTATGATAGCAATTTTTTATAAGTAAACATTACACTGCTTTATAAATTGAACATTCTCATACCACTATTGCAAAATGTTTGGAAGGAAGGAAAAGCACCTGCCGATTAGAAGAAGGGCTATCTTGTCAAACTCCAAGAGAAGGGAGACCTAAGTCTTTGCAAGAACTGGTGCGGAATCATGCTCCTGTCCACCCCAAGAAAAATATTGATCCCCATCATCCCGGAGAGACTTAACAATGTTCTGTATTCAAAATTATGACTGGAACAGGCTGTATAGCTTCAGGAAAAAGGAATCACATACAGATCAAACTGCAACTCTATAACACGCATCATCATAGAACACAGGATGAAATGGCAGTCAACTCAACCTCAACTTCATCGACTTTCAAAAGGCATCCGATGGCGTCGACCGAGAAGTAATTTGGCAGGCAGCTGCCTCAACATTACGGTTTTGGTGTTATAAGCCTCTTTCAACGTCATTCAACAGTTATATGCGACATGATGCTACATGCCAAGTGATTCACAATGGAAATTTCAATGATGCCTTTGAAATGAAAATAAGAGTAAGACATGGTTGTCTCCTACTTCCACCGATCATCTTCCTCATAGTGGCCGACTGGACTGGACTGGATCAGAATCGACTGCGTAAACCTAAAGGAAGTTGCCTCTTTCATCTACCTTCCTAGAAAGCATCCTTTCAACTGCAGGTGGCGGGGGCAAAGAGGAGGATGTCAAAGGCAGGATCGGAAACACAGCAAAACAAGCCTTCATGAATTGATGCGAAATTACCGTGGAGATCTACCACACTCCACTCAACATAAAGCCTGAAAAATATCCGGATTTTCACCATTTATGTCAGTCAATTCAGTGCTGCTATATGGTTCATTCAGAAACTTGGCGCATCACGAAAAGCATTTCCAACAAACTACACACATACATCACATCAACACCTATCGCCTACGCTTACTCGATACTCACACTGAGGATCAGATAGCCAAAATGATGAGAATAAGCAGCTAGAAACTGTGGCTGACAACAAACCAACCAACAAACTATCAGCTAACAAATATGAAGTAGAAGAAAGTGGAGATGGATTGGACATGCACTCAGAAGGCCGACTCGGGACATCATGCGCCAGTCCAGGTCCTGGAGTGGAACCTAAATTGGAAACGACGAGTTGGGCATTCGTGTCGAGGGTGACATGGAGGAGATGATGTGAATAAGAAATGAAAGCTTATGCTCAGTCGTGGCACTAGGTTGAGATAACTGGAGAGAACAGAGTGAAATGGTGACGTACTGCTGAAGTCGCATGTTCCACTAGGTACCCAGAGGATAAACAATGATAACAATAGACTGTTATATGTTTGTGCAGCTTTAGGAAATAATACTGTGTAAAATGTAATTTTTTTCTTCTGAATTCTCTCTTGTTTTCTTTATAACTCTATGGTATTTAAAATTATTTCGTTGTAATTTCCTCAATACATTTTTAATATCTCTCCTACAGACAGTTACAGGTCTAGTTTTTGAGTTTAAATGAGTAAATTTTAGGAGACAAGTTTGAAGCTCTGGATGTTTGGCTCGATTCTCAGAAGAGACAATATCATTCATTGGTATGCACATACATCCAGCTGACAAGCCCCAATTTAGGTGAAACATACTTGCTAAACTTCATCACTAGTAACCAAGTAATCTATAATGTAGTGAATATTCAGACAGTATCAAGGCATCTGTATAACAATCTATCTATCAACGAAGCGTATCAATAAAAAAAACAACTTCAGAAATCATCTGAAAATCTAAAAGAAATAACCATAATATTTTTTATGACTTACTTTTTCATAACAAGAAATCTTACAGGTGTTTCTGATACTTTACTACGTACAATTTTATTCATTTTATATACAAAACTTGAATCAATCGCTTCATTAAGAATTAATGAATCTTGACGTAATGGATAGAATAATGGTTCAACTGAACATTCAATTGTTGGACTTATATCTGGATTCGATGGACAACGTTTATTTTGTTTTATAGTTTTCACTGTTACTTCTGTATCAATTTGCATTTTATCACCAAATGACATAGAACGCTGTTAAAAAAAAAAGTGGATGGGTTCATGAATAGTCAACAGTTGGCTTAGAAACATAGGTGAAGTACTTTAGATACTGTTACTCTCATACATCCTAATATTCCTTATGCTCTAGGATTACTCATCAGCCTTTAACTCTGTTCCCAGGCCATGGGTTATAAAGTGGCTGCATTCTTATTTTTCTGACAGGGAAGCACTCGACTTCATTGCTAACTGAAGCTGGTGTACCTCGAGATGCTGAACTTTCTCCTTTGCTTTCCTCATTCTTCTTCCATGATTTACCTTATTCTATTGAAATTAATTTTATCAAATATGCTGATGATCTGACGGTATCCATTCTAGTCAACTCTCACTTAGATTGTTCTGGATTAAATGGATTCTTGTCTGTAATCAACCAATCGCCTCTGTCAAATGGTTTTAAGGTGAACTATTCTAAATGTCTCAGGTGTCAACATGACTTGTGTGAGCTCCTTAAGTCTCATGATGCCTTTTGCAGCATTGATAGTATTTGTGCTGAAGGAAGTAAGTCGAGTGTTAACTATCTTGGATCTCTGTTGTACGTTTCATATCTTGTTGGCTTATAACAAAATCTTTAGTTGAACATATTACATAAGAAAACTTAGACTCTGTAGTATAACTCAACTTCTATCTTTACAACTTATTAATTAGTGCATTTTACCCATTCTTCTCTATTGTTCCCCATTGATCTTTCCTGATCTTCTTTAAAAGGACTATGTTGTATTGCGTAGGTCTGTGAAAGCCGTGAGTAGGGTGAGTGGTGTGTTTCTGGCCCTACTGATTAACACTGTAGTTGATAGACATTTTCAATTCCAGCAAGCACCTAACTATACTCATTTTAACTGACACTGAGCATCAACTTCATTCGTACTTGTATCTCGTTAGGGAGAACAAGAAAAAGCAACACAAGATGACTGTATGCTCGTGCAGCCAATTACAAGAATTCGACTATACTTTACCCAGTATACATATTATGTGAGGAAAAAGGGGTGTTAGAACAGAACTCACATATCAACTTTGTAACAGTTAACAGTGTTATTTCAATAATCTAATTAACAATGTAAAATGTTCTCGTTATCAATATTCTTTACATTACTTAATTTTTTATAATAACTTCGTAATGTTGCGGAGGCGTATATACATACATGTATGTTGCTGTTGGTGGTGGTGTTGAAAGTTTAAGGTTTTTTTAAGAAATACGCAGTCTGTGGACAGTACTTACTAAGAAGTAACACCAAACAGTGTAAAACTGAGGATAAGAAAGGTTGAAGACATCTTCCTACATTATTATGATTATTATTAGTCCCTTGGGTTCCTAGTGGAACATAGGGCTTCAGTAGCACGCCTCCAGTGACCTCTGTTCTCTGAGATCTTTTGAACCAGGTCCCACGACAGCCCAGAAGCTCTCATTTCCTCCTCGCACCATCTCCTCCATGTCACCCTCGGACGTCCAACTCGTCGCTTCCAATGGGGATTCCACTCGAGGGCCTGTCGCATGATGTCCCCAGTCGACCTTCTCAGTGTATGCACAATCCATCCCCACTTCCTTCCACTGCATATTTGTTGGGTGATAGGTTCTTGGTTGGTTCGTTCCCAGAACTCCTTGTTGCTTATTCTTTCTGGCCATCTGATCTTCAGTAGCGAGACAGCGTAAGCAGTTGTTGATGAATGTTTGCAGTTTATTGGAAATCCCTTTCGTGACGCGCCAAGTCTCTGAACCATACAAGAGCACTGACTTGACGTTGGTGTTGAAAATCCGTATCTTGTTCCACATACTGAGTGCAGAAGATCTCCACACTGGTTTCAGGCTAATGAACGCCTGTCTTGCTTTTCCGATTCTGACTTTGACGTCCTCGTCCGTCCCGCCTGTAGTTGGAACAGTGCTTCCTAGATAAGTGAAGGAGGTTACTTCCTTTAAGTTTCTCCCGTTGATGGTGACTGAATCTTCCTACATTACTGTACAAATACTTTGAACATATAGTAACCGTGTACTTTAGTCAAAATCATGTCTAGAAGTTTAGTAACTTACTGTGAACATGATATTTAGTACAACTGAAAAATTGCTAATATTTGGCATGAGTTTATGAGGCTTAAAACTCCTGTATTGAGTGCTAAGAAAGAGAGAAACAACGGGGGAGGGGTAATAGCTGATACTTCTGAATTTGTAAGTAAGCTAAAATTATTTTTCCAGCTCCCCTTAATTTGTGACTACTCTATACATGATGGCAACTCGTCATGGAAACTACTATCTTACTTTATTCTTTGATACTTATAGCTAACCACCATTATAATTAACCAATGCTCCAGTAGACTAATGTGTAACACCCTACACCTGACTTCTACATTCTTGATGTGATGACACCAGGATACACGGCCTGTGCTATGAAGACAGCAGTGGTCAAGCACTTGAAGAATTTTCATGTCCTCTGTCTTTACTGGCCATGCTTTACAGCCATATAGTAGAAAAGCGTGAACTGCACCACAAGACAATCAGATATTCTTCCGGTGACGTAGATAGAGTAAGTTAGGAAAAGTCAGTCGAGCCTTTTGTATTCGTGCAGAGATTTAGTTGACCATGGAGTCATCAGGGCTCATTCAACTTCCAAGATAAGTCAAGTATTCAATAAGCTCAGCCATTTCCCTACCTATTGTTATCCGAAGCATCACTAGTCACTAGTACTGGGTCGAAAATTTATTTTAAAATCTCTCTTTAGACTAATCATAATGCCCTAAATGAATTTCAACTTTAGGGTATATTGTCATCCTGAGCTGTATTCTTCTTCCGTTACTTCTTGTATACTAACCAAACTGAAGCAGTTAGGATACCAACTGAGATATGACTATGCGCTGTTATAAATGTGTTGACTCAATCAAAACAACATCATTCACCGTGAGGTAGGTACATTCACCCGAAGAGTCCTGAAAAAGACGAAGCGTGGATGTTGGATTCCACTACTACTTATCAGTACTACTACAATTCTGTCTTCTTGCTCTCCCAGTGCTTAATACTCGTAATTTTTACGTTTTATTTAGAAGGTTATGAAAAGGTCTTATCATGACTAGTTTATGTAGCTTACTTTACTTCTGGCCAGTTTAACAGCATCATCATTTACTTGATCTTCTAGTTCTGTAAAAGAAGACAATAGAGAAAATGATATTCAAGTAAAGCACGTTGACTGATTACTGATAGGAATCGTCAAGTGTGTGTACGTGTTGAGATTTGTGGCAGAATATAAACCCTGTCGATATGCCCAATGGAAATCTGTCTACTTTCCTCTGGTTACGATTTTAATCGATTCAATCGGTGAACTCCTACATAGTATATGGGTCAGGCAATTAATTACAGAAGAAAATCAGTTTCCTTTAAGATTAGGTTGAAACCAAAGACGAATGGTCAAGTGAGTATAAATGACTAAAGGAAAATGAAAATAGATCCCTAATATGGCTATGGATTGTGAAATGTTCCCGAAACGTTGTCCAGTATATATCTAAAATGAAAAAAAATAGAGTGAAGTCATTATACGTTGCTAATCCTTAGGGATATTAGACCCAAGTGAGTCACTGGTTCACATCATACAACCATTCAGGATGGATTAATCATACTTATGAAGATATTCAATTACGACCGGAACAGGCTGGCTTAAGGAAGAACAAATCATATGCGGATCAAATGGCAACGCTACGTATCATCATAGAACAGAGCATAGAATGGCAGTCAACTCAACTCTACCTCAACTTCATTGACTTTCAAAAGGCCTTCGACAACGTCAACCGAGGAATAATTTGTCAGGCAGTTGCTTCAACGCAACGCAGTGCCACAAATCTTTGTCAACCTTATTCAACAGCCATATGCCAAGTAATCCATAATGGAAAGCTCAGTGACGCCTTAAAGTGAAGTGACGACAGGAGTAAGACAAGGCTGCTTACTATCACCGATGATCCTCCGGATTTTGGTTGACTAAACTGAATCATGCAACAAACTATGAGGAGTGAGAAGATGGGGATACACTGGCTGAACCGATGAAAAGACCACAGAGGAAGATTTGGATTTCGCCATGAATGATGGTGTATGTCTAATGTCTTGTCGAACAAACTCGAAAATCTGCACACGAAAACCAACAACAAACAAAAGTACTTCAAGTTGTTATCCATCGTAGACTGACATCAGTTGGAGGAACACAGGAAACCTGGGAGCACAAAAGTACATTTATGATTATCATTATTATTATTTATTTAAGATATATTGTCTCATCTTCAAATATTTATCCTTCCAAACTAGTAATCTATTCTTTCTCACACTTGATGTCTCACAACCCCATTCTACTTTTCATAGACGAACTAAAAAATTTCCTCACCCTATTTTTGTTCCATCTTACTCGCACAATGGAAAAACCTCTCTGACCGAGTTGCTTATTCACTCACCTGTATTACATTGATCTTTGCTCCATATCACTATGTAATTGGATGATTGTAAAGGTCACCACTTTGTGTACCAAAACTTGAATATTAACCTGAAAACTTAGTGTCAGATTTATACTCTTGAAAAGGATCTTCCTGGCAAGATCGAAACGTTGAGGAATAATACAAAATATTTGTTTATTTTGTTATTTGTTCTAATATACTACGCCGGGATTACACAACTTAAAAATACATCCTATCCAATGAAAACCAACAAGTGGACAGAAGAGGCAGCAAAAACGGATCCTCATGTGAATGTAGAGAAGACAGATTTGATGAAGATACCAAACCTACAATAATAACATCAGCAACATTCCCCAATCAGCATCAGCGGGAGAAACCTAAAGGAAGTAGACTCTTTTACCTAACTAAGCAGCATCGTTTCAACTACAGGAGGCCGAAGCGGCACAGATGAGGATGTCAAAGTGAGGATCGGAAGGACAGTAAGACAGGCCTTCCTGAAGTAATTTGAAATCAGTGTGGAGATCTACTGTACTCAACACAAAGCCTGAACAACATCCGGATTTTCAACACTTATGTCAGTCAAGTCAATCATTACTTCTATATGTTTCATTCAGAAACTTGGCGCGTCACGAAAAGCATTTCCAACAAACTACACACATTCATCATCACCTACACTCACTCGATACTCACACTGAAGATCAGATGATCAGAATAATGAGAATAAGCAACAAGGAACTCTGGCTGGCTGGCTGGCAACGGACCAACCAACCAACAAATAAACTATTACCCAACAAATATGCAGTAGAAGAAAGTGAAGATGGATTGGGCATGAACTGAGAAGGCAATTCGGGGGCATCATGCGCAAGATACTCGAGCTGAATCCAAATGGGAAACGGCGAGTTGGGAGTCTGAGGCGGGGGTGACACGGAGGAAATCACGTGAGGAAGAAATGAGGGCTTGTGGACAGTCATGGTGCCGGGTTGAAAAGACAGTAGAGAAGAGAGTGAAATGGAGACGTGCTACTGAAGCCCTATGTTCGATAAAGGAACCCAAGAGGAAAAATTGGCAATAATGCAGACATTCCCTAATCAGATCAGGGTGACAGGAACGCTAATTTAAATCAGCCCCCATGCTTAGCTCGGTCCTTAGCACTAACAGTAGCATATCGATCGCCTTTTGCCACATAGGTACTCCGTGAAGTGAAGTGTTCCTACGTTGAATTGTATTTCGGTGTTGTGTGATTCTAACCAATTGGCAGAAAGCTATACAACACCTAAGTTTTATGCCCTCTGGTACATACTCATCAACAAGATGTATCTGCAGATATGCGGAAATCAAAGTTCTCCGGGGGATTCGAACATACGACGTTTACTCTTTAAGTCTGACAAATAACCACTAGACTTTCCATGTTCGGACATATATCTGGCTAAAAAGTACCACCAAGTACACAACTTCCTTTCATTGGTTTAATCAGCGCTGCGTTGATCTCTTCCCAGATAGTAACCTGGTAATTTGATACAGTGTTCTCAGGTCTCTGTCTCTCCTGTTTCACCTGCCAGTGTGTCGTAGAAGTCTCTTTTCTATTTCCACCCACGCTTCTTCACTTTTATGTGCAGTGTTGTGATCATTGCACTCAGTTCCTCTTCTCGTCGTTCATATTATATGCACTGCACTGATTTATCTTCTGTTTCACCATCTTCCTCCTCTTAATCTATCACATTCCATGTGCCATCCATACACATTCATTCTCTTCTTTTCCCTTCCTTCCTTCCTTACACGGTTATGCAGCTTTCTTCCAACATATCCTTCAAAGAGTTCCAGTGTTCTTCCACACAGGTTCCTTCGGGGATGTTGCTCAATGTCTCCCATTTGGTTCTGATGGCTGACGTGAGGATGTCCGTTGTACCTTTGTTCTTCAGTTTCTCTTCTGGGTATTGAACTTCAACTGTGGTCTATCAATAATTTCTTTGAAGGTTTCCAACTTGATTTTGAAGGTTCAGCATGTCATATAACATCAGCTGTACAGAGGCAGTGTACATGTATACATAGTAAGATGAAATAAGTATAAATTGCACAAAAGAAAGATAAGGATATTCACTCAATTTACAACTTTCCTGAAAATGGACAGTTAGTTAATTTAGATAGACAATCGCATAGGTGATCAGATTCATAATGCAAAAATAGTGAAATTCTCAGTCACTATTACCTAGTTTTCCTTCAAAAACAGAAGTTGATGAGTTAGTTTATTTCCAATGCTTTCGTCATTGTACAGAAAATAAGCTGAATACAGTAATATACGCTTTTCATATTTTGTAGTATGTATGTAAGCTCTTACAAATCATGTGCGGATCAAATTGCAACTCTACGCTATACATCATCATACAACAGAGTACAGAATGCCAGTCAACTCAACTCTACCTCAACTTCATCGAATTTCAAAAGGCCTTCAACTGCGTCGATCGAGAAGTAATTTGGCAACTGCTTCAACACTATGGAATACCAAAACCCCTCATCAATCTCACTCAACAACTATGTGAATACATCACATGCAAAGTGATTCACAATGGAAACGTGCTGGGTGACGCTGTTGAATTGAAGTGGAGATAGGAGGAGGACAAGGCTGTCTACTATGACCCATAATCTTCGTGATTGTGCTCCACTGGACTAGACTGTATCATGCAGCAAACAATGGGGAGGGAGAAGAGGGGCATGCGCTGGACCGGAGAAGACATACTAGAAGATTTGGATTTCGCCGATGATGATTAATATCTGATATCTTGTTGCACAAACTCGAAGATGTACAATCGATAACTTACAGATTGACAGAAGAGGCAGTGAACACGGGACTTCAAGTGAACGTAGAGAAGACAGAGGTGATGAGGCTACCCAACCACCACCACCAGCAAGCAACAATCACCATCAACAGGAGAAACCTAAAGGAAGTAACCTCCTTCATCAGTCTAAACAGCACTGTTTCAACTACTAGGCGGCACAGATGAGGACGTCAAAGGCAGCCAGGATCGGAAAGACAGCAATACAGGCGTTCATTAACCTGCAACCAGTGTGGAGATCTTCTGCACTCAGCATAAAGCCTGAACAACACCCGGATTTTCAACACTAATGTCAGTCAAGTCAGTCAGTGCTCCTGTATATGGTTGAGAGACTTGGCGCGTTACGGAAACATCTGCAACAAACTACACATATTCATTAATAACTGCCTACGCTGGCTCTATACCGAAGATCAGATGGCCAGAAAGAATAAGCAACAAGGAACTCTGTCAACGAACCATCCAAGAAGCTATCACTCAACAAAGATATGCACTGGAAGGAATTGTAGATGGATTGGATTGGACATGAACTGAGAAGACTATTCGAGGACACCAAGCGGTAGGCCAGTCACTCGAGTGGAAGCCAGATGGGAAACTGCGAGTTGGGTGTCGGAGGCGATGGTGACATGGTGGAGATGGTGTGAGGAAGAACTGAGAGGTTGTGGGCAGTCATGTAGTCACGTTCAAAAGATTACAGAGAACCGAGTGGAATAGAGACTTGCTAGTGACACCCTATGTTCGACTAGGAACCCATGGGAGAAATGATAATTAAAAATTAAAATATGTTTTGTTGCTGTTCCTTTATTGATCTTTATTGTTATTTTAACTTTGAGTATGGTTTTGTCATGTGACTGATAATCCCTTAACTCTTCAAACATATTTATACTAACTTTTCATATGATTTTGAAATCTACATACTGTTCGGTTGATACTGTACAAAAGGTATTTTAAATGTGTAGGAGTCAGTCTTGAATGTATCCAAGGATTCTTGAAGTTTGTGTTTTATGACTCAACCATCCACCTCAGAGAACACGATATCATTAGAAATGACTTATAACCAGGGCTACTCTAAGTCAGTCATTGAATATGTCCTACAGAAAATAAATCTTTACCATTTGTCTACCATCTCAGTCAGTTTTATTTATGGTATAGAATTTGTGTACTTTGAAAGCTCTTGAAAGGTCCTAGCAGAAGAACTTGTCAAATTGGTGGAATCAATAACATGAAGACGCTTTTCATAGACTTCCTCATTCTTCAAAAGTCATCATGTTAATGAAATTGTTAAAAAGGCTTCTGTCTCTGGAAGTTCCAAACAAATATAAATTTGAATTTAGGGGTTTGTGGAGATTTAGAGATTTTTCAAGTTGGTATTTATCATGAACTGACATCAGTTGGAGGAAGATTGGAAAACTGGGAGCAATCAACCGCTGTTTTGCCGTGGTACGCGTCTCTTCAGGAGTGTTCACCTACGACCCTACTAGTTATTTATCATCATGGTGAATAGCAACTTGAAAACTCTCCGAATCTCCACAAACCCTAAAAAATTCAATTGAACTGGTGCTAATTGGTGACTGATTTTGAAAGATAATTCCTGAAGTTCCAATGACAAGTTGTGACCAGTGAGACAAATTTGGTAACGGTGAGGAGAAATACTCAAAGATGGTTGCGCTATATGGAACGTTGGATTCCAATCCAATAGCTCAGTGGTACAGCACTGATCACGGACGTGGATGTGAACTGTTGAAGGGTCCCATATCAGGAGGAAATAACTGTCATCCAACTGATGTCAGTGCACGATGATTACCAAATTGTATTATATGAATTTTACATATAACAACAAAGAATCCAGATTATTTAGAAGTAGTATTCATCATGGACTGACATCAGTTGGGGAACCATTGAAAATCTGGGAGCACTGGATAGCCGTGACCTATGGGGTCAACCAGTCAGAAGTGAAGTGGATGCTAACTGAAGATCTTGGGTGACAGTCGAGCTATGTCGTGAATTGACAGAAGTTGGGAATTATGAATCACTGGATACCGACCCAGGGACTGAATGGTTAACGCGTTCGCCGTGAAACCTAAAGGTCCCGAGTTCGAACCCTGGCTGGGTCGTGGGTGCATATTGCTGAGAAGTCCCATACTATTTGGACTAAACAGCTGTCTAGTGCTCCCAGATTTCCGATGGTTCCCTAACTGATGTCATTCCATGATGAATACTACTTCTAAATTAAAAATCCCAATTCATCTCAAATATACATTAATCCACATTAATATTTTACTTTGTCTTACTTTCATATGTTTTCACTTCATACACTAAAACTTCACCCATTCCTGTACCAACCCAAATTGTATCTTCATACGGGAGAATTACTGTGACACGTTGATGATTAAACGTGTAATCTTCTTCCTAGTTGGAACAGAAATACAAATGAAAAGTTTATAGAATTATCGTTCATTTTTTTCAAATAATTATAGTTTAAAAACCTTTTTTTATAATTTTTATCAACTTTGTGAGTCATAAGCGGTACTAACGATATCCCCTGGACCCTTAAAGAAGTATTACTATGGATTACTGTTCAACAGGTAGGTCAATTTCTTGATACCATCGATAAATAATGATCGATATTCATTGAGTTCAGTTGCTGCGCTGTTGCCAGCACACATATCCCAAATGGAAAATAAATAACTAAACGTGATGTTACCAACAAATTTAAAAGGTTCATTACTATCTCGCATAAAATTAATCATCATATTTACGTCAGAAAGTACAAATCATGTGCGGATCAAATTGTAACTCTACGCTATACATCATCATACAACAGAGTTTAGAATGCCAGTCAACTCAACTCTACCTCAACTTCATCGAATTTCAAAGGCCTTCAACTGCGTCGATCGAGAAGTAATTTGGCAACTGCTCCAATACTACGGAATACCAAAACCCCTCATCAATCTCACTCAACAACTATATGAATACGTCACATGCAAAGTGATTCACAATGGAAACGTGCTGAGTGACGCTGTTGAATTGAAGTGAAGATAGGAGTAGGACAAGGCTGTCTACTATGACCCATCATCTTCATGATTGTGCTCCACTGGACTGGGCTGGATCATGCAACAAACCGTGAGGAGCATGAACATGGGCATATCCTGGCTTTACCAATGAAAAGACCTTTGAAGAAGATTTGGATTTCGCCGATTAGCGGCTAGCAAGGGAGCAACCAACCAAAAACCTATTACCCAACAAATATGCAGAAGAAAGTGGAGATGGATCGGGAATACCCTGAGGAGACCATTCGGAGGCATCACGTGCCAGGCCAGACCGGGCCGTCGAGTGGAACCCAAATGGGAAACGACAAGTTAGACGTTGGAGGGTGACATGGAGGAGATGGTGTGAGGAATAAAAAGCTTGTGGGCAGTCGTGGCGCCATGTTGGAAAGACTGGAGAGAAGAGACTGGAATGAGGATGTGCTACTGAAGGCCTATGTTACACTAGGAACCCATGGGACAATCGTTATTATCATTATTATTAAGAGAAGATAATATTACTTTTACAGCTGGACTATTTAGATCATTTATGTGAGCTAAGAAGTACAACACCAGAGTGGAGTGTGCTGTCCTGGGGACTTAGAAATATTGTTTGATTCTACTAACACTTCGTACGTCAAAATGTACTGCCTTCACGCCTGTTTTGATTTTACACGCCGATCATATTCATCTCTTTGATAGACAAGTTTTAAGCCATAGGGATAAAAGAAGCGCATCTAGGTTACAATAAGTCTTTCATCCTCAAGACCTTCAGATCATTATATAATATTCAGCTGTCTGTTAATGAGTACCTGATCCATAGACTTGGGGAATCGCTTGACTTTCAATCATTAAGTTAAGTGTTCAAATCCAATTGGTGCTAATGAAGTTCAACCCAGAGATAAAATAGTTTCACCTTGATATTATGTATATGTAACCCATGAAATAAACTAGGACCTATCTCAGACTGTCAAACTGACAGTCAACATGATGCTTTCCATCTGTAATTCAACTTCATATGGATTGCGATAGAAAGACCTAACTAAGTAGCCAGTGTGAATACGATTACCAGACACCTGGGTATCAAGCATTCACGTGACAGTCGGGCAATCTCTTAGTGATAGAAGTACAACTAAAATCTGGTCACCAGTTGGGTCTCACAATTCACTAGGTAGACCAGCGTGGCAGTTGCCCAAAGACCGTTGTTTCGTATCTTGTCGTGAACCATATTTCCATTCCACTTTTAATCATAACCACTTAGTATCACTAAGAATCATGTAGAAGTTCTGATGAGAATTCGTAACCGATGGGACAAACTAATTTGAAAATGGAGAAAAATACTGAATGAAGACATTTTCTGAGGGTTGTCCCATATCGCAAATCGACAGGAGCAGTAAAATGTCGAATAATTAGTGCCGTTTCAATGGCTAGATAATAATAAAGTTTTTGAGATTTGGAAATATTTCAAGTTGTTATTCATCGTAAACTGACATGAGTTGGAGGAACAAAGGAAACCTGGGAGCACTGAACAGCTGTTTCGTCCTAGTGTGGCACTCCTCAGCAGTGCGTACCCACAACCCCGCATCACCAGGGATCGAAGTTGGAATATGGACCACTGGATTCTGACCTGGTGGCTCAATGGTAACGCGCTGGTCACGGAACCTGAGGGTCGTGGGTTCCCACTGCTGAGGAGTCTCAAACTAGGACGAAGCAGCTGTCCAGTTCTCCCAGGTTTTCTTTGTTCCTCCGACTCATGTCAGTTTATGATGAACAACAACTTGAAGTAATAAGGTTGCCATGAAACTTTAGCGTTCCTGTTTCAATCCCTATTAGCTTCATGGGTGTGTGTTGTTTATGAGTCTCAAACTTTGATGGAACAGGTGTCTAGTACTCTCAAGTTTTCGATGGTTCTCCCATTGATATCAGTCTATGCCATCAGTCTACAAAGTTCAAAAGTGACGAACAAACAAGTCAGTATTTATATCCATAATACTAACTTACAGGTCTCCGACTAAGATATGTTTCATTGGCAATATTGAATAGCAGAATACGCGTCAGCTTATTTGGATCCCATAATTCAATTACAGAACTACCACGAACAGCAATCCAAATACCATGTTCACCAAGACATAATTTTAATATCACATCCAATGGATTATTTGATATACTGACTTGTTTGTAAAAATCCATTGTCCTACATTATATGTTAGAATCGAAATAAACAATGAAATATAAAAGTTTTGTAATCACTTTTAATAATAAAATTGAGTTGAAAACATCATTCCGTACTAAAGTAATCTAAGATGTTGTGCAGTCATTTGGCAAAAGTATGATCAGCTGCCTACGCTCGATACTAATGATCAGATGGTCGGAGAGAATAAACAACAAGGAAATCTGGCTAACAATAAACCAACCAATAAATATGCTGAAGAAAGTGGACATTGTTTAGATTGGATTGGACATATACTGAAAAGATGGTTTGGGGATATCACGGATCAGCCCAGGCCAAACCCTCTAGTGGAGTCCAAATGGGAGACGACGGATTGGGCGCATGAGGATAACGTGGAGGAGATCGTGTAAGGGAGGAATGAAATATTTCGGAAAGTCGTGGGGCAGATTCAAAAGACTGAAGAAGAGAGAGTGGAATGGAGACGTGCTACTGAAGCCCTTTGTTCCACTAAGAACCTAAGGGATAAACGATGAGCAATAATAATTAGGAAAACCCATATAATCAACAGGTCAGTGAGAAATTATCTTCAAGTCTCATAGAAGGTTCATCAATTCCCTGGATGTTGTAGATACGCCGTGCTGACGAGCGCCGAAAAATGCAAAACATAAGTCAAAGACGGATCCCTGATGACTATTTCCAAACAAATAAAACCCGTGAAAGTGAACCTTTTAGCTTGATGGCTGAATTCTAGAATGATTGACAGAATTTGCTCAATACGCAGAACTAAACAACAAGAAGTTACTTACTTTCTAGTGATTAATCAATGTACAACATCTTACTTCATCAAGACTGGTTGGCAAACAATACAATCTAGAGGGATAATAAAGTTTTAAAAAGCTGTAGTAGAAGATATGAGACCAAATTTAGCCAATGTGGTCCAAAAAATTGAAGACTGAGAACGTGACGGTATCTGTGTTTGAATGTGGCAAACGTCTATCAATGCAATACTCTATTATATTTTCAAAGTACAAGGGTAAATCAGTGCATTGGTGATATCTAGAACTGTCAGTTATCTAAAAATTCAAAGTTTTTTCTACCATCTGTGGTCATACAAATAAGGTCGAAGGAACACGATCAACACGACTTCATGTAGTTGAAATGATTAAGGTGATAACTTTAGTCGATTACATCATAACTACTGTCTTGAACTATCCATAAAATTGGATTAATAATTTACAAATTCTTCAAAAGCTCTATGTATCATATTGACAGTTGTCACTGTGACTAACGTTTCTCAAAAAATCGAAGTGGGGTCAACAATCATGTACTATATTTGTGTAGTAAGCCACACCAATTGTGTGAAAACTAACGATACTTTGACAGGTAAACCAGTTCTCGAACTCATAACTATTTGGTTGAAAGTCAACTGGTTAAACCAATGAGTTACAGCTTTACAGAATAATTCTTCTACTTAACTACAAGTTTGTAAGTTTCGCTTCCTGAACATAACTGATGTAACCACTGAATATCCTTTTCAGCTGTCTTCTGGAACCATCTATATGGATTATGTATATATATATCTATGTTCAGTGGAGTGAAAATTCTAATCTATACGGTTAAAAAAAACAAGAGATTTAATTGATAAATGTTTCTTTTCAATCAGCTTTTCATCAGTAGCCCATGAATAACTCAGTGGTAAGATCTGTGCGTAATAACTCTAGGCGATAATAGCTCGAATCTTTTAAGGTAAATCGTTTGACTGAGGCTTCAGTAGTAATGGTTTATAGGATAGATATGGGAAACGAGTCATCTATTCATAGGTGACGCATGTTAGAGTATGTTATGTGAACGGCCAAGGTTAAGAAAGAGGCTTAGTGAGGTGAACTCCGTTGGCTTCTATGCTATGTAAAAAAACAAACTCGTAAAGCAGAAATAAGATTATAAGGAATGCGATAAATAACTTTGAAAATAAAGTTAAGATCAACTTGAAGCATCTTCTTATCTTGTTTATTTTTAAGTTAAACCTCAACAATGAGGCCATGAAACTCATCAGTTGACTCGTCTGACTGTTCACTCAGGTGTAACCAGCTCAAAATGGGTAATCATACTGGTAAAAGCACATGAAGGAGTTAAAGAAGGACAGTTTATCTTTTGTTTTGCAATGAATGTCAGATGTTTTGACACAGATTCATCGGTTTTATTTCCAACAAGCACCGGTTTTAGGAATAATAATTTGATTTGAAACTATGGATACGCTTGTTTACATGTTTACATGATCACTGATAAATCCATACTAAACTACAATATGCTTCTACTGTGAAAGTTAGAGAAATATTGTTTTCAAGTGTATCTCATCAGGCTTTACTCTAATATGCATGATTGTACAAATCACCAATAATGACAAGCGTGTAGGCTATGCAATCACAAAAGTAGTAATAATATTGGTAATATACGCTATGATAAGACTCTTAGAGACAGTATAATGACGTGAAGATATTTTCCGACAGATGAAGTTGGTCTAAGTGTGAAGAGAGATAATAAAGTTGTAGTCCTGGGCTTGATTATTCACGCCAGACACACACACACACACAGAGAGAAACAGAATCAACATTAAACCATGCATACAAGTGCATCGGTTCAAGTCGCTACACTTCACAGTAGTACACAAAGAACAGATAGATCGAATAAGAGTCATATCAAAAAAGATAAAGTGGTGTGAAAGAATAAGCAATCTGAAGATAAAGTTTAGTGTAAATATTCAAGCTTCAGAAGATGTCAAAATGTGAATACAGGTGCTCTATTGTGATCGATACTCAGTTGCTGATCCCCATCATCTCAGGGACCCCAGACTGGTAGTCTACATCTCCTTACACTACTCAGACCAACAAAACAGTCAGAGACTTCTTCGAATGACGCCAGGTTTCTTTCTCGCCACCATGAACCTCTGTTCCAGCCTAACCCGACTTCCCTTAGGTAAGCAGTGGCTTGTTATGTGCAACAAATGCCGAAGGAGAATTAGTATTTATCGATAAGAATTCCATTAATATGACAAGTCGCTTTCAATGTCTTTATATCAGTTCACCTGTTCCTGTGGAGCTAGATATATGTTTGTCGTTCGGTGAGTAGTTTTTGAAAATCAGCTGACGAACAGTATCTTTCACTGTTGAAGAAAGGTGTAAGTGGATCCATCAGAAGTGAAATCATCGGACATTTCATCAACACTGGTTACAAAACTCCACCAGATCCTTTATTGAAAAGAAAATGATGCGAAGTTTCTTAGCTCCTATGATGTTGTATAGATGAGTTCACACCTTTCACATTAGAAGGCTTTTGTTGTGATGCCCCAGTTTTGTAGAAAACATTGTTATCGATCTGAACATTTTTAATTTGTCATTCCCACACCATTTTTTTACGATATGACTAGTAGTCTACTTTTTGTCCCCATTGTAATGTAAATCGCTAATTGGTTAATGTTTACTCTTACTATGCAAATGCCTCAAATTGAGGGCAAGGTCATTTTTCATGTTTATACTTCTTCACGTGTTTTGGGATTGATTATTATATTCTCGGAGTAATACACTCTTCCATCATCCACCTTTGGTCTTCTCTCTATTCTTCATGGTGTTGCAGTCAGTGGCTCTTGCGTACTAAGTTAGCTATCAGTTAAGCATGCGTATTATATTCGTTTCGGCGTTCAAAAACATAACAGCCTTCTTGTGACTTTAAACAGTGGTATAAGAAGACGGAGGTTGTCTGATGTATTGGCACTAGGCATATAAATCTTATGATGACTTTCTAATGTGCATTTTGAGGCTGGTGAGGAAGGACGTCTGTTCCCTTCACTTATCAGACTATTCAAAGTCGTTTATTTCTGGCCTCATTTAGGTTCATCCTCAACCATTCTTAACGACATGTCATAAACACATATAAACTGCTGAACTTTTTTTTCTTATGTTATAGCTTGTAAGTCTTTGTCACTGAGTGAACCGAATTCATCGATCACTGTAGGCAATATGAACTCTTGTGCCAGGATTTCCAATTTTTGATAGTAATAATGGATAGTGGCTAGCGATAGCAACGTTTTAATCTATTTGAGACGCGAATCCTGGATTACATTGTTAGCTACTATCTATGAGTGATCATATCGTTCGAAATGTATAACGCTTATACTTCACACATGTTTCAGATAATCTCCGTCTTGTTATTATGCTGTTTGAATTTATCCAGTGGACTAATTGTTTCCAATTTCCTATAGCTACTGAAACGTATAAATGACAACTATTCAGGTGTAAAGAATGAAATCCTTCCGATAAAGGATTTTTTCTCAAAACGTCTTACCATCTTTCTCAATATTCTAATGACTATTTTTCTATATTGTTTTTTTTTTGAATAATTAACATATAATGTCAAAATAATATTAACACTTACTTGGCGTGAAATATGAATATAGAACTACCACTTGCACACCAAAGTTGATGTTTTGCCAGGAGTACAGAAGAAACTGGGATGAAACCGATTGTAATATAATAAAGTGAATCTGTAGGTTCTTCATAACCAACATTCTATAATGAAAGATACATTTAAAGGCGTAAATAAATAGGGGAAGACTTTCCAAATTTTATTGACCAGTAGATTTAGTAGATATTGGACAAAGAGGGACATAGGTCATGCTTTTTTTTAAACAATCCTAAGTTTAAGTATTATTTCTTGCATTACACTGTTATTGATTGGACCTAATCGATCAGTCTCTGTTGGTATATGAGCTCCTGTGCGGATGCCTCGATAAAGTGGCTACCAGTGGAATCTAGGACACTAAAACTATAGCCGTTGCACAAGAAGTGGCTATCGTGGATGTGTGGTGTAGTGGATAACGCTCTCGCGTTTGAAGCGATCGCTCCCGAGTAGCAATCCCGGTGGGGACAACATCACTCACTGGAAGGCAGGTACATCCAGCTGACGAGTCCGACATAGGACAAAATGCGCATCCTGGATTTCACTGCTAACCACTACCCATCACTACTATACATAATCCTAAGTTTAGTTACACAGGATAACGCCTGAAACAAAGTTACAAACATTGAATATTTACACGACTAGTGTAAGTTGAATTATAGACCTGTCAAGTACATACTGCAGCAGTTATTTTACACCACAGAAGTTGAGCATGAATATGCTTTTATCGCATGATCGATATTTTTGGCTAGGATTGTTGAGACAGAAAAGCAGTTGAGACTAGTCTCATGATAACATCTGTGATTGTAGCGTTGAATAGGTGACATTGAAGTGTCCCATCATATCATATTGAAAGAGAATTTCTTGTGACGAAATATACCCATTAATTCATGAGTAAGAACAAGGCATGTATCAGTTAAGAAGAAACATTTCTTTTCAATGACTTCATCATCAAGCTGTACAGTCGTATTTATACTCGGTAAAATGATAGATAATTGCACTGAAAAGAGACTTGCTCAGTCAGTATACAAAATATACAATGGATGTAGATAGTGGTATTTGTTCAAGTGGAAGAAATAGAAAATGGATCACTGAATAAGGAGGGACGAATTGATAACAAGTGGTGAGATAAGAGACAGGCACTTGTAGGAGAAATTTAACAGTGAGTTTATACCTGGACTACCATTTCTTTGACTGGAGTGGTGTAAAAATCGGGTCTCTGGTTCCAGTCCGACCACAGTCCGAACTTCCATTTCACCTTAAAACATCACCCAGTATCAATACTACTCTGGCAAACCACGACTATTTCAGGCAGTTAAAAAGATAATCAATACGATGCTCACCCTCTCATTCTAATTCGGTTCGGTTTGGATTGGAACGAGAAGTCCGGAGTCAGTAGTCAGTGTGAATACGATTAAGGGGGTAGTAACAAGTCACGAATCTACATAGTAGTTGCACAAAACCCATGGTGATTGAAGTGAAATAAAAATCTGTTCAGCAATTGAACTTCGTGGCTGAGTTGGTAGATTAGTGGGCTGGAAACTCTGAGTTTGATGTTTCGAACCTGGCCGCGGTCTGGATATTCATTCCCACATCAATCATCACCCAGTATCATTACCAAATATGCCTTGATGTTTGTTTAGTGAATACTGGTCCAATTCATTTCAAACCTACTTAGCATAATAAACAAATGAGTCAGAACCTAGACGAATTTCTTCTTCTGCATTAAGATGGTCAGTGCTCCTATATGTCTCATTCAGAGATATGGCGCATCACGAAAAGCATTTCCAACAAACTACACACATTCATCACATCACATTCATCATCACCTACACTCACTCGATACTCACACTGAAGATCAGATGACCAGAATAATGAGAATAAGCAACAAGGAACTCTGGTTGGCTGGCTGGCCGGCAACGGACCAACCAACCAACAAATAAACTATTACCCAACAAATATGCAGTAGAAGAAAGTGGAGATGGATTGAGTACGAACTGAGAAGACAATTCGGGGACATCACGTCATAGGCCAGACCGTCGAGTCGAACCTAGAGGGGAAACGACGAGTTGGACATCCGTGTCGAGGGTGACATGGAGGTGATCATGTGAGGAAGCAATGACAGCGTGTTGGCAGTGATGGAGTCAGGTTGAAAAGACTGTAGAGAAGAGAGTGAAATGGAGGCGTGCTACTGAAGTTGTATGTTCCACTAGGAACCCAAAGTAAAAATAATAATATTAGTAATGTAAATTTAGAATGAACCCAACTGGATATGTTCGACAAGCTGACATATAGGTACTAGACGAAATAACCTTGAAAATAATCTTTTCTTTTATAATACATCTTATCAAATATGTAATATGGATAATAAATAAATTAGCCATTTAGCTTACCTCGATAACAACTAATTCTCCATTTGTTAAACCAGCATAAACTTTATTTGTATGATCATGTGGAAAATAGACGGAAGTCAAGTCAGTAACACTGTCATGAATTGGTAATTGCCATATTTTCGCGCTTAACAAAGTAATACAGTAAATAATAATATTGATATCAATTTTACAATTGGTCTAGTTTATTACTTTATATATTTTATTATAAAAATAATGTCTAACCAGCTCAAAATTGAGGTGATTATTCCCTGGTCAAAGATCTGAATACACCCTCAATGAGTACTGCATTGTGATAACGTTACCACTAGAATATTCGAGCTACGATCGACTACTTATCAGAATGAATCAGATGTACGGTGGGTATAAATACTTGCAGAGATAAAGATTCTTTCGAGATTACAAATACGTCATGCTGATGTGTGCCCACAAGAATGGAACCTGAGTAGAAGATCTCTTGTTATCGATCTCCAACTATCTGGTCCCAATTAACAGCTCATAGTAATCGTAAGCCATATAGCTTTGTAGTCGTACTACACATTTGACCAGGAAGTCTTAAGTATCAACAAATATTATTTATTATTATTATTTATCCCTTGGGTTCCTAATGGAACATAGGGCTTGAGTAACAGTCTCCATTCAACTCTCTTCTCTGAAATCTTTTGAACCTGGCTCCATCACTGCCCACAAGCTCTCATCTCCTCCTCGCACGATCTCCTCCATGTCATCCTCACCTAGGATACCCAACTCTACGTTTCCCATTTGGGTTCCACTCGAGTGACTGGCCTTCCGCGTGATGTGTCCAGTCGGCCTTCCTAGTGTATGCCCAATCCATCTCCACTTCCTTCCAGTGCATATTTGTTGGGCGATAGGTTCTCCGTTGGTTCGTTCCCACAGTTCCTTGTTCCTTATTCTTTCCGGCCATCTAATCTTCAGTAACGAGCCAGCGTAAGCAGTTGTTGCTCAATGTCTGTAGTTTGTTAGAAATGCCTTTCGTAACGAGCCAAGTCTCTGAACCATATAACAGCACTGACTTGACGTTGGAAGTATCAAGAAATAGTAATGAATAATATCAGATTCATAAAACGTGGCCCACAGTGGCTCAGCCAGTGGTGCTCTGGCATTTGAAATGATGAGTGTGGACTCCGAGTCTCGATGTGTACATTCGTCTGACAAGTTTCAAGTCAGACAAAACGCACATCATGGGCGCTACTGTTAACCAACACCAAACGAGTTGGTCAGAAAGGTTCTGTCAATGTTTAGGACTAAACAAGATGATACTGAAAGACAGTAGTAGGGTACATAGGTAGACGTGAGGGAACTGGAGTACTAACAAACAATTGAATAACTCAAGAGAATGCAGTTAAATCTGGTTTGCCGCACTCGATCATCTCTTCCCTTAGCCTGAATGTATCACCATATTGGCTTATGAAGGTGACGTCATACAAGTCTTTATCAACGATTGTTCTCAAAAGACAAATCATTATTTAAGATTTCCGTATATGTCTGTTATAGCACAAAGAATTGTTTATTCTAAGGATTTTATATAACTTTTGATATTGACGAAGCATTTATTGTTTATGCTCACCATCTGCCCTGATGTCAGTCGTCATATTAATTCATGATTGACCTGAGGTATGGTTACTTCAGAATTCAATACACTGACCTTAAATGTGACATCCTATGACTGGTATGATATAATGAATAAGCTATTCTGGAAGCCAATAAGCCTCTTTCCAAAGAACAGAACTAACTTAACTGACACACTATAGTGGTGAAGTCCTAAAATCGGCAATGATCAATGCATATACGAATTTCCAAAGTAGGGCTAGGTCACAGTAATATTACAGTTACGCCCAGTTGGTATGTGATAACCAGCATGAGTTCATAACTTACTATTCATTTATCTGTCTAACTGATGGCATCTATTTGTCAAACAAAACACTAAGCGACTCTCTTATATACTGAAATGTTCATATTGTTATCTTGAAATGCTGTTGCCAATTTTCTGATGAAATAAGTAATCATTACAACTATAATTCACGCAGAAATCTAGTCGGATGTTTAATTTCCTTTAACTTTTTCAACATTATGAATTCTTTGTGAATGACAGAGACAGTGAAATGAATATTCAACCTTTGAACCAAACAATTTCGTCAATTTATTGAGTACAATCGGATTTCCCGATCACGAAACAACACAGTGATGAGTAAACTAGTTCATTCGAATAGAAGTGTACCGCTCTAGAATGGTTCAATAGTATGAGCTATATGAAGTCCATAAGTAAAATCTACTGATTTTATTTATCATTTTTTTTCCTTTAGGTTCCAAGTGGAACATACAACTTCAGTAGCACGCCTCCATTTCACTCTCTTCTCTACAGTCTTTTCAACCTGACTCCATCACTGCCAACACGCTGTCATTGCTTCCTCACATGATCACCTCCATGTCACCCTCGACACGGATGTCCAACTCGTCGTTTCCCCTCTAGGTTCGACTCGACGGTCTGGCCTATGACGTGATGTCCCCGAATTGTCTTCTCAGTTCATGCTCAATCCATCTTCACTTTCTTCTACTGCATGTTTGTTGGGTAATAGGTTGTTGGTTGGCTGGTTGGTTGGTCCGTTGCCAGCCAGCCAGCCAGCCAGCCAGCCAGCCAGCCAGCCAGCCAGCCAGCCAGCCAGCCAGCCAGCCAGCCAGCCAGCCAGCCAGCCAGCCAGCCAGCCAGCCAGCCAGCCAGCCAGCCAGCCAGCCAGCCAGCCAGCCAGAGTTCCTTGTTGCTTATTCTCATTATTCTGGTCATCTGATCTTCAGTGTGAGTATTGAGTGAGTGTAGGTGATGATGAATGTGTGTAGTTTGTTGGAAATGCTTTTCGTGATGCGCCATGTTTCTGAGCCATATACCAGCACTGATGTGACTGACGTTAGTATTGGAAATCCCGATCTTTTTCAGGCTATGTGCTGAGTGCAGTAGACCTCCACACTGATTTCAGAATAATTCAGGAAGGCCTGCCTTGCTTTTCCGATCCTGGTTTTGACATCCTCTTCTATACCACCGCCTGTGGTTGAAACGATGCTGTCTAGGTAGGTAGATGCAAGAGACTACTTCTTTAGGTTCCTCCCGCCAATGGTGATTGGTGCTTGTTGTTGATGCTGTTGTTGGTTGGTGTCTTCATCTCCTCTATCTGCTCTACATTCACTGGAAGTCCTGTCTTCACTGCCCTATCTTTTCTGTCAACTTGTTGGTTTTCGCCTGTAGATCTTCGAGTTAGTGCGACAAGACATTAGACATAAATCATCAGCGTTGGAGAAATTCAAATCTTCTTCTGTGGTCTTTTCATCTGTCCAACCAGCGTATGCTCATCTCCTCACTCCTCACAGTTTGCTGCATGATCCAGTCCAGTCGACCATAATCAGGAATATCATGTGTGATAGCAGGCAACCTTGTCTTACGCCTGTCTTCATTTCCGAGGCATCACTGAGCAGGCATCCATTGTGGATCACTTGACATGTAGCATTTTGTAGCATATAACTGTTGACTGATGTTGAAAAAGGTTTGTAACATCAAAGCCATAGTTTTGAAGCTGCTGCCTGCCAAATTCTTTCTCGGTTGACGCTTTCGAAGGCCTTTTCAAAGTCGATAAAGTCTACCAATAGACTGCCCAATCTCCTCTAACTTTATCGGTTTGCATATTTTCCACTTAAAATCACATAGACAGTATATTCAACTGTCTAGCAATAATAAGATGCGAACCTGACTCTCTCAATGTTTCACTTTAGTAATCCATCTATGTTTCGTTTAGGGGAGCGTTAGAGTGTCTATTTTTACAGCAAAGCCATCAAGTAAGATATCATACGATGGTCCAACAACTTTAAGTAGAAAAATATTCAATGATTGCCTTATTCTTAAGTAGACAGAAATTGATGGAAGAACAATATTGGAATAAAACAAGGTGACTCAACATGATCTATCTGCTTTCATCTACACCCAAGTGTTCTACTTTCTATCTCAGAAAAAAGTGATTCTAAGAACTATTCATAAAGCTCAAAAAATAAAGCAATACTTATCCTCTACTAGACACTAACCAGTGTATTGCTTTGTTTGGAGAAGTTTATTAGAAATGCATTCATTTCAACTATCGGAGAGGGCTGCAGTTTGTCAGATTGGTATTGGTACTGGGTATTGATTGGAGGTGAAATGAAAATTTGGATCGCGGCTGGACTGGCATCAGCAACCACTGAGTTTCTTGCTCGGAGAGCTTTTTAAGCTTTGTGGATACTTCCTGATTTATTCTAACAGGCGTAAAATTGAAAAATTTCCTGTAATAGCTTCAAACTTTATCTTCAGAAACTAAATTTCAGGATTACACAAATTTCGTTGAATTTACACTGAACCAGGGACTCATTGTAACGACGCATTTTAAGAAATCTACAGCCATTTCACTGGAGGAAGCAAAATACTTTGGGATAAGTCAGTGGACTCATCATCTACTAAATATCAAGTAGCGGATATTGTGGTATAGCATCAATTTGAGTGGAACTTCATTTGTGTCGAAACTGTTTCACTGTGTAGCATTTATTTAATGGTCAAGTACTGAACCGGTAACCTGTAGGTCCGCTGGCTTGAATTCTGAGGCAACTCACATTTTTCCTTTACACTCAGTGATCGTCAAGCATCAAGAAAACGGTTCTGCCAAACCAATAATATTTAGAGAACATAAATACATAAATAAAGCATACTACTCGTTAGTAACTCATATTTTGTAGCTTAATTTCTGCACCGCTCTCTTATATGTCAATATTGACAATATTCCATTGACTAACTTGATAATTTGATATTCCTCCATTTCGGTTTCTTTCAATTTTCAAGTTTCGATATACAAACTGGTTACTCCCATATCACCTTGAAAGATTTGGATTTCGCCGATAACGTGTGTCTAATGTCACACAAACTCGAAGATCTATTGACGAAAACTAACAAGTTGACTGAAGAGGCAGGGCAGCGAAGACGGGACTTCAAGTGAACGTAGAGAAGAAAGAGGTGGCGATGATACCCAACCAACGCCACCAACAAAAACAACAAGCTCCAATCAACATCAATGGGAGGAACCTAAAGGAAGTAGTCTCTTTCACTTACCTACCTAAGCAGCATCGTTTCAACTACAGGTGATGGCACAGACGAGGATGTCAAAGCCAGTCAGGATTGGAAAGATAGCAAGACAGGCGTTCAATAACCTGAAATCAGTGTGGAGATCTTCTGCACTCAGCATGAAGCGTGAACAACATCCGGGTTCTCAACACTAATGTCAGTCAAGTCAGTCAGTGTTTCTATATGATGGTTGAGAGACTTGCAACATCACGAAAAGCATTTCCAACAAACTACAGATATTGATCAACAACTGCCGCCTTCGCTGGCTCGTTACTGAAGATTAGATGGCCAGAATAATAAGCATAAGCAACAAGGAACTCACTCTGGCTAGCAACGAACCAACGGATTGAGGACCTATCACTCAACAAATATGCACTGGAGGGAAGTGGAGATGGATTTGGAATGCACTGAGAAGACCATTCGGGACATTACGCGCCAGGCCATTCATTCGAGTGGAACCCAGACGGGAAGCGACGAGTCGGGCGTCCGAGGCGAGTGTGACATGGAGAATATGGTGTGACGAAGTAATGAGAGGTTGTGGACAGTCGTGGAGCCGGGTTCAAAGGATTGCAGAGAAGAGAGTGGAATGGAGATGTATTACCGAAGCCCCATGTTCCACTAGGAACCTAGGGAACTAATAATAATGTCACCTTGAATAGATTGGTGGGTCATTTGATTCAGCTGAAAGTAAATAAAGCTGTAAAGTATGACAAGTTTTGTGGGTTATGAAGGCATACAATAACTCCTACAGGTATACAAATTTAAACTTACTTTTGACTCACTGAATAAGCGCATAACTGTTTCGACATCATGCCAAGCAAAACAATTTCACTATTGAATGCACATATGCAGCTTACACGAGAATCCAGCTAAAAGCAAACAAACATTGGTATTACAACCTTAAATAGCAAAATATAATGATTAATTTGAAATAATGGAGAGTATTTGTAGCTCAAATGGATGGTCTTAGTTGCATTGTGTTATCTGAGCTGGGTTGCTGAATCGTGAAGCTTTCATCGTCTTGCTAGACAGCAACATCATCAGCACTAACTTCAATATGAAGTGAGCTGTCAAGATCTCTCTGTCAATAATTTAGCAGCTTCCCATGACGAACTAGTTGGTGATTGATTGTTTCCTTTGATTGTTGTGTCATTGACTGACTGCATAGATTTCCTTGTTAGCTGTTACTCTGGCTGACCTCACACCTTTCTGTCATCTATCGCTTTTCTTACTGATTGACAGATTGCGTCTGTGTCTATACATCTATTGATTGCTGACTGACTGACTGACTGACCTCAATGCTAAGCTTCTAGGAATCCTCTGATATGCTCTGTGTTTCCCCCACCCCTCTCTCTCTCTCTCTCCCCAACATTTCTGCACTGTCGAAACTGAATTCATGTCCATCGTTGTTATCCACTTGCACTGGGGTGAGTGAAGAAATGTCATGTGTGACGTATAGTAGCCAATTGGTGTTCATGTAGAAGAAGGTGAGGAGGGTGACCACTCTCTGTCCAATGAAGTGTTGACTACATTTATTGTAGTTGGTTTTGTAAATGATATTCGACTTGTCTTCTTTGGTTGTTACATCCTTTGGTTTGCATAATAGTATTTGCATGGAATTTGTTGGTGTATGAGCCACATCATTCCCAAGTGGTTTCAGTAATCTTGTTGTGATTTCTGATATACCCTTTTTATATGGTAGGATGATGTGTTTATTGATTTCTGTCGTTAACTTTGTAGTTGATGACGTATGGGATAGGCATCTTGTGATAAAGTATCGTGGGTAGTCGTTCTTTTTGAGGATGGACATCAAGTAATTTTCTTCGTTTCTCCATGAAGTTGTTGTACTGCAGTGTGTTCTCTCTCTTTTGAATAGAGTCTGCAGGCAACTGATCTTGTGTCTTGTTGGGTTGTTGCTATTATAGTTGAGAAGGGATTTGGTCAGTATATGTTGGCTTCGTATACACTTGGGTTTCCAGCCTCCCCGTATTCGAGCACAGGAAGCCAACATATACTGACCAAATCCTCTGACCTCAGAAGCTCAAGGTTGTGCGTTGAATCTGTGGCAAGGTCATGGGTGTACACTGCTGAGGAATCGCATACAAGGACAAAACAGCTGTTCAGGGCTCCAAGAGTTCCACTTATTTTCCTTCTGATGTCAGTTCACTATGAAATACCAACTTGGAATCAATAAATAGATCCCAAAACACCTCGAAATTGATTTCTTGTTGCTAAATTGGGTCGACTTAGTCCACATCTGTTGTCAGATAGGTTCCTGTGGGGATACCTTGAAACTGCGTGGGTATTTATTACGTTGAAAATCTGTTAGATGGCTAGCAGTAAAATCCAAGATGCATGTTTCATCTCATTTGGAACTCGCCAGCTGAATATACTTACACCTTGGTGAATGGACCCAATACCTGTCGCTTTAAACGCTCAATACAGGGTTGAATAGTTGGGTGAAACTGATTGTAGCAGTACTGGAAAGTGTAGTGGTACTCGAGCTCATGACCTATTGTTTGAGAGTCGAGTGCCTAAACTGGCGACCAACAGCTACTTAGGTTTTTAGTGCTTCGATCAAATGGAAGACGCAAGAATTACGTAGATAATGTGTATGTAAAGTATATATATAAGGGAAATGACTGTTTTGATGCACTTTGACCAATGGAATACCTTTGCTCTTCAATTTCCCGTCGTAAAGCTATCTGCCAAGTGAACAAATTAAAAACTTTCCGATAGGAACTGTGAAACTCAGACAACTTCTACATGGATGTATATTGTATCCATTCTGATAGATTCTATACGTTCCAGTGACAAAGTTCATGAACCTGTGGTCATAGTTGTCTCATGAAATACAAGCCTCCTTGTTGACAGGTCACAAGCTACCATTGGCTGAAGACTCTTGAGGAAAGGACTTAAAAGGCTTCGAAGTGTTGCAGACGTATTCATAACCTGTACTCACCTAAATCATAATACTCCAATTTGTTATTAGTTGAACAGCCTATTCTTCTTGTTTTATGACTTTCTGCGGTTTTGTGAATGGCATTATCATTTCTTTGTCTTAATTACCTTAGACGCCCTTTTCGATATACATTATTTAGATGTATACCAATATAGGTGGTAGATATGCCAAGTTCTGTGTTGATGGTAATTGCCTGACTGGTTCCTATATCTAATCAGGTTTCAGATTAATGATTTGACTACTCCCTTGGGTTATACATACATTATTAAAGTTTTATTATGAAAAAGGCGTTGTCGCGTCACACACTTCTTCAGAATCAATAGCCTAGAGTTTGACGAGATTCAACACTGATGCTGATCTTGATAGTTTAACTGAACTCGCTAAACTGAAGGTACGCGGTCAAGCATCCTTGCCATTTGGCACGCTGTCGTGTTACGTTGTATTGCTCGTAATCGACTCTCTAGCCAGTTAGTTGGAACTCATCAGTATTTTGGCACAACCACCCAAATATACTATTCCATCCGACTAAGCTATTGTGTTCTTCCTTGATCTCGTATTCGTGAGTACATAACAAGTTCGAATAATTAGTAATTGACCTATATGTCCGTCAAGTTCACACCAGGACAATTCCTAAAGCGTCATATAACTTCACAGATTGAATGTTTGCTTTCTTTGAAGTTTAACTACAAATCTTAAGTTTTCTAGACTAAATAACTGGCTTCAGTTACAGCTTAGTGGAGAATTTATGTAAGAAAAGCCTTGTTATTTATAAAAGCACTTTTTGGTTTTTGACCACAAAAAAACTAATGAAGACACAGTACTGAACTTACTTCATAACCGATACTCTGCATACAGTTAGTAGGAATAACAACTTCGGATATCTGACTGTAAGATTTTTCACCATGACATATCCATAAATGTTCTATAAAATGAATATAAAAGTGATAAATTGATAAGATTGTTACCAAGTCAAACAAATAATCATCAATTCCAGGTAGAGGGTTGACTGTCTGAGTATAAAATGGCAGTCATTAACTTTGAAAAGGTATTTGACAGCGTCGGCCGACCAGTAATTTGGCAGTTGCTTCAACACTACGGAATACCACGAACTTTTATCAAACTTATTCAACGACTATATGAAGACGCCACATGCCAGCCAAGTAATTCACAATGGGAAGTTCAGTGATGCTTTTCAAGTGAAGACAGGAGTAAAACAAGGCTGTCTACTATCACCCATGATATTTCTGGTTGACGTGGTCTGGTTCATGCAACAAACAGTGAGAAGGAGAAGAGAAGGATATGCTGGACTGCGGAAAAGGACCTAGAAGATATATATTTCGCCGATAACGTGTGTCTAATGTCACACAAACTCGAAGATCTATTGACGAAAACTAACAAGTTGACTGAAGAGGCAGGGCAGCGAAGACGGGACTTCAAGTGAACGTAGAGAAGAAAGAGGTGGCGATGATACCCAACCAACGCCACCAACAAAAACAACAAGCTCCAATCAACATCAATGGGAGGAACCTAAAGGAAGTAGTCTCTTTCACTTACCTACCTAAGCAGCATCCTTTCAACTACAGGTGATGGCACAGACGAGGATGTCAAAGCCAGTCAGGATTGGAAAGATAGCAAGACAGGCGTTCAATAACCTGAAATCAGTGTGGAGATCTTCTGCACTCAGCATGAAGCGTGAACAACATCCGGGTTCTCAACACTAATGTCAGTCAAGTCAGTCAGTGTTTCTATATGATGGTTGAGAGACTTGCAACATCACGAAAAGCATTTCCAACAAACTACAGATATTGATCAACAACTGCCGCCTTCGCTGGCTCGTTACTGAAGATTAGATGGCCAGAATAATAAGCATAAGCAACAAGGAACTCACTCTGGCTAGCAACGAACCAACGGATTGAGAACCTATCACTCAACAGATATGCACTGGAGGGAAGTGGAGATGGATTGCGCATACACTGAGAACACCGACTGGGGATATCACACGCCAGGCCTTTCATTCGAGTGAGACCCAAATGGGAAACGACGAGTTGGGTTTCCGAGGCGAGTGTGACATGGAGAATATGGTGTGACGAAGTAATGAGAGGTTGTGGACAGTCGTGGAGTCAGGTTTGAAAGATTGCAGAGAAGAGAGTGGAATATAGACGTGTTATCGAAGCCCTATATCTGATCAGTAACCCAAGGAATAAATAATAAAATAATAAATCTAGTACTGCAGTACTGCAAACTTGCTGGCAAATTCCTTCGGGTTTTACAAGACTTGTCATCTTTTAATAGCATAGTAATGATACTCAGGGCTATGATTTAATAAACTACATACTCCCCTGTCAACCAGTGAAACACAGTTGTGAATCTCACTCGAAGCATCAGTATTTGGTCAACCTGACTATTCCACAGTAGGCGTTCCTTACTGTTCAGCACAATAACCTACATACGATTATTTTTTTGTATAGTCAATTATTGTTTACGATTTAACATTGCAGAAGCTCCACAAAGTAGTGGCTGGATTTCTATACCACTTTAGAAGAATATAAAGCTTCTGGAAAACTAAACTTTACTTCAAGAAATCAACTCGGTAAAATAATCAAATATACAAGTACCGTCTAAAAATTTCGGTGAACTGTTTGAGTTCAAGAATGTCCCCATGGCGTTTCAAATCAGTCGCTTAATGACATCATGTTTATCATAAGCTCTTAAAAGCTCTGATATGACTCCTTGTATAGAAATGTTAGCATACATTGCTCAAGAGTTTAAAATTACAATGAGAAGACTATCTACTACTAATATTAAAATAACAAATCACAGTAAAAATTTTAATCTGTTTTAGTTCATTGAAATAAAGGTGGTTAGCGAGTTAGGTGCGTATAACAGACTGAGATTTCATTAAAAGCTACACAGCTTGGAATCAATTCGACAGGCCAAACCAGGTTACTGTACTGATAAATCCCAGCCAGTAGAAAGCTATTTTAGAATCCCTACAACTCCTTTAAAATCCAATTGAACTGGTGCTCATTGGCGACTAGCTTTGAGAGGTATTCCCGAAGTTCCAATGAGAAGTCGTGACCGGTGTGGCCAAAGCCTGATGGTCATGGGGACAGTTATTCAAAGATGACACTGGGTGGCGGTTGCGCTGTATCGTGAGCTAACAGAACTTGAAAATATGGACCACTAGACTCTGACCTAATGGCTTAATGGTAACGTGCTGGTCACGGACCCTGTAGCTCGTGGGTTAGATCCCTGGGGGCGGGTTAGTGGGTGCGTACTGCTGAGGAGTCCCATGCTAGGATACCTAGGTACCTACCACTCGAAAGAGAACTCTTATGGTGTCCCTTGCCCACACTATTCGAACAATATGCAGCATCGACAGTTTAGAAGAAGAAGAAGAAGTCACGTTTGTCTAAAGGGTTCTGACTCGAAACGGATATCCAGCACGATTTATTGACAAAATATCTATGATCCAAATCACAAAGACAGAAACCCATTTCACTTCGAAAAAAGATATTATGCGTGAACGTTGACTTGGGAGGTGATCTCGGTGCTGATGTCTTGAAAATAAGAATGTCAAACTGGCTACAGAAAACGTTGCTCACATTAACCTTGGGAGTCGTATCCTCCGGTTGTCCACTACCTCCTGACAACCCGGAAGATAAGCTTCCCCATCTGACTACTTCCATGTGTATTCTTCAATTCGTCTACTCCAATGGAATGAGGTGTGTAGGTCGTTCGATGTGCATCGTTTCGTAACAGGTTAAAGAACATTACCTGGCTTGTCTGAAAAGAGGTGAGATTGGATCCACGAGAAGTGTAATAATTGAACACTTTGTTGACACTGACAAAGTATCACAACTGATTACGCCTTCATATTTATGTAGAGGGTGAGAGGCGATTTGTTAAATGTGGTGTGTTTTAGTCTTTTTTGTAGTGTATGAGATCATGTCACATTGATGGAGAAATCGGAATCACATACATGAAAGAAATGTGTTTATAATGTAGGTGTGAGAACTAAATAATCGTCAAGGTAGAAGTCTAAATTTAATCGATTTTCTTTTAGGTAACTCATGATTACAAGATACAATTTTTTAAAGTAGAACATACCATCATCATAGAATGTGATAGCTTGAATTACAGCCCGATTATCTTTGTTATTACGTCTACGTTGAACACTATGGTGCTATACATAAGAGATAAAGCAAGAGATAAAGATGCAATGGGTTAATATGTGTCAAGAAATGTCGTTTTTCAATTTTCTGATAAGAATAGATAGATAGATAGATAGGTAAGAACAACGCGCAAATTATTAGAACTACTTACAACTTTATATTGTTGCTGAGATTATCAGTCTCTAGGGGTATGCTACAGCATAATGCTTCTATTTATCACCTTCGTACAGAGATCAGTAATGAGATATCGAAGCCTTTTGTTTATCTTCTAGCTAAAAAAAGCTACATCTTCCTGGTTTCTCAATAAATTTTAGTCATTCACTATCTTAGAAAGCTTCTTCTTGAAGACCGCTGACAAATACCTTAAAAATGACTCACAGAGTGAGAGAAATATGGCCTGAGTTATTCTAGTGTTCACTTCATCAATTGACTGTACAGAGTAAAGTCTATATTTTCTGATCACATTCTCGCAATTATTATTATTTGTCCCTTGGGTTCCTAGTGGAATATGGGGCTTCAGTAGTACGTCTGCATTCCACTCTCTTCTCTGCAATCTTTTGAACTTGGCTCCACGACTGCACACAACCTCTCATTACTTCGTCACACCATATTCTCCATGTCACACTCGCCTCGGACGCCCGACTCGTCGCTTCCCGTCTGGGTTCCACTCGAATGAATGGCCTGGCGCGTAATGTCCCGAATGGTCTTCTCAGTGCATTCCAAATCCATCTCCACTTCCCTCCAGTGCATATCTCTTGAGTGATAGGTTCTCACTCCGTTGGTTCGTTGCTAGCCAGAGTGAGTTCCTTGTTGCTTATACTTATTATTCTGGCCATCTAATCTTCAGTAACGAGCCAGCGAAGGCGGCAGTTGTTGATCAATATCTGTAGTTTGTTGGAAATGCTTTTCGTGATGTTGCAAGTCTCTCAACCATCATATAGAAACACTGACTGACTTGACTGACATTAGTGTTGAGAACCCGGATGTTGTTCACGCTTCATGCTGAGTGCAGAAGATCTCCACACTGATTTCAGGTTATTGAACGCCTGTCTTGCTATCTTTGCAATCCTGACTGGCTTTGACATCCTCGTCTGTGCCATCACCTGTAGTTGAAACGATGCTGCTTAGGGAGGTAAGTGAAAGAGACTACTTCCTTTAGGTTCCTCCCATTGATGTTGATTGGAGCTTGTTGATTATGAGTACGAATTAGATCAAGGTTGATGACTGTTTTTGAAATCCATTTGGTGTTTAATGAAGGTTGATTGATTTCTGTGTAGTATTTATTATGAACTGACATCAATTGAAAAAAATATCTGGAACCTAGGAGGACTGGACATCCATTTCATCTCAAATCGGGACTGTTCATTTGCACCAAGTTACTACCTCAATAGTTATCAAGACCAGGACCGTGAAGTTTTTTACCAAGCATGTGAACATTCCAGTGGCCACTAACATCATTCATTTCTATTGAGGAGTATTTATCCTCATAATCAACTTCATATATCATGCATAACTTGATTTCGTGACAACAGTAAGCTTTATCAAGTCACTTTTCTTGTGGAGGTTAAATCTAGTTCACACATATTGTTTGCATACTTCCGAACGTTCCAACTGGTTATCCCTTCTCCAGATTGACAAAATTATTATTATTATATTTATTTTCCGCTTGGGTTCCTAGTGGAACATAGGGATTCAGTAGTACGCCTCCATTCCACTCTCTTCTATGGAGTCTTTTCAACCTGGCTACACAACTGCCCACAAGCTTCCATTTCTTCCTCACATGATCTCCTCCATGTCACCATAGCCACGGACGCCCAACTCATAGTTTACCTTTTGGATTCCACTTGATGGTCTGGACTGGTGCGTGATGTCCCCAGTTGGCCTTCTGAGTGTATGCCTAATCCACCTCCACCTTCTTCCTCCTCATATTTGTTGGGTAATAGGTTCTTGGTTGGTTCGTTCCCACAGTTCGTTGTAGCTTATTCTATCTGGCCATCTGATCTCCATCTTCAGTATCAAGTGAGCGTAGGCTGCAGGTGCTGATGTGATGTATGTGTGTAGTTTGTTGGAAATGCCTTTCGTAATGCGCCAAGTTTCTGAACCATATTAGCAGCACTGCCTTGGCATCGGTGTTAAAAATTCGGATCTTGTCCTTTATGCTGATTGCAGTAGGTCTGCACACTGATTTTAGATTGGTGAAAGCTTGTCTTGCTTTTCCGATCCTGGCTTTGACATCCTTCATCTGTGCCGCCACCACCCGTAGTTGAAATGATGCTGCCTAGGTAGGTGAAAGAGACCACTTCCTTTAGGTTTCTCCCGCTGGTGGTGATTGGTGCGTGTTGTTGATGCTGTTGTTTGTTAGATATCTTCATCACCTCCATCTTCTTTAAATTCACTTGAAGTCCCGTTTTTACTGCCTCGCCTCTTCTGTCAACTTGTTAGTTTTTGCCTGTAGATCTTCGGGTTTGTGCGACAAGACATTAGCCATAAATCATCATCAGAGAAATCTAGATCTTCTAGGCTCTTTTCACCAGTCTAGCGTATGCACATCTCGCTCCTCACGGTTTGTTGCATGATCCAGTTGACCACAATCAGGAAGATCATGGATGATAGCAGGCAGCCTTGTCTTACTCCTTCCTGTCTTCACTTCAAAGGTGTCACTGAGCTTTCCGTTGTGAATCACTTGGTACGCAACGTCTTCACATAGTTGTTAAATGAGGTTGATAAAGGTTTGTGGTATTCCCTAGTGTTGAAGCAGTTGCCAAATTACTTCTCAGTTGACGCTGTCGGATGCCTTTTGAAAGTCGATGAAGTTGAGGTACAGTAGAGTTGACTGGCATTCTATACTCTAATCTATGATGATGCGTAGAGTGGCGTTGCAATTTGGTCCGCACATGATTTGTTCTTCCTTAAGCCGACTTATTCCGGTGGTAATTTTGAAGCCAGTGCATCCAGATTGATAAAATAGAGAAGTTTAATTGTTTATTTAAGTTATTACTAGTATGGTCTTTTGTATGCTACTATGACTTATACTGCAATCCTTTACGTCATACTTACAAATATGATACTGTGATAATCCCACTAGAAATGCAAACCTATAATAGTGATCAGTTTTGTAAGCTGTTTACATTGATTTCAAAGTGGTAGGCCATATGAAAAGTACGAATCACTGTTAGTATTTGTGTTCTGTCCACAGACGTCCGAAAATCCTAGTCTTCGTTGTTAGTATTAATTAGAGTTAAAACTTTGTCATTTCGACCACCTGAGATAGCCGTGGTTTGGCAGACTAGTACTCATATCGGGTGATTATTGAAGGTGAAGCGAAAATTCAGACCTCAGTCGGACTCGAACCAGGGACTAATGAGCTCCCGGCCCGGTGCTCTACCAGATGAGCTACGAGTCCTAACTACTGACCAGATTTATATTTCACTTCAGTCATCAAGGGTTTTACCTGACTGCCATGTGAATTCTTGACGCATTACTACTGCTTAATCGTACTCACACTGGTTTCCCAGTCAGGACTTCTCATCCCACATCCCATGGTCACTGATTGAAATCCTGTCTTGGTCCAAATTTGTACTTCACCTTCAATCATGCCACTTCCTCTCTAACACAGTCCTGATCAAGTAGCAGTAACGTATCATGAACTCACATGGTAGTAGGGTAAAGCCCATAGTGATTGAAGTGTAATATGAAAATGATCAGCACTCGGGTCTCGCAACACAGTTGATAGAGCTCTGGCCTGGAAACCCAGTGGTCGCTGATCCGAATCCGGCAGCAGTCCAAATGTTCAGTTCACCTTCAATCATCACCCAGTATCGAGGTTTTTATTTGTTTAAGTAACAATGTATTTAAAACTAAGTAATTCTAACCCTTCTTGTAATTAGTCTGGTCTGTGGTTATTTAGGGGAATAATCAAAATTTCAAATATGAAAGACATATCAATGAATTCAAGAATGTATACTTAATTGTCTTGTTCAATCCTCCTTGTAAAGTTCTTGTCTTTCTCAAATATGATTACTAATCACCTAGTGTGAAAATGTATTACTTTTGTTGTATGTCGTATACGTTTTTGTGTGTGTGTTGTTACTCATATTCTCCCTGACTGTAAAAACAAAACTATAAGGTCACAGGGGACATTGTAGTCATTCATTAATTTCACGAGAACAATAGGGCATGTGAGATGGATATATGTGTCATTCAGTTTGATTTATACCGATAAATAGTATCAAGAATTTCGGAGAAGAGGTCTTTTATTCGGTGATTTCATTCTGTACAAACGTACAGTCACAATTTATACATTTTTGTTTGTATATATTCGATGGTTATAAGAATTATTCAATTGGACCTGATAACAAAGATCAAGCTGAATGAAGATCAGGAATTCACAAGTCTGATGTAAGGTATTTAACACTTACCACCTCTCACTTTACTCCTCAGTTGAAAAGAAGAAAGGGAATCAAAAATTCCATTTTCGAGTGCAGAACTCACCAAAACAGATCAGGTAACACTACAAAGGTCTGTCGACAAGAAACCTATATGGAATTTATACAGCTGTGTACCTACCACTCGAAAGAGAACTCTTATGGTGTCCCTTGCCCACACTATTCGAACAATATGCAGCATCGACAGTTTAGAAGAAGAAGAAGAAGTCACGTTTGTCTAAAGGGTTCTGACTCGAAACGGATATCCAGCACGATTTATTGACAAAATATCTATGATCCAAATCACAAAGACAGAAACACATTTCACTTCGAAAAAAGATATTATGCGTGAACGTTGACTTGGGAGGTGATCTCGGTGCTGATATCTTGAAAATAAGAATGTCAAACTGGCTACAGAAAACGTTGCTCACATTAACCTTGGGAGTTGTATCCTCCGGTTGTCCACTACCTCCTGACAACCCGGAAGATAAGCTTCCCCATCTGACTACTTCCATGTGTATTCTTCAATTCGTCTACTCCAATGGAATGAGGTGTGTAGGTCGTTCGATGTGCATCGTTTCGTAACAGGTTAAAGAACATTACCTGGCTTGTCTGAAAAGAGGTGAGATTGGATCCACGAGAAGTGTAATAATTGAACACTTTGTTGACACTGACAAAGTATCACAACTGATTACACCTTCATATTTATGTAGAGGGTGAGAGGCGATTTGTTAAATGTGGTGTGTTTCAGTCTTTTTTGTAGTGTATGAGATCATGTTACATGGATACAGAAACATTCGCATATGCACGAAAGGAACGTGTCCAACCTTGGCGGCTACTTTAGATGAAGTAAACTGCTAACAGTACATACACATAACAGAGCATAGTCGGGCAAAACTCTTAGTGATTGAATTGTTATGAAAATCCGATTAGCAGCTGGATCTCTTAGTCCAGTTGTTCGGACATCGGGCTGGAAACTTGATGGTCTCTGGCTCGAATCTGGCTATGGTCAAGGTCTTCATTTCACCTCTAATCAACACCCAGTGTAAATACATAAGGCTCTATCTCATTCTTATTATTCACAATTTTACTAAGTTTCAAGGTGTATTTTAGTAACATGATATCGCCTTCATTTTGTTTTCATGCTACCCTTGATCATACTTCATCCTGGATATTATTTTTGCATATTATACTGTTCGACAGTTAAATTGTTTACTTTGCTCTTTTGTTGCTATTTTTCACCCTGCATCACTGCTGTGAATTTCTGGTGTCCATTCAACTTAGTCACTGCTACTGGGTTTAATTGAAGAATTTTTGTAATTATATATATATATATATATATATATATATATATATATATATATATATATGATGTACTTGGCTGTTGCCGATCAAATTGCAGTGCTACCCATCATCATAGAAAAGATCATAGAATGACAGTCAATTCTTCACCTCAAGTTCATCGACTTTCAAAAGGCCTTCAACCGACAAGTAATCTGGCAGCCACTTCAACACCACGGTTTTAATGACACAAACCTCTATCAACCTCATTCAGCAGCTATATGGAGACGCCACATGTCGAGTGGTTTACAGGGGAAAGCTCAATGATGTCTTTGAAGTGAAGACAGGAGTTAGACAAGGTTGCCATCTACAAGCACCGATCATCTTCCTGGGTGTGGTCGACTGGACTGGATCATGCAACAGATAAGTATGAGGAATGAGAAGATGGGAACACGCTGGACGTACGAAAAGACTGTAGGAGATTTGGATTTCGACGACTGTAATTTATGTTTATGTCGCACAAACTCGAAGATCTACAGGCTAAGACTAACAGGTTGATAGAAGAGGTGAGGCAGCGAAGGAAGAGGGGACTTCCTTCAGGCGAACGCAGAGAAGAGAGAGGAGGTGAAGATACCTAACCAAAATTAACAACAACAAGCACCATGAAGAGGAGAAACCTAAAGGAAGTTGTCTATTTCACATATCTAGGCAGCATCGTCTCAGCTACAGGTGGGGGTGGCACAGATGAGGATGTTAAAACCAGGATTGGAAAAGCAAGATAGCCTTTCATCAATCTGAAATCAGTGTGCAGATCTACTGCACTCAGCATAAAGCCTGAACAATACCCGGATTTTCAATACCAGTGTCGGTCAAGTCAGTCAGTGCTTCTATATGATAGTTGAGAGACTCAGCGCGTTGCCAAAGTCATTTTCAACATACCGCACACATAAACCACATCAACGGCTGTCGCCTACACTCCCTCGATACTGACACTGATACTGAAGATCAGATGGCCAGAATAGTAAAAATAAACAACAAGAAACTGTGGCTGGTAAGGAACCAATCACGAACCAATCGCCGAACAACTATGCAGAAGAAAGTGCATATGGATTGGGTTGGATTGGACATTTGCTGAGAAGACCATGCACAAATATCACGCACCAAGGCAGACCAGGCCCTCGAGTGGAAGCTAAATGGGAAACGACAAGTTGGGCGTCCGGGCTATGGTGATATGTAGGAGGTGGTGTGAGAAAGAAATTAAAGCTTGTGGGCAGTCGTGTAGCCATGTTAAAAAGACTGGAGAGAAGACTGTGGAATGGAAATGTGCTACTGAACCTCTATGTTCCACTGGGAACCAAAGGACAAAAAATAATAATACTTGGCTGTGGCCACGAGAGGATACTGGGACGCACATTTCGTCCTGTCTGGGGCTCGTCGGCTTGATGTACCTGCAGCCCAGTAAGTGGTGTTGTTCTCACTGAGACTCGAACCTCGCATCCATCGCTTCAAACGTTTCATTGGCCCAATGAATAACGTTTTGACGTTTGAAGCAATGGACGCTAGGTTTCAGTCTAAGTGGGCTGCAGGTACATCTAGCTGACGATTCCTAACTAGGACAAAACCCGCGTCCTATATTGCTCTTCTAATCACAACCAAGAATATTACCATAACATATATTCAGACAATACAGAGGCATCCTCATTTTAGCCCGTATGCCAGTAGAGGTTAAACAGTTCGATGCAGTAAGACAACGGAGAAGTACAAGCATATCAATCAATAGTAATTGCCTAATGTAGTTAAACAGAGGTTTATAAATTGCGATTGTACAGCTATGGAGAATAAAATCAACGAGGAAAACCTATCTTCGCTGAACTATTTTTCTTTAATGCCCCGATAAGGTTTTTCTGTAATTTGATGATTAGTATTAACAAATACTTTATTGATTTGTTGGAATAAAGTGGAGATGAATGGGAATAATAATAATAATGGAGTCAAATCAATCCAGAATGTTTATTTTTGATATGGAGATGATGAAGGTAAGACTAGTATTGAAGATGAATGCTGGAATCACTGTTTCTGCCTACCAGTTAGTAATTGTGAAGAGGCAACTGTTCAATTTATTTAGATTTTCCCACATATGCAGGGCCTTGGTTATCAATCTAGCTTAGTTGATAAACATTACAAACTCAAGGGGCAATACTATGAAATACCATACTTACGAAAAAAAAATACACTAACGCCTCAGTACAATTCATGCCTAATACAATTACAGTAAAGTGAAATATATACTAGACTTTGTATATTTACTGATTAAAAGGAAAAATCATTTATATAATTAAACACATACTACTCCGTTATCAGCATATTCATCCACTGACTCCTTCATAACATTTTGCCAATAACCTTTCTTTTCAAACATTTTCTTACTCAATATATCATAGTGATATGCTCGACGTGTTGCAATCAATTGTGGCTTGGGAAATGGTCGAAGTTCTTCAAAAGCTGTCTGTCAAGAGAAGGCAATAGAAAAAGACAATATAAGTTTGAAATATTTAATTCATACAGAAAGTATTTTCAATCAAGTGCTATAGCTTAACAATAGTAGGAAATGGAATAAAAATGTAGACCATGGCAAGATCCGAACCAGCGATTACTGAGCTTATGGCCCAATGCTGTGCCAACTGAGCTTCGAAGTCAGGCCGGAAAACCGGTGGTCGCTGGTTCGAATCACGCAGCGGTCAAAATTTCCACTTCACCTTCAATCATCATCCGATATAAATATTAGTCCGCCAAACTAGGGCTATCTGATATAGTCAAATGATAATAAATAGTTTAAAGATCTTTTAAGATTCTATGTTTATGCGTTGAAACAAAATGATCAACAGTAGATTCTTTGTAACTACAACAAAATTGAGCTAAATTTTGAAATCTACTGTTGAGTAATTTCAGTAGTCAGGTAATATATGTACTCATAATCAGAGTTCCCTAGTCACACTATGCACACTCTAACATTCGATAATCTTTCTACATACTGAAGGCCAACGCCATCTAATTGGTGAGGTAAATGGTGATGAAGAATAATTAGTACACTTCCTAGTTCCTGTGGAAGACGAAGGTTCACAACATCAACCGATTTACCTTTTCAACCTAATATTAAATGATTCCCTCCCCATGTTACAGAGACACCTAATGACTTGTCCCTTCGAATCATGTCTTACAACCATTGGGCAAGATACACTTGACTGTTGCTCAGTACACTGGCCTGATACAACGTCCCACTTTGGGAAAGTGGCAAAAAGACTTTCCCACCCTATCTACTATCTTTTATACTGGAGCAGGCGTATAGTAGTCTTTCAGTGTGTCAGGTGTAACAAGCGTAAAATGCACAACAAACAGATACAGACTTCGACTCAAATTGTTCAAGGTTCATGGTGTCAATTTTTATTACTTGTTGTGTGGATGAATTGCGTATACGTGACATGGCAATTATATTGCCAGACTAATCATGCGAGTGGTCAGCGTTTGAAGTGAATCAGGAGAATAGTGTGGTTCAGAAATTACTATTATACAGAGACATAACTTTAACTAGATATGATAACTGTGGATATTTATGGGGGCACCAATGTTTGAACTTATATTAGATGATAAATATTAACAAGCCATTTCATGGATGACTTCATTCAGACAGTGAGACAGTTTAACAGTAAAACGATATCCCTCAGTCGAAGTGTGAAGTAATGTTGTCAGATCAGAAAAATATGGCAGATGTTCGATTCAAATCTATTCCGGGTTTTAAAACTGCCCGGATTTCTCGAGTAAATTGCTTTCTAGCTCCAGACAAGTAATGAATTTGAATTCAATTCAAATACTATTAAGTATCTATGAGCACTTTCGTATCGCAGACAATCAGCCACATCTGTTATGTGATATCTGACGCCACTACCTGACTACCAAGACCTCAGAAGACGTAACTTGGTTCTTGCTTGTGACTCATCAGTTGGACATCGAATGTCTAGAACAATGACGTACAGCTCTAACTAGAATAACGTTTTATTTTTATATCATCCAGAGTCATAGGACTCATGTATACTGTGTAGAAGCAATTGGTGGAGGGCTGATATTCATCATGAACTGACATCGGCTGGAGAAGCACTGGAAACTTGAGAGCATTGGACAGCTGTCTTGTCTTCTTGTCGGACTCGTCAACAGTGGGCACTCATGACCTCATCAGAGGTCGAACTCAGGATCTTCAGGCCCCGTGGCCATCAGATTACCATTGAACCACTGGGTTAGCATCCAATGATTCATATTTCCTAGTTCTATCTGTCTACGATATAGTAGGACTTCAATCCATTGCGGTCACTAAGTTACTCCTGAGGTCGGTTCCTGAGCGGGGTCATGGGTGCTCAGTTCTGTGGAGTTCCGTACAGAAGCACCTCACCTTTAGAGAATTTCCTCTGAAATAACTAAGGATTATATCATAAAATAAAAACAAATGGAAGTTCCACTTCGATGATATCAACCTTGAAAGCGGAAGTAATGAGATTTAACAACCCATTTACAAACTATCTGTCTAAGAGGCATAGTTTGCGGGCTTCTATTATTGATTTTTACTAAGGTGCAAAGGGTGATCTTTTCAATTTATTTTATTGTGCGAAGCACACATAATATCTAGATAAACTGAGAAGAAGAATGAGTGGAATATCTTCGAATAATCATGTCGGTGAATAGCTCATGATTTGTTGGACTTGACAGATTAAAATTTTAAAAGACATCACGATGATTTAGGCTATCTCAGCAGAAGGAAGAATGACTTTATGACGCTCAAATACAAGAGAGGGACTTCATTAAGTGTTATCCCACAAGGCTTACTTGATATGCCTTGTACAACCATCTAATGTCAGTTTATGAACAACATATGAATGCTAGAAACAGCATTAGATTATTTCCGCTGTAATACAGTAGTCAGCATCCACTCTGTAATGACTAACACTACTACCGATTAGTTTAAATTGAAGTAAGTGCGATGAAACTTGCTGAGAATATGAGACTCTTTGATGTTTTCCTATGCCTAATGAATAAACTTGCTAACCAAACAAAAATCTGTCACTTTGAACTTTTTTAGTCCATATGTTAAGTCGAGGTCACATGATCTGTGTAACAGGTTTGCTGTAAACATAAGATATGACGTCGTACCGGTCACATATTAAATTACCAATTCTTACTAGGCCAACAGTGGAATCCTGGAAGCACGTTTCGTTCTATGCTCAGTTTGTCAGCTGAATGTACCTGCTTCTTAATGAATTAACTGCTGGGTGTTACGCATCATTATCATCAAATTAAAATTACCACCAGTATCGAAACAGCTGTGTAAGAGTCCATATATCAACAGTGATTGACCAATTAGGCCAAATCAGCTACTGAATAGTATGAGGTATAAAATCTGTTAAGTAACTGCTTGGCTATATGTATCTTGGCTGCAAACGTAATTTTTTTCTCATGAAAGTGAGAAAACTGATTAGTTACTTCAGTGAATTATTAACTAGCTTTCTTATCCTTCCACTCACTCAATGTTAAACAGAACTTAATTGGTAATCTGTTTTCAAGAAGGACTCTGAAGGTCACTCTAGCACAAATTAGATCTATATATTGCGATTAGATAAGTGATTTTCTTAGAAAACAAATAAATCAAATTGAATATTTCAGTAGTTGGTAAGATGACTTTTATAGTCAATCGGTTTCATAGCAAAACTTCTGAAGAAATCCTCACTTTTTCAAAATCTTTTCCGATCTGCTTAAAAACAAAGGTACCCCTCAAGGGATTCTCCTAACTACGAGGTTTCAAACACCATGAACTATAAGATGTTTTAATTGTTTTCAATCTCTGATCTAGAAACAATTTACGACTTATATAATTTTAGCAACTTTTTATCCCGTCATCATATAGTCCTGTAGATTGACAAACTTTTATTTATTCATCCATCCATCCATCCAAATCAACATAGGACCGGGCATTGCTGCGTAACAATCCGAGTTGCCACACCTGATATCACCACATCAGCTAAATAGGCAGTGAAGTGGAACATGAAGAAAAAGAAAATTCACTCAGAACAAATATAAAGTACTAAGAGAGAGAAAGGAAGAATGAGGAAATGGTGAAGTTCGGTATAGTGTCGTTAAGATGAGGATAATGTGTGTATGTGTATACATCTACTCCACCGACATGCGTTCTGAGCCTTATCACCTAGAATCAATCTACAACCACCGGTTTGTCTTGTCCTGCGGAACCCAACCACCTAGTCTGCATCGCCCCATTCGGCTAAAACCAGAAGTCAAACACTTTATACATTGATGCCATGTTTTAGTCTGACCACATCGAGCCTTTTTCCAGCCTGCACCTACTTCGGTCAATATTGTGTGACGAGGCAATCGGCAACCAGGCATACGTAACACATGTTAGGGCCAACCATCTCAGTCGATGAAACTTCCCAACCATGTCAAGTGAATTACCTCTTCCCTCTAAAACCCTACACCTGACTTTGCATTAATCACGTTATGAAACCATGGAATATGGCCTATACTACAAAGGTGACAGTAATCATGTTTTCCACCTTCAATGGCTATCTTTTGCAGCTATACAGTGGAACAGACCGGACTCCTGAGCAATACACGTGACCCTTAATAAAAAACTGGATATCATGGAAACGCCACAGGTGGTGTAAGTTGGCAAAATCCAGTCAAGGCATTTTTAATCGTGCAGAGATTTCATCGATCACTGAGCCACCAGAGTAGGGTCGACCCCACTTCACTTGCCAGATTAGTGAAGTGGTCACACTCAACCACTAAACTCTCTATTGTAAGCCGAGGCACCGTTGAAGACCAGCGGTGGAGCAACAATTTGCATTTGGGTTGTAAGAACTACATCCCAAACATTCTCAAATTCCCACTCAAAGTGTTCAGAAGACTCTGTTTCTTACTAGCGTCTTCAGCTAACGGAACTATGTCATCTGCATATTCTAGATCTAACAAAAATTCTCCACCGATTAGGTCAACGTCTGTGTAGTCAGGTGACGAGAAGGAGACCTCTATAAAAATACCTATGAGAAAATTGAATAAGAATGGAGAAACTGGGGTGCCTTGATGGACGCCTCCTGACGAGTACAGCTCCATGGATATCTCACCATATTGTCTAACACACCCACAAGTGTTAGAGTAGACAGACTTCAATAAGATGATGTACTTACTTTTATTTACAGCAAGCATAAATCCTGTTATATAGTATGAATTGAAAAACATCTCTGACAATCTGAAAATTAGCAGTTTACAATTCAAAAGAAAAGCGCATAAAGAACAACTTACTTTGACTAGACCGTCAACATCATAAGTTAGACGTGTTGCAGCTTTAAGACACTTCCAAAAGCTGATAGTATCAGTCTGTTCCAAAAGCATATCTTGATTACGTTTAAGCACTGCAACAGCAAAGCGGAACAATGTCTCAGAACCTTCCAGTAGAAACACGTCCCAAATTCGTATCAACGTCTTAGGATTACAAAGACATAAAAATTGGTGGATATTTAGTTATATGCATTATCTAACAATGAAATTTAACCTCGCATGGTTAACTAGTTCACTAGTTACTAGCCGGTTCTAAGCCCGGATAAACAGGGGAGGTTGGGCATAAGACCAGCAACCCCATCCCGGAAAACCAATCTAATCTCTAATGAAACTTCAAAGCATAAAGAAATTATAAAAAAGAAAGACAAACTTATTCCTTGCTGGGATCGGGGAGACGAAATGACGCCAGTTGGTCAAAGCCTTTGAAAAGCCAGTCGGCCGATGTGTCTTCTCTTGATGAAGAAGAAAGTAAGGATGGAGACAGAATGTTCGTACCATGTGTGAACCTAGCAAGGCTGCTCAGATTGTAAAAGAGATGAGGAGGTACGGCATGGAAGTGCTTGGACTCTCTAAACTGGAGAGTCAATAGTCTACTCTGATACTGTCACCAAGACGACGACCACGAGCACACTGTGTTTCGGAGTGGCTATCATAATATCTCCAAGAACATCATGCAGTGGGAACCAATCTCCTCCTGCAGGATCATGACAGCAAGATTCAACTCAAATAAATCATTGTACGGAATGATTATTTTCTGCTTCCGACTTGATATGTGAGTTCTGTTCTAATACCCCTTTTTCCTCACATAATATGTATACTGGGTAAAGTATAGTCGAATTCTTGTAATTGGCTGTACGAGCATACAGTCATCTTGTGTAGCTTTTTCTTGTCCTCCCTAACGAGATACAAGCAGAGAAGTATGAATGAAGTTGATGCTCAGTGTCATTTAAGATGACTATAGCTAGCTGCTTGCTAGAATATAAAGGTCTATCAACTACAGTGTTACTCAGTAGGGCCAGAAACACATCACTCACCCTACTCACGGCTTTCACAGACCTACGCAATACAACATAGTCCTTTTAAAGAAGATCAGGAAAGATCAGTGGGGAGCAATAGAGAAGAATGGGTAAAATGCACGAATTAATAAATTGTAAAGATAGAATTTGAGTTATACCACAGAGTCTAAGTTTTCTTATGTAATATGTTCAACTAGAGATTTTGTTACAAGCCAACAAGATATAAAACGTACAACAGAGATCCAAGATAGTTAACACTTGACTTACTTCCTTCAGCACAAATACTATCAATGCTGCAAAAGGCATCATGAGACTTAAGGAGCTCACACAAGTCTTATTTACACCTGAGACATTTACGTGTGAAAATTTGATCCCCTCAGGATTTTGATATGATCAAGAATATTTGTAGCTCAAGAACATAATTTTGGTTGTGTTATGTTCTCCGAGCTAGATGGTTTAATCATAAAGCCCTGAATGTCAGCCTAGACAATATCATGATCATAAACTTCATATGAGTTGAGTATAGTATGAGATTTATGACATATGCTGATCAGAAGCACCTTTCTAAGGTTACTTTTTTCACACATATGAACCAAACGTCCAGTTATACAACTTTCTGGTCATTGGAAGTATAGCTCACAAAAATCCATTGCTAAGAATAAAACAACCTCTTTATACAATGGAGTTTCAGTGTCAGTGTTGAGGATTTCAAGATATGGATAAAGTAAAACACAGAGTAATTTCAAGAAAAACCAGACTTAACTGGTCTGAGTTAGAAGTTTCATCAATTCTACGATAATTTCACAGTGTTACATAGGTTAAAAAGGCATGAACACTGTTCTCATGTCAGGTGACCTTGCAGCATACAACTCATTACGTTTTCAGCAATGTGGAATTACGAAACACCTGAACACTTTCAGCGTCCTGGGTTCATCATCAACTTTTTGCATGATTGTTTTCTGATTCTTCTTCATCTCTTTCTACTAACATTTTCACTATTAGCTTTGTAAAGTTCTTCAGTCCTTTGTTTAGTAGGAACAGTCTCAGAGGGAATAACATCACTCATTAGGATGGAGGTAAATGCAGCTGACAAGCCCTAAATTGAATGAAATGTGTGCCCTGGATTTCGCTACTAGCCACCGGGTTAGCTACATCCACAACTCCTTTTGTTTAGATTTTCGCTGTTTGAAATCTGAAGTCCTACTTGCGTAAATGATATCGTCATGAATCACAGATGTCGGCTGCTTTGTAGACAAGTGCACAACCCGAAATTACGCTGGCTTATATGTATTGTAAAATAACTCTCAAAAGCGAAGTATAACCTAAACATTTCAAATGAATAGTTACGACTTATTGTCCTTTATGACCACTGATTATTCAGTGATCAATGAAATGCTAAGTAATGTTTTCAGGAAGAATAGGTCGCTGCCGTTTACCCTGTCATCATTTCAGTCACTGACATAACATACTATCGCAGAATGTGAATAATTCTGCTCATTTTATAACACATTGATATTCATTCTCCTTAAGGCACATCTGTGTGAGGCACATGGTAAGTTTCTTGAAAAACTCTGTCGTCTCTTACTGTGTACGTGAAGGCTAACATGTGGTAATCAAAAACCGAGTAGCTACTGCAGTTCTATAGTAGATTCTAGTTAGCAGTCAGCTTTTTGGTAACACTCCTAAACAGTCAGAAAAGATCTTGAAAGAAAATACAGCTCAAAAAGCCTTTTTAATGTCTACTTATTGTAGTTGAGTGTCTTTTTAAAGCCAAAAAACCAAACGTATTACTACAAGCTTTGAAATTTCCAAATCCTGTCATGACGAACCTAAAATGACAGTTACAGATTGCAGTCGTGTTTTGGTAGTCACCTCTTCAAAACGGACTCTTCATATAAGTGCTAGCCAATATGGAAAGGAGTTTCTGAAGAAGTACTAACTTCTGTGTTTTTATTACGTGAAAAAACACCGATCGCTTCATATTACAGTACCGTGAGTCACGTTTTTGCGCTTTTTCTATGCATCTTCCTATCCCTCACAAAAGGTTGGCAGAGACGTCTCCTATTAAACACCTACGCGAAGCCAGAGCAAAATGAAGCGACAATTATAGGTGGATAGGCATAAAACAACGCTTTTCGAAAATAACATCAATTAAGTCTTCATTACAGGTCACAACTTGGTTGAATAAATAATTCCTCAGCTGACGTCATTGTCCCTGATGGAAACCACACTGAAGCCAATCAGTCTCCATGTAACCTCCTAATTGAATAACAGTTCACTACTCCTTCGTCAGTTACTTTGAAATAGCTCTCATTGGAGGCTTTTACCTCTATGGTTAAACATATTCAAATTGAGAACAGATACCCATTGATGAAACTGTATGATAGCCACATCACATTTCAAACTGAAAGAAATTGGAAAGTATGCACAAATGAATTATAACGCTGTGGCCGAATTGACTATGTACCCGGGTATGGCCTGACTAACTGAGGAGTCAAAACAGTTGTTAAGTACTCTACAGTTTTCGATCACCGTTAAAATAATATCAGTCTCTAATGAATACAGTCTTTGATGTAAATTATTTCCCACTTAAATTTAAAATGAAAACGACATTGTGAACAACTCACCTCGAATGGTACTGAATCATAAAATATAGCTAAAAACCAATTCAATGTGACTGCAGAGATATCAATTCCCATTCTCTTTAGATGATTAGAAAGACGTGGCAATTTCTCATTGACTATCTCTTTGAGGACAAGTTGATCAACCTGGGCATCAATTAAACCTGAACTGAAATAATTCTCCGGTAGAAATCTTTCCAAAATTGCAATTAGACACCTGAAAAGAAGAGATTTTGATCATATTACCAACCGACGTAATTTGTGATGACCATCATGAGTAATGTACTACATCGTCATGTTTGGTGTGATAATAGATAATGCAGTGGGAGGGATTTTATGTTGAATAGACTAACTGTGTTGGGTTTTGCATCTCCTGAGAAAGATAACAGAACAGTCGTATGAATTCATTGTGTCACCAATAAAAATTACACAATGATCAATCACCAGAGGGTAGCCAACTTCACACAGTCTAGTACTGAGTGCTTGCAATATGGCCATCAAGCTACATGGTTGACCAGGGCAGTGCACTGGCTTAGATGTTAGCTGGACGGAGGCAATAGGCAAGATACTCTGATTGACTGCAACCTCAGTGGGACCGTTGTCTATCGACAGATTTCAGTCAGCATTCCAAGCTAGACAACATGAAGTTAATAACCTTTCAATGACTAGTCAATGTGCATAATTAGGCACTCCAAGAGGTCAATCTCTCCCCAAGTAGCTCAATGTTAATGTCTCCGTCTAAAACGCTAGGTGACACGGATTTGAAGCAGAGGCAGGATATCAGTTCCCTATAGTTTTCAGATTCACTTTCCTGACAAGCGTCAACAAGCAACAAAGTTTCCTGCTGATTGCCTCCATTCAACTAATATGTCTAAAAATTACGGCAATAATTTGGAGATTTCCAGCAGAAAAATTGACATATGGATATGTGGATGAAGAATCAGAAATGTAACTTTCGTTTGAAGAACCAAACATACTGAATAATTATAAGAGTAAATATTACGTGGGCACTGTGGTAAAATTTAATCCCATTTTTAGTGAATTATTTGATTTATCCCATAGCGAAGGAACAGTATTGTTTACTAGATTACACTTCGAACATAATTTATTGTCCATTGTCATTCATATCAAGATAACTACACAACTCTAAGATATCCTTCATATAGTCCTAACTTCCTCGTCTCCATTGTGACATGAGTAGCAAGATTTTCCATATATCCGGAACAGGTGCTGAGTCATTCCTGTGGCTGCATGTATTAGGTGTTGATTCGATAGACAAGGATTCAGTTATCAATCTCTCCATCCACCCTCTCATGTCAGTTTTAAGGATTTTCACTCCGTCCCAACCATACTGTGTGCGTTGCTATGGTGTAGCTGTTTTCTAAATTCCAATTTTGACCTGGCTAGGATTTTGTGTTCGGATAACCTGATTAACCAGGCCGTCCAAATAAGCTTTGTAGATTGAAAGATCTTATTGATCCAATTTGTCAACACTCTACCTCAATTTCATCGATTTTGCAAAGGCCTTCAACAGCGTCAACCAAGAAGTAATTTAGCAGGCAGTTGCTTCAACACTACGCAGTGCAACAAATCTTTATCAGCCTCATTGAACAGCTATATGAAAAGGCCACATGCCAAGTGATCCACAATGGAAAGCGAAGTGATGACTTTGAAGTCAAGACGGAAGATAAGGCTGCCTACTATCACACACGACCTTCATGATCGTGGTCGACTGGATCATGCAGCAAACCGTGAGGAGCGAGAAAAAAGGCATAGGCTGGCTAGACCAATGAAGAGACCCTAGAAGAAGATTTGAAGTCCACCGATGATTATTTATGTCTAGTGTCGCACAAACTTGAAGATCAATAGGCGAAAGAAGGGGCAGGGAGGACGGGACTTCAGGTGAATGTAGAGGTGATGAAGACACCCAACCAACAACAAAAAGCACCAATCACCATCAACGGGAGAAACCTAATGGAGATTGTCTCTTTCACCTTCCTGCCTCGACAGCATCGTTTCCACTACTGGTGGAGGTGGCACAGCTGAGGATGTCAAAGGCAATATCAGAACGATAGCAGGACAGGCCTTCCTGAATTAATCTGAAATAAGCGTGGAGATCTACTACAACCCACTCAGCATAAAGCCTTAACAATACCCGGATTTTCAATACCTGTGTCAGTCAGGTCAGTCACTGCTTCTATATGATGGTCGAGAGACTTGGCGCGTTACGAAAAGCAATTCCAACAAACTACACACATACATCACATCAACACCTGTCACCTACACTCACTCGATACTCACACTAAACATCAGATGGTCAGAATAATGAGAACAAACAACAAGAAACTGTGGCTGGTAACGAAACAATCAAGAACCCATCACCCAACAAATATGCAGAAGGAGAAAGTGTAGATGGATTGGGTTGGATTAGACATTCACTGAGAAGACGGATAGGGGACATCCGATGACAGGTCAGGTCAGGTCAGGTCAGACCGTCGAGTGGAATCCAAATGGGAAACGACGAGTTGGGCATCTGAGTTGATGGTGATATGGAGGATATAGTGTGAGTAATAAATGGAAGGTTGTGGGGAGTTGTGGATGCAGGTTGAGAAGACTGGAGATAAGAGAGTGTAAAGGAGACATGCTACTGAGCTCCTATGTTCCACTAGGAACCCAAGGGAAAATTATTAATAACGATATTAATAATAACGATTGTGGAGTTGTCAAATACATAGGTCAAAGTAGTCGACCAGGTTTGGTCAATTAGGCTATCCGAGCACAAAATCCTAGCCAGGTCAAAATTGGAATTTAGAAAACAGCTACACCATAGCAACGCACACAATAGGATGGGACGGAGTGAAAATCCTTAAAACTGACATGAGAGGGTGGATGGAGAGATTGATAACTGAATCCTTGTCTATCGAATCAACACCTAATACATGCAGCCACAGGAATGACTCAGCACCTGTTCCGGATATATGGAAAATCTTGCTACTCATGTCACAATGGAGACGAGGAAGTTAGGACTATATGAAGGATATCTTAGAGTTGTGTAGTTATCTTGATATGAATGACAATGGACAATAAATTATGTTCGAAGTGTAATCCAGTAAACAATACTGTTCCTTCACTGTATGATAAATCTAATAATTCAGGAAAATCGGCGTTAATGTTACTGAGGACTCTTGTAAATATATTTAGCAATCTTTCTTTCATTATCATTTGACTATCTTAGGTAGCCGTAGTTTGGGAGACTTGTATTTATACAGGCTTTCTTACTTCGATAGATCCTTCTGGAGATCATTACACTACTGCCAGCTTTATCCAATGAAAGGAAGAAATATTTAGACCTAATTCTCAATAAGTGAATTGGTCTGTTCCGAGCACCTTGAATGTAAACTTCCATGCTTATTCTCCGGTGACTGATACTGTGGACTACTGATAGTCAACTGATTATCACATGCAATAGAATTTACTCAGATAATGTCCAGCTGATTGGTCATTGATTTCAACTGCAAAATTCAGCGAAATCATGAAATAAAAATCTCGCAGTAGAAACTGAGTTGAACGGTTCAGACATTGTTTGTATTTGATAAAGAAGGAAAACGGTTTTTTCAGTTGAAGAGAAACACTTAATGAGGCAGTTGATGTAAGTGTAGTTGATTTATGAAGTCATAATGGATGGTGTGAAAGCGGACTTACCTTCTGATTGATTCCATTACTCAGTTAATCAAGGTTTTTATGAAATGTATCCGAACAAGAAACATGCCTAATGCTCATTTTTTTCGACCTAATATAAAACAGATTATGCTTATGTCAGTGATGAGGAGTAAAACCGTTTAGGAAAATTAGGAAACAAGATAGCCATTATATAAGCATCTGACACTGAGAAATGGCTTACTGTCAAGAAGGCTAAAGTTCTGTTCAAAGACAGTCTTGTAACTAAATTGTTTTCTGAATATCCTGTCAACGAAATAGACAACCATCCCAGCAGAATGATGACCTAATCCATAACGAAGAATAGATTAGAACGTTGTCTCGATGGCGAATAATTCTACAACTTGTTGATCGTTGCTCCAAGAGAATTCAGGAAATATTTTATTCACGTGATTTCACGGGAAATTCAAATGCTTAACACAAACTCTATTGTCACCTTAGTTAGTTTGCTTGACATAGTTCTAGACAAGAAATATATTTTCATGGTAAACAATGAATAAATGCTATCGTTCGGTGGGATGACTTTGTCTCTATCACATGTAATAAAAATAACCGGAGATAACATGTCTGATGTCTTAGAAATAAGCATGACTTTAATACACCACTAAGACAGGAAATGTTTCTTCGTGTGTCTTTTAGTATATTCTTAATCTGATTTTCAGAAATATAGACAGAAGAACAGACAAAATATACATCAGCCTAGGATATTTCAAAAGTTTGTTAAGAGTATAAACCCAACATAGATTGATAGGAAACGGTTTACAATGTTTTAAATCACCAACAAGGAAATTTGAATTTTTAATATCATATTCAATTAAATAAACGGAGAAATTCAGTTACGAAGATCCAACAGAGGATCAAAAGAGAGCAACTAATATTGTGGTGTTTTAGTTAGTGCTACTGATGAGACAAATAAGTAGTATATATTAAGAGGTTGGCAGAAGTCATAGGCAATTGCCGGTAATGGATAAATAGTCGTCACCGAGAAACGCAAGAGATAACCTGAGTGTATCAAGAGCAAAGCGAGACAGAAGTGGAAGAGGAGATGAAACGCATTGTACAAATGGATATTTCAATGGAAAGGTTATAATATTTCATGATTAATGTCCAAAGTGTCGCAATAAAAGACCATTCTGCATTTTATCCTTAATGCTGCTACTTCTGGATATGAAGAAGGTCCGGTGTCCTAAGGTGTTCAAGGATGGAGACATCATGATCTTTCTCAGGGATTTCTAGTCACTCGGGGAGTTGATGAACGTCCGAGATCCAGGAGCGAATATCACGGTGCTTGGCACGTTTCCGAGAATTCGAGCGAAAGCAGCCTATGATAGGGTGGAAAGCGTGGATGTGAAGGAGATTTAAGAGAGAATGGTTGAAGGATTGAAGGCAGAGCTTGACACCCTGGCAGGAATGGATCTGGCAATGCAGAATATTTACTTGTCGCTCGTAACTGCCTATGACTTCTGCCTACCTTTCAACATATACTACTTATATGCCTTCTTATCAGTACCACCCACTGCAACGTTATGTCTTCAAGGTCAAGTAAATAAACAGTCTCACAGCATATAACGAACGCATCGATGAACTTTATACCTATCAGCATGAGAAAAGATTACAAACAAAGGAAATCATATTGCTGGAGATTATGCACATGCAACAGCACGACTGGAAAAATGACAAATTTACCAACATTGAGGAAACTAACTGTATCAACTGAGAGTGAAACATTTACGCAGAAATTTGAATTTATAAACATAATATCAGTTATACAATATAACTTTCAGCAGAAACCACTAAGGAGAAATAAAAAATAAGTGTAATGTGGAAATCGTAACACCAAGAAGCCTTATGATTGCTAAATCAGTTGTCTTAGCTTGAACTGAGCAATCTGTCAGCTGATCCACTTAATTGACAACAAGGAGGAGAACAGAAATCAATGCTTAAATCCGTCATCTACTGAGGTGAAAGTTTCCTAGTTTCAAATTCTGATTTTTTTTTCGTCATACAAAGTTTTTCTCGGTCATTTTCATCTTTATTTCAACTCTGACTGACAGCATGTACAGGTAGGCAGTGGCTTGGCATGCGTAGCACATGTTCAAGCCATGAAAATTGAAAAAAATTATATTTTATAACTGAAACTTACACACCATTGTAAAGACCATATAAAGTATTGATCTTGATGACTAGCAAAAGAAATTCAAGAAGCGCGTTTCGTTCTACTTGGGACTCGTCAGCCAAATGTAACTGTAACCCAGTGAATGATGTTGTTCTCACCTAGGCTCGAGTTCAGAACTTTTCGTTTTAAACATCAGAAGCTTATCTACTAAGCCACTAAGCAATTCGACCTTGTATAGCAAGGGGAATTTACAAGTATCATAACAACAACTGATGCTCTTTGTACAAGAGATAGTTATCATGCCCTAGTTATTTAGGGGATAATGTTTTGGCGTTTGAAGCAGAAGGTACTAGGTTCGGACCTCATTGGGAGTAACATCACTCACTGGGGTGGAGGTACACCCAGCTGACGAGTCCTGGATTCTTCTGCTGGTCACCAGGATCAGTATAACATCATGAATACCCGGCAGTATTTAGGTATTCAGATAGGAACCTATCTGCCAACATATGTCAAGCTATTCAGCCCTGTATAGCAAATATCATAACAGAAATTATATAAAGTAATTGTAAACAGTGAATAAAATACACTTCTCAGTTGAAACTTTTATAACTAACCAGAAAGCATCTTCTTTTTTCAAGAATAACAGTGCAACTGCAGCAAGAAAATTCATACCCTGACAATAACCAATCTTAGAATTATGTATACTGTAAGCTTGTAGGACTTCTTGAAGTTTCTGAACCTATACATCGATATCAAACAAAACAGAGAAAAGAAATATCCATGGGATATTTATCATACATCTATGCTACACGATATAATAATGCTGAAATATTCTTAGTAAACTTGATGGGTCAAAGTCAGCTGAAGCATCAGTGAAACACTCTACGAATTTCACAATAAGCTATTGAAAGTAGGTCCAGAAGTCACTATAAACTGAACAGACACTATATGGTTCAATCTGAAAGGTTAATTCCTTTGTATGGCGACTTCCTATGATAGCTGTTTGTACTTCTTAAAAAAAGGAAGAAGAAGAAGAAATATTAAAGTAGAGTAATATAGCTCCATTTTGATGCTTTCGAAGTTTTCCTCAGCTGCTTACAACTTAGAATATTTAAAATAACAAATGACAGTAAAATGTTAACAGACTTTAGTAAGACGAAATCGGTAAAGACAAAACAATGACGTAGGAAAGTAAAGAAATTATCTGAGTGCAAATAAAGTCATATCATGAGATGATCTCATAAATACACATCTTACTAGAAACTTAAAGAGAAATTATTCTTCCTAGAAAAGTATCTTAAAAAAAACGAATAACCAGATGTCTTCATCAACAAATAAGGTAAGAGAGAAAGTAGTAAGAAGGTGGTCTTCAGTCACCTTGAAATCGAATGTTATGATACAGCGATGATAGTTAAGAATATGCACTAGATTGGTCAGGGCGAATCCTACAGCACAACTAGTTTCCCTGTTTTGTATTTTTGCTCACTGATGCAATCGAAATTTGACACGTATTCCATACGTTTTACCTCTGATTGCCCGTACAAATTCACGCATATATATGTACTGAAGTAGTTACCTTAAGAGAACACAAAGACGAGTTTATCTTCGACATTTTGAGCGTGTACTGAAGAGCCTGTGATTAACAGGCTCAAGTATCCTATTAGTGGGGACTTATTGGGCACAAGACATTTAGGAGTTACCTTGAAATCATTCAAAGTAGTCTGCAAAATGAAAAATTCAAGTCTTTCTGCTATTACCGAAGCCATTTCAATCAAACGCCTGCAGCTGGATTTGTGTGTTAAAAAGGAATTAATGTTCAGTATTCAACTACCGTGGTAACCTAACTTCTTAACCTTCCATTAATTTGATTAGGTCATCATCCTTTTATTGAATTCTCAGTTAACTTTAGGTCTCAATCCTAGTAAAACACTTTTCACTCATCATGTTCCATCATATTTAGCTTTCTGACTACTACTAACTTGCCTACTTCTTAACTTACTCATCAACAGTACACATTCATGACCCCGCAGTGGATTGAATTCAGGAACTTCAGGTTTCAAGGCAAGCACATGAACTAATCAGCCGCCAAGTCAAAATCTTACAGTCCACATTTTTCTGCTTCCTTCTATTCACAATATGACATTATTCATCAAGGTCTTCAGTTCTCTTCAGTAGTTCCGTACTGGGACGAAGCAGAAGTTCCATGATCCCAGGTTTTCGAGGGTTCCACAACTGATGTCAGACCATGATAGCTACTGCCCTAAAAGTAGAATCATCGTAAGCCTCAAACTACACATATATTTAAGTCATTATTACACAACATTTTAACGTTATTTTTGTGTTCTCGCCGACTTCATTGAACTGAAGTGTTCAATTTGGTGGTTTTTAGGGATTAATTAATTTTTCAAGTTGCTATTCATCATAGACTGACATCAGCTGGAGAAACTTTGGAAACCTAAAAGAACTGGACAGATGTTTCGTCCCCGTATGGGACTCTTCAGCTGTGCGCGGCCACCGCCCCACCCTTCAGGGATTCCGCCCATGACATTTAGGTTCTATGGCCAGCACGTCATCAGTAAGCCACTGAGTCAAAATCCAATGGTCCACATTTCCAACTTACATCAGTTCACGATAAAGCGCAACCTCCATCCAATGGCGTCATTGAGTAATCGTCCTCTTGTTCGACTTGGCTTAAACCACCGTTCATGTACTCTCATTCAAACTGTAGGAGTCACCTCCTGAGCCTAGTCACTAATGAACATTAGATTAACCTAATTTTGAGGTTTATGAAGGGTGTAGTGGTTTTAGTTCCAATGAAAAGTTATGACCGGTGGGTCGAACCTGGTGGTCATGAGGACTAATACTCAACAATGACATTGGGTGATAATCACGCTATGTTGTGAACTGACTGAAGTAGGGAAAATGAACCAACAGATGCCGATCCAGTGGCTTAATCGCCTATTGATGGCCATGGAACCTGAAGGTCATGAATTCCACGCCTAAAAAGTGCCTATTGAAACCTGAAGACCACATACTAATTCATTTGTAACCATTATTGACGGAGATATGCAAACTATAGGACTGAAACCATGCTGTACGCGTCACATAAGGGGTGGCAATAATAACTTAGTAGTCTGATGCGTTATGCTGTGGCGTTTAAAAAATTTGGGCATAGGGATGAGGCTTAGTTGGAACAACACCACTCACTGGAAGGCACGTAGACTCAGTTGACGAGTTCAAAATCGGATTACATGTGCCATAATTTATATCAAAAGTGAAAATGCCGGCAATATCCAGGTGTCTGCACATGAGCCCATAACCGAACAGTGGCCCATTAACTTGGTCCAACCAACACCACAGACTTACAAACCATAACACTTAGACGATTGTTGATTAGAACTAGACTATTTTTAAACAACATGCAAAGCAAATCGAAAGGTGATTTATTAGAATATCCACTTCAGTGTCACAGAGATTCACCATGTAGTAAAATACTACACCTTGTTTACGGTAATTGCTAGTTGGGGTTTAACGTTTGCCATTAAATACGCAAAATAAAAGTCACTTGGTACTACCAGTTTCTGGTTCGATTCCGCCTCTCCACAAATATGGTTACAAACAAGAATTAATGTGAAACTATCTGTATTTACAGAGTTGAGATGGCAGGTTCCGTTTGCGATTAGGCAAATCTACTTCTTCTTATAATCTTTGAATAAGATTTTCTCTACTGTTATCAAGCTTCTAAATGATATTCTAGCTTTACTTAAGGATTGCTTTGCCTTATACTTAAGCATTATGTGCTGAATCGAACCACTGGTCATGGAAGACTGTGATATCAAGTGAGGGATACAGTTAAGTTCATGTATTTCACAAGTATGAATAACCAGTAAATTTAATGAAATCAGCATTAGTAGTAATAATAGTAACGGTATAATCTTACTCCTGGTGCTTCGATATTATCGAACTGTACATTATTTGGCATTGTTCTCAATAAATCTAATGAGATTTGACGTCTATGCTGTGCTGCATCCTAAAAATATATATAAATATAAAGAATAGATGATGAATAAGAAAGCTAATTAGTGTTATTAAAGTACATGGAACTGGTTGGGAATTGCATGAAAACATACTGTTTAGACAAATAAAAACATTATTATTTGTCTTTTGAGTTCCTAGTGGAACATAGGAGCTCAGTAGCATGTCTCCTTTACACTCTCTTATCTCCAGTCTTCTCAACCTGCATCCACAACTCCCCACAACCTTCCATTTATTACTCACACTATATCCTCCATATCACCATCAACTCAGATGCCCAACTCGTCGTTTCCCATTTGGATTCCACTCGACGGTCTGACCTGACCTGACCTGACCTGTCATCGGATGTCCCCTATCCGTCTTCTCAGTGAATGTCTAATCCAACCCAATCCATCTACACTTTCTCCTTCTGCATATTTGTTGGGTGATGGGATCTTGATTGTTTCGTTACCAGCCACAGTTTCTTGTTGTTTGTTCTCATTATTCTGACCATCTGATGTTTAGTGTGAGTATCGAGTGAGTGTAGGTGACAGGTGTTGATGTGATGTATGTGTGTAGTTTGTTGGAATTGCTTTTCGTAACGCGCCAAGTCTCTCGACCATCAAATCGAAGCAGTGACTGACCTGACTGACACAGGTATTGAAAATCCGGGTATTGTTAAGGCTTTATGCTGAGTGGGTTGTAGTAGATCTCCACACTGATTTCAGATTAATTCAGGAAGGCCTGTCCTGCTATCGTTCTGATATTGCCTTTGACATCCTTTATCTGTACCACCTGTCCAAGCAGGTAGGTGAACGATACAATTTCCTTTAGATTTCTTCTATTGGTGGTGATTAGTGCTTGTTGTTGTTGGTTAGGTATCTTCATTACCTGTACGTTCACCTGAAGTCCCGTCTTCGCTGTCTCATCTCTTATTTCAAACTGTTGGTTTTTGCCTGTAGATCTTCGAGTTTGTGCGACATGACATTGGACATAAATCATCATAGTTGGCAAAATCCACATCTTCTAGAGTCTTTTGATCGGTCCAGGCTATGCCCATAGATAAACATGCAATTAATGATAAAGTGACGGGAAATATTCCGGAGGATAAGAGTTTTGCTCTGATTGGATCTAAACTATACGACAATGTCACTGGACTTAGATTGGCTGTCAGACAGATTCTGATCAGTACCTAGAACTTAACGGCTACGTCCTTAGCCGATCGATGACTATTTCATTCACACAACTAACGTCTTCCTAGGAGTTATTCATGACCTGAAAAACCTAGTACTAGGTTTTGTGACTCAAGCATTGAGTGATTTTTGAGGAGGTACGATTCCCCTAACGGATGCAAATTGCTCTTGTTTGTAGGTATTAATAATTCTAGAGTAGAAACTCAGAAAATCCTACCTACAGACTTCCAACACCTAGAACAAGGTGTGTTATGTCATCTAGACGTACGACTAACCATGGTCTTATTCTCTGATGATGTAAAAAGGAAATAAAACAAATTCTAGCAGATTATCATGATGGATACCTCTTGATCTCAATTGACTGTGATTTTGTTCAACAATAGGCATATATGACTTGATGGTTGTTACTTTTTATTTTCAAGTTCGTCATAATATGTTCATTGTCAAGAAAAACTTCTCTAATCATCTCATGAAGTAACTTTGGGAGATTAATACAGTACTTTTAGACATCTTCACCAGGAAGACGCATAATTCATACGCTTTTCTGACTGTATGTATTAATATGCCTATTCTTGATATACTTTTGTGAGGAAATAGAATATTCGATTCCAACAGTAACGACGTTACAATAAAACAATGAGAATGAGTTCCAGTTGCGAACTGTGACGAATAATCCTCCAGTGTTAAGTGATTTTCTGCTGATATACGTCATATAGCTTGTCTCATGTAATGTAATCAAGTTTTGTACTATATTGCTACGTTTAATGAATAAAATAATTAAACTGATTGCTTTAGTAAAGGGATAGAACAAGCAAGTTAGCATAGATACAATTTTTGCTTACTGTGTTTTCACTGAACTCTTCTAATAGTCCATTGTAATACAATGGCCCTTTGATTTGCATTAATTGATGTAATTCACCATGGATTAACATACGCCAAACACCTTCACGATATTGAACTGGTACACCAGAACGACACAAAGTTTCTAAATCCGCCTTAAAATAAAATAATCATACTTATAATAACAAGAATAATAAAAGTAATGGGGTAATCGTTAGTAGAGGACAAAAATTTATGCACAATATAGAATGATCTACTCTACTAAGACAAGTAATTTAGATGGAGGCTTAACTATTACTACACATGTATCGACTTATAATCACCTTAAAGAGTCCGAAGATTCTATCCTTCCTTATCAAATCCATGGTTAACAGTCAACAGGAATGCCTGGTCAGATATTTCAAACACTTCGAAGTTTCTATTGCCACTATAAATGAAAGAGTGAAGAGCTACTGGATTATAGAAATCCGTGGTTCCAAGTTTTGTGACTATTTAGATATGAATATGCTGTTCCTGATTCCCTGTGTGACATCAAAAACAATATATATATATATATATATATATATATATATATATATATATATATATATATATATATATATATATATATGAAGACTGTAATCTGTGAGGAAGATTTAACTGAAATAATGGTGGAGGGAGGGTTGGAATAACAATAATGCTGGTTATAATAAGAATAATGTTGCCAATTGATGACATAAAGGTTGAATGATAACAAAAAGGGGTTACGTGGGATTTTAAATCGTTTATAAGGTGCATATAGATTAAACAGGGGTGAATACGCCACAGAGTTAATAGACAGTAAAAGGATTAAGCAATAAGAATGAGACAACATGTTACTACTATTATTTTTTTCTCTTGGGTTCCTAGTGAAACATAGGGCTTCAGTAGCACGAATTCATTTCACTCTCTTCTCTGAGATCTTTTCAACCTGGTTCCACGACTGTCCAAAAGCTCTCACTTCTTCCTCACATGATCGCCTCTATATCACCATCGCCTCAAACACTCAACTCGTCGTTTCCCGTTTGGATTCCACTCGAGGGCCTGGGCTGGGGCGTGATGTCCCCAAACACTCCTCTCAAAATATGCCCTATCTATCTCCACTTCCTTCTAGTGCATATTTGTTGAGCGATAGGTTCTTGGTTGGTTCGTTGCCAGCCAGCCAGCCAGAGTTCTTTGTTGCCTATTCTTTCTGGCCATCTTAGCTTCAGTAACGACCATGGGTGCGTGATTTCTCCAGTCAGCCTTCTCAATGTTAATTAAAAAAATTGGAAATATTTTGTATTTTTGAGATGAATGAAGATTTTTAAGTTTAGAGGTAGTATTCATCATGGACTGAGCTGTCAAGTGCTCTCAGATTTTCAATGATTCTCCAACTGAAGTCAGTCCGTGAGGAATACTACCTGTGAAAATGTTTTGTTAAAAGTCACAATTATTAGGAAGATCCAATGAAATAACACTGGAAACTATTAAGAGTAAAAAATAATCACGATAATGACGATGTAAGAGTAAAAAGATTAATCTGACAAGAAAGGGGGGGGGGGGTCGGTGAAAAACGAGAAAGAAAAGAAGCACAACAAGACCAAAATAAATTAAGGCCAAGGTAGAGATAAAGACTGTACATGCTTCGTTTGAGCACAAAGGTCAGACTGGCTTCATTTCATAGATAGCCAAAGCCTGTATTATCTTCAGGAGCTGAGCATGCAGAAAACGTGAGGTGTTTGAGCGAAGTAGATAGATAATCTTAAAATCATTTGACTTTCTGAGATAGCCGTAGTTTAGCGGACTAGTATTTATACTGGGTTTCCCCTTTAGGTTCCATCCTAGGGCGTGGCCTTGTGCATGATGTCTCCAGTTGGCCTTCTCAGTGTATGTCCAATCCATCTCCACTTCCTTCTTGTGCATATCTGTTGAGCGATAGGTTCTTGGTTGGTTCGTTGCCAGTCAGCCAGATTTCCTTCTTGCTTATTCTTTCTGGTCATTTGATCTTTAGTATCGAGCCAGCGTAGTCAGTTGTTGATAAATATCTGTATTTTGTTGACGCATCAAGTGTCTGAGCCATAGAGAAGCACTGACTTGACATTGGTGTTGAAAATCCGGATATTGTTCTTTGTGCTGAGTGCAGTAGACCTCCACACTGATTTCAGATTAGTGAAAGCCTGTCTTGCTCTCTTTCCAATCCCGGCTGGCTTGACGTCCTCGTCTGTGCCTCCTGCAGTTGAAACGATGCTGCCTAGATTGCGGGTGAAAGAGACTACTTCCTCTAAGTTTCTCCTGTTGATTGTGATTGACGCTTGTTGTTGATGCTGTTATTGGTTGGGTTTCGTCGCCACCTCCGTCTTCTCTACATTCACTTGAAGTCAGTCCCGTTTTGGCTGCCTCGCCTCTTCTGTCAACCTGTTATTTTTCGCCTGTAGATCATTGATCGATAGTCATTTTCGACTTATTTCCATTGGAAGCGATTTAGTGGCATATCGTTATCACACTAATGCTTAATAATGTTTCATTGTTTCAGTAACTTTCTCACGATTGTTTCATCAGGTGACAACGGGATATCTGGGACTTTTCAACTCATCCAGTCACATAATGAACTATTCCACCGTGTGAGTTTACTATCAGCTGAGAGTCACTTGAGTCATGCTGTTAACTGATTGACCTAGAAGGGCACCTTGGCAACCTCTCAAATAACCAATCAAGATTCAATTTTTCGGCTGGGTTGGTAGTTATTTAAAAAAAAAATAAAATGTAATCCGTTGTATAAGTAGTTGTTAGAGTAACCTTCAGAAATGGTCTGAAAATACTTATTTCGACAGTTAGAAAGTAAACAATTTGAGTAAAGAAATATTTCCTTTCTCAATTACCTCCTCATCGATGTTTCTCAACTAATATGCAGTACTTTGTAGTAACATTCCAGTCTAGTAGTGATATTCGGTTAATAACAGATTTAAGTTTGAGATTTGTGTAGATTTTATTTACTTCAAGGTAGTATTCATTACAGACCAATATTATTTGGGGGATAGTTGACAATGTAGGAGGTACGAAACACTTAATTACTGCATAATGCTCATTAGCAACATGGTTCTATATGGATATCCCTGATAAGTGATGAGAAATTATGATATTTGGAGTCAACCAGTCTGGAAGGAAGTGGCTTCTAATGGTTGATTGATCAATGCATCTGCCATAAAGTGTGAAGGACTTGAGTTCAATCGGTGGCAAGGTGATAGGTGTGTGCTGCTGAGGAGTCCCATACTAGTGTGAAACAACAATCCAGTTTTCTCAGGTATTCGATGGTTCTCCAAATGGTTTCATTCACAGCTGTTAGACATAACTGTTGCACATATTACCACAGTTTTTTTAGAGTGTCATAGAGACACACAAAGTATTAGGAGAAAGTCAGTGATTTGATGAAGTTATGAACTTTTATCAGAGGTAGTGGCTGGCAGATGTTTTATTTAGAAGAAGTAAATTTATGTGGAGAACAGCACTAGTGTAGTTAATCAAGTCTGAAGTAAGAAAAGTTACGGTTAGATAACATTAGTAAGTTGTTACCATGGTATACAAAGTGGCTGAAATAGTAATTTCAAGCCCATTAGATTCTACTCAGCTGTATTAAAAATGTTAGGATCCTTCACACAGAACGTGAAGTTAAAGCATACCTACTGACAGATGATTGTGAGAAGACTTCTCAAAGTCAATAATGGATCAACCAATTAATATCATCATAGGACCCGGCATTACTGCGTAACGGTCCGAGTTGCCACATCTCAGTACAGTACATCAAGTAAAAAGGTAGAGAGGTGAAGGATGAAGATAAGAGAATGCAGTCAAAAGAAATATTAAGCACGAGAAGAAAGAAAAGAGGAATGACGAAGTGGTGAGATTCGGTATAGTGTAGTTAAGATGACGATAATGTCTGTATACATCTGCGCCACTGCCATCGGTTCAGAGCCATATCCCCTAGAGTCTCCAACCACTGGTTCCTCTTGTCCTGCGGACCGCAACCACCTAGTCTGCATCATCCCGCATGGCTCAAACCAACAGTCAGAGACTTCATACATTGGCACCATGTTTTAGTCTGGCCATCTTAGGCCTTTCTGCAGCCTGGACCTACTTCGGAAAAACATTGTGTGACGAGGAAATCGGTGACTAGGCATACGTAGTACGTGTCCCAACCATCTCAGTCGATGAAAGTTCATAATTTCGTCTACTGATTTACCTCTACTCCCTAAAACTCTACTCTTGACTTCTGCGTTACTGAAGTGACACCATGGAATACGGCCTATACTACGAAGGCAACGGTGGTCAAACACTTGAAGGCTTCTCACATCTTCCACTTTCAATGGCCATGTTTCACAGCCATACAGTAGAACAGAGTGGACTGCTGTGCAGTACACGCGACCCTTGATAGAAAAACGGACATCACGGAGGCTCCATAAGTGGCGTAAAGTAGCAAAAGCCAATCGAGCCTTTTGTATCCGTGCAGAGATTTCATCGGCAGCTGACCCATTAGGGTTGATCCCACTTCCCAGGTAAGTGAAGTGGTCAACACACTCAACCACCTCACTCTCTATTGTTAGCCATTGCACCGCTGAAGACCGGTCCTGGAGCAACAATTTACATTTAGGTGGTGAGAACCGCATCCCAAACATTCTCAAATTCCCACTCAAAGTGTTCAGAGGACTCTGAATCTTGTCAGCGTCTTCACCTAACAGGACAATGTCATCTACATATTCTCCCGTTATTAGGTCAACGTCTGTGTAGTCAGGTGACGAGAGGTAGACCTCCATAAGAGTATCTATGATGAAACTGAATAAGAATGGAGACAGCGGGCATCCTCGATGAACACCACTAGATGAGCATAGCTCCCTGGACAACTCGCCATAGGCTCTAACATGCCCACGAGTGTTCGAGTAAAGAGCTTTTAATAAGGTGATGTACTTACTAGGCACGCCTTTCACTGAGAGAAATTGCCATAAGACTTCTCGATCAACGGAGTCAAATGCCGCCCTCAGGTCAAGAAATACAGCTGGATCCAGATGACCTAATCAAGAGGATCTTAGGACATTGTTTTTTCCATGAAACAACTTCTAGCTGAGTATATTGTATAGCCTAGAATTTCTATTCTCACTACCAAAGTCATAAAAAAACATCTGCTTATCGTAGTGGATCCACTAGAAAATCGCTCACTCTAATAAAACCTCTGAGTAAATATGTTTCGGTCATTTATACCCCCCTTCAAGTATAACATAGCACGCTTTGATTAACCGATATGAATGGTTGTCTTGACAGTCAACAGAACTGCGATTCACTGCATTGATAGATGAGCATATTTGGTGACTTTTATTAGGTCTTTGGGGTTTTTTCATCTATCATATGTCAGTATTTGGAAATACTTTACCACTCAATAATCTCTGTCATCTTTACTACCGATGACAAGTACAAATAGATGTCAAGGATAAGCGTACATTCCATCTGTATCGTGTGTCAGTGTCTTGATTTTATTGTGTTTTTTGCAGCACGCATAAAACTTAAATGTTCAAGTTTGATGGAATTCATCAACCTTTATCTAACAACATACTTCTAATTCAACGGCAAGATATACAAACAAATGAAAAGAACTCCAGTGGGATAACCGATATCCGGACTAATTGCAGAAGCAGTGATTCAGAGGCTGGAAGCCATCATTCTACCTGTGACTAAACTAAAATTTTGGATTCGCTATGTGGACGATACTTTAACCATCATTAAAAAAGATGACATAGAAAACACTCACAGTCTGATCAACAACGTTTTCAATGACATCAAACTCACAGTGGAGAAGGAGTGAAACGACCAACTACCATTCTTGGATGTGTTAGTCAGTAGGACAAATGCCGAAAAGCAGGAAACCCAAGTATACACGAAGCCAATATACAATGATCAAATCCTCAACTACAGTGGCAACAACCCAACAACACATAAGATCAGTTACGTGCAGACTCTATTCAAAAGAGAGAGAACACACTGCAGTACAACAACTTCACAGAGAAACGGAGAAAATTACTTGATGTCCATCCTCAAAAAGAACGACTACCCACGATACTTTATCACAAGATGCCTATCCCATACGTCATCAACTACAAAGTCAACGACAGAAATCAATAAACACATCATCCTACCATATAAAAAGGGTATATCAGAAATCACAACAAGATTACTGAAACCACTTGGGAATGATGTGGCTCATACACCAACAAATTCCATGCAAACACTATTATGCAAACCAAAGGATGCAACAACCAAAGAAGACAAGTCGAATATCATTTACAAAACCAACTACAATAAATGTATTCAACACTTCATTGGACAGAGAGTGGTCACCCTCCTCACCTTCTTCTACATGAACACCAATTGGCCATTAGACGTCACACATGACATTTCCTCACTCATCTCAATGCAAGTGGATAACAACGATGGACATGAATTCAGTTTCGACAGTGCAGAAATGTTGGGGAGAGAGAGAGAGAGAGGGGTGGGGGAAACACAGAGCATATCAGAGGATTCCTAGAAGCTTAGCATTGAGGTCAGTCAGTCAGTCAGTCAGCAATCAATAGATGTATAGACACTGACGCAATCTGTCAATCAGTAAGAAAAGCGATAGATGACAGAAAGGTGCGAGGACTGCCAGAGGAACAGCTAACAAGGAAATCTATGCAGTCAGTCAATGACACAACAATCAAAGGAAACAATCAATCACCAACTAGTTCGTCATGGGAAGCTACTAAATTATTCATAGGAGATCTTGACAGCTCACTTCATATTGAAGTTAGTGCTGATGATGTTGCTGTCTAGCAAGACGATGAAAGCTTCACGATCAAACAACCCAGCTCAACGAACACAATATTACGAAGACCATCCACCTGAGCTTTAAATACTCTTTATCATTTCAAAATCATACATGTGTCAATGCATAAGGGAGTGTAGAGGAGTTAAGAAGGACACACCTGTTTAGTTAAAGGTATCTACTTGGTGGGAGCGATTTTTGTTATTCGTACAGTAGTGGTCAGCAATCAGTCAGTTAGTCAACATAGTACGGTACTGTACTACGTAACAGTCCAAGTTGGCACTCTTCACATCACAAACTCAGTCAAAATGCCACAAAAATGAAACATAGAGAAGTCAAAAATGGTAGAAAATCGAGAAAGGAAAACATAATGGAATTCTTTACGACTTTTTGCATGACGGTAACGCATGCATACATCTTTGCGATTGTAATCAATTGTGACCGATTATTTGCGGTATCAAATAATTTCAACATCTTTTCGTACGACAGACTGATATCAATGAGACAACGAATGAGAACGTTGAAGCACTGGAAATGTGTTTCTCTCTGGTATGAAGCTCTTTAGTACCATCCAGCATGTTGTTTTTAGGCTATTGGGTAGGAATCAAATGATTCACGTCATATTGTGAGACCACCACCCAATACTGTCGTTGATTACCAGTCTTTACGTTCACCTTGGTTTGCCCAATCGGGTCACAACTTCTCTTTAGAACTTTGAGTAATGTCATCTGAAGGAAAGTCAAAAATAAGCACTGGAAATTAATTCAATTTGAAGGTTTATGGGGCCCGGTTGACTCCAGGTAGGTATTTATGTTGAAATGATAGAACTAGGAAAATGCAAATCATCAGATTCTGACCCACTGGCTCAATAGTGACGTGCTGGTCACGGAACCTGAAGGTCGCGGGTTCAACCTCTGATGGGGAGGGGTCATAGGTGCTCACTATTGAGGAATCAGACACTGTTATTAAACCTTGAATTTCCCAACTGTGGAGCATTCACTTAGGCAGACATTCACTTACAGACGTTTATTTACTGACTTTTGACCAGTCAGGTGACATCATCAAGTCAGTCACGATAGATTTAGATGATAGTAAAGTAAATCTTAGGAAAAATGAACTAGTTAACTTTAGGGAAAAAAGTGGAAAAATATTATCTTACCCTTGTTAGCTCTCTATTAGCTTGAGTTAAGAGTTCAGTCCAACGGGTGACATTTTCATCACTACCAGCTAATTGACGTGTATAGAAATCATACAACTGTTGACATCCATAATGTATTATACTTGTCTCATTCAGATAACTATGCTTGAAACCATAAAAATCCACATGATAATCTGCATTTTTAGGTCTGAAATCACCATAAACACACATACACACAGAGGGAGGAAAACATAAACGTTATTAGGTAGTCAACCGAAGAAGAGGAATCAAAAATCAATTACTTGTGCTATCTTAGATTCTGACAAGATCCACTTATTGTCTTATACAATGTAGGATTGGTTTACCAAATCTCTTGAAATGATTATGAGGTCGAATACATGGGTCAAAGTAGTCGATTAGAATAACAGAGCACAAAACCTTGGCAAAATCAAGATTAGTAGATTCTAATAAGATGAGAAATTGTGAGAAAAGCTTGGCTATAGCTCTGCATGCAACTATACACAATCAGACAGTAGGGTAGGATAGAGGAAATACATTTGGTCCACGGTAATAATTTTTTTAAACTGTTATTTTCTACCCCTTCTCCCCAATTCCCTGTGTCACTTGTTGTCGGATGAAAGTAGACGATGAAATATCCCATGTTATTGGCTGCACGAAATGAAAAAGTACTATAAAAGGGAGCAAACTGATGACAGGTTGCTTCGTTTTCATGATGAGCGACGATACCGTCCAGTGTTGTAATCGAAAAAGAATCAATCTTTATGGAGCGTTTTTATCTCACCACGTTTCCGTCCTTAGAGTCTTTGAAGGTAGACCTGAAGGAGTATAAGCAACAGAAGTAGGCATACTACTTTGTGCGAGATTCATATTTGCAAGGTGACCGAAGAGCCTACGTTAAGTTTGTTTGCTTTAAGGCTAGTGAACGTCGGTCAGAAGGTTTCTGGACAGTTACTCAGTGGCTGTTAACTCACAATCATCTCTGCAACTCACTGCTTTATGACAATAGTTCTTGGACGTGGAAGTTGACAGGAGCTGAATTGGAGAGCATAAGGCCATTGCTGATATCCGGAATGGCTGCATTTAATGTTGTTGATTTCGTTTATGCGCACTGTGGTAAACGACCTAATGGTCAAGATGCGTTCAATATGCGCCATCGCCTCTTCGGAAAGTGTATTGAAAACTAATTTAGTAGGTTGGAGGGAGAGAGAGACTGATAACCGATTCTTTGTTTATCAAATCAAATACGTGCATTGACAGGAAGGTTCTGCACCTATCCCAGATATATGGAAGATCTTACTACCCTTGTCATTACAGAGAAGGAGAGAAAATTAGGACAATATAAACTCTGTCTTGAAGTTGTGGAGTTACCTGATATGAATACAGACAATAAATTGTTTCCAAAACGTTGTTATGCAATCAATGGTACTGTTCCCTAGACTGCGAAACACTTCTAATGAATAGACTAAAAGTATGATTGGTTATTCCAAGCAAATCCAGATAGTTTGTTGTGCTAAATCGTGAGATTGGTCAAACATCACTTACTTCTATGCACAAGAATTGTTGAAACCTGATTTTGCTAACGTGTGGAAAATACGGCTATATTCATTGGTTAGTAGAGGGTAACCAACTTCATGTTGTCTAACCCTAAGTGCTGATCGAATCCTATCGCTCATAAGTTTGGAAGACTAACCGCCGCAATACACTGAGATAGATGTTAGTTAGATGGAGGGAATGATCAGCAGAACTCTGTCAGTACTCAGCATTAGACAAAATGAAGTAAGTTACCCCCAGTAGCCAATTAATGTGCCTAAATCAGGGCTACAGAAGATTAGTTGCAACTCGAATAGCTCAGTTGTAATGTCTGTGACTAAAACTCTGCGTAACACAAGTTACAATCTCTGGTAAGAAATCAGTCCCGTTGAGGTTACAGGTACATCTTACTGATGACAGCCAATAACCCAGGTCAAGAAGAGCCTTCTACTTATTGCTTGGATCAAACTAATAGATAATGTAACTATAAGGTTGTCGCATAGGATAAATTCTAGTCGACACTGTTGTGAGTTGATACCGGCTTGCACTATTAATCTACTTAACTTTAAGTCAAAGTATTGCATGCTTCGTTTTCAGGTTAACAAAAAAATGTTCTTTCTCAAAGGACCATCTTTTGGCAAGATGTGAAAGCGAGAGATTACTTAACTTTGGAGTATTTTTGTCGTATTAACTATAACTATATCACTGATAAAACACTTTATGATACAATAGGAACTTCATACTCATCAAATAAACTTTAAAAATAGAGTTGGGATGAATAACAAAGTACCGGTATAAGTACATTTCGTTTCATTCAGAACTCTTCAGTCTGATGCACTCACTTCTAATTAAATGATGATATTCCGACTGATAAATCAAGAGAAGTAGGAGGAATTCTACAGACAACTGAAATCAGTACTAGACACGACTCCATCCCAGATGGTGACATCAAAATTCTAGTGGAAGACATGAATACCGAACTTGGAGTGGATAACACAGGAAGAGAACTGATCATTTGTCGAGAAGCACTTGGTGAAGTGAATGAGAATGGAGAACTGTGTGATATGATATGAGAAGATATAGCATAGAAGTGGTTGGAATTTGCGAGAACAGATGGAATGGAAGTGAACTCTCTAAACTGTCCACTGGAGAAACAGTAATCTACTCCGGTCTCCCAGACGACAACCACGAGCACACTGAGCTTTGGAGTGGCTATCATGATGTCCCCAAGATCATCGAAGGCTGTCATGCAGTGGGAACCAATCTCCTCCAGGATCATGACATCAAGGTTCAACTCAAAAGGAAGGAAGGTCACAATCATATAATGCTACGCACCTACAAACATTGCAGATGAAGAGAAGATGGAGGAATTCTACAGACAACTGCAATCAACACTGGACAAGACCTCAGTTGGCGACATCGAAATTCTAATGGGTGACATGAATGCCAAACTGGGAGCAGATAACACAGGAAGAGAACTCATCATGGGTCGAGAAGCGCTAGGTGAAATGAAGGAGAATGGAGAATTGTTTGCAGAATTCTGCGGTTTTGACTATTTGGTGATTGGAGGCAGGATGTATAAACACAAGGATATTCATAAAGCAACATGGATTTCACCAGACACCAGGACACACTAAAAATCAGATCGATTTGATCTCAATCTCAAAAAAGCTGAGATGCAGCTTACTGGACCCAAGATCATGAAGAAAGTAACATTTTCCACACACTTTAAGAATCGTATAGATTAATTCAGTCGTTGTTAGGGTGATCAAAAAGTCAATGGTTTTTTTCAATTACACGTGTGAAAGGGTTTTGAGATGCGTAAAGACGAACTGAAAAGTCACATTCACATCATCATGGCGGGAATAGTCGACTGTGTGCAGATATATACTAGTAGCATTCACTAAATAATTGCTTACAAAATATTTCATGCACGAAGACGTAACTAAACCTTAATCCATGCACTCCTTTCAGTCAACAGATCCCCCTCCTTTCTTTTTACACCTTTCATATGTGAAAAAACCTTCAAATTGCCGCATCTTATTCAGCTAAAGAGTCCTGTCGAAATACTATGAATTCATTAAATCCTCCTTTGATAAACAAAAGATGATAGCGAAGATAATTATCCTTTGGATGACTTGTTTTCACATCTGTACGTTCATAAGTAAGTTTACGGCCAAAGGTCGATAAATGTATAGAGGAGACGAAATAATGTTTTGTAACACGAAAAATCCTCCTAATAGGACTTCACTTCACTTCACTTTTGAAGCTTGTGAGGATTTATTTGTTGATTTCAGGTTTCTATTCAGCACGGAGTGGTACCATTTGGAGAACCACTGAAAGTCTAGGAATACTGGACAGGTGTTACGTCTCAGTGTGTGACTCCTCAGAAATGCTCACTTAATGACGCTACCAAAGATCAGTTTTCACTTAGATTAGCATCGAGAAACAAGTATCTTCAAAGTTCTGCAAATCAAAAAATCAAATTTTAGCATATATCACTTAGGCAGTTCAGTTCAACTCATCTAAGAGTTTTCAACCTGTAGTACTCAAAAAGACAGAATGACAAAAGGCTTGGAATTCCAATTCGCCAGAAAGTATGATAAAAACACAAGTATAGTTTTAAACTTTCGCCCACTAGTTATTCTCCAGCTGACCTTCATAACTAGATTCATGTCCTAGTGGAAAACGTTTTCTCCTCTCCTGTACACATTCACAATACAAATCGTTTCTCAAAGTGAAAAGAATTGGAAGAAATAGACTTCATCAAAGTTCTACTTACTTGATCATTGACGGTAAACTAGGGTCTTTACGTCTTGCTTCATCTAAAAGTTCACTGATCAGAGCTTTGTACTAAAGCAAAACGGAATGAAGAGTGAAATCAATCACTTTTATGATTATAAAATAGCATGGTAAAAGATAAGGTCTGTGAAAAACATGTGATATCCACTACCCATTGAATTCTTGCTTTGAGAAAGCACTATGGATTTCACTTCGCTACGAGATGAATAAACCGCAGTTATTAAAAGTAATATCCAAAGAATGCTTAACTTTATACCATTACCAAACAACATTTACATGATAATGCTAATGGATAGTGGCCAGCAGTGGAATTTGGAATGCGTGTTTTGTTCCATTTTGGACTCATCAGCCAGGTATACTTACCTCTCAGTGAAGGATGTTGTCCCCATTGACACTTAGGAGCAGAGCCAACCAATTTGGACGCCAAAACATCACCAACTGAGCCATCGAGTCATGATAACTAGTACTTGCGTAATGAGTATACAGGTCGATCAATTCGGTCAGAACAACGACTGCAGATTATAAGCAGTTACTTAATATTTGCATGAATTGCATGAAAGATGAAGGTTTATAAGAAAGATTTTTATGTTAACACGAAACATGGATTGTACAGTATCTGATAATACTCTGCTGGTTTTCGCTTGTTTCCTCAAGCAAAGTAAATAGCGGTTTCTGTCTGATAACAGTTTAATGTCTGAAAACATCAGCTTTTCATCTCGACCGTAGTTGTTTATAGGTCAGGATTAGTGCTGACATCTTTGAATATCTTGGTGAATATGAATTCCAGTCTTTCAAACAGTAAATGTTGACAAGTATGAAACAGAAATAAGGTGTGGCTGGGCACCAACTAATTCGACATATCTTCTAGCCAGTAAAATTTTAAAACTATCAGTCTCTGTGTAGGTCTGTAGGACGAAGTAGGTGTCGATACAACGGGATGTTCATGATTTTGTTATTATCTTGATGACACAATGGAGTCTAGAACGCGTGCCTTGTTCTACTTGAGACTTATCAGCTGTGTGTACCTGCACCACAGCAAGTGATTTTGTTCCCACTGAGAAGTGAATCCAGTACTCTTCACTTCAAACACTAAAGCGTTAACCACAAATCCCACTGCTTGTGCAATGGGTATCAACCACTTTGGATGGCAGAAATTTGTCAGTTGAATCAATGTGCTAATATAATCAGTCTTTATGCGATGGGTATAGAGGTGCGGGTATATTCGGCTTACGAGTCTTATATAGGACGAAACGCGCATCCTGGGCTTCAATGCAAGTCATCAAGGTGAACAGATCAAGCGTAACTCTGTCTAGCCAACTAATCCAAGTGAAAATGTAAACATTTGAGCACCGAAAGTTCAAATACCAGTAACTACTTCAAACAGATCATATACATTCTTATTTTTCAATAGTAGAAATTATTGTTTCAGACTAACGATAGTCTACGTTTTCGAAATGTCGTTTCCAAACAGTCCTATCTTGGACTTAAAAAATATATGCATAAATAAGAAATAAACCAATTACTTATTCTTTCTTTGTTCTTCTGTCAGGAGTTTGTACCCTTTTTATAGACACTATTTCGTTTATCTCACCTGTTTCATCCTGTCCAATAGAGATCATGACCCTTTTACAAAGAGTTCGGGGGCAAAATATCTTCTGATATTCTGATACCATTGTACAATTTGCACCTCTATCACACTCACCAATCCTGCACATTGCACACGATACATGGATAATTTGTGGTAGTGATTAGTTAAATTCGGCAATGAAAGTAACAGTACGAATACGTTTCCGACTTCAACATGTTGTGCATCTCGGCGTCATTTCACCTTTAATAACGACAGAACGAATCAGAGACATCCTTTGAAAACTTTAAAACTCTCCACCTAATTGATAAGTATTTGATTATTTCAAGATCACTTGACAGTCATTCAAGAACGGCAAAGTTCTGTAGCCCCACAAAGAAGTTTAACACTGATTGGTGTTCAAATACAAATACAAACTGGTTAGTAAAAGTTATACAAAAACTGAAATTTGATTGCATAGACAGAAAGCCACGACAATAAAGAGCTTTAGGTCATGTTGCTTCAGTTATATTTGCTGAGTCTATAAACAGCAAACGAATGAAGAGAGACCGAAATCTCTTCGAATAAATTTCTGACTGTCGTATTATCTAACTTTTGAATATTATAAACACCTTATCCACTGATTTTTTTATATGGTCTGATATAAGCAGGACTGACAAAGTTTATCGCACGCTTTACACTGAATTTCGACACTGATAAATCTTTCACCTTAAAGAAGAGAAAAATAGTATATGAAAAGCGTTTTTCTGAATACCTAACCATTTGGCAATCAGATATAATTGAATGAAGAGGAATAAAAAGATGGGTAATGTGAAGAATTAGCTGCTTGTGAGTTCTAACACAAGACATCTTGTGAATAATAAGACTTCGAGTCATGTTAAGTGACTTAATCGTCTACCAAAAATGCTCATTTTGAAGGCTCAAACTGTCCTTACTTCAACTATATTGAGTAGTCTGACAATAGGCTTAAGATGTTCCATAAAGTAAGACAGCTGATATCAACTATACTTCCACACTTCTGTAATTAAGGTCACTTACTCGATCTTTTCCATAATCAGTGAACATTAATCGATGATGTGGATCAGTTTGTGTAGCTCCAAGACATGCTTGTAGCAATTTCACATATTCACGTCTCCATTTACAACCTTCTATATTTAAGCGTTGAATGTATCTATGAAAAGTGAGGTAAACAAAAGATCGTTTGAATTATACTTAGTTGGTTATTCCTAGGAAATGAAATAATAAATTGAAAAGATGAACAAGTTTATTTATAGATAAGAAGTACTCTTTCAACCTTACGAAAGATTAGTTTATATGTTCATTAAGTTGGAAATATGAACCGCTGGATTCTGACCCAGTGGCTCAGTGGCAAAGTGATGACAGTGGAACGTGAAGGTCCGGGGTTAGATCCCTGGTGATGGGGTCACGGGTGTGCACTGCTGAGGAGACTGATACTAGGGCGAAACGTCTGTACAGTGCCCTCAGGTTCCCAGCGTTCCTCTAACTGATGTAAGTGCACAATGAATTACTAAATCCCCCTAAACCCCAAAATTGAAGTTTCATCTATTTTCAAACGAAAACACTGCCATTATTAGCATTATTATTATTATGAATATTTCAGGTTGTATAGTGGCTGGTTAGTATTGTACTCTAATTCGTTTAAAAAATGAATGAAACATACCAAAAAATTGTTAGAGTCTTAGCAGTTGTACTCCTACACACCTCACTGTCAAAGGGAGATTATTAGACACGTGATTAGAATAAAAACATGAAAGTGTGAAGAAAGAGGACATTTTATCATTACAGTTGAATATGAGATTGAACAAGGACAGGTTATAAATCAAGGCGCCCTCATCTCTTGGTTGTATTGTGTTCTCTGAGCAGCTGCGTTGTTCAATCATGAAGCTTTCATCGTCTTTCTAAACAGTGACATCATCAGCACTAACTTCAGTATGAAGTGAGGTGTCGATATCTCTCTGTGATTGATTTACTGGCTTACTCTGACGATGTGGTCTGCGACTACTCACGGAGAGATATTGACAGCTCACTTCATACTGAAGTTAGTGCCGATGATGTGACTGTCTGGAAAGACAATGAAAGCTTTATGATTAAACAACCCATCTTCTCAGTGAACACAATATTACGAAGACCATCTACCTGAGCAACAAATATGCCCTCAACTCTTGAAGACAACTTGTCACACAGATCCAATTACATATTCTTACCACATATGCTCACTTAGATGGCTCTAAAATAAAACGTAGTCAGACTATATCTATCTGTATTCCTTCATAGCTAGTACATTAAAAGTTTGAGTGACATGGGTTAAAATCTCAGGTAGGACATCAGTTCCCTTGAGGTGGCGGATCTACCTTCACAAAGAAACTCAGATTCAGATGTTTCTGTTGATTGCCATCATCCAATTAACATTAATAGCCTACTCAATGACTTTTAGAGTTAGAAGCATTTTAAACTGTTGTGTAGTAAAATGATCAGCTTGATTTTACATTTAACAAATTGCTTGTTGTATATGCTCAACTCTACGACGAACTACATTTCATCCATATACAATTGGTGTGATTCCATTGTCTCCATACGACAGTCTTCCTAGATTATGTTTCTAAGAAAGTAGTAAAAGATGACTTCAGTTAAATTCTCTACTCCCCTGATTTTCGACGATTATTTATCTTCTCATCCATTATTCTTCTCTTAAATGAAAACTTTAAAGCTAAAATGGTTAAATCATGCATTTTACAAGTTTTATCCCATAGTTCATCAGCTATTTGTTCCAGCTTCCCTCATAAGACTTCTCATTGGAGAACAAATCAGTTACATTCTATACTTAAACAGAACGGCCAAAAACTATGGAAAATAATAGTAAATCATGTTGTAAAGGGTGATGTTGGTTTAAATTATTTTACTTTACCGCTCTAAATTTACTCACTTAGTCATTTTATTGGCATGATCAGTGAACATATGTTTAACTGCAGCCAATTCACGAATTTCTGAGATTAAAAATTGATTTTTTCTATTTAAAATTCTTTGTTTCTGATCATAATCTTCAATCATATCACGTAGTTTATTTGTTGAGATATTCTTTGGTCTAAAAGAGATAAACACAAAGTAAGTTGAACATAATTAATCATCTTTCGGGGACATCATGCAACAGGCCACTCCCTCGAGCGGAACCTAGATGAGAAAGGACGAGTTGGGCATCCGTGGCGAGGGTGACATAGAAGAGATGGTGTGAGTAAGAAATGAGAGCTTGTGGGCTGTCATGGAGCCATGTTCAAAAGATTGCAGAAAACAGAGTGAAATGGAGATGTGTTACTGAAGCCCTATGTTCCATTAGGAACCCAAGGGACAAATAGTAACAATAATCATCAGAGAACATCATAGAGCTAAATAACCATACAAAGAAAGTTATTGAAGCGACTAGAAGTTGACATTTTTTGTCAAATCTGGTAACGCTGACTGCTTTTGTAAATAGTGACAGGTGAAGTAGCAAATTATTTCCCTATTCTAAGTTAATTGACTCTAAGAGGTTATCCTAGTAACTGCTGAAATAACCAATCAGGTTTCAGTATTCCAGCATTGTAGGTAATTTGTAAATAAGGAGAAACATTTCAAAAAGACTATACTCAGAAGTTATATGAAGCCATAAAGTAAAAAGAAGCGAAGGTAAAATAAGCAGTAAGATGTGATGCGACAATGCAATAGTCAAAACGGCATCAACTAGCATCACATGCAGCCTCCAAACATCGGTTTCCCTGCCATTTTACAACCCTGGACAAGGAGACTTCATTTCACTATCTAGATCTCAACATCTAACAGAAATCTCATAAACTCATGTTATGTTTTATTCTAGCCCCTTACTTACAGCTATCATAGCTCAGTCATGTAGATAAGGACTCACGTATAAAGCTAATCGCAGCCACCTTACTCACAACGTTTTACAGCGTCATCAACTAACTAAACCTTTCTAGTTTAAACTCCATGAATAAAATCTTAGTTTATCTTGCAATATTTCCATCCTGCAAGGGCTAAGCTGCGAAGGCAGCTGTAATCAAACACCTGCAGCTTTCTAAGGTTCAACCTTCATTGCATCAAAATTCTTCTGACGTCGAATAGGAAAGTGAAAGAATTGTTCCTCCAACTGATGTCAGTCTTCGATGAATAACAACTTGAAATAATTCCAAATCTCCACAACTCCCTCAAAATTTAATTGAACTGGTGCTCATTGGTGACTAGTTTCGAGAAGTATTCCCGAAGTTCCAATGACAAGTCGTGACCGGTGGAGTCAAAGCCTGATGGCCATGAGGACAAATACTCAGCGATGACATTGGGTGGCGGTTGCGCTATATATCGTGAACTAACAGAAGTTGGAAATATGGAGCATTGGATTCTGACCCAGTGGCTCGATGGTAACGCGTTGGCCGCGGAACCTGAAGGTCGCGGGTTCGATCCCTGCTGGTGGGGTCGTGGGTGCGCACTGCTGAGGAGTCCCATACTAGGACGAAACAGCTGTCCAGTGCTCCCAGGTTTCCTTTGTTCCTCCAACTGATGTCAGTCTTCGATGAATAACAACTTGAAAGAATTGTATTTGAGCGCTACATATATACTCACTCATTTATAATGACAGGGAGAATAAGAAATGGGTTTAATACATGCTACCAATCAGAAAAAACAAGCTATTTATACTTACAAGGTAAATAAATTGTTTTTCTTTTCTAAATTTTCCAAACTTTCCACCTTCTGATCTATTTCACGCATACCAGCCTCTCGGCTGGCTAACATTTGACGTAAACAAGCTTCACGATCCAATGCAGCATGTAGTTGTGCACGAAGCTCCCTACAAATTGACAGGTTAAAGTGAGATAGAAAAAATATGTAGGATTTATTTATAAAATAAATTTTCTGGCAAAAATATCATTCTTCTCCAAGTTGACAAATGTTCAAGAATGAATAAAATTTAATTGGCTGTTCATCAGTGAAGTGTACATAGATGTAGAATATAAGGTGATGACGATTGATTTTAGGATAGCGAATTAGAGCTTCAAATAGGAAACCCTCTTGATATTGAAGTGGAGCTGGCCAATGCTATAGGAATCGACTAGTATAGAATCCGAACGGTTCCTATTAGGACATAATATTGATGCCAATTAATTTGATGATTCATATATTGTAAAGTCAACTGTCTGTCTGATGGGATAACCTGGATTGTTGACCTTAATAGTGCCATACATTCTACTGGGATTATTAGTTTTGGGCATTAAATTAATCCACTTAGAATCACACAGAAATTGGTGCAGTTGGCTTATCCCGTCGGCTGTCGGTTTTTGTTTATCTTACTGAAGACAGTGTCTGTAGGTTTCTTGGCCGATAGCCACTATATAGACTTGGTGGACGCACTTGTATATCACAATGATCCAACGAGCTATGTTGGTGGAATACTTCTTCTCTCGAGGTCATATCAAAGCGAAAATGTCTGTTAAATAGTGGTTAGACAAAAAGCAGCAATCACTGTAGTATAAATTGCTACACTATGTTGAAGGTCTGAGGGTGAAGTCTTACTACCAACTTAACGGAGGTGCGACAGCGGTAAGATGCTTCTCTTGGATGGCTGAGAGTGCTGATGATGCCTTCATTGTGGGAAGGCTTGTGGGTTTAGAAAGGGTCATTCTCGAAAACAGAACACCGTCATCTTCCCGGTATGCCGATACCTGCAAAATAAATTCATAGTAGGATTCGAAATCAGAAGACGCAAAACATCATACTTTCAAAAAAGCCATGTGTGACCGGCCGCAAGCAGGTATCTGTTGACGTCTGCAGTCACACAAATCACTTTCTCTTTAAGGTGCCTTAAGAAAAAATAGCCTTTCACTGTGTGGGGAGTCGGGAATTCTCAACCGCCTTCACGCTTCCAATAGTACAAAAGACCCAATCAAATATAAATTATCCTACTCAACACCATCTCCTCCTCTTACGCCCTACGCAACCTCTCACTCTGCAACCAATCCCCAACGATCAACGCCATCGAAACCTCGTTCGTAGTCTCCTAAGATCTCGCTGTCAGTTTTGTGTAGAAGCTTTCAACTTCCAAACTTTATGGCAAATCGGACAGCAAGCACTTCTCAACACAACTCTGAAGTCTCTAACCATGGACGTATGGTGTCTCCAAGACACTTGTATAAGACCCAAGTGTGTTATTTAAGTCAATCTCACCTTGAAACGGTAGTGAATCTTCCGAAATCATCTTACAAGTAACTGCAGACTCAATGGTTAGCTCTCATGCACTCACTGGTGTAGGCGTATGATTGATTCGTTGATCACAAATGCGCTTTTTGACTTTAACCCAGTAACTGCTGTCCGTGTTCTGTTCGACTGAGTGGATCTGTTAGAACCAGGATGGATCGTTAGACCAACCGATGCACATTCGCAATCTTCCCCTATGCACCCACTCATTGCAGTTCGGTTGATGCAAAGAATGAATTCTATGAAAAGCCGTCAATTTTACTACAGAAAGCAAAACGTTATAATTTAGTCATAGCTGGAGGTGACTTTAGCGCTCAGTTATGGAAGTTTAGCCAATTGGAAATGAAGATTGGAGGCTGCTGCAGAATCCTAAGTCAAGGAACCTAAAGCGGTGATCTCCTGTTGAAAGTTTGTCCTGACTATCACTTGTTTCTCGCAAGCAAGAACTTTAAGCATACGAAGAGACACTGTTTTACATAACGTCCACAGACTGCAGACAAACAGTGGACACAGATAGGTAATATTGTTATAAGCCATCAGCGGGGAAAATCGGTGGTGGAATGCCTCTCTTTCTGAAGTACCTATTTGGATTCAAACCAGTCACCAGTGTGGGCTCATATTTGTCTGACGCTTACTGGCCGAAGGCAACAGATGAAAGTAAAGATTGTTTATGCTCTACTGGAAGATGACAGCGCGAAATGCGTGTTTGGGAAGGAGTTAGCTAAACATTTGTTTGAACATGAGAGGAATGCTCATCCTAAGGAAATCCAAGGAGACACTAAATCTACTGTCGAAACAGCTGTAAAGATAGTTACTAACCTACACGTAAAAGGCGCCATCCGAATTGACTGATGCGAGAAGACTAGTTTTAGCTGGCTCTTGTCACGACGAAGAGTGAAAGCGACTCAAGCGTAGACTGATCAAAAGTCTTCACGTCGACTGAGAGTAGTGGTGGGTGGCGAAAGTGATACAAATAGAGAAGGCATAACCATTGGATAACATTCTGTAACTATTCAGACTTATGAAGAATATCGACAAAAGAAGATCATGAGGAGTGAAAACATCACCGTAAAGGATAGAACGCTGATAACCTCAAAGGACAGATGGCGAAAACGCTACGGAAAACACTTTAAAGCACAGTTCAACTGGTCCTCAGCAACGCTTCAGGTGTCTGAAATTTAGTTAACCTGAATTTGAATGGGACATAGGTCTCAGTCCTCCAACTCTCCTTGAAGTTCAGAAAGGTGTATCAAGCCTGAAACAATAGAAAGCAACAGGAACTGACGATTTGACGCCCGATGCATCCAAGGATTCAGGTGAGAAATTGCGGTTCAATGCAACAAAAGTAAAAGGCAATGTATGAGAATCAGTGGTACTGCCATCACACTGATGAATTTCACTAATCATTCCAGACTATAAGAAGAGAGAGAAATCTTACTTCAGTCAGTTTATTAGAAATGTCACACAGTGAAACAGTACCATTTGCTGAATAACGTTTCGAATATAATTTAGTGTCCATATCCATGTCATATTCACATTCATTCATGTTCATATCTTCATGTGAAAACCATAGGGGAATTAGTTTGACTGATAATTTTTCCAAGATCCTGACTGGGGTTCAAGAACAGTAAATTCAAGAAAACCGGGCTGATTACAGACGTATATGGACTTTCCGACAGTTTCTGAAACATAGGCGTACCTATAGGAAAGTGGCCGACATTTGTCATACTTCTTGACCTGAATGTGGCATTCGACTCTATCGGTTGCGAGGTAGTGTGGCGTTGTCAGACTGTGAGTGGAGTACAAGCAAATATGTAATGCCTACCAGAGCTCTGTAATCAAGCTAATGCAGCCGTGTAAGGGTCTAGGGAGAGTTGTCATTGAGACTGATGACAAGTACTGGTGTTCACAAGGAATGCCCATTGTCATTGTTAAAGACATACTAGTGAACATAACCTTAGGTACCTCTCACTTCACGAAGACTGACCTATTCCTTGAAAGTCATCTGGTCGACTTGGGGTATGTGGACTCCATGGTGAGGATGCTGAAAAAATGAAGGGCCTTGTGAACGTGTTGAGCAGAAACCTGAGTATGTTCAACATGCGTCTTGCCGGTACCTTTCAAATGTGAGATGATGCTCCAAGAGTGTCCTGCGACAAGTACTCCCATCTCAGTGATAGAGACTGAAGTGGCAGAATATGTCGATTACTTCACTTCCTTGCAGAGTTACATCACCCCTACCGAATAGGCTGGCTGCTAACGAAATCTCAGGTTGAATAGAGAAGGTTTATCTGCCACTAGCCAACTAGCGTCATCTCTGGCGCTGACTGGTGAGACATCCAACTAATTATAAAAGGACGAGTATACTGTACCACAATCCGTTCTGTCCTGACATACGTATATGAGGGTAGGCAGTTAAAATTAGAAGCGAACAAAAAGTTTTGATCACAGGTGTCTTCATATCATTGCTCACGTTTGGCAGAATCACCGTATGAACAACGTTGAGGTCAGGTGAAGAGTACTAAACAAGATAAGCAAGTCGACTGATGAGGTTATGGAACTTCATCGACTGAGGTGGCTTTGATTCCTGTTAGGCATGTCGTGTCATCACATACCTCGACGTATCATGCACGGGGAAGTTAGATCAGGTTAAAAGATGACTAACGGTGGCCAAAATAATGACGTTACAGCAGTCCATGAAATCCCTGATTGTTGATCGTAGACGTGTAAAAGATATACTACTACTACTACTACTACTACTACTACTACTACTACTACTACTACTACTACTACTACTACTACTACTACTACTACTACTACTACTACTACTACTACTACTACTTAGATATATACTACTTAACTGGGGAACTTGAGAAGACAGGATTCACTGGTTGGGGACTGTTGGTGACATGGCTGAAGATCGGTTACAATAGTGCAGATGCATTCATGGCTTTATGTCTTCTGATCTTGCATATTCATATTAACCTTTGTCTTGAAATCGCTTATTCTGTCACATAACTTTGCCTTTTATGAAATGACTTTCATTTTGTCCACTTATTATTTGTATACTACTGTGATGTGTGGCAACTTTTTGTCTATCCACTTTTGTGGAAAGTTCTACGTGGATTCTGTCTGTCCATATCATTTTTTTATTGACCTCTTCATCTGATCCTGTTTGGATTATTATTATTACTTTTCTCTTGGATTCCTAGTGGAACTTAGGGATTCAGTAACACACCTCCATTGCATCCTCTTTTCTCCAGTCTTTTCAACCTCGCTCCACGACTGGTTACAAGCTTTCATTTCTTCCTCACACCATCTCCTTCATGTCACCCTCACCTTGGACGCTCAGTTCGTCATTTACCATTTGGATTCCACTTGAGGGCCTGCAGAAGCAGTTATACTGTCTAGAGACTATTTTATAAAAGAAATCCTTCGAACATTTTGATTGGTCGTCCATAGATAGTCATGTGTTTATTGATCATGGTTGCTAATTTCTAGCTCTGTAGAAATCAAATTCGCCCGAAAAATAACTTACTTTACATAACCATTTTGAGGATAGTCATTCTCATAATCCATATGAATATTGTCATAAAATGGTAGAGGACTTTGCAAAATTAATGAACTTTGGTATTTGGCTAACAATGAACTAGTGTATTGGCCTGTAAGAAATGATTGTTGTCTGGCAAATTCAAATTCTTGTTCTGATAATTCTTGAGCATCTACAATGATAATGATTAGTAGGAAAACGGTTCAATGAGATGAAGAGCAATAGATAATGTTGATGGAGTATCCTATAGTTTAGAAAAAAACAAGCAAATCAGTTGAAAATATAAATCTGTACATTGAAGATAATCCATAAATTCCAAATCGAGCCGGTTAAGTCATTACTGAGAATCAATTGTCTTTACTTATATATATATATATATATATATATATATATATATATATATATATATATATCATTTCGTTAACTTGGAAAGAGCAATAAAAAAAGCTGAAGACAAATAATACGGACTACCTATTTGGTTTCGTCGGTCCTCTTCAGCTGCATACAAAGTGTAAAGATTAAAGACAACAACTTACAATGGAATACTGAAAGACTTAAGTTCATCGAAATCAACTGAAATAGTACAGTGTGATAACAAAATATGAAGAGTCTTAGTAAAGATGCATAGCGGCTAGCAGTGGAATCCAGGATGCATATTTCGTCCTATTTGGGACTCGTCACCTGGATGTACCTGCCTACCAATGAGTGATGTTGTTTCCACTGGGATTCGGAGAAAGACCGATCGATTCGGTTCAGTCAACGACGTTATAATACAAACACAAACACTAAGAAGAGTTTTTTGTAAAACTTGTATGAGGATTGATAAATGAGTATTGTGCAACTTAACAAAATAGGATTCTCTTAAGTCGATGAACACGTTAGCTATTCGTCATTAGAAACTATGAAGTAATGAAATATAATCAGTAGAATTCAGTTGGGTAGAGTATTAGGTTGTCCTAATGACTGAAAGATAACAACGTATTCCTTTCGGATACACAGATACGATATCAGATATTCGACCACAATGGACATAGCAAAGCGAAGAAACTATGGATCATTCTAGTTTTCAGTTATTTTGAACTATTTCAAAACATCTGTTCAATTTCCTGTGTCCAATAAGTATTTAATAATTACACTACTGTGACTACTAACTTACCTCAATCTCTTCATCTAAGTTTCACAGTATTCATTTATTTATCTCCACTCAAGGTTTTCTTAGGAGTTTCAATCTAATATGATACTTATGACATCACTGCTTAACATCATGACTTTATTTCAGTTCTCACAGCTTCCCTAATCCATCCTATTGTTGTGCTGTTTTGAGCAATTGTAATTGGTTATTTTAGATATTTTCTGAGGTATGCAACTGAAGACGATTGATGAAATATCTAAATACGTCCATACTATACTTCTGCAAGGTTTGTCCTTCATCTTTTCAAGATTTAAGTCCATTGATTTTGTAATTTACGAGCCTATTTTATGAGTTTCCTTTCAATAAACATACTCCTATGTTGAATAGATTGGTGATCATTTTTAAATAAATGACTGTTATGAAATGTAGTTCTAAACAGAGACAAAAATCAGTATTAGACAAAAAATGTTTTTCAGACTGTTTATCCAGAGATGCTCAAGCAGGCTTTGACAATATTTATAGTATAATCTACGACAATCAGTCATGTAGCTCTGTAGTGAAAAGTGTATCATGCAGAGGCATTGAACGTCATGAATTCCTCTGCAGTTCGCTCAGAATTACTCTACGTAGAGATTCATTTGGCTTGTTGAAGTAGCTATGTTACTCGTTGTTTAAAGCCTTCTCCTCTGAATTCGTCTTTTTCAATGAGAAGACCGGGTTAGACATGCTACTAATATAATGCTCACGAGTACGAAGTTTCTATCGATTTTCAAATCGAAAACAAGAGAGAATGATATCGATTAAACAGTGTAATTATGATATAATCACTAAAATTATGAGGAGGTTACAGAGAGGTATATGATAATACCCAGGGATTGATCAGCAAATCGTTCTTGACATAGCCATTAAGACGTGAGTTCTGATGGAAGCTTATCTATGAAGCGATAAATACAGTCGGTAAGAAAAGTGCTAAAACACAGTTTCCTGGGTTAGATATCATGAGTGAATTATTAAGAAGAACTAATTTACTCCTCATGCTCATTAAACAACTGAATGCCAAACTATGACGTAACGCAGTCATTCTGCACAGGAACCTTCTAGATTTATCCTAATATAAAAAATAAGTAGTGATTGGTGTTCGACTTTGCAATGAGTAGATTCTGTAACGATGTTGAGATTGGACTTTACATGACCTCAAGATTCATTGGATGAAATGACCGCCAAACACATCACTTCCAACTGAATTAGTCCACATATTTCCGAAGTAGATCATTAGTTCTACCTCTCAAATGGCTTTACCTAGGGATAATAGCAAAAACGTTTATCAAAATCCAACAGCCCTAGCAAGAAGGATAAAATCAGCATGTATTTTCAATTATCACAAAGTTCTTTGCATTACAAGTCAAATGTCAGAACTTTAGGGGTTCCGAGTCACCGCCACCATAAACTCAAGTAGGAAAGGGGGATTATGGTTTCGAACTTTGGGGAAGATTTATATGCTAATTCTTGATGACCTTAAGAAAGGAGGGAAAATATACTGAAGGCAGTTTAGTTACGTCTGGCAATTTTTCAATAAACTGAAATCAAACTTCATGCTTTATGATAACAATGCGGCTAAGGATTAAAAGTCATTTCAGTCAGATCCAAAGTCAAAAATTAATAAACTTTGTTAGAATTAAACTGAACCATGTTGAATCCTTACTGGTAATCAGTAATTTGCTCCACACCCTGTTTTCAGCAATCGTAACATTGATGACCAAAGCAATTGTTCAATTCGCCTAATGCATTGTGTATTCAAGCCGATATCATTCAGTATAGAAATCAGAGACACTAAAATTGACCTACTTGAGGGGAACAGTTGACTATACACAGAAATGAATCAGACAGATGAGAGTGACCACTGGAAGTCACCTAATTTCTTGCTCTCTAATTGTCAGTAATGGTGGGATTAATTTAGATTCATCTGAATTGTGAATGAAATCGGTTTTCTATCAAACATTGAAAAACATTGTACACTGGTTTAGTAGCTCGCTTCAGATAGCATAAAACAATTCAGTAAAAACATTCTGACATTCTACCAAGCTTAAACTAAACTTGAGTCTCTACTGTAGGTCGAATATACTCCAAACTAGGTAGCTATGTTCCATTTCGCGTTTATAAAGAGATGTAGCTGAAAAACGATTTGATAGAGCTTCAGAGACTCTGTTACCACTGTATTCTTGATATGGACAACCTTTAACGGAACTAACTCATTTCTATCTGTAAAATTTCATCAACCAAGGTAGTTCGGCTACATGATGGTTAATCCGTGCCATTGTTTACCCAAACGTACCATACAAAGTGAAGTAATTTTATCTTGGTTTACATTAATTTGTAAAGACATTGAAAGCAACATTCGGGTTTATTTGCTCTGAAATCAGCGTATTTAGCACTATGTGAGGAAGTCAAATGTCAGAAGTAGTCCGAGAGATTTTGCCATGTTACCTTCAACAAACTTAGAGTTGTTCACTTGGCAAAAAAAATATTTCCTAGTGAAACGATGGTGTCTATATTAATCTAAACCTGAATTGCTGCTAGCAAGCTGATTGAAGTATCTAGAAATGTGCATATTCCCTTGTGAGTTGGTGTTTCGACGTTAATCTGAACGAATATTTTACTTTGTACCACAGGAAGATAACTCATCTTTCTAAGGTATATCCTTTGATGATATTGGTTACAAAATCTCTTCGTACGCCTTTTGTGAGACGGTGATTTATCGGATGTTATCGAAACAGCCAGTATATTAGTATCAATCATAAAACTAGAAGTTTGTTTATCTATTTAATGGAACCTTCATTTAGAAATAGTTTTGGTTAAAACTATGCAGAAATAGAAATTATCTGAATATGACAAAAGCATAAATAATCCTGAAAATATTTCTCTCAAAATAAAACAAATTTACGTGTAAAGTAATCATTAGGAGAGGTTGGAGAGGAAGGACTAATGAGAGAAGCAGATATTTCTTCATATTTATCTTCTCTAACTGTTGTATCAGCGACTGATTCATTCCCTGATTATTAAAACAAATAAACAACGGTAAATGTACAAAGAAATATTGAATATTGAATAGATAGGTAAGCCAAGTGTCGCAGTTGTCAGTTCATCATACCGTTTTTACTTTGCACTGTTCAATACCATTTAGCAAGAGAACGGAAAGTTGACATACAACCAAGAGACGACAATTGGCATTCTTCAGCATGTTTGCTTACTTTATGGACTATCATCTTTTGAGTGGAACAAACATAAAAGTAGCTTCCGGGACCTTCATGATCTTAGTACCGATAGATTCTTTCGACCAGATTTTCGTTATGTTTAGTAAGTTGAGTCTATTTTAGTTGTGTAGATGATTGTGATGCTGAATGATACGGATTTCACTTCATTTGGAGATTTAAGGTTATTTTTGAACTGATTATTATTATCTATTACTTATCTCTTAGGTTCCTAGTAGAACGTACGGCTTCAGTAGTACGTCGCCATTTCACTCTCCTCTCTGCAGTCTTTTTAACCTGGCTCCACCAGTGCCAACAACCTTTCACTTCTTCCTCACATGATTTCCTCGATTTCATTCTCGCCTAAGATGGTTAACTCGTTTTTTCTCCTTTGGATTCCCCTCGTGGGCCTTGCGCGTGATATCCCCGAACGGTCTTCTCAGTGTATATCCTATCCACCTCCACTTTCTTCCCCTACATATTTGTTGGGTGATAGATTCTTGGTCGGCTGGCTAGTTGTCAGCCACAGTTCGTCGTTGCTTATTATTTGTAGCCATCTGGTCTTCAGTACCGAGTGTTGATGAATGTCTGTAGTTTGTTGGAAATGCTTCATGTAGCGCGTCAAGTCTCTGAATGAACCATGTAGAAGCAATGACCTGACGTTGATGTTGAAAATCCAGATCCTACTGACGCTTTATGCTGAGTTGAATGCAATAGATCTCCACACTGAGATCAGATTAGTAAAAGCCTGTCTTGCTTCCCCGTTCCTGGCTTTGACATTCTCATTTGTGCCACCACCACCTGTAGTTGAAACGATGCTGTCTAAGTAGGTAAGTGAAAGAAACTACTTCCTTTTGACTTCTGTCGTCGATGGTGATTCTTGTTTGCTGTTGTTGGTGGTGGCTGAGTATCTTCATCACCTCTTTCTTCTCCACGTTTACCTGAAGTCTCGTCCTCGCTGCCTCTTCTTTCAACTTTTTGGTTTTCGCCTGTATATCTTCGAGTTTATGAGACAACATTTAGACACAAGTCATCAGTGAAATCTAAATCTTCTTGTGGGGTTTTCTCATTGGTCCAGCCAGCGTATGCCCATCTTCGCGCTCCTCATGGTTTGCTGCATTACCCAGTAGATCTTGTATCCAGTAGGCCGCGTCTCCACTCTCTTGAGACTGAGACGAAATCGGTCTGATTTTTAGCGTATCCACTTAGTTAAATCAAATCCATGTCGCTTTGTGAATATCCTTGTGTTTGTTCACAGTGACTGCAATCGCCAAATCGTTGAATGCGCAGAAATCTACAAACAGTTCTCCATTCTCACTCATTTCATCGAGTGCTTCTCGGCCCATAGTTACTTCTCTTTCTGTGTTGTCCTCTCCGAGTTTGGCATTCATATCACCCCACCAATTAGAATTTCGATCTCGTCATTTGAGGTGGAGTCTTGTCCAGTACTGATTGCAGTTGTGTGTAGAATTTCTCATTCTTCTCTTCATCTGCAATATTAGTAGTTGCGTAGTGTAGCACTGTATGATTGTGACTTTCCTTCCTTTTGAGTTGAACATTGCAGTCTTGATCCTGGTCCTGGAGGAGATTGGTTCCCAGTGCATGACAGCGTTTGATGCTATTGGGTACATGATGATAACCACTTCAAAACTCAGTGTGCTCATGGTTGTCGTCTGGTTGACAATATCGGAGTGGATTATTGACTCTCCAGTTGACAGTTTGGTGAGACCACTTTCATTCCATCTGCTCTTGCAGATTCCTAGCCTAGCACATATATGCCATACCTTCTCATCTTTTTTACAATCCCGGCAGCTTTGCTAGGTTTACACATGGTGTGAACATTTCATGTCTCCAATCTTACTTTCACTTTCATCGAGAGAAGCGAAAACACATCGGCCAATTGGCTTCCTGAAGGCTTTCACCAATCGGTGTCATTTCGTCTCCCCGATTCCAGTGAGGAATAATTTTGTTTTTATGTTTTATATTTTGTTTGTGCTTTGAAGTTTCTTTATCGGTTGGATTGGTTTTACGGGGTAGGGTTGCTAGCCTTATGCTCAACCTTTCCTCTTTAACCGGGCTTAGGATCGGCTAGTAACTAGTGAACTAGTTAACCAGGTGAGGTTTATTTGGACTGATAATTTACTTTATTTCTGACTTCTGATAAGTATGAAATTTAGGTGAAGTCAGATTTACTACAGAAACACACAACAATGGTAAGTTGCATGCATAAGTACGTCATGTATAATCGTATGGAAACGTTTCATTATTCAGATTAGGACGAAATATGGATGCACCCACACTTATACAGTCACTTCAGAGTTCTTCTATCAAGGTTCTAGAGTCGTTGGGTTTTATTACGGTGAAGTTTCCAACAAGAAAGTCTTAGTAAGTTTCATACCCTCTTTCTCAGTTCATCGTATAATTATTCCATAGGTGAATAGAAAACAAAACACTCACCAGAGTCAGAAAGTGAACTTTTCTTCAATAATTGTCGTCCTGATTTTTCTCTAGAAGTTGATGTTGATATTTCTTCAGAATCTGAATGTAATAACAGTAATTATGAACTTTTGAATAGAATTTCATTGACAATTATGAATCGTTCAAATTAGAACTTCATCAGCCGTTATTAATCAAGACAGAATAATGAAAAAACTCAAGCTATAACATCAAACTTGTCACACAACAAATGATCATCGTGAACCGGTAATCTAGTGAATAACCCTCCAGCATTTAGTGCGAAGGGTTTTGGATTCGATTTTCAGAGGCATACAAGTAAATTCTGTTGAGGAGTCTTAAACAGGACAAAACGCCTAGCTTGGATTACACTTCTAGCAGCTATTCATCATTAAAATTGTAGATCAAGTAAATCATGAGTAAGCCAATCTTCTTGTTAAGAGAGTTTATTGAAATTACCTTACCAGTTGAAAGGTGAACTTGTGAAGTGGAAAGATAATGCAAAGCTAACCGATTTCAGTAGGTGGTTGTTATTCAACAAAAGTCAAACCTGATTTTATCGTTCTCTCTATCAATGAAAAGAGAAAACTAGTGGAAGAGATTTTTTGACTAACAATTACATTTTCTTAAAGGGATACTGACGGAAAACCAGGTATGGAAATGGATTTATTGACAGAAATAAGAGACACTGAAACTTGAAACTAACAACTGACCTTTGTTAAAATTCTCTGTCATGAATGGTTAATTAAATGTTGTTTCCTAGTATACGGGGCTCTCTGCATATATGTGGTCTCATTTATATGCTTCTCTGTAAATTGAAATGAGAGCATAGTCTAGGATGATGTTATAAAGTTGGAGCAAAATTTACTTACAAGACTTATTTCATGGTCAGTCAAATTTCTTTCAATTGAAGACTATAGAGTTATTCATATAGAAATGTTAACTATTACCAGATAGAATTTATCTCAAATCCACAGTAGCGAAGAAACATTTGATTGGTTAATAATTTGTCAGTTCAAACGAAGGTGTCGATGGAAAAAATCATGCTAAGGGTATGATTGTGCCTAAAACCTACAGTTTCTAAGCTTCAAAATAAAGTATATAAACAAACTGAGGGGATATTCATGGGATCGCCAATATCCCTTATTATCGCAGGCATATTTATGGATAGATAGGAACCGATGGCCCTTCACAAAATTTAGTTCTACTCCAAAGATATAGTTCCGATATATAGATGATACGTTTACAGTACTGAAATCGGAACACGCCAACACTCTCTTGGTACATATTAATTCAGTAGTGAATGCAATCCAGTTTATCTGTGACTCGGAAAGTGAAGAAGGTGAGCTAGCAATTTTGGATTACAAACAAGATTATACAAAAAAAGATGGAAGTTTAGAAACTAATTTTAATAGGAAACCTCATTCAAACTCCTACATGGACTTCAAGTCATCTCAGTTAAAGTCGGCTTAGCTAAATGCCTAAGTAATAGGGCAAAGCAGTTACTGGTAGGCAAAAGAGCCTGTGACAAGAAACTAGACACATAAAGGATACCTTGCATCTCAATAATTACCCACCAAAATTTATAAACAAATTCATAAGAAATCGAAAGAAGAATATTAGAAGTGTTAGTAGTAGTAGTAGTAGTAGTAGTAGTAGTAGTAGTAGTACAGATGTTATTAATAATAATTCCACTACTCATCGTAATAATGGTGACAGGGTTAAAAGAGAATTCAAAACCTCTACTGTGTTACCATAAAAGGAAGGCACCTCAGGAGGGTTACGAAGAATTCTCAATAAGGCTGGTTGGAATTAACGTGACATTTAAACCAACAAACATAGGTCAAGCCAGTCGACCAGGATTGATTAGAATAACAGAGCACAAAAGCCTAGTTAAATCAAGATTAGTAGATCCTAATAAGATAATAAATTTAGAGACAAGCTCGGCTATGGGTCTGCACGCAATTACACAGTAGTGTGGGATAGGGTGATAGTGTTGAAAACTAAGTTGGTTGAAGGGAGGGAGGGAGGGAGGGTGAGATTGATAACCGACTGGATCTTTGTATATCGAATCAATACCCAATACGTGAAGTGACAGAAATGATTCTTCGCTTGTCTTAGATATATGGAAAATTCCACTACCCTTTTCATCACAGGGAAGGAGAGAAGATTGGGAATATATAGTTTGTCTGGAAGTTGTGGAGTTACCTGACCCGATATGAATATGGACAATAAATTGTTTCCGAAACTTTGTTATGCAGTAAATGATAATGTTTCTTCATTGTGTGATCTTTCTAATAAACAGACTAAAATGGAAATACAATGGACCACAGTGCCCAAGTTTTTCTGCTATAGTTTCTTGTATTACTTGACTCGACTATTTTATTAACTTCAATATAATTCCCTAAAAACGTAATCAGATTCACTTATTTCCAAGAAAGCTTTCACTCATGAAATATACTACACAATAATATGAGTAGTTAGAACCCGTTGACACTGATTCGTCTTATCTATAGGTGGATGTAGGTAACAACGACGGCTAAATGATTACTAAGCAGCTTTCATTTTGGACGATGTCCGATGAAGAACTACTGAAAAGCTAAGATCGCTGTACAGTTGTTCCATTCTACGTCAAAAAATGACTTCAGTGCACAACTATGACCCAAATTTGGATCCAACAATTGTCACAACTCACAAGTTTTCATTCTAACCATCGTCTTCTGTTCTGAAGTGTTATAGTCGTCTTAGTGACTAACAGTGAAATCAAGTACATGTGTCTTGCACTATTTAGAACCCATTGGCTGCATGTTTCTGCACCCCGATGAGCGATACCGTTCTCACTGATACTCCTACCAGGTACCAATTATTCCAAATGCCGAGGCATTATCTACTAGGCCACTCAGGTACGAGAGTCAGCTTCTAAACTTTAGTTACTTTGTTCTAAATTGTGGCCAAAAGCTTCCAAATAAGGAGCATAATATTGACCTACTGGTCTTAGGTTGCATCTGATATCTCTTTTCGAGTGCAAAACTGTTTAAGTCGTTCAAACCAAGGCAAATCAAGTTTGAAATGTTACATACTTTCAAGTATTGGCTTGCCACGGCAACTATCTTCACATACACCGTCAATTCGTTAACATCTAGGAAGTTTTAATTAGTTCGTGTGAAGAATAAGCATCAAAGTGACTTTATTTAACCATATAGAAGCAATGACCTGACGTTGGCGCTGAAAATCCACATCCTCTTCACACTTTATGTTGAGTTGAGTGCAGTATATCTTCACACTGGTTTCACATTAGTAAAAGCCTGTCTTGCTTTCCCGTTCCTGGCTTTGACATTCTCATTTGTGCCACCACCACCTGTAGTTGAAACGATGCTGCCTAGGTAGGTAAGTGAAAGAAACTACTTCCTTTAGGTTTCTCCCGTTGATGTTGACTGTTGCTAATTGTTGGTTGAGTATCTTCATCACCTCTTTATTCTCTACATCCACTTGAAGTCCTGTTTTCACTGCCTTTTCTGTTAACTTGTTAGTTTTCGCCAGCAGATCTTCAAGTTTGCACGACAGAACATTCGATATAATTCATCATCAGCTAAATCCAGATCTTCAAGTGTCTTTTCATCTGTCCAGTCAGCGTACGCTCCTCTTCTCACTCCTCACAATTTGTTGCACTATTTAGTCCAGTCCAGTCGACGACAGTCAGGAAGATGATCGGTGATAGTAGGCAGCCTTGTCCTACTCCTGTCGTCACTTCACCTCAAAGGCCTCACTGAGCAGGTTTCCATTGTGGATCAATTGGCATGTAGCGTCTTCATATGGCTGTTGTTGAGTGAGGTTGATAAAGGTTTGTGGTATTCCATAGTGTTGGTGCAGTTGCCGAATTACTTCTCGGTAGACGCTGTCAAAAGCCTTTTCAAAATCGATGATGTTAAGGTAAAGTTCCGTTTGACTGCATTCTATACTCTGTTCTATGATGATGCGAAGCGTTGCAATTTTATCTGCACATGATTTGTTTTTCCTGAGGCCAGCCAGCCTCAGCGCATTTTGTAGTCTCTCCAAAATGATGCGGCTAAATATTTTGCTTGGGGTGGACAGCAGCCTGAAACCTAATCGTATACCATAACTTTAAGTTTAATTACTTCTCAAGCTGACATTTAATTTCATGATTTCTAAAAGGTAAGTTATGAAGTCATCACCTTTTCTATCCTCAAAGTATATCTGCACTTCAGAAGATCACTCCAGCACACAGTAATCGTTATGAATTTTTTAGTGACAGTATCAGCATCCTCGGTATATTCCGTCTGTCTTGAATTCAGCTTTGACTGTCGAGTTTATTACACCAATCAACTCCGCTATAACAGCTAAGTCGAACACAAAGCCTCTGACTTCTCCTTAACTGAACACTTTTTGCCACAATATCTTTATTCAGTCCAAACATAACGAAATTCAGTGAAAGATATCCAATGTACCAAAAGAGATTGTAACTGTTTCATTTTTCAACATCAGGGTAGGTGTCGTTATTTTTCTATCTTTTACCCTCTAGAATCTTCATCAAGTGAACATCATTTTATGTATTTCCTAACGGTACTACTCATGCGTACAGTTATTAGTAGCTTTCACCACGGTATAACTTGAATCTTCAGTTACATCCTGTTACAGCTCATAAAGTGTCTCACATCCTAAGCTAGAAACTTATCTCTTTCTGGAAGCTGCTAAAGCTTTATGAGGCGCACAAGTATGAGACACATTTGTACGACTAACTGTCATACTACAGATGTGATATTATATCATCTGGTCTTACTGCATTCAATGACACAGAGATCTTACTGTTCACCTCAACATAACATGATATTTCTTAGGAATGCAGTATGAATGAGGAACAACTGACCATTGGAATTTCAGTCTTTAATTTTGGTTATAAAGTTAGACTTGTGTAAGGTTCGATTCAGTCAATTGATGATTTTTGTGCCGATTTATCGATTTCAAAGAAAAGTATTCTTCACGAAATAAAACTGGATACAGAAGCAGTGAAAACTGAGGAGAACTGGGCTGTTGTTTGACATTATTATTATTAATACTATTGTATTTTTGAGATGAATAGGGATTTTCATTTAGAAGTAGTATTTATCATGGACTATTATCAGTTGGGGAACTACTGAAGATCTGAGAGTACTGAATGGCTGATTCGTCCTAGTATGGGACTCCTCAGCATTACGCACCCACGACCCGCCTAGGGATCGAACTCAGGACCTTCAGGTTTCACGGCGAAAGTGTTGATCATTCAGCCAGAAGTTGGGGATTGTGAATCACTGAAAAACGACCCAGTGGTTGGAAAGTTAACGCTTTCGCCATGAAACCCGATGGTTTTGAGTTCGATCCCTAGTCGGGTCGTGGGTGCGTACTGCTGAGGAGTCCCATACTAGGACGAACCAGCTGTCCAGTGCTTACAGATTTCAGTGGTTACCCGACTGCTATCGGTTCATGATGAATACTACTTATCAGTTATTACTATTATTATTATTATTAAATACTAGGAAGAGACTCCTCTGCAGTGCTTTTTATTCACTTGCTTTATGATGAATTCCCTGAAGTTCCAACGAAAAGCTGTGACCTGTGACATCAAATAAGTTGGATATCAGGATATAAGCACGTCAATGGTATTGGACAATGGCAACGCCATAATGTGAATTGATAGATTTCACTGACTGAATGACCGAGTGAATCACTGTAGAACCTCATACAGGAGTGCATCGGCTGAAGTTGCTGCACTTCACAGTGGTACACAAAGAACAGGTGAACCGAATAAGAATGGTGTCAAACCAGACAAAGTTGTAAGAGAAAATAAACAATCTGAAGATAAAGGTTAGCGCAAATATTCAAGCATTGAAAAATACCCCTGAGTGAATACATCTAGGCAATTATGGCTGATTTTCAGCCATGTCACCAAGAGCCCGTAACCACTTATTCCTATTGTCTCCTAGGGCCCAGCCAGGTAACCTTCATCTCCCTACACGGTTCAGACCAACAGTCAGGGACTTCAACGACTGGTGTCAGGTCTTGGTCTAGTCACCCTTAACTAACTTCCAACCTAATCCAACCTTCCCTAGGACGGCACCCCAAGGAAGATGCTGGCTTGGCATGTTCAGTTTATGTTCAAGCCATCTCAGCCGACCAAGGTTCACAACCTAGAACTGAGAGAAGTAGCAAAATGCTGGAAGTTAGATTTGGATCAAATGGCCTGATGGCAACTTCCTTACTGCCATATCTGGTGTCTAGGGCTTATTATCTTGTAGGGTCATGAAGTACTACTGAAAAGTACCATTTTGAGACGAAACAGCTGTTAAGTGCTACCGGGTATTTAATGTTTCTCCGAAAGATGAGTACTTGACTCAATATTTACCCATCGCTATTAATTGCCTACGATTTCCGCTCTCCTCTCAACATATACTAATTATGTAGTGGCAGTAGTAGTAGTAGTAGTAGTATTCAACAAATAAACTTTCCGAGTAACGGTTTTTCTGCATCAAAAGAGAACACATTTCTGTGTTACATATCGGAATATCTGTTTTCTTTGCAAATTGTTCCTCATTTTTGCAATCGATCATAAATTCATAAACCGTATCAACCACTGATGATTTGCAGCCTCATGTGATATAACCAGTTTGGAAAGTGCAGTCGAACTGAAAATTACTCAGAATCCTAGAAAATTTTTCAATTAAAATGTGAATTTGTCTCTAAACGTCTAACTGTACAACAGTCTTATTCATTGAACGGAAAACCGGCATATCAATACATATATTCCATTCTCATAAGCAACACTTCATCATCATCATTCATCATTTGTCCCTTGGGTTCCTAATGGAACATAGAGCTTGAGTAGCACGTCTCCAATGCGCTCTGTTCTCTGAAATCCTTTGAAGCTGGTTCCATGACAGCCCAAAAGCTCTCATTTCTTCCATGCACGATCTCCTTCATGTCACCCCGCCTCGGACGCCCATCTCGTCGCTTCCCATCGAGGTTCCACTCCAGGGCCTGCAGCATGATGTTCCCGAATAGCCTTCCCACTCCAATCCATCTCCACTTTCTTCTACAGCATATCTGTTGTGTGATCAGTTGCTGGTTGGTTCTTAACCAGCCAGATTTCCTTGTTGCTTATTCTTATTATTCTGGCCATCTGATCTTCAGTAACCAGCCAGCGTAGGCAGTTGTTGATGAATGTCATTAGTTTGTTGGAAATTCCTTTCGTAACGCGCCCCGCCTGGTTAACTAGTTCACTAGTTACTAGCCAGTCCTAAGCCCGGGTAAAGAGGGAAGGTTGGGCATAGGGCTAGCAACCCTACTCCGTAAAACTAACCCAACCGTTAAAGGAACTTCAAAGCCCAAACAAAATATCATCAACACCAGGACGCCTTATTACAATCTGGATACTTCATCAATAGAATGTTTATTATAGGTTGACTCACAGAATCTGTTTATCATGCCTGGATTCTCCTTTTCAATATTTTCATGTTCATCAGATTCAGTGAAACTGTTTTTTGCTGATAAAATAAATATTTCACACATAGGAAAATTTTATTTAGTATGTGAGAATTAGATTCTGATAGTGGTATGGGCACAGGAACTTACTGGGTCTAATTTAAGGGAAAAGTTCTCTTAAAGTAAATCATCTTGGTCTGGTACATACTACTAAAGACCAGAATGAGTAGTTCCGTGGCATTTCATATGTGTGGGGAACTAGACATCAGACAACCAGTTATCTCGTCAAAGGGGTTAATCTACCTATAATGTATCTGCAACGAATCGCCTCAAACAGCTCAGCTGCCTAAGTTAGGCTATTCCCATAAGATTCGAGGACTGAGTTTCACTTTACTCCATTATTCTCATTATCAATCATGGATTTTATAACTGGTTAAAATGATTCTCATAGTCAATATTCTAGTTCTAATTTCATCTTTTTGGGTAGTGTCACTCAAAAAAAACTTTGATTTCCAAATATTTTGCTTTTTACAGCTTGAAGGGATATTGCGGGTGTGAAAAGTTAGTTTTCTGTAGTAAAATCTATGGAATTTCATGTTAGGTATTTCATTTAGGGAAATGGTACTGTTTACGGGATGACTTCATGAACAAAATTCATTGCTGATATTCACATCAAAGGCAACTCCACATTGTATAGACAGTAGAATCTTCCAAATATCTTCAGTTGGTGTGATGACATGCCTATTACGTCGAACCTATCTCAGAGAAACCAAATGGCATCAATTAGGAAAACAGAACACTAAAACTTGACCCAGTCTAGAAAGGTCAACAGTGTTGAGATAGTCAATCTAGTGAAAAGATCAGTAATCGTAAGCATACAATCACATAATACGATGGCAAAAAGTGAGAGTCGTAAGACCTGACGTATCGAGAGTGAATGGTGAGAACAATAAGTGAAGTTATTTTCATCGAATCAACACCGAATTCGTGCAGCAGGAATGACCCAAAGCGTATTAAATACAGCTGGAAAAAATTCTCTACCCATGATAAAAGTGATGGAGAGGATACATGACTGCAAAAAGAGGATGTTGGAAGATGAACCAGATGATTCAAAATATCACTACAGACAAAAATTATCCTGTTAATTTGTTTGCTAGTCCAAATGAATTTGTAGCCAAAAGTCTTTTAATGTGTGTTTTGAGGCTGATTTGTTGTACTACTTACTGTTTTTAAAGTAGTATAAAATTATCGACAAATTTCTTCGGAGATATCAAATAAATCCGTCAAGCGCTAAGACTTTGCTGAAGTTTATGACAGCATTGCAAGAGTCTATTGTAATATAATCCCAGCATGTTGAGGTAATTAAAACGAGAAATTTCTGGAAGCTTCGCCCTGTAATCCACAGCTTCAGCAACAGAACACAAGCATCTTTATTAGCATTAAAATATATAGTCAAATGATACACCAAGTATATAGTGAATGTAGGGCGTTAGTTGGATGATTTTTCTGTCTACTCAGAGTAATTAAGATTCGTCATTACGAGTTTATGTTTGCTATTGTCACTCGTCAAAGAATATGGTATTATCATTTTGACTACCTGAGATAGTCGTTGTTTGACAGACTAGTATTGATACTGTGTGATTATTGAAGGTGAAATGGAAATTTAGACCGCGCCGTACCCGAACCAGAGACCACTAGGTTCCGACGTTCTACTAACTGAGCTTGTTTTAAACCTTTAAATCCACTACAACAGACATTAGTCAAACTGAAAGATACAATTTCTAAGATGACGCAGAACAATGAAAGTAAATGTTTGGAATGTGAAGCTAATTATGTTAGAGATAGTTGTATACCCTTAAAAGTTAGGGTTGGCTGTGTACGAAACATCCGTCGAGGAATCAGGATGAATTTAATAAAATAGAAAGGCGATCAGTAATAGCTGTGTATGCAGACGAAAGTGGACACATGAATGACTTTGAGAATGCAGACATATTAGGAAAAGATTTCAATTGTGATCGAGAAAGATAGCCCTCCAAGGCCCTGTATATTTTAACAAAATCAAATGAAAAGCATGAAAAAACTTGTCGCCTATTTGGCAAACTTTTTCTTCCTAGTTCTGGACTCCTCAGTAGTGCGCACTCATGACTCGAACCTCTAAGGCTTGAACCAAGGACCTTCAACTTCCCTGGTCAGCACGTTAGCATTCAGTCACTGGGCCAGGATCCAATGGTCAATATCTCCAACCCCGCGGCCATCACCCAGTATCATTGTTGACTGTTTGTTCTCATGGCCATCAGGTTTCCCCACAACATTTCATTAGAACTTCAGGTATAGCCTCTCAAAGCTAGCCATCAATTGGCACTGAATTCCCACCCAGCAGCTCAATGGTAACGTGCTTGTTGGATTCGAGTCCCTATGCAGTGGAGTCATAGGTGTCCACTGCATAGGGGTCCCACACTAGGACGAAACAACTCTCAAGTGCTCCCACGTTTTGAATATCCCTTCAACTGATGTCCGTCTATGATGAATAGTTTGTTGAAAAAGCATTAAATCCTCACAAACCCCCAAATTAAAATCGCTATTGATGAAATTTTAGAACTGATGATGCAATAAAAATGACAATTATTGACAATTTGTAAATAAAAGCAGAATGAAGAACACAAATTCTAAAACATAAATGAACAAACCTACACATAGACTATCCCATATATTAGTTGATAAATGACAATAACAATCATGGAATTAGTAATGACTAATCTGAATTACTCAGGTTGGACAGGAAAATCATCCAAGCAGTGACCCACGTTCACTAAATATATTTCATATGTGTTTATAAAAATTATTATTGATATTACCATTTGTACCTTGAGTTTCTAGTGGAATATAGGGCTTCAGTAGCACGTTACCGTTTCACTCTCTTCTCTCTAGTCTTGTCAACCTGGCTTCACAACTCCCCATAAACTTTCATTTCTACTTCACATGATTTCCTTCATATCACCCCCGCCTCGGATGCCAAACTCATCATTTCTTATTTCGGTTCCACTCAAGAGCCTAACGTATAATGTCTTTGAATGGTTTTCTCAGTGTATTTTCAATCTGATTCAATGAAATCCATCTCCACTTCCTTCGGCATATTTGTTGGATGATAGGTTCTTGATTGGTTCATTCCCAGAGTTCCTTGTTGCTTATTCTTATTATTGTGGCTGTCTGATTTTCATTATTGGGCACAGGTAGCTGTTGATGAATGTCTGTAGTTTGTTGAAAGTGCTTTTCGTAATGCGCAAATTTTCCGAACAATCACATAAAAGCACTGACTTGACTGACATTAGTGTTGAAAATCTGAATCTTTTTCACCCTTTATGCTTGGTAGAGTGGAGTGCAATGCACTAGATCTCCACACTGACTTCAGATTATTGAAGGAAAGCCTATCTTGCTGTTTCTCTGATCCTGGCTTTGACATCTTCATCTGTGCCTATGCCGCCTGTAGTTGGAACGATGCTGCCTAGCCTATGTAAGTGAAAGAAACTACTTCCTTTGGATGTCTCCCGTTGATGGTGATTGTTGCTTGCTTTTGTTGGTTGGTTTGTTGGTTCAGCATCTTCATCTGTCACCTCTATCTTCTCCGCGTTCATGTTAGAGAAGACAGAGGTGATGATGCTACCCAACCAACAACAACAACACGCTCCAATCACTATCAACAGGAGGAACTTAAAGGAAGTATCCTCTTTCACCCACCAACCACCCACCTAGGCAGCATCGTTTCAATTACACGCGGCACAGGCACAGACGACGACGGCAAAGCCAACCAGGATCGGAGAAATAGCAAGACAAGCGTTCACTAGCCTGAAATCAGTGTGGAGATAATCTGCACTCCACTCAGCATAAAGCATCAACAACATCCGGATTTTCAACACCAACGTCAAAGTCAGTGCTTCTATTTGGTTCATAGACTTCGCGTCTTATGAAAAGCGTTTCCAACGAACTATAGTCATTCATCAACAACTGCATACTCTGGCTCGTTACTGAAGCTGAGATAGCCAGAATAGTGAGAATAAACAATAAGGAACTCACTCTGGTCGGGCAACGAACCAACCAACAACCTTTCACTCAACAAATATGTAGAGGAAGCGAGTGAAGATGGATTAGGCATGTACTGAGAAGACCATTTTGCGGACATCACGCACTAGGCCAGGCAGTCGAGTGGAACCCAGATGGGATAGACGAGTTACGCGTCCGAGGCAAGGGTGACATGGAGGAGATGGTGTGAGGAAGAAATGAGAGCTTGTGGGCTGTTGTGGAGCTAGGTTGAAAAGCTTGAAGAGAAGGGATTTGAATGGAGACGTGCTACTGAATCCCTATGTTCCATTAGGAACCCAAGGAACAAATAATAATAACCTACTGGATTATAGTAGCTGACGTCCATAAAGGTATGTACTTTGATTTTGGATGATTGGAGTTAATCAATAGGAAAGTCTGAATGAATAGAGTTTCATGCTTGTTTTGGATCATCAGAAAATTCGTCTGGAACCATGTATATACTCGGTAAAGATAACAAGATAATCCTGCTTCCATAGGTAAAACATAGTCATGAAATAAGCTTATTCAATGTGTCATATGAATAAATGTAGCTTACCCATTTTTTCGTCTTCCGGGGAAATTTCTTCAGCTGATAATGCTCGATCTTCAGAGCTGAGGTTTCTTCGAGCTGAGAAAAACAAACAAGAATGTATTATGATCGCCAGAAAGACAATTTATGATGACTATTTTTAGATTAAAAAAAACATAAGTCAGTTTCACGCTAAACTGTTCATTCTGACTCATAAGGTACATATATTCAATAATATTCTTGTATAGTTACTCTACATTTTGTGGTCATCGTATAGGTTAAGGAAATAAGAAAACAATACTGGCTGCTTGGAAGAAGATCAATGTTGCACATGTGCCTAAATCATGTTCTAGATCAGATTTTACGTTTCAATCCATTGCTATAACTTCCCCTTCCTCTCTTTGGGCTTGAACTTTAACTGGATGTTTTCAGAGATCTATAACAGTTTGCTTACAAACATAGGAGAAGCACTTCAGATACTGTTACTCCCTTTCATCACAATATTGTTTCTAGTCTAGATAAAGGTGTTAACTATGTTGATTAAGCCTTCTTGGATTACTCATCAGCCTTTGACTCTGTTCCCTGACCTCTTTTGTTAAATGAACTTGCGATAGCTGGAATCGAGCCATGGGTTACAGAGTGGCTGCATTCTTGTTTTTCTGAAAGAAAACGCTTTCTCGTCTATAAACGTAAGGATTGGATTTCATTGCTAACTGAAGCTGGTGTACCTCGAGACGCTGTACTTTCTCCTTTGCTTTCCTCATTCTTCTTGCATATTTTACCTTATTCTATTGAAACTAATTTTATCAAATATACTGATGATCTGACGGTATCCATTCTAGTCAACTCTCACTTAGATTGTTCTGAATTAAATCGATTCTTGTCTGTAATCAACCAATCGCCTCTGTCAAATGGTTTTAAGGTGAACTATTCTAAATGTCTCAGGTGTCAATATGACTTGTGTGAGCTCCTAAAGTCTCATGATGCCTTTTGCAGCATTGATAGTATTTGTGCTGAAGGAAGTAAGTCGAGTGTTAACTATCTTGGATCTCTGTTGTACGTTTCATATCTTGTTGGCTGATAACAAAATCTCTAGTTGAACATATTACGTAAGAAAACTTCGGCTTTGTGGTATAACTCAACTTCTGTCTTTACAACTTATTAATTCGTGCATTTTACCCATTCTTCTCTATTGTTCCCCACTGATCTTTCCTGATCTTCTTTAAAAGGACTATGTTGTATTGCGTAGGTCTGTGAAAGCCGTGAGTAGGGTGAGTGGTGTGTTTCTGGCCCTACTGATTAACACTGTAGTTGATAGACATTTTAAATTCCAGCAAGCAGCTAACTACAGTCATTTTAACTGACACAGTTATGTCGTTGTCACTCACTCACCCACTCAATCAGATTACCTTAATTTGATTGAATTCTCAGTTATCTACACTTTAAAGCAGTTTCTAATTCTTTTTTTGACGTAGTGTGCTCAGCGTCACAGTCAGACACCACTAACCCCGTCAAACTGCTGTCAGAAACTGAACATTTTGTGGTAATAGGCTGCTAGTCAATAGCGTTATTACTGATCCATTGAACACTTAAAATTGTAGAAAACGTCAAGTGTACTGTCATCTGAAAACAGTCATGAACCCATGGTAAAGTACTTGCAAAATATCTTCCTTTAAACGATGAAAGACGGTGAGTCATAAAGAAAAGATATTTTGATAAAAAAAGGTTTTTCTTCTGAACTAAGTCATATCTCTGATGCTGTACAGCCATATTATGTAATGCAAGATATTGTAAGATATTTGAGATGTGAGAGAATGCAAGCTATTTTTCATCGTCAGCCACAGAACCATTGAAAGCCTGGGAGATTTGCTTATCTGTTCCATTCTACTTTGAAGTTGCTGAGCTGCTAAGATCCATGACCATACACGGGGTCAAGCCCACGGCTATCATGTTTCATGGCAAGATCGCTTACATCTACTCTCTTGTTTGCAATTTAGTGGTCCATCCTAACTACTTCTGCCAATCAACAACATATTGTTGTCATCATCCTGTGTCACTAGTGGGTCTTCAAATCACTCTCGACTTGGATGAAAATTATTTCTGCATGTGAAGTAAGATGCTTATTTGTCAACTTGACGGATGAAAGGGTGAACAAACCGACATGGTTCATAACGAAGGTGTTAACTGCGAACTGATTGAGAACAAGGAGATCAAAACTGTGTTAAATTGGGATTAAATATACTTCTTCTGCACACACGGATCGTCTTAGAATTGGTGGAATACCGTTACCTCTTTTCTGCACAAGTTACGAAACCATACTCCATCTGAATCGTTGGGTCTAATTCTGTCGATAATTTGAATAGATGTTCTGAAGCGGTAGTTTGACCTGAATTGGTCAGCTACTCAAATCCTAACCTGCTGATGGATATAGAGGATAACGTACAAAGATGTTCTTAGAAAGATGAAGCTTCCATTTGCTGATATAGACCTATATAGCGACTGACAATAAACTGCTATTACTGTCCATAGTTCATGAATACAATAGTGAAGATTTAGTAAGTGATTATGTCATAACAGGGGATTTTCTTTGCTGAATTGGGTTTCCAGGCCTGAAAAATTCAACACCAAGACGACTTACTCAGTTTAGGCAATGTGCTTCTCCGAGTGAGCTGATGGCAATAAAGTACAAACTGATAAGTTGACTCAGCTCAGAACTCCAGATAACAGCTTAACATTAACCAATGAATCTCCACCCATACTTTTGGTAACCGAAAGATAACCATGCTGCATTGTCGACTATGGTGTTACTGATTTCTATGAGCTATGAACTGAATGTTCTAGAAAAGTGAATTTCCGTTTCCATTCGCTCAATAAATCCTCACTTACACAAGAAGTGCATAGAGCGATAACCTATTCCATTTTTTATGGTTGGGTATTCAACTTCTCAACTGAAAGAATAAAAGATTAACTGTAATTCTTCTACAGAATATCCTATATTATAATAAAAGCGTACTACTTAAGCCCGATGTGCACATTTTACCAGCCAGATTTAAGGACTAGTAAACATTAAGTCAGTAACCCTGTAATAGCCAATCAATGCATTTGATACAGTCCTACAGTAAGTCAGTCACGATCCAAATACTTCAGTGCTAACTCAGCTGACTGAATCACTGGATGACGCTAGTTCCAATCTCAGGTGGGACATCAGTTCCATAAAAGTTGCAGATACACCTTACTGACAAGTGTCAAAAACCGCAAAACCTAATTCAATTAGGGTTTTCTGCTGATTGCCTACATACAACTAACACCTGTCACAGTGCATTGCGATGATGAGTTTCGCAGCCTAGTGGCCATATTGCAGAAATGATCGACTGAAGTCAGTCAGCACTAAGGATTATATTGGTTTTGCCGCAACGACCAATCAATCCAGAGGTGATTTTTACAATGTGCTTGGTGTTCTGTAGAATATTCTGATAGCTCAATCTCCACATACGATGCAAATCTCATTCAAAGTTTATGTCATCTGGATGGGATGACAACAGCCGAAAAGAACTTCACCGTTTTCATTTAAAAATGTTCTCAATCCTACAAGTGAAGTTTAACCTGCCGTTGCTTAGCATTAAGATTACAGCTATACTTCATAAACTCTCTTTGCGACTGAGATTTCAGTCTCTTAGTTCGCTGAAAACAGTCATGTGCAGGTATTCAATACCTTCTGATGAAACTGGAAAAATGTCTCTTCAGTGTATCTTTTTACCAGACTGATCAATTAAGGGACACTTACAAAGATACCTTTTGAAGTAGCCCACCTGATGGTAGCTAGCAGTAGAATTCAGGAAGCATGTTTCTTCCCATTTGGGACTCGTCAGCTGTTGGGTGTACCTGCTATTCCAACAATTTGATCCTGAATATCAACGGGGAAATACAAGTATCAATAAACGAAGCCTTTTTTTTGTTCACTCATTAAACGACAAGTGTAGATGATACCAGTCAAAAGAATTTCAGTAAAATATGTAATCTAGTTCAGTAAAGCATCTGGAACAATTAATTTTCCATATATATATGTTTTTTAATTTAGTGGATAAGCTTGAACTTACGTGCAATTCTCTCTGGAGTTTTAACGATATCCAATTTTTTCTCCGGTAAATTATCTAACTCTTCAGCTGTCATGCCTGATAAACTGTTATTCCCTACAGCTGGAAATTCAAAAAAAATGAGTGGGTACTGAACAGACTCTTTTTAATGAAACTATCTGAATTAAATTTAAATTTTGGCTAGACATGATTCACAAACTAAACTTGTGGTGGGCGTCACTGATCAGAGTGGATATAAGTAGTAAGTGTTGAGTGGGCAGCAGAAATTACAGGCAATTACTAGCAATGCATACGGATTCTGCTAAGAGAAAAGGTAGACGTATTAAGAGCAAATCAAGATGGAAACCAAAGAGGAAACGAAGCACATTGTGCGAATGACTGTCTAAGTGCAAGGTGTACCATATTCGATGACTACTCTACCAGATGTTAGTGATAATAAACTTCTCTTCCTTTGTCTCTGTCTTATCGTTTCCTTAAATTAGTATCCCTGCTTCTGGACGTTGTGAAGATTCCGTGGCGGGCAGTGTTTCGAGGATGGAGGCATCAGGGTCTTCCTCAAGGACCTTGCAGCTCAGTTGGTAGAGCATCGGGCTGAAAATTCGATCGTCGCTGTGGTCTTGTGGTTAGGACCACTGTGTTTCTCTGGGCAGAATCTTTACTCATTGCTGGTAATCGCCTGTGATTTCTGTCGCCCTCTCAACATATACTACTTATATCCATTCTGAACAGCAGTGTCAACTACAGACCGTCATACCAACAGACAGTTACTTCTAACTACTGTGTGACGTCTCAATGAAGATTGAAATGGAGACGAAGTAGTGATATTTAGATGATTTAGCAGTGAACACTTAGATGGAGGAGTGTTTAGCCCCCATTTACTTGGGAGCCGTGAATAAATAGATTGCTACGTTCTTTGATCTGAGATCCCGTTACATGATACCAACTGTAAGTTTGGCGTCTTTATACATGTTCATAGACTAGGCTATGAAGCTTGTCGTTTGTGTATACTTATTGTTGGTAGTTCAAGGAAGATTCGAATCAGTAAACAAGAAAGGAAGGTAGACTGGCAGCTGTAAGCCGTTTCATACTGATAGCGTGAAATCTTATCAAATGACTGAATATCAGTATGACGGTCTGAGATAGGTGTGGTTTGGTAGACTCGTATTCATACTGAGGGCTGACTGAAGGTGAAATGAGAAGCCGGGTTTTGGTACGACTGAAACCTCCAGCCTCTAAGCTACTCACCCGCTGCTCTACTACCAAAGCTACGAAATTCCGGGTGTTGATCACAACTTAATTTAAATACAAGTCTACCAAACCACAGCTGTTTCAGATAGTCAGCTTGGTAAACAATCCGTCCGATCAACGATAGAGATTCACTAGTCATAAACATCAAAGTTATAGTATAACTATCACACAAGGAACAGCCATCTTGACTCAGTGGTCTAAACGCTAACTCTTAAGTGTTTGAAGCAACCAGTCCTTCGTAACCTCATAGATGGTTTGAAGAGGACAGAAATTCTCTGAAACCATTCACAACTAATCATAAGAAGACAAATATTTCCGAAAAGAAATGTGAACATTCAACTAATAGGAATAGATAAATGTTACTGCTGTAGAAAAAGGCTAACGCTATGCAGGTCCCTTAAAAGGAGATTATTAGTGTGATATTTTGTACCTGGTCGGAACTATTTTATTGTTTTACTGATATTTTTTGTTGTTCAGCAAGTGAAAGACCATCAAGGCTGAGTATAAGGATAAAACTTGGGCACTGTGGTCCATTGTAATTCAATCTTGGTCTGTTTATTACAAAGATCACACAATGAAGAAACATTATCATTCACTGCATAACAACGTTTCCGACACAATTTATTGTCCATATTCATATCGGGTCAGGTAACTCCACAACTTCCAGACAGACTTCATATATTCCTAATCTTCTCTCCTTCCCTGTGATGACAAGCGTAGTAGAATCCTCCATATGTGTAGAACGGGTGGAGAATCATTTCTGTCACTTCATATATTCGGTGTTGATTCGATAAACAAAGATCCAGTCGGTTACCAATCACTCCCTTCCTCCACCCACACACATCAATAGGTTCTTGGCACATACAGATTCAGTAGTGAATCCAGTCCAATCTATCTGTGACTCGGAAAGTGAAGAAGGTGAGCCAGCAATGTTAAGTTGCAAGCTTAAATGAACACAAGAAAGAAATCTAGAGACTAGTATCTATAGGAAGCCTACGCATTGGAATCGCTGCTTAAACTTCAAATCCTCCTACCACCCGATTTCAGTTAAAGTAGGTCTAGTTAAATGCTTCAGTGATAGAGTGAAAAAGCTTACTAGTAGATTGGAAAATCTGTGATAAGAAATTAGACACATGAAGAATACCCTACGTCTGAATAATTACCCACCGAAATTTGTAAACAAATTTATAAGAAATCGAAGGAAAAATATTGGCAGTGGTGGTAGTAGTAGTAGTAGTAGTGTTAATACAGACGTTATTAATAATAATTCCACTACTCATCGTAATAATGGTGACAGGGTTAAAAGAGAATTCAAAACCTCTACTGTGTTACCATAAAAGGAAGGCACCTCAGG